ATAGGAAATCGAGAATTTAATACTAGTATCCGCCCTCGATCTACTATCTATCGATTAATAAGACTTAACGCGAACTCTATACGAGTATTTATCTTTAGAGCTATAGCCGATACTATAAACGACGGCGCGGCTATAAAGATTAGACTTAATAATAAATTATATCTATTATAATACCGTTCGGGAGGAGCTACTATATTCGACTCGTCCGGCCGTAGTAGAATCTCCCTAAAATATACTAAGAACGTACGACGATAATAGCTATTATTCGCTATTTCTTTCTAAGTAGCTAGTAGATTCGCTCGTTAGACTACCGCGTTAGCCGGCTAGATACGTCGAAGATCGCTACTACTACTATCGTCTATAAGACTCTCTCTATCTAAGGCGGATATTTCTAATAAGTATACGCTTAGTATTTCTTCGCCCGTATCGCCCGGCGTAGCGACGGTATTTAATCGACTTCTTTAATTTCGTATTCGCCTATAATCGGCCGGTAGTATTCTTCTAATCGTACTACTTCGTTTAAGAGGACTACGCTTTCTATTAGCTATATATCGCCCGTCCCGCCCCTTACTATCGAAGACCTAATACGATAGAAAGATAATATATAAACTAGTTCGACTCTCTTCTCTTCTACTACGCCCTAGTCTTTACTATACGTCGCTAATATCTCTTTCTAGAGGGAAATTATATATAACGATACGCTCGATATTAACGATATTAACTTCTATACTAAGATAAGTTATCGTAATTATTATCCGGGTAGTAGAACCCGGCTAGTAGAACTTAGTATATCTACGGCGGCGGTCGATATCTACTACGATAAAACTATACTTCTTAATAATATTAGTAACTATATACTCGTCGTCCCCTCGGTATAAATACTACTAATATTTCTATAGAAGGGCCTTCCGTAAGAACGCTACTATATACGGAATAGTAATAGTCGAATCGATAAAGACGACCGTCTTCGGGATTATCTATAGCGTATATTTATCTAGGGTAATACTAGGGTCTAGAAGGAAATATAGTAATACGAAACTCTTAATCTAGCTATAAGAAATAGGGCGTATATAAATAGTAATATCTAGACGATTAATAGACGTTTTAATAATTTATATCTAGTATAGACGCTCGCCGACCGGACGAAATCCGCTATACTAGAGGGCCGCCGCTTTAGCCTCTTTATATAATATAGCTAAATATCTAAACTAGATAACGTTCTTATAAAGCTATAATCTTAAATAGTTTATTTCTAGAAACGCGGGTCGGAAGCCCTTAGTAGAGGAGTCTATATTAGTAGATCTACTCTATTAATAGATAAGATAGTACTCGTTAATAGTAACTATATCTATCTTATTATAGTCGTTTAGCTCCTCTAGTATACGTTAGAACTAGTCCTAAATAGCCTACTCTAAACTTAATAATACGTATATATATATACTAGCGGCGATATCGCGTATTAACGTAGCGTTCTTACGCTAGAAGTCGACGATATAAGGCCGAATTCCGTCTAACTACTAGATACTATCGAGTTATTCGTTTCTAAGCTAGATTAACGGAATAATCTAAATAGTAATCTTCGCCGTTAAGATTAAAAAGGTATAAAAGATTATACTCTTACTAAACCTAGTACGCGCGACGAGTATAGTATCTCTATAACTAAAGATTAAGCGTTAAAGAATACGGGTTTATTCTTCTCGAGGCCTACGCCCCCCGCTAAGAATACGCGTAAGATATATCTTAAGAACCTTAATCTATAGATCGAGGTATAGCTTAGCCTTATTTATAACGTCGGATAGCCTATCTAATAGAAGCTAAGAGATCGTTAGAATTATACTAGTAAGTAAACTTCTAAGAGACGATAGTATAGATACTATTCGTTACTACTTAGACTTTCTTCGTTTCTTATTATCGCTACTACTCTTTTTCTTACTACGGCGTATATCTCTAAGAGTAATACTACTTAGTAGTTAATTAGTAAGTCTTCGTAGTTAGGTTCCCCGCTAAATATATATAGATTCTAGAGATAATACTACTTAGTAGTTACTTAGTAGTTAGACCTCTCTAGTAAACGCGGGTAAAACTAGAAAAACTACTACTTAGTAGTTACTTAGTAGTTAGATCTCTTCGGTAAACGCGGGTAAAACCTAGGAAACCGCTACTTAGTAGTTACTTAGTAGTTAGAGTCTCTAGTAAACGTGGGTAAAACCGGCTAAGCCGTAGACGAGATAGATAGCGAGACTTCGGCGAAAATAAGAAGCTTCTTAAAGAATAACGAAACCTTAACGGGCGGAATAGCGATAGAAGGCGAGATAAAGAGAGTTACTAGATAGAGCTTAGAAATATAAGCTACTAATAGAGCCTTAAGATATAAGCTACTAATAAAGCTTTAAGATAAGAGCTACTAGTAGAGCTTCTAGATAAGAGCTACTATTAGAGCTTTAAAATAAGAGCTACTATTAGAGCTTTAAGATAAGAGCTACTAGTAGAGCTTTAAGATAAGAGCTACTAGTAGAGCTTCGAGATAAGAGCGGATAATCTAATCGTAACTAGACGAAAAAACCGGATAAGAGATAAAAGCTAAAGTAAAACGTCGACCGAGGTAGTAAGCTTCTTCGATAGTAGCGAGACCTTAGCGGGAGAGGGCGAGATAGAAGAGATAGAAAACGTTAGCGGAGGTAGTAAGCTTCTCTAATAGTAGCGAGACCTTAGCGGAAGAGAGCGAGGTAGAAGAGATAGAAAATATCGATAGAGATAGTAAGCTCCTTTAATAGTAGCGAGACCTTAGTAGAAGAGAGCGAGGTAGATAGCGAGACCTCTACGGGCGGAATAGTAATAAAAGGCGGAGGGGAAGACGATCGTCGCCCGTATCTTTTAGAGCTAGATCTTAAGTTCTTTCGTAGATATAGAGGTCGCGCTAGTTATACTCGAGATAGTATTATCGATTACTATCGAGAAGGGAAGATAAACCTCGATAGATAAGAAGGAAAGATAGACCTCGATAGGTAAAATACTAATAGCTAAGCCGGTAGTAATTATAAGCTACTTTTTAGATATAGTAGGCGAAGGTAAGATAATACCCTACCGCTATAAGAAATACTACTTACTACTTAGTAGTTACTTAGTAGTTAGAGTCTCTAATAACTATAGACGAAACCGGAGAAATACTACTTAGTAGTTAGCTAGTAGTTAGATTCTTCGACTACTACGGCTAACTACTACGACGAAGTACTAAGAAATACTACTTAGTAGTTACTTAATAGTTAGATTCTCTAACTACTACGGCTAACTACTACGACGAAGTACTAAGAAATACTACTTAGTAGTTACTTAGTAGTTAGATTCTTTAATTACCGCGACCGACTACTACGACCGACTACTACGACCGACTACTACGATCGACTATAGCGATAAACGCTACTTAGTAGTTAGTTAGAAGTTAGAGTCTCCGACTACTATAACCGACTAGAGCGAGAAATACTACTTAGTAGTTACTTAGTAGTTAGATTCTCTAGTAATTACGGGTAAAAATAAGGGGAATACTACTTAGTAGTTACTTAGTAGTTACTTAGTAGTTCGGGTTTCCGCTAGATACGTATAAATTTCGAGGGTAAGCTATAATAATAGTACCTCCGGTTTAACTAAAGTACTCTATAATAACGCCTTTTTTTACGTAAACGGATAATACGAGGTATTTTAGTAGTACTTTATTACCCTTAATATATATATTTAGAGATAGTTAGAGTATTATATTATATATACGAGCGATAAAGTAGAGGGTATAGTAAGTATAATAGAACTACGTATTCTTTTTACGTCTTTAAGGCTATATATCGATATAACTTAGCGTAGCTATTACTATTAATTCTAGACTAGTTAAAAGCCTATATTTTAAAGAATCGCTATAGATATACGCGCTAACGAATAATAACGTAGTTATAAAGTAATATTAAAGTAAACGATTTAGGGTATAATGGATATACGTAAAGTTAGGCCTAAATATACTTAGACGCTTCGTAGAGGGACGATCTAATAATACGACGCTAAAAGGCTTAGCCTAGCTTTAATTAGTGTACTATTATAACTAATTGAGGCCCGTGCGAAGCGGCTGACCCGTGAGATAACGTACGTGTCGGGTTCGCGCTAAGAAGCCAAGGAATCGCAACCGGCAATTCGAGCACCGGCGCACACCGCCTCCCCAGCGGGGGATAAGCATAAGTATCCTGCCCTTGATGCGGAGGCAACACTTCATGCTACAGACAGCAGTCACAGCGGCAATGCGTCTCGGAGGCGATTGTGCATGTCATGAACCCATCATATGGCAATGGCTGATGCCATAGGTGCAGCGGTCCTCATGAGAAAGATTTCGTCGATGCACCTTGGCGTTGGGCCGATGAAGGTGAACTCCTCTGGAGCTTGTGGCATTGAAAAGACCATATCTAGCGATGTCAGGGTGGATCTACATAGGATAGGATGAACTCCAGCTTCTCGAGACGCGTAAACTTCTTGGGCGCAGAAGGAAAGGTGTCGATATCAAGCCCGGCGGTCCCTCTTACGATGGTTAATTGCTTCAAGAAGCGCCACTGGTAGCTCGAGCAGCATGGGCCGAGGCCGTTGACGTTGCAATTGGTGGCATTCTGGCATGGTGGTTGACGCGACGGAGCCAGGTCTGAGACAGCCGTTAGTGGCGCCGGGAACGATTCGATGAGATTGCAGGGCGTCTCCAATTTTCCTGAGCTTTGCGCGAGGTTCATGCGTCAACAGCGGCGCCCGTTGGTGCGGGTTGCATGGAATTTGCGCCGTGGTGTCGTCATTCTCGCGCGGCCAGCCTGTGCCGAGTCCGGCGGCATCCGCATCCGCCGGTCCGATTTTCCCCGGGCAACAAAACCCCACACCCATCCCGCCCCGCTGGCCCTCGCCCGCCTTCTGCTTGTGTCACCTGTATTATCGTGACACAGTGGCATCCTTTCGCAGCCTGTGTCGCCGAGTATACCGCCGTCATGTCGTTCACCGAAGGAGCCCCAGCTCACGGCAGAGTTGCGCATTTGCTCCCTCAGACCTACAAGCGTCAGGTCTCGGAATGGCTGGAAGAGGACACGCCAAGCCTTGACTATGGCGGCTTCGTGGTGGGTGAGGAGATGGCGGAGGCGAGGTTGTTGGGCAAGAGCAAGGTCGGTTGCGCCTCTCTGAACTTTCCGCGTTGAGCAGGGGAGGCTGTGGCCAGAGTGTTTCCAGAGAGCACGGGACGTCTTGAGACTTGCGTCTGCAATAGCATGTTGACTATTGTGAGCAGGGCGTGCTGGCCGGAGTGCCTTTCTTTGACGAGGTCTTCAAACAGCTCGACTGCACGTGAGTATCGTTTCCTCTAGGCCGGTGGATTGTCGTATAGATCGCTGATATTCATCTCAGAGTGGAATGGCACATCCAAGAAGGCGAGGCTTTCGAGCCCGTAAAACACTGTGCCACGGTGAGAGGACCAGTCAGGAAGGTCCTTCTTGGTGAGAGAGTCGCCCTCAACACTCTGGCAAGATGCTCCGGCATCGCCACGAAGTAAGTCAAACTCACTTTCATACGTTCCGTGCTTTCACAGCGCACGAAGTAGTCTCCCTCTCAACTATCGTCACACTGTCACCCATGTCGGGCTCCAGACACACCCCTGCAGGCCACTTGCCTAAACGGGAATACAACGACGCTCCATTCCCTTCACCGGCCTAGCCAAGCCCATCCATTCCCTTCAACCAGTAGCTGCCCCTCCTTGCGTGTACAAAGCCACCCCCCCGTCCTGACCGGCTCTAAAACCCGCAGATCCTCCTCTCTGCTTGTCCTTCTGCGCGCCGCCGGCTACCGCAACACGCTCGCTGGCACGCGCAAAACGACCCCCGGTTTCCGGCTGGTCGAGAAGTACGGCATGCTGGTGGGTGGGTGCGACGCGCACCGGCACGACCTGTCGACGATGACGATGCTGAAGGACAACCACATCTGGGCGTGCCAGGGCTCCATCACCAAGGCCGTGCACGCCGCCAAGGCTGCTGGTGGCTTTAGCGTCAAGGTCGAGGTCGAGTGCCAGTCGTTCGCAGAGGCGGACGAGGCCATCGCGGCGGGCGCAGACGTCGTCATGTTAGACAACTTCACCGGAGATGGCGTGAAGAAGTGCGCGCGGCAGCTGAAGGAGAAGTGGGGCCGGGGCAAGGCGCTGGTGGAGGTCAGTGGCGGCTTGACCGAGGAGAATGTCGAAGCGTATGTGTGCGACGATGTGGATGTGGTCAGCACGAGCAGCATACACCAGGGCGTCAAGCATGTGGATTTCTCGCTGAAGATTGTGCCGAAGGGGCAGACCAAGAAGGGTGGAGAGACGGTGGATGTATGAACCCTTGACGAAAGATTGGAGGGGGGTCCGTTACTGCAAGGAACATTCCTATCGCATGCCGTCATGGCGTGCATGTAAAACGTAGCCAGAGATTCTCTAACTCGTGTAACACTCCCGTCCTGTGCATCCCACAGGACGTTGCGTACGTATGCCGTGCACTCAAATCAGCTTTTCCAAATGATATCAGAGAATCGAACCGGTCTGACGAGAATCCCAACAATGATTCATTGCACGGTTGCCGGGAAGCAGTACCTGTAGCAATTGGCGCCGGGCAAGCAATCAAGGAATACCAAAAAGCACGAGCGCAACAACAACGCCAGATCCGCGCCGTGGTATCTCACCATCCATAGATCAGTGGATGCCCTGTTAATAGCAGAAACGCCGTCGAGTTGTTTCAGTAGCCAGCCCACATGTTTGTCATAACCCAAACAGAGAAAGGGAAAAGAATCGGACCCAGATCCATCGGGAAATCCGCGTACTAAGAAAAAGGCCTCATTCGAACCTGACCATACGTTTCTGTGCCTCGCCCACCTTCCTCTCGGGAACGATTGACGCAGCCAACCGCCTCCTTTCGCTCCGCTTCTGCCGCGCCTCTCGCGCCTCGCGCGCGCGCCATTCCAATAGCTGCTGGCGGCGCTTGAGCGCGCGGTGCTGGGCGACGGCGTGCGTTGGGCGGAAGCCCAGCCCATTAATTCCGTAGCCGTCGTCATCGCACTCGCGGTCGATTTCGTGCCCCGTGATCTCCGAGTCCTGCCACGTCAACGCGGCCTGGTCGGAGGATGGCGGCGGCGCCAAGGATGACGATGCGGAGGCCGAGGGGCCCGATGACGTAGCGTAGGTCCGGATCGAAGGTGACTGCGAACGGCGATGTAGCTTCGGGTTCGGGCGGCGCGTCGAGAAGAAGAGTTTTACGGAGGGCGAGGAAGACGGTGACGGTTGGGCCCCCCCGTCCCCTGTGATTGTCGTTGCTGTGGCGGCGAAGCGGACAGTTGGGGGTTGAGGCGTTTCCGCAATCTCCAGTACCGGCTGCGGCGGCGGACTGTTCAGCTCGTGTGGATGCGACAAGGGGTTTCCTCCCTCCCGCAGTGCTAGCTGTTGCCTGTCGACATATTTGTCGCTGTGCTTTGCCTTCTTTGTCGCGATGGTGCCTGCATCATCGCAACCGAAGTCTATCACCGGGACAGCGCCGCCGCTTCCTCCTCCTCCGCCGCCCTTGTGGATTTGCAAGCGCTCGAATTGATTTGCGACTCGCGAGCGCGGGCTTTCGGAGCCGGACTCGGCGTTGACTGCTGCGAGTAATGCGCCGGGTGCGCTACTGTGGAGATCGGAGGTGCTGGCGCAGCGTGCTTCGATGTGTCCGGGGAGGGCGGATGTATCGAGGCGGGGTGCGAAGGGTTGCGTCGTCGGTACAGCGGGGTCTGAAGGGCCGCGCTTGCGCTTGGGCGATGCTGTCATCTGCAGCGGCTCGGCGGAACGGGCGAAGCTGGTCTGCAATCGAGGCGGGGGTTCTGAAGCATGCATTTGAAGAGAGCCGGGAAGGAGCCGGCTTTGTTTTGGGAGATGTATGGGAGTATGGTGGTATGGGAGGGGGCGGAGCTGGAGTAATATGTCGTGTGCGTGCCTCTCGATTATGCTGACCGGGCCTGGACTACTGGACCCTGTTTGCGCTCGTGCGCCTCACTTCTGCACGCAGATCCGTCTACCCGTAGGGCTGAGATGGGTCTAAGAGCCGGCCGATGGATTGCTTGAATGAGACGCAGCTTACAGCAATACCCGACAGATCTATGCACTCAAAGCTCGTGAGTTGGAGCCGTCTGCTTAGCGACCGTGAGTGCCTGCATTTGGCGTACGGCATTGTCTCACAACGTATCTCTTTCCCATCTCGGTTTCACCGCAACGCCGGCGGAAGAGTGGCCTTATCAATTGATCTGTCAGCACCATCCCCCCCCGGGTCACCAGTGCAAATAGACTTGACAATCACACGTGGTCAGTGCGCAAATTATGCGAAAACGCGGGGTAATCGTTCATGGGTAGTCGAATACCTAGTTGGCTGGTGGAGTTTGTTTGAACTTTAGCTTTTGGCATCTGCGCGCCCAACCGAATGCTGAAGATTTCGCGACAGCGCTCTGTACAGTGAATCTACTCATACAAATCAACCTGAAGCTTATCAGGCTGGACAAAGTTACCAAACCTTCCACCATGGCTTTTGCGCAGCCTTCATGCGTTCTTCTTCCAGCCTGTCGCTCTCTTCCTTGGCCTTCCGCCGTGCTGCAATGATTTCTTGCCTCTTTGTCCGCTTTTCTTCTCGCTTTCTGTCCATGATTTCGACCGCCCTGGACATGCCTTCGGCCTCTAGTTTGCGCTTTTGCTTGCAAAATTCGTACGATGCCATGGAGGTGAAGATGAAAACGCCGGCCGCCCAATTGCATGATTTGGCAACAGGTTCTGAAACCACGTACTTAGCATTGAATCATTTACGATTGCTCTGCAACAAGACTCACTGCCCCAAATGGCCATCAGGCCTCCCGTGCCGAAGCCGGTGCCAATGCTCGTTAACAGAGCCTCCCTAACGCAGGGATACTTGTGGATTTCGAGAAAGTCTTTGGGCTGGATGGTTTTCAATCCTGCCGAGAGGTTTACCTCCCCAATTTTCTCGCCGCCGGCCGTGTGCTGCGTCCCGCCGGGCATGACGTTGGGGTTGTCACCCGAGGCGCCAGGTACAAAGCTCTCGTACCGCTTGCCCGCATGGCGCACTTTGGGGTCACCGGCTGGTGTTGCGTCGGGTGTGGCTGTGGGATCTTGTCTCGTGTCGTCGGCCATGGTATGTTGCTGTGGTGGAGGTGTGAGCTTGGGGAATTCTATGATCGCATGAACGTCGGAGGTCAGCGCGTCAATCGCCGACATTAGCGTCTGCTAACATTTCATTGGCCGACGCGCGCCAACGCGTTGACGCGACCCAAGCTCGCGTCGTGCATCGGTGCAGCAAGCCCGAGATTCTTATCCCGCCAGCTCTGGCCCGCAAAGCGCAGACAACACAGCTTGGCCCCTCACCTCCGCTCTCCGCGCCCTCCTTCCAAGCCGCTTTCCAATGTCGACACGCAGATGATACCCCCATAAATTCGTTCCTGTCGCCGAGTACCCCGAACCGCTCCCCGCGGCTCCCTCGCTCTTTCACAATGCCTCCGCGCCGCCCTGGACAGCCCTACAGGCGGCTGGGTAAAAATGGCAACACTTCATACGGATCATGGAAGGGCCCAAATACCGTGGACGCGTCGTCTCTCCGCAGCAGCGAAGCCACATCGCAAAACGAGAAACTTGAAGCCACAAGGCTTGCTCACAGCATCGACGAGGCTTTTGGTTTTGCGCGCTACGAGTCGGGCAAGAAAAAGGCGGGCTGGCTGTTCAACATGCACAGCACCACCATCGAGGATGACAACTACCCTGGAGGACGCGCGGGAGTCGACTTCTACTTCATCGGCGACAACCAGGAAGAGTACTTCAAGGCGACTGTGGGATACGATCCATACTTCTTGGTGGCAACGAAAAGAGGGAAGGAAGCAGACGTCGAGGAGTGGTGCAAGCGCAACTTTGAGGGTCTGATCAAGGATGTTTTGAAGGTTGAAAAGGAGGATCTCAGCATGCCGAATCATCTGCTGGGCTACCGCAGGACTTTCCTGAAGCTCTCCTTCGTTAATGTCCCGGACCTGTTGGCCGTGCGAAAGTCATTGTTTCCGATTGCGGAAACCAACAAGAAGAAGATGAATGCCATGGACACATATGCCGAGGTAGCGAGGTACGATGTCCCATCGTTGGTCCTCATGACAGGAGCTGACATCACTTGTAGCGCGAATGCGGGCTTCGACATTTTTGACGACGAAGAATACGATAAACGACCGAATGGATTTGTAGAAGCAAGTGATTTCATTGTTGATGTCCGAGAGTACGACGTTCCATACCACGTCCGAGTCGCCATTGATCTAAGTATGACTTCCAGGTTGCCCTCAAATGCCCATGACTAACCTTGAATAGACATTCGCATCGGGACATGGTACTGGGTAGAGGCAAAACACGGATCCACAACCCTGTCTTGCATCGAAGACCGATTGACGCGTGCCGATCCCGTGGTGATGGCATACGATATCGAAACCTCCAAAGCACCGCTGAAATTTCCTGATTCCACGGTCGACCAGATCATGATGATCTCGTACATGATAGACGGGCAAGGGTTTCTCATCACGAACCGAGAAATAGTGTCCGAGGACATTGCAGACTTTGACTACACCCCAAAGCCGGAGTACGAGGGGCCGTTCATGATCTTCAACGAACCGGACGAAAAGGCCATGATCGAGAAGTTTTTCGAGCACATCAAGATCGCAAGGCCCACGGTCATGGTCACTTACAACGGTGACTTCTTCGATTGGCCTTTTGTCGAAGCACGAGCGAGCATTTTGGGTATCGATATGTACCAAGAAATTGGTTTCCGGAAGAATAGCGAGGATGTCTACCAGTCCGATTACTGCTGTCATCTGGATGCCTTCGCATGGGTAAACCGCGACAGTTATTTGCCTCAAGGAAGTCGTGGCTTAAAGGCTGTCACCGTTGCAAAGCTGGGTTATGATCCCGATGAGCTGGACCCGGAATTGATGACCCCTTACGCCTCAGAGAAACCCCAGATCCTCGCTGAGTACTCAGTCTCAGATGCCGTCGCAACGTACTATTTGTACATGAAATACGTCCATCCGTTCATCTTCTCTCTCTGCACCATCATTCCTCTCGGTCCTGACGACGTCTTGCGGAAAGGTACTGGTACTCTTTGCGAGATGTTGTTGATGGTTCAGGCATATCAGAAAGAGATCGTGCTCCCCAACAAGCATGTGGCGCCTAGAGAAGCCTTCTGGGATGGTCATCTCCTGGAGTCTGAAACGTACGTCGGTGGCCACGTCGAAAGTATTGAAGCCGGTGTCTTCCGAAGTGATATACCCGTCAACTTCGCTCTCGATTCGGCCGCCTTTCAACAGCTTATCGACGAACTGGACGCAGCTTTGCAGTTCAGCATCACGGTCGAAGAGAAGAAATCTTTGGACGATATCACCAACTACGACGAGGTCAAAGAGCAAATTGCGGAGAAGCTACGGAACTTGAGGGACACTCCCAACAGGAACGAAAAACCTTCCATCTACCACTTGGACGTCGCTTCTATGTATCCCAACATCATGACAACTAATCGTCTTCAACCAGACTCCATGGTCACTGAGGCAGACTGTGCCGCATGCGATTTCAACAGACCAGGCAAAACCTGCGACCGTCGGCTGCCATGGGCTTGGAGAGGGGAGTACTTGCCAGCCAAGAGGGACGAATACAACATGATCCGGAATGCGCTGGAAAACGAGAGGTTCCCCGGAAAGAGACCAGGAACCACAAAATCGTTCCAGGAGCTCTCGCTTGACGAGCAAGCCTCCATGATCAAGAAGCGATTACAGGACTACAGCAAGAAGATCTACCACAAAATCCACGAGTCCACTACAACGCAGCGAGAGTCCATCATTTGCCAGCGCGAAAATCCTTTCTATGTCGATACAGTCAGTACATTCCGTGATCGCCGTTACGATTTCAAGGGAAAGCAGAAAGTCTGGAAGAACAAAACGGACGCCTTGAAGTCATCTGGTGCAAGCGCTGCCGAAGTTGATGAAGCCAAGAAGATGATTATTCTGTTCGATTCTCTACAGCTTGCGCACAAAGTTATCCTGAACAGTTTCTACGGCTACGTCATGAGAAAAGGTTCTCGTTGGTACTCTCTGGAAATGGCTGGTATAACTTGCTTCACGGGTGCCAGCATCATTCAAATGGCTTGTCAGCTGGTAGAGAGGATAGGAAGACCGCTTGAACTCGACACGGATGGCATCTGGTGCATTCTGCCTGCAACTTTTCCAGAGAACTTCGCGTTCAAGACAAAAAACGGCAAGAAAGTCGCCATTTCTTATCCTTGCGTTATGCTGAACCACAGAGTCCACGCCAAATTCACCAATCATCAATATCAGGACTTGAAAGACCCGGCCACCTTCCGTTACGAGACCCGCAGCGACAACACTATTTTCTTTGAGGTCGATGGGCCATACAGAGCTATGATCCTGCCCACTTCAAAAGAAGAGGATAAGAACTTGAAGAAGCGTTATGCTGTGTTCAACCACGACGGCAGCTTGGCTGAGCTCAAAGGTTTTGAGGTCAAAAGAAGAGGAGAGTTAAAACTGATCAAGATCTTCCAGACTCAAATCTTCAAATTCTTCCTTGAGGGCACCACCCTCCAGGAAACCTATGCCGCCGTGGCCAAGGTGGCAAACCAGTGGTTGGACGTCCTGTACTCTCAGGGAACCACACTTGCCGACGAGGAGCTCATTGATCTCATTTGCGAGAACAAGAACATGACTAAGACAGTTGAGGAATACGGTGGCGCCAAGACTACTGCCATCACTACCGCGAGACGTCTGGCTGAGTTTCTGGGTGAGCAAATGATCAAGGACAAGGGTCTGAACTGCAAGTACATCATTTCTTCTCAGCCCAGACATGCCCCAGTCACGGAACGTGCTATTCCCGTTGCCATCTTCTCCGCCGAAGAGTCTGTCAAGAAGTATTTCTTGCGAAAGTGGTTGAAAGCCGATCCTGGTGACTGCGACCCTAGGACCATCACAGATTGGAGCTACTATCTTGAACGTCTTGGCTCGGTCATCCAAAAGCTCATCACGATCCCGGCTGCGCTCCAGAAACTCCGGAATCCTGTCCCTCGCGTTGCGCACCCCGATTGGCTTGAACGGAGAATCCGAATCAAGGACGATGTCTTCAAGCAGAAGAAAATGACGGACATGTTCGGGAAAAAGGCATTGGCTGACATCGATGCCAATGTTGTCACCAAGAAGCTCGTTGATCTCGAAGACTTTGGAGGGTCGCAGGTGAACAAACCTAAAAGAGGCACGGTGACCAAGATGGTGCAGAAGCGCAAAGCACCGGAGCCCGCGGCACCAGCCGATCCCTATGCCAGCCTGCCGTCTAAGATGCCATCCATCACGGGAGACTATCAAGGATGGCTGAAATACCAAAAGCAGAAGTGGAAGATCCAAAGGCAACAAAGGGCCCGAAGGCGACAGCTTTTTGGTGAAAAGAGAACGGATGCTTCTGACGGCCTCGGGACATTTTTCAGGAATCAAGCGGAGCTGCTTTACCTAAACACATGGCAGCTTCTACAACTACGCGAAGGCGACCTGCCCGGTGAGGTCAAGGCATTCGTGCTTATCGACAAGAAAGTGCATGTCATTAAGATCGTTGTCCCGCGACAGGTCTATCTTAATCTCCGTAGCGACGATCTACCAAACGTGTCAATAGACGGTTGCAACGTGGAGAAGGTCGTCAACCACACCCTTCCGAATGGCCACCCGTCTGTTCACCTCTTCAAGCTTACTTTGCCCGAGCAAACGTACGTCAACGAGTCGAAGAACCTCAACTTGCTATTCAACCACCCGAGTGTTGAAGGAGTCTACGAGGCTCAGGTCCCTCTCAATGTCCGCGCTATGCTTGAGCTTGGCAGCATCTGTACCTTCGACGAGACACAGCGTGGTGTTCTCGGCAAGGGCTTGGAGCAAGGATTCGACCTTTCTGCCCTTAGACGTGTGCCAAACCAACAACCCTACCTGACGCAGAACCCACTTGGCTATCTCTACTTGCACCACATCATCGCTGGAGACCGGCAAATCTTTGCTTTGTTCTCGAGCAGCAAGGAGCAGGCCCATGTCATTGTCCTGAACCGCTCCAGGGACATCCAGGGCCTTCCGAACCTGGACAAAATTTACAAGGACCATGTCACTGCTCGATTCGAAGCCACCGACGGCCAGCCCTGGCAGGAAACGTTTGAATATCAAACCTCTATCCATTTCAAGACCGTACAAGTCACGACGAAACGGAAAGCGCACCTTGAAGTAGCAGACGTGATCAAGAAGCTGAGGAACGATGAGTCCAGACCTGTCATTCTCGTCGTCCGCGCGGAAAACCAAAGATTGCTTGCCCACGACATCCCGGTCCTCAAGGATATCCCTGTCCTGCCTTTGCAGCCTGATGAGTCCGATAAACAGCTGCCTCCTCTCGGCTGGCAATCATTTGTCGCGAGGCGTCTAATCGACCATTACCTTGATCTCGGAACCTGGATCGCTCACTTGATTGGGCTGGCTCAATACGGTGACCTTCCGCTCTGCAACCTGGAGAGAGACGACCCTCGTTTCCTTATTGACATTGCATACGCTAGGCGACTGCAACGAGAGAGGGTTGTGCTCTGGTGGTCCGAGGGCCCGAAGCCAGATCATGCCGGCTATGAGAAAGATGATGTTCTCGGGCCCTTGGAGACGGTGGAAATGCCTTCCATTAACAACCCGGGAACCTACTCCTCAGTGTGCATTGATCTGGAGATCAAAAACCTGGCCATCAGCACTGTTCTGTCGTCTGCAATCATCAACGAAGCAGAGGGCTCCGATTCCGTTTCTTTCAACCCTGCAGCACCGACAGAGGACCAAGCAAGCGATGGGCCGAACGTCATCTACTCTGACAACGCATTCGCATCTGCTGGTATCCTGGTCCTTCGCGAAATGGTCAAATCCTGGTGGTCGGAAGCGGAGAAGGGCAGCTACATGGCGGATGTTATGGTGCAACACCTGGTTCGCTGGGTGGAATGTCCAGGCTCGTACCTGTATGACCGAGCTCTACACTACTACGTGCAGATGATGTCGCGTAAAGCGCTCCAACAGCTGATGTCTGACTTCCGCCGTGTGGGCTCACATGTTGTGTTCGCGAGCGCAAACCGACTGCTGCTCCAGACAACCAAGGGAGAAGTCGGTAACGCCTATGCGTACAGTCAGTACATCTTGAAGACTGTCCATGCCAAGCCACTCTTCCAGAGCCTGGATCTACAGATTAAAGAATACTGGGACTATCTGGCGTGGTACGATGAGTTCAACTACGGTGGTAAAGGATGTCGGGAAGTTGTCGAAGCAGAGAACCAGACGCTTGACACCATCATGTGCTGGCACTTTGCTACTTTCCTCCCGTCGGCATTACAGCCGGTATTCAACGACTGGGTGGTCGAGTTCATTGAGTTGATGCACGCACGCAAGCGACCGCAACAGCGGCCATCGTCCAGGGGGGACGGCGACGTCCAGGTCGAATCAACACCACGCCAGACCCAACTGCTCTTCCGTCCTATGACGCAAGACCCGTCCGATATGCCGACCTCGGTCCTCAGCAAGTCCTTCACCAAGCCGCTCACAAAGCAAATCTCGGCTCTCCTCCGCCGCCAGCACCAAGAGCAGCTCCACGCTGAGCTCGCACCGGACTGGCACTTCCCCTCGCTGCCGGGCACCAACCCGGAAGTGGCGCCATCTCTCGCGAACCCGACGCTGCAGCTGGTCAAGTCCATCACGCAGGTGCTTTCGCTGGACAAGAGTATCAATCTCGAGGCGCGGCTGCTGCGCAAGGACTTGCTGCGCCTCTTCGACGTGCGCGAGTTCAGCGCCGAGGCGGCGTTCGCGAACCCGGCGGCCAGCCTGTGGGTGCGTGGCTTGGTGTGCGATGATTGCACGGCGGTGCGCGACGTGGACCTGTGCCGCGACGGCGAGGCCGTCGTCTCTTCGTCATCTACCGCGGAAGAGCGTGGGCCCAAGGGCGTCCTGAACTTGTCTTGCCCCTCCTGTCACGCGCCGCACGATGCTAACCGCCTGGAGACGCGCCTTGCGGCGGATGTGCAGGCCCTCGTGCTGAGGTGGGTGGGGCAGGATGCGAAGTGTGGTAAATGCGGCCGCTTGCAGAGCGAGACTGCGTGCTTCATGGAGCATTGCGCGTGCAGCGGAAGGTGGGAGCCGAGTATGAGGAGGGAAGAGTTGGTGAGGAAATTGAGGGTGTATGAGGGCGTGGCGAGGTGGTTTGGGTTTGGGGTGTTGGGGGCGTGTGTGGGGGAGGTGTTGGAGGGGGTTTGATATTAGTGTTTTCGAAGATTGGGTGGGCACGGGAAGATGGGATTTATGGCCTGGGCGTTGTGTGGTGTCTTACTTTTCTTGATTCTTTTTTCACTCGGAGAATGTTCTGTGAGTGGGGTCTGGGGGCGTACAAGGCGGGTATGCCTTGGTGTAGAGGCGTTGTCACATAGCGTCCCTTGACCTTTTTGCTAGGTCGGTAGTCAAGAGTCTTCATACCATCCGGTGAATTATTAGAGTAAATTGCAATAGCTGGACTCGGCCATCTTTGGTGAACGATGGGGTTCCGCTCAAAGAATGAGATGTTCACTACGGACTGCAAGTACTTTTTTCGAGCATGCATATCTTCGGTCCAACCTTCGTGCAGGTCTATCACCCTGTGTTGCTCGGTCGAGAGTGGAGCAGTTTTCAGCCTTGTGGCGTTTTATCGGTGATGATGAAGCTCAGCCTCCAATTATAGGTATTCATGCATGAAAGCTGCATGTCAGGCTTCCGAGGCGACTTCCCCTCCAACTTTCCTCGAGCTTCCACCTACCTCAACCTGGCACGCCGCATACCAGCGGCAGACATGCCATCCTTCGATGGCGCATCCGACCGTGGAGAGGATTACGGAGGGCGAGTATCGCGTCCAGAGCACATGCATGGAGTTCGACTGATTCTTTCAAAGGCCCTCCACTGAGCAACAAGGCTCGCTCTTTCCACGGTTACGGCGATTGTCTTCTCGACGCCTATCATCTCTGCTTGGTGCCAAGGGCAGCGCTTATGAGCTCAATATTGGACAGCCCGGAGATGAGACTCGGCTTGATCGCTTGGAAGCAGTACAGACGACAAGCTTGTCGGATATCGTTGAAGAAGCTTCCGTCTCCAGTGTGTCTCTCGTTGCTGGAAGTGACAAAAAGCAGTTGAACTCTTCGGTAGATTCCTCTCAGTCTCAAGGGAGAGACTCAACACTTCTCGATAGGATTTGCCAACCGGGAAGTATTGCAGAAGGTCCCCCTCGCGCCATTGGCGGGGAATTCAGATCGAACTCGGAAGACAATGTGGAGCATGTGGTACCTTCTAGTGCCAGGATTCCGCGACCGAGATCGCCTACACGACACCATAATTGGCCGGATCAGGGTGGCCATGGATTTTTTCCTCCTCCTCCTCCCCCTCTGCCACCACTAGCCGAATCGGGATTTCCGTCAGCCGCCGGCCTGTCCGGCCACGCATCGGGCAGGACGAGCGGTTCCGTGGGATACGTCTCCGCCAGGACGAGTGCGGCATCGCGTCATTTTTCTGCAAGATCAAGTGGCGCTTCCGGCTATCATTCCTCCAGAAGTAGTGGCTTATCTGCCTACGTGTCTGCCAGGACGAGTACTTCATCTGGCTATGTATCTGCCAGGGAAAGTGGTGCATCAGCCTACAATGTAGCACCAAAACTGTTACCGATATCAGACCGGGGGGTGGGGCGTGCAGAGATTCCGCTTTTCAATCCAGACTCGCGACTGAACATTCAAGCTCTGACAGATGGAATACCGGGCACTAAAGGTTCCAGCAAGCGACAGTCTCTCTACATCCGTCCTACAGACCAGACTGCGTCAGACTTGGATAGGTTTCACGATGCCGAAGTCTACTCTGCCCTTCCGACGAGACTTTGGCATATCTTAGACCTTTGCAAACCGGATTTCGATTCATGCCGGGAGCCGTGGGCTCTGGGGAGCCTTTGCACTTGGCTACAGCACATCTTTCATTCTACCACTAAGTTCACGTACGAAGAGCTCGTACTAGCATTGGCGGCTTTATTTCTCTGCAAGTCGTTGGCGCATAGTATTGCCAGAGCTTTGGGCTTTGGTTCAGCTGTTGCTTGGAGGATTCGAACCGAAGCTTGCCCAGTCTTTTTGGTAACAGGGAACGACTTGTGCGAGTGGATACGCCCTCTGAGGACACTATGCGGCGTACTTCCTGCATTAACAGGGGACGGGTGTTACTCTCCACGGGTTCATGACTCGACGGATGTCAATTGGCACCACTTACGTTGCTATTCACCGCGCTGCACAGTGCAGCAGCCCACGGCCGCTCGAACTCAGCAGAGATCCGGAGGGCTTTCTAACGGCAAGTTTCCCTTACATCTGAGCGACTGGCATAAATTACTGAAAGCCATGGATCTTCTTCCGCCGCTTGACGCGGAACTCAATTGGTCTGGGCGAGGCCAACACGCGGAGTTCAAAAGACTGGAGCGGATTCCTCTCCATGTGGAGAAGGCCCTGGGGCATGGGGGCTCGGCTCTTGTGGAGAGCGTACTTTGCAGACGAATACGATTGGCTCGTAAAAGAGTCAGGTGCAACTGGCGGCTGAAGAGGGAGGATGCCATCAAAGAAGTTGCTCATTTGCACCGCGCTCAACACGCACACATTGTACGAATCGTCGGGACCTACATTGTGGAGAAGAGCAAAGACCTCTTCATACTAATGTACCCTGCCGCCGAGTACCACCTGAATGACTTCATAGACGGAGAACTCGACCCTGTCTTTCCGATGACCCTTGTCTCTTTCATCCCGTGCTTAGCCAGCACCTTGGAATTCCTCCATGAGAAGCACCACATCAAGCACATGGACATCAAACCAGAGAACATACTTGTTCGAGACATCAGGAACACCACGGTACAGAGCCGAAACCGTCCGTACAAAGTATATCTTGCCGACTTCGGAATATCACGCTCATACGCATCTCTTGAGGAATCCGAAACCAACTCAGCCACCAGCTTCACTCCTCTCTACGCGGCACCAGAAGTAGCCAGTCAGGACACTCGCGGCTTCAAGGCCGATGTCTCCGCACTTGGGTGCGTATTTGCGGAAATGGTGGCCGCCGTGTATTCCCTCCGAGACGAGCTTGCAGACATCAGGGAGAAGAGCGGACGTCACGCGTTCCACGCCAACATTTCCGCCGTTCAGCAGTTTCTACACATTTCTTTTCACGACGCTGGACTCTTTTTCCATGAGCGAACTTTCCTGTACATTCGCAGGATGATCAGTGGTCAACCCGATGACAGACCGAGCGCCGCGGATGTAAAAGACTTTCTGGCCCGCGATGGGCTCGTTTGCAAGGACGAATCTCCCGACGCTTTCGAGGTAGCACAGCCGCTGTCTGAATACTGATATGATGTTCAATTTGATTTCATTTTTTTTTTGGGCAACGAGGGAAACAATTCAGAAGAAGAGGCCCGGAGTGGGTTATCCTGTGCATCAAATAGCTATATTGATTGATGAACAACAAAGTTGTTGCAGACTTAGATGTTTTTAAGGTTATTGAAGACCGACATCACGAAGAATACACCACGTCAGGCAACTCAATCGAGTAGATACTCAAACACGAACAGACTCATGCATCCCAACTCGTAGCGAGCGTACATACATAGATTCGACTCAATCTCGACCCGAGTGTCAATGAGCGACAAGAATCAGCAACCATGATGCTCGCATCAGTACTTCTCATTCTCGGCCTTCCTCTCATCAAACACCCTGAGGACCTCCTCGGCAGCCTTGACGCCACTCAGCGCCATGGCACCGAAGGTCGGGCCCATCCTGTTCGCGCCGTCGACTTCAGACAGCTCCATGCCGCCGACGACCAAGCCCGGGGCGACCTCGCGGGTGCGCTTGACGATGGCGTCCTCGGCGCGGCTCATGTCGAGACCGCGCATGCCGCCGAGCTTCTCGAGCTGCTGCATGCTGACGAGGCGCTTGACGGAGAAGGCGCCGAAGGGGCCATCGTGACCGGTGGTGCTGACGATGACGGGGGCGTTGATGGTGTTGGGGTCCATGCAGCTCTGGTCGTCGTGGTGCATGCTGACGAGCGTCCAGTTGGTCACGACGCCGGCGATGCGGACGCCGTCGCCCGACGCGAGGGGGCGCGTGATCAGATCCTCCACGGCGGTCGCGTTGAAGAGCTTGACGTTGGGGAACTGCAGGACCTTGGAGAGCACTGTTGAGGTGAAGAGCGCGGCGTGCTTGACGACGACGTAGTTGGAGTCGGCCGAGTCTTCTTCGTAGGGCACGCCGAGCTCGCGCAGGAAGGCGTCGGCCGGGCGGCGCATCACCATGGCCGAGAAGAGCTGGCCGCCGAGCCAGGCACCGCCGCCTGTGGGTTTGCCGTTAGTCGACGAAGCAGTGGGGGAGGGCAGTAGGAGCTTACCGGGAGCGACGCCAGCCTCGATGATGGCAATCTTCAGGTCGGGACGCGCCTTGGCGAGCATGTAGGCGGTGCTAAGGCCGCACGAGCCGGCGCCGATGATGACGACGTCAGACTCAGCGTAGGTGTCGAGGTCCTGGAAGTAGCGGCGTGTCATGGCACGCGACACCTGGCTCTCACGGATGGGCGCGAACTTGAACTCGTCCCACTTGTCCGCCATCTCGTCGACGGTAGTCTTGGCCATGTCGCCCTTGACAGCGCCGTTCTGCTGCTTGATCGGCAGGTCCTTGGTGACGACAGGGGCGGCACGGTCAAGGGTGGGCGAGGTGGCGATCGGAGGAGACATTTTGGTCGTTGATTGGGTTGTCTGCTGCAAGTCAGGATGGCTGCCGGCATCAATGGGGGAAAGGAGCATGATTCTTCGACGCAGGTATTATCCTGATCAAGTTCAACCGTATAATCTCAGCAAGAGTCCCTGGCATACCCGTCGCAATGCCGTACGGCAATTGTCGACCGAAGGCACCGAGAGACTCGAGCACCGGTCCATGCATCAATACAAACCTCATAGTTTCGTTGATGACTGTTACTTGACCGTGGATGGATAACTCCATCGAAGGCGTGATGCTCCCATGATGGGCATCTTTACTTGACCGAGTCGTTGGGGCCTGATGGTGTCAGTAAGCTGTCAACGAACGGGGAGGGGCAGCTGGTACTTTTGAGATGCGCTAGACGATGCGTTCAGCGTGCTTGGGTCAAGAGAGCTGAGAGAGCTGTCGCGAGGGCTTTATGCTCTCGAGTGCCCCGCACACGTGACGAGACGCTAAATGAGGGGTGGTTGACGATGCTCTTACGATTGGCGCCGTGTCTAGCCGTGCTCCACTCAAAAAAAACACCTCAACAGCACCACTACTACGTAGGAACAAGGAACACGCCTGGGCGCCCTAAAGCGGTACCCACTGATGACGACTCTCCCATCGCCCTTCAGGCAATGAATGCGCATACACCGCGTGAACCAACCTCGCACTGTGGTTCAAACGACGGCAGGTAGCCAACGGACGGCACGGCGCAGTCGGATGAACTACCCAGCCAATTGGCCCTCCACAGCTGAAGCGGGCCGTCCATGGCTTCGAGGGAAAATGGCGCATCTCGGCGCCGGTTGGTTCTTCAACAATCCATCACTCCGTCAGTGAGGAGTCATTATTGGTAGGATGCTAGGATGTGTCTGTTGGCGACCTTCCGGCTGGGATCCACACCGTGAGAGGAGTCAAAGTCCTCAATCTAGCGAATTATTGTCTATCGTCATTCTATCATCTTCACAATACCGTCCCAACGGTTGCACTCACCATCGTGCACGGCCTTTTCTTTATAAGAAGCTCAACCAGATATCCGGATGTAAATCATTGGCGCGAATTGATTTCATCGAGAAGCATGTACGAAACTGCAGGTCCATGGGCCAAATTAACAGATGTAGCATTTTTCGCGCAGAGGCCCTTTTGCAGGCCTGCCACTATAAACAAAACCCGTCCCTGCCGCATACCCATGGTCAAGAAGAATGAAAGCCCGGTATTTCGCAAAACGCCAGATACGCCCGCCGCCGTATCGGTACAATGCAGCATTTTCCGTCCGAAAATTCACACTGTTGGCCCCAGAATCATGCTCCATGCACCGCGTGCTCACGTCGTAGCAAAGGAAACCGAAGATGCGTCTACTCCGACTTTCTCTTCTTCTTCTTGTCCTTCTTCTCGCCCTCGGCCTTCCTCTTCTTCTTGTCCGACTCATCGATCGCGCCCTCGCTCTTGCGCTTCTTCTTCTTCTCCTTCTTGTCCTCCTTCTCCTCGCCATCAACCATCGACACGTCACCGTCCACGTCCTTGGACTTCTTGGACTTTTTCTCCTTCTTCTCCTTCTTCTCCTTCTTGGCCGGCTTCTCGTCTTCGCTTGCTTCGCCACCGTCGACATCGATGTCGGCGAGGACCTTGTCCATAGCATTTGCCTGCTGCAGTCAGTAAACATATCACAACTGATTTGTTTCGAATCCACTCACCATGGCAACCTCGTTCTTGGTGGGCGCAACACCAGTGCGGTAGAACTCGAGACGCTCCTCAACCTGCGCACGCAGAGCCTCACCGAACTTGGTCGTCGGGTTTTCCGAGAAGTTGTCAATCCTTGAAGCAATCGTGCACTTGTTGGCGAGGAAGCGGGAGATGCGGCCCTTGTTCTTGGCGCCAGCCCTGCCGATGAACGAAGAATGATAGATCAGACCGTACTTGGGAGTGTTGCCCTTAGTCTTGAGCGCTCTGAAGAGAGCCTTCTCGGCACCGAGAATCTGGACGGTGGAAGCCGCGTACTTGGACAGATTGGTCAAGCTGCCAGCCTTGGAGATGAGGCGAGCCGCAACAGTCTCACCAATGAGAGCAGCCAGATTGGGCGCAACAACGTTCATCTTGCTGACAAGGTAACCGCTCAGGGACTTGCGGTACGAAGAAAGGCTCAGGGCGCGGTTGGCAAACAGCATAACGCTGTCCAAATCCGTCTCGGAGATGTCCCTACCCATGCTCACGCGAGCGGCGTTGATGATGTCCGTCGCAACGGACTCATCATCGTCCACAATGGCAGCCAGGTCGTGCAGCTTTTCCTCGTTCAGGGTGCTCTTGTTGCCAATGAAGATGGCGAGCTTGACATACTTGTGGTTGTCGGGAACAATCTTGACAAGCTCGGGGAAGTGCCAGCCGTACCATTCCCTCACGCGCATGCAGAAAGTGTTGACAGCCTTGTCGAGCTGGTCGAGGGTGGCAATGGCCTGGATGATGTGGTTGTCGTTCTTCTGGACGCTGAACTTCACCTTGGCGCGGGAGTAGGCGTGGCCAAGACCAAGCTGAGCACGGTCGACATCGCCGTCCTGAAGCTGCTTGAGAAGCTTGGGTGCGTGGAGACGGAGACCACGCAGAAGATCAGCGACGACCTCGCTGACTTCGGCGGTCTCGCACTCGATGTACGGGAAGTTCGCCTTGATGCTACCAGCCAGGTTCTTCTCCTGAACCCCGAGCGTGACCTTGTTCTTCTTGCCGGGGTTGGGAATGTGCATCTCGAGGATCGACTTGAGGTAGTCGGAGCAGATGCCCTCGGAAATGTCGTTCTGGTTCTCGAGAGCCTGGGCAGCGCCTTGGAAGGGAGCAAAGCCCTGGACAGCGACCATCTTGCCGAAAGTCGCGAGGTCCTTGCCCTTTTGCTGGACCTCCTTCAGGCGGTTGCCGATGGTGTCAGCCTGAAGCTGCACCTTGAAGACCTGCGTGGGGTGAGTACAGAGCTTCACGATTTTCGGATGCGGACACTGACGGCATAGCCCACGGGGGACTCGTGCAGAAGGTAGTCGACAGACATGGCGGCGACGTCGCGGGGCGATTGCGATGAGCGAGAGAGTTAGCCCAGACCGGGGGCTGTGTGGTTGGCAATGGTCGTGCTTCGTCGTGTCGCCGGCTGCTGGTCGCTGGTTGTGCGCGTCTTGATGCGACAAAAAGTTTCGGGCCAAGCCCTTTCACCGCGCCTTACCCATCGCAGACTAGCGCCAGCATTTGGCGAGGCGCCGCAGATTCCGCCCTGGCAACTTGGCTTGGGGCCTGAGCCGGCTTGTGCTTGTCGCGTCTCCAGCAGCTCCTGCGACATCAGCACCGCGTCCTCTCGCGAACCGCCCGCCCGCTCCTCGCTCCTCGCAGCCCGCAGCGTTTCTCCCAACGCCGCTCCTGGCGCGCATCGCCCACCATGGTCTCCCAGGATGCTGGCAGCGCGACCCCAATCCCCACCACCGAAACCGCGCCAGATGCCCCGGAGAGCGACATTCCAGAGGAGAAATGGAAGGCCATGCAAACAGTGCTCAACAATGTTTACAACCACAGGATCGAGGAGTAAGTCGCATGTACCCGCGCGCTACCCCTGCAGTGTCGCAGCCACCTGCGCACCTCTTTGCTCACGACGCGCAGTGGTTACGATCCATCCAAGCTCTTCCAGCGCAAGATCAACAAACGCCAACTGCCCGATTACTACGAAGTTATCAAGGAGCCCATGGCCCTGAGCATCATCAAACAGAAGGTCCACGGCAGGGAGTACACGAGCTTTGAGGACTACGTCCGCGACTTTTCCCTCATCACCTACAACGCCCAGGTCTACAACCGCCAGGACTCACAGGCACACCAAGACGCGCTCGTCATCAAGGAGTTCTTCGAGTCGGAACTGAAGCGCTTGATCGAGGAAAAGATCATCGTGGAAGCGGAGGCGAAGATACCATATTTGGGCGAGATCCCCACCTACGAAGACCCCGCGCCGGAGGAGCCAGAAGAAGAGGAAGAGGAGGAAGAGGAGGAGGAAGACGATGAAGAGGACGACGACGATGAGGACGAGAAACCGAGACGTAAGCGAGGCGGCCCTAGGTCCACCGCGGCCATCACAAAACGCGAAAGCGGAGGCGGCAAGGAGGAGACCAAAGACAAGGCGGCGGCAAATGACGCCGAGTCGCGCAAAAAGAGAGGCCGGCCACCGCGGGTAGATACTCCGATGGAAGCTCGGATCAAGGCTATCATGAAGGCCATTCGGAAGCCCAGGAACGATCAGAACCAGCTGATGGTCAGCCATTTCGAGCGCGTGCCCGACAAAAACGTCATGCCCGAGTACCACAATGAGATCAAGATTCCCATGGCCATGGACATACTCAAAAAGAAGCTGAAGAGGAAGAAATACCAGTCCATCGACCAGTTCATGAAGGATGTCGAAGTCATGTTTGAAAACGCCAAGTCGTACAACGAGGACGAAAGCCAAATCTACAAGGACGCCGTCTATCTGCAGAAGGAATCCCGCAAGGCCGCCGACGAAGAAAAGAAGAAGCCAGACTCCGACTATGTCATGGAAGATGGCCGGATACCCATGCCTGAAGGGATTCTGCACAACGGCGAGCTATGGAGGGTTGGCGACTGGGTCCACATCCAGAATGCCAACGATTTGACCAAGCCCATCGTCGCTCAGATATATCGAACATGGCAGGACTCCGAGGGTGGTAAGTGGGTCAACGCGTGCTGGTACTACAGACCAGAGCAAACGGTGCATCGCTTCGACCGCCATTTCTACGAAAACGAGGTCGTCAAGACCGGACAGTATCGCGACCACCCCATTGATGAGGTGATTGATAAATGTTTCGTCATGTTCTTTACACGCTACAACAAGGGCCGGCCGAGGAATCTTCCTGCAGACAAGGAGATTTATGTTTGCGAGGCGCGGTATAACGAGGAGAAGCACAAGCTCAACAAAATCAAGACCTGGGCTAGTTGCTTGCCTGATGAGGTCCGAGACAAAGACTACGAAATGGACCTGTTTGATGCTCCACGGAAGATCAGGAAGGTGCCAAGTCCCATTGCATACCTTCTGAAGGACGAGGCAAAGGAAAGTGACGATTTACCGGAACCTGAATGGGGAGCAGCAAACGCCCCACCAAAGATTGGTGCAGTCCACAAGCGGCCCCGAGACCCCAAAGAATCACCACCACCAGAGCCAACACCCTCACCGCCCCCGCAACCTCCGCCGCCGCCGCGTCAAGACTCGAATATGTCGGCCCATGCAGCAAATGGCGCTAGCGGTCCAAGACCAGACTTTCCAATGGGAGCATCGCAAACGCCAGGTGCCGCCCCAACGCCACAACCTCACCATTCGCAACCCGCCTACACTCCTCAGCCACACACCTACCATCAACATTCCGCCTCACCCGCCCCGCCGATGCAACCCCTCGGCGCATCACACCCAAACAGCTTTGCTACAGGCCTCACCCCCCACACAAGCGCCTACGCCGCCCCTCCCAGCGTCGCGACACCTGTCCCCTCTACCTATTCCACCGGGCCGCCCATGCCTTCCACCCTCTACGCTCAGCAGCTCCGTTCGCAGCAGCACACCTCGCACCTCCCCAGCAGCACCGCCGCCGTCGCCGCCTCTGTGACCAACCCCTACGCGACACCACACACGCCCTACGGCGCCGCTCCCGCGCTGGGCGGCAGCGTGCTCAACCCGCAGTCGTACAAGCCAGCCCAGGCGATTGAGGTCTACCGCCTCGACGACCACACCAACGCCACGATCCCGCCGCGCGTCCGCGACCAATTTCAACAGGACGAGCAAGGGCGTGTGCTTTTCTTCACCGCGCCGCCGCTCGACGCGCTGCCGCCGGGCAGTGGCAGTGGCAGTGGCGACAACAGCAACAACAATGTCGGTGCCGGCGGTCTGGCCCATGACGTCCGTTACCTCGCCGCCAAGAAGAAACGCGAGGCGCTACTGCGCGAGCGGAAACGCAAAGTGGCGGCCGGAGGCGAAGCAGCAGCGACCGAGGGCGCAGCACTTGCGAACAAGAAGGCCCGCACACAGCAGGACGAAGTCGACCTCCGCCAGCAAATCGACGCCCTCACCATCCGCGCCGCAAAGGCCCTCGAGCAACAGCTCCGCGCCGCCACCGAGCGCGATTTTGAAGAACTCCTCGCTTTCGCACCTGACGACGACGCAGATGTCAGCGGTGATGATGGTTGGAAGCGCCGCATGCAGCAGGAGTTGAACCGCCTGGGCGAGGCGCAGCAGGAGCTGTTGAGGAAGGAGCTGGCGCGCGAGGAGGCAGAAGAGCGGTGGAGGCGCTCGCTGGAGGTTAGGGTGACGGGGACGGGGGCGTTGTTGGAGGATTAGGGTTGCATTGGAGGTGGGGGTTTGGATAGGTCTTTGTGTCGGGACGAGAAGGACGGGGAGGACGGGAGGATGGGAGGACTGGGTGGTGATGATGGTGGTGTTCTTGCTAAAGGAAGATGAAGATCAAGAACTGGGTTAGAAAATACTAAGAAAGGGATGGACGAACGTGCCCTGAGTTTTGATTTGCTTTCTCTTTGCCCTGTAGGAGTAGGATAGGTCGCCCGGAAAGATTTGGGGGAAGAAACGGTATGAGAAAACACCAAATATAAGACCGATAGAATTGTCAGCTGGAATCCAACAATGGCGAAATTTTAGTGAACACGTCAAGACGTTGGCAAAGTGTCGACACAGCAACTCGTCTGTCCTGTTGGTTGGTTCGTCACTCAAAACATTTAACGGGGCCAGTCTTTGAAAGAGACACTGAAAAGAAATGTGGGTGAGTAGCCACAAACCATATTATGCAAGCGTATTCGCTAGCTACATTTTGCTTCATGTTTCACCTTCCACTCGAGTAACCATTGGCATGCAACACCTTTAAATCGGTTTCCTAGACTAGGTTTTCTCCGCTTTGCGACTTGATTTCGTACGGGGTTGTATCTACCAAGATGTAGGTAACAACAGGTACCTAGAGAACTCCTCGACCGAAATCATCCGTACAGAAGGAGAAAGCTTTTGTTTCGTTTTCATTCCGGCCTCCCAACGAGGAAGGAAGCACCTGTTTATCCTAATCTCTCCTATAACTCCTATACAAGTAATAAAGAAAGACCACAGTTGTAGAAGGGCGCTTACCCTGTCATTCATCCCACCATCCTATCCCGAACAAATCATTTCACGTGATATGGTCAAAAGCCGACTCGCATGCACTGATTGGTAAGCTCAGACGCCTGCTTCCTCTGCGGGAATGCCAAGGCTCCAGTCAATGGGGCCATTCTCCTCGCCGTAACGTTGCGTCAGCCACTCATTGGCCTTCTTGAAGTGTTCGTTATCAAACTACATGTGTAATCGTTGTCAGTCCATCGTTTGCTGTATTGTATGTCTCGATGGGAATATGAAGGGAAATGCACGGTGCACTCAGAGCTCTCTTTGAATATCAGCGCCTACGCGCTCAACAAGCACACGCCCCGCCCTACACAACTACCTGGTTATTCCGATTGGAATGACGCTAGGTGTGTCGTATCAAGGAGAGCGGCAAGCAAGTCAAGCGACGAGGCTCATAAGTATCTGATTACGACAAGAGGTCGTTCATCACTGGGCACCCGTGCATAGTGTGTAACTTGGATCAAGACGGAAGAGCAACTTACAAATCCTTTGTGAGCGCTCAGCGGGCTCGGATGAACGCTCTTCAATACCAGGTGCCGTTGACCGTTCACACTCCTGCACCTGTTCTGCGCCGGGGTGCCCCATGCCAAGAACACGACGCCATTCGTACGCACGCGGTTTACCGTGTCGATGACCTTTTGCGTGAAGCGTTCCCAGCCCTTTTGGCTGTGGCTGTTGGCTTCATGCGCACGCACAGTCAAGCATGCGTTCAGGAGCAGCACACCACGGTCCGCCCATGGGGTCAACAGCCCGCCGTTCTTTGGAGGCGCCTCGAAGTCGGGATATTGTTTCTTGAGCGCAGTATATATGTTCTTGAGAGACGGCGGGGCCGGAGTAGGGGGCCGGACGGAGAAGCAGAGACCATGGGCTTGGTTGTAGTTGTGGTAGGGGTCTTGGCCTAGGATGACAGCCTTGACGGTGTTGAGAGGAGTGTGGCGAGACCTGTTTGGGAGAAAGAGTCAGACGTGCATATGAAGGAGAGACGGAACAGGACTAAAGTCACGCCGCTGCAAGGCAATCTCGATCGGCATTGAATCGGCGATAGCTTTGGGGCGGGACCTCAGCGAATTTGGGAAGGACGCGGATCCGACTCTTGGTGGAATTCTAGCTGGCCAAGCAAGCCAACTGACTCCGGAGTACCGGAGACAATCTCGGTGATTGAAAGATGGAAATTCCATGTGAACAGGTTGTGGCACGGGAAGTGAAGCGAGGTGACAGAACAGATCGGCGGACACGACGATTGGCAGGCCAGGCGGCACGGTAGCCAGCAGAATAGATATCAAATATGCACTTACCATGAGTACACGTCAGCTTCCGGCGGAAAGATCTTCTTCCCGGCCTCCTTCTCCTTCTGGATAAAGCGCTTGAGGTTGAGAAACTCTGGGGAGGTAATCTCATCCTTGAGATGAAGCAGCCAGCTCTCGTGTAAAGTTTCGATTTCGAGCTTCAACAGCTCCTTCTGCTCATCAGTGAGCTTCGCAGCCCACGCGTCTTTGTCGAACTTGGCAGTCGGCTTGATGGCGGCATTATCGGCGGACACGACGGGCTTGGGCGGGCCAAAGAAGGCCGTGATGCTGCCATTGGCCTTTGGCTTCTTCGCCTCGGTGGCGGCAGCGTCTGTTGCCTTGCGCTTGAGCGACATGACGAGGGGTGTGCGTAAGAAAATGACGGCGGTGGGCAGACTGTGGTCGAAACAAGTGGTGGTTGAAGTGTCGAGTTAGGCGGCAGCTGCGCGTCGCGTTGGATAAGGCGATCGCGGCCGGGGTCCGGGTCGCGTGTCACGCGTCGGACTGGGAGACGCGTCGGCGCGTAGAAGGCACGTCCCACATGACTGATGTGATGTTGCGTCACACGCCAATAATGCCCGGCGTCCAGGCGTGCCATGCAGATGACCGATGACCTCAAACAGGCTGCAACGGTCTTGACCTGTTATTCTGCGGGGAAGGAGTTGCCAGCATGGCAGATGGCAGATCTATAAAGGAAGGCCAGATGAGATTGTTGCTGACGGTTTCTTCAACAACCTCCATTCCGTCAAGGCCTCCAATTCCACGACCTCACACCTGCAAAACATACCAACCCGGAGCACATAACAAAACCGACCAATATGGCTGACACCAACCCCGCCAACTTCGCCAACCGCCCTACTGAGGAGGTATGTGACCAGTCTCATTCCCACAAGCGTATCGCAATCACGATAAGCCCCAGCGCTTCTCCACATGCGAGAAAGCGGGGAACGCAGCGTGCTCTCCCCCAAAAGGACTCACAGCAACCTTTGCGTTCCTACATTTAGCCCGCTCATATGGAGCCCTAAGGCCAAACGTTTAGACTTGCTGACTCAACCAGGTCCGCGAGATCGCTTCCAAAGGCGGCCATGCTTCTGCCCAGCACACCGTAAGCCGAAACCCTGCCTCATCAACCGAGAACATCAAGCTGACGCAGTTCGTGTAAAGGGCTCTTCTGCCGAGCAGGAGCGTAATTCCGATGGCACCTTTGCAGGCATCGCGCACGGCGTGAGTGAAGCACAAGCCCACAACGCAGTGCGCCGAGAGCTGACCAAAACACAGGAGAACCACCCGCCGGGCCGCAACGCGGACGGCACGTTCGTCAAGAACAGCGAGGCTGCCAAGGAAGCTGGCCACAAGGGCGGCGTCACCCACTGAACGTCGGACACCGGCGGGGCACGGAACCACTTGGTGGAGTGATGGAATCTCCTCATGACTTTATGACGGGTACTCGGGCAGGTTGTCGCCTACGGGATTGCTAGACAGCCTTGGGCAGACACAATGGCACGATGGAATTCACTGCTGGCCGATGAGCATAATAATGCTGGGCGACTTGTTGCATGACGGTGATGGCAACTTCCAGGAAACCTCTGACATGGCGCGGCACGATGGGCCCACCGGCGAGACGGGAGCGTCGGTGATGGTGACGGTTCGGGCGATGTGTTGCAGCATGTGGCCGGGCCAATTCCCCGGCTGAGCAGGCTCCGGCGCCAGCCCGGACGGGCGGCGGAGGCAGGAGCAAGTGACACGGTCGAGCAGTCAGAGTCAGCGCGCGTCGGGTTGGGCTGGACGTGCAGGCATGAAACAGGAGCTGAGAGCCGTCGCTTGCACTCTGGAGAAATGGTTGGGCTGCGGATGAGGAGCTGGCTAGCGGGGGGCTATGGCCTAACTGGGCGCGATCCGGCGGTAAGCGACCCAGGCTGGCGGGCCCGCCGACTTGAAGCAGCCCGCCAGATGCTCAGGTTCTGGCTGAAGCCTGAACCACTTCTCCGGAATCTCTTCCCAGCACTGCGGTAACTGTGGATTCACCCAGTCAGTGAGGCAGGCCCCAAAATGTCCCACGAGCAGCGCAGACTACCCGTGCCGCCAGCCTGCCTGTCGTCCTCGTCGTCCGTCGGTGCCAACAGCCCTTTCTCGATCATCGAAGCTGATGTTCGTTTGCCCCCTCCCGCTCTGGTTCTCTTGCGCGCCCGGACCCTCCCCGCTCTTGCGCCCGCACCGTCACCGCGTCGTCCCGTCGCACGCCGCCTTCCGCGAGCGCCGGTCCTGGGATACGCCTGCTAACGGGTGCGCTGTTGCCAATAGTCCGAGCAGTCGGAGGATTCGCAGAGCTGTTCGAAGTACGCCGGCCCCCCAACCAACCAGGCGAGGAAAGGCAGGCCCGATTGACACCGAAGCAGCAGCACCAAGTCGGTCCGCGAGAGCATATTCGACTACGTCAAGGAGAACGGCCGCACCTATCACCGCTATGCTTCAGGATGTAAGTCGAACGGACGCGCCCTCTCCTCCTGAGCCTGCTGACCCGGCCTGCGTGGCAGCGTACCTTTTTCCAAACGACGAGGTTTGTACATACATATCCCTTCGCTCGCGTCACCCCACAGCTCCCGTACTCACCACGCCCGCCCCAACGTAGCCCGAGAGCGAGCGACTGGACCTGCAGTATGAACTCCTGAAGGTGCTGTTCGGCATGCGCGACTACTTCGCGCCATTGCACGAGCCGCGGCGGATACTGGACATTGGGACGGGGACGGGGAAATGGGCGATTGAAATGGGTACGGCGCCGAGTTGACGCCCCCAGCTCCAGTGAGAGCGTTGTTTGAGCTGACAGTCGTCTTGCAGCAAGCGAGTTCCCAGAAGCTGATGTGGGTGGTTTGATGTTCGGTTCTTGCGAGACAACGAGGAGCTTACCGAGAAGCGCAGATCACGGGCACCGATCTCTCGCCGATCCAGCCAGAATGTAGGTGTAGGCTGGGGAAACAACCGTCAAAGTCTTCCGTGGAGCTGACGATCCTCTAGGGGTGCCGGAAAACGTCCAATTCGTAATTGACGATGCTCAAGAGGACGACTGGCTGATCAAGCCAGATTCCTACGACTACATCCACACCCGCGTGCTATTAGGGAGCTTCGAGGATTTCCGAGAGGTGGTGAGGAAATCGTACAAGTACCTCAAACCCGGCGGGTGGATGGAATCGCAGGAGTTCTACTCAACGCTTTATTGCGACGACGGGACGATGGGACCGGACTACCCATTTGCAGAGTGGACGCGTACGCAGGATGCGGCGGCGATGAACCTGGGTCGGCCTATGCGTATAGCAAATAAGTTGAAGCGCTGGTACGAGGAGCAAGGGTTCGTTGACGTGCATGAAGAGGTCTTCAAACTGCCCATCAACCCTTGGCCCAAGGACCCGCAGATGAAGATGCTGGGCCGCTTCAGCGAGAACAGCCTACTCGAGGGCATTCAGGCCTTCAGTTTGGCATGGTTCCACCGCGGTTTGGGCTGGACCAAGGACGAAATCGAGGTTTACCTTGTGCAGGTTCGCAAGGCGATATCAGATCGCAGTGTGCACGCATACCACAAAGTGTAAGTCCCCATCACTCGCAATCGCAGCAGGGGTCAGGATTGCTGACTTCGCGGGCGCTCCTTTTGGCCACAACAGATACGTGGTCTGGGGACGTAAACCTGAGCCGTGGGAAGTCGAGGCAACAGGAAAGGCCAAAGAAGCCGGGGCAGCGGAGGCAACAACAGCGCCGCAGTGCAGCTCCTGACCAGGGCTTTCTACCTCAGAACAGCTCCTCGGCTGAGGAGCCTACAGCTCTATGTCTCTACGCACAAACGGCCACGACACGAACATGATTCGATTCGCCATCATATTTCTTACGAACAGATGGCCCTATTCTTTGGCTTTCAGAGTTGGGCGTTCAACGGCCTGGGTTCTGGGCTTTTGTGGGCTTGCGGGTCCGGCGTTTCGTCATTCATCATCTGATTATGCGGATGATGGAATTCCGCGGGATCTCGGGGCTTGTGCTTTATCTCACTTCTGCTGTCATTAGGAGTTGGCTGGCGTTTTCCCGGACATATTCTCCTGCTTAGTGCGATCTCCGCTGCTGGACGAAGTGGGCTGCTCCGGATCCACATGACGCTTTAGGAGGGTCTTGTCTCTTTTCACCCCTCACTTTTCTTCTGGTGGCAGGCGCTTTATTTCGGTACTTTGTTTGTAGGAGACTGATGTGGTGGGTAGTTCTCAGAGGGAAGCCCTTCTGAAAGCGACGCGGTCAAGGCAGCGAAGACTTGGCTACTTGGATATTCTTTTGCAATAGACAAAGGCTTCAGGAGACTGGAGCATGGGCAATATTTGGACTAGCTCTCAGGATTGTTTTCGAGTCACACAACCCACAACCTTCTTCTTTGCCTGTAGACGTGCCAGTCTACGAGCAACGCCACTCATGAGGCGCAGCTCAATCCGATCTCTGATCGATCAGAAACCGGGTTGGCACAGGCAAGAGCGATTTAGAACAGGGCGGATTTGATATATCTCTTGGCTCCGGACACGTGAATGTCATGGCCGGAGGTGGTGCCGACAATCCCGGCAGGTTCGGACGGGCACACGGGTAGCGGCACTGCGGGAGCTGATTGGGGAACAGTCAGCAGAGATAAGGAGGCCCTGCACATGCGGTGCAACAGCGCTAAGACTGGTCCTCGACCGCGGACTCGCTCAACCACAATCGCCTGTGCCTGGCAGACGGCCGAGAGACCAGGTCTGCCACCCCCCGATGGTTGAACAGAGGCAGTGTCGCTGCCTTCTGGGAGCGACGGCGGCGCGCGAACGCGGCTCCTTCGGCTGGAGAATGGAAGCGCGGACAACGGCGCTGCTAGCGCGAAGCCGCCGGAAGGAAGCCAAGCAGAGGCCCAGAAGCCCAGATGCACACAAGGGCCAAAGAAGTCGTGGCTGATCAGACGACGGCCCCGAAGACTCAGCGAAGGCCAAAAAGCGTGCGAGGCCGCGGAGAAGGAGCGTCTGGAAGCCCTTTATTCTCTCTCGAAACCGGCGCCGGCTGATAGGATGGAGAGGCGCTACTTGGACGGACGGCAGAGTGATTGGTTTTGTTGGCGGCGCGATAAGGCGTTCCGCGAGAGCCTGACGGAGCGCGTCCGTCCGGCAGTGGCGTTCCTCCGGACTCTGCACACCTGGGTTTTCCAGTGCTGTTATCAGCCAACACGCTCAGCCCAGCCTGCCCAGCCAGCCCAGCCAGCCCAGCCAGCCCAGCCATCCACCCCACGAGCCTTCTCCGCTGCTCTGCACTCGCGGATCTGCAGCCAGGGTCCGTTCCCCGCGGACATGCCGTGCACTGTCCGTGTACATAGCATGCCGCCGGAGAATACTTTCGAAAGAAGCCTGACCATCTGTCCCGTCAGGCCCCTATATTAGACCTCACGGCGCGTCCGGTGTGGACCGCCGCAGGCCAGGGCGTGGACTTGTTTCTCCAGCGCCGCTTTCCAGCAGCTCTCTTCCAGCACCAGCCGCCGCCATGTTTGGCCTGTCTCTGCTCTTCCGGGCTCCGGAAGTCAACCCCATCAACCGCAAAGCTCGGTCTATCCCCGTTCTCAACCCGCTCGACCTTTACGGACGCGTATTCTTCTTCGCCTGGTTTGGCTTCATGATCGCCTTCTGGTCGTGGTAAGTGTGCCCGTTTCCTGTTCGATCCTTGCCACGGCCTTATCTCTCCCGTCCGAGTGGCTGATGCATCTGGGGTGCATGACAGGTACGCCTTCCCGCCTTTGCTATCCGACATCATCAAGGAGGATCTGGGCCTCTCACAGGCCGAGATTGCCAATTCCAACATCATCGCCCTCGTGGCCACGTACGTCACCCGCCATGCCATCTCGTTGACGTGGAGAAACGGTAAGCTGATTGTCTTACAGACTTATTGTGCGACTGATTGCTGGCCCCGCCAGTGACCGCTTTGGGCCGCGCTGGACATTCGCCGGATGCTTGCTGCTGGGTGCCATCCCCACCTTCCTGGCCGGATCTGTCCACAATGCAACCGGTCTGATGGTGCTCCGTTTCTTCGTTGGCATTCTGGGCGGGAGCTTCGTGCCATGCCAGGTGTGGACGACGGGCTTCTACGACAAGAACATTGTCGGCACCGCCAACTCGCTCACTGGTGGCCTGGGCAACATGGGCGGTGGCATCACCTACTTCGTCATGCCCGCCATTTACGAATCCCTGGTGTCTGATGGCCTGCGCAAGCACGTCGCTTGGCGCGTTGCCTTCGTGGTCCCCGGCATACTGATCACCTTCACCGCCATCGCCATGCTGTTGTGCACGCCCGACTGCCCGACGGGAAAGTGGTCGGAACGTCAGGCCGTGGCTGACGCTAACCTGCGCTCACACAGCGTCAGCGACGGTGGTGTTGTTGACGTCCCCGGCTCTCTGACCGGCATCCCGGCCAAGGAGAAGAGTGGCACGCAGTCACCCATTGGCTCTGTCTCATCGACCAAGAAGGGGACCATCATCCTGCCGTCGGACAAGGAGGCGCAGATCAGCGAGGCACAGATGCTCGAGGCGGCCAAAGGTGAAGTGGTTCAGAAGCCGTCGTTCAGCGAGGCCATGAAGGTGCTCGTCTCTCTCCAGACGCTCACCCTCGCCGCAGGCTACTTCTGCAGCTTCGGCTGCGAGCTCGCCGTCAACAGCATCTTGGGCTCCTTCTACGCCAAGAACTTCCCGTCGCTCGACCTCCAAGAGCGCGGCAACTGGGCCGCCATGTTCGGCCTCCTAAACGGCGCATTCCGACCGCTGGGCGGCCTCGTCGCCGACCGCGCCTACGCCGCGACCAACGGCAGCCTGTGGGCGAAGAAGGCGCTGCTCCACGCCTACGGCGTCGTCACCGGCGCCTTTCTCATCGCCATCGGCGCCGTGAATCCGCACAGCGAGAGCACCATGTTCGGCTTGGTGGCTGGTATGGCCTTTTTCCTCGAGGGTGGCAACGGCCTCAACTTCGCCCTCGTGCCCCACGTCCATCCTCACGCTAACGGCATCGTGTCGGGCGTAACCGGCGCGGCGGGAAATCTGGGTGGTATCGTCTTCGCCGTCATTTTCCGCTATCATGGCACCGATTATGCAAAGTGTTTTTGGATTATTGGGGTGATTAGCATTGCGATGAACTTGGCCGTCAGCTGGATCAGACCGATTCCAAAGGGTCAGGTTGGTGGTCACTAGACGTGGTAGATCGGGGGGGGGGGGTGTTTTTATCTCTTGCTCCAAATGCTGTCATGTATGCTTCAGAGACGATGGTGCCAATGATGGGGGCCAAGGTTTGGCCTTTGCGTTGTGATGATATCCATATACACTTTGCTTGTTTTGGGTTTAGTACTTCGAAATGGAATGCATGGGAGGTTTTCTTACGTTTCCATCTTCTTGTATGGCATGGACAATGCCTACATCTAAGAGAACAAAGAGATGTGACGCCTGTTCACTCAGTGTTACAACAAGGCGAGGTAGTTGAAGCTCTTATCCGGATGTTCTTGTTCAAATATGTTACGCAGCTGACTGACCTCCCTTTCTGTCGTGATCTGCGCCCGGACCTCGTAGTAATGGACCTGATCGTATGTAGAAAATCTTGCAGCCGCGTCAAGGTACTACAAAGGAAAGAGGATGGACGTTACAAGGATTGGGGGGCCGGCCGATCAGACCGTAAAGATTGCGGATCAGGCGCCATCACCACCGTTATCAGTATCCTCAGACCAGCGCATCGCATCTAGATAGCAGATTAAGCACACAATTAGTCACACTCGCCAATCGAACAGAGATCTGATCCTTGTGGGCAATCTCCGCGGGAGAGCTTACCATCCGATCCTCATTTCTAGGTATCTCTCAACGCCGCTATCTCCCGACCAGTGACACTTCGTTGGTAATCAGCGAATGTCACTCGTCCGTTCCTTTCTTTATCTATGAGGTCAAAAGAAGATTTTGCGCTCGAGGCTAAATGAGGTATGGGCTTGGGGCTGGCTGCGGCTAATTAAGGTTGTGATTCCAATGTGCATCTCCGCGGAGGGGCGAGAGGAAACAGTGAGTGGGCTAAATATGGAAATAGACTAAGCCACTGACCCCCGGTCGGTGAGTTACCGGCCCGTTTGGCCTTTTTGCGTTGTATGAGTTATTCCCGTTGGGCTTTGGGTGGAGGGAGTTTGCGACTTGCCGTCCTTTCAAAGTTCGGTGTGGTAGGGAAGCGTAACTGTAGGACCTCCATGGAGGGATGAGAGTTAATTAACCAACTGACAAATAGAGACTTGATTACCATATCTGCTGACTAGCAAGGAGAAGTTGGACCGTTAAGACAATAACTGCATGGGGAAGGCGTGAAAAAAACATATTCGCACCCCAAATTCGCCAGAACCCCTTCATCACCCACACAGACGCCAAACTGTGCACCCACCCACCAGAATAGCCCAACAAGAAGCGAACCGAAAAACACCATCCATCCCCTTCACAGCCTATACTCCCTACAAAACCAACACGCCCTCACCCCACACCCCTCACAAACCATCACTCCGCCTCCTTCACCCGCATCATCTCCGCCACCGCGCCGATACCAAATATCAAACCCATACCACTCAGCGCAAACCTCGCACCTTTCCAGCAGACCACCGCCATCGCCATCGCACCGCCGGCGCCGCCCCGGATCGCCCCTCTCTCCCGTCACCGCAGCAGCGGCATCGGCACTAACCACCCCCACCCATCTCCCATGCGCCCCAGCGCAGCGCCGCCGCCCACATCCCGCCGGACCACCACTCTCACCCATGGCCGCGCTACCGCCACTGCCACCGCCACCGTTACCACCACCGTCGCCATCCACATCGCCGTCCATCCCGGCCAGCACTGCGTTCAGCGCGTCGACCACTGTGCGCACGGCGGCGCGCAGGCGCGCGTATTCGGCGCGGGTGAGGGGCCGCGGGCGTGCAGGATCGGCGTCGATGTGGTGGTATGAAGGGATGTTGTTGTGGTAGTAAGGGTAGGGATAGGGGTAGTAGCGGTCTAGCGAGAGTGGTGGTAGTGGTGGGCCGGGATAGGGCGGGGGTGGGTCATCGGGGGGAATGGTATCGTGGGTGGTGGTGTTGTTATTGCCCTCGTTGGTATCGTCATTGTGGTGATGTGGTGGGGGTGGTGGAGCTGGAGGAGGATGATGAGGGTGAGTGGGAGGGGGCCGCGATCCTGCAGCTCGCGGTGCTGATGGTGGTTGTCCGGGATGAGTGCGCTGTTGCCGTTGCCGTTGCCGTTGTTGCTGCTGTTGCCGCTGCTGCCGTTGAACGAGAGAACGTGTTGGTGAAGCTGTATTATGTCGACTTATGTGGTGGTGTTCAGGGGGCTCGGTATCCTGCGGCGGTCGTTGGCGCTGCTGCCGACGGTTGGAGTCGTCGACGACGTCTTCGACGACGTCTTCGTCGGCCGGTGCTACTACTACCGCCGCCTCTCTCCCAGCTGTTCCGACAGCAGGAGGAGGTGGAGCAACGAGATCCGTCGCCCTCTTGAGCAACCTTTCTTCATCCCACTGCGCACAGTCGCATGTCTTCCACGGCTTGCCGCAGGCATAGCAGAAATGTGCGCCGCAGCAGCACCTGGAATTTTCCATGGCAATCAGTCAGTGTGCCCGTGATCAGCCTAAAAAAGAAAGGAAAGGGGGCATCAACATACCGCATATGATTGCACCCGTACTCCAACTCCACGAACCGCCCGCACCCGCAACACCTCGCCCATCCGCACGCCTCTGCCATGCGCAAGAACTCTTCATCAACCTCAGTGGTGCCAGCCGTCATCGCCACTGGCCCCTTGACGCTGGCCATTCGCCGCTCAAACGCCATTACTGTCTCGGCATCCAACCAGCGTCTATAACACGCGCCTGCTCTACCCTTGCTCGCTGTGGTAGGTTGCTGTGTTCTGCCTCCATCATTTTCCCCCTCTTCATCATCAACATCACCATCACTATCAAGAGGGACACGCAGGCCGCAACATCGTGGAGGGAAGAGCGTCGGGTCATTGATAGTGGCGCGGAAGAGGTCGTTGAGGCAAGTCGCGCAGTAAGCGTGGTTGCATGGCAGGACGGCAAGGCCAAGATGGGTGGCGTCCTGAGGAGAAGGATCGTTGCAGACGACGCAGATGTCGGTAGTCGCCGCCAATCCACCAACCCTGGTCGACGACGTTGCAAGATGACTACTACTGTTGCCGCTGCTGCTTCCACATCCGCGTCCAGGATCTACCATACTTTTCTGTGAGGGATGATGCCGCGGTGTTTTCGACTGCTCTGCTGACGGTGGTGATGACGATGGCGATTGCAACAATACCTTAGGTGACGCGACAACATCCTTTCCCAGTTCCGCCGCTGCCCCCTTAACGCTTCTCTCCATTCCCATCCCTTCTCCATTCGACTCCGCCGACCACCACCCTCCCGCCTCCTCCAACGCCAGCAACAGCGCCAACTCCTCATCATCCACCCCATCCTCCCCTCCCACGTTCTTCCTACTCCCCTTCATCCCCGCCTCCTCAATCTCCGCAACTTGCCGCATTAACGCGAATTCCGCATCGCTGCCATCGTCCCAAGCCCCACCCATGTCCTGCAGGGCCTCTAGCTGCAGCCGCCACGCGAGATCCTCGTCGTCGTCATCGTTGGCGTCGTCGTCGTCGATAAAATTCACCTCTTCCCTTTCCCTCTTCGCCCCTTTCGCGTCCTCTCCAGCATCCCAAGCATCCCAGCTCCAACTCGTTGGCGCGTCAAGGGAAAGGTAGTCGCTGCTATTGCCAGAGGTTTGTTTCTGTGGTGAGCGAAGACGAGTAGCAGCGACTGCGGCGGTGGGCATGGTTGTTGATTTCGTTTTGTTCCGATTCCTCATCCCCTCTCTGCACGAATATATGCACACTCCAGACGAGACAGCAACGTGCTGCTTAGTCTAAAGCGGTGGATGCGATGGCCCCGCTAGGTCTTGTGCCTTGAGGTCCAGCCAACAACCGAAGAGGTCGAGGAGTTGGGGGCGGTTGTCAACAAGCCATGACGACAGGGAGGGTTTGCGACGTGCGTGTCTCGTGAGCAAGAGAAAAGGAAAGAGAAGAGGAGGGGGGGGGGGAAAGAGTTGGGGTTAAGAAGGGAGAAGCACGAAAGAAGACCGCAAAAGACGCCTACGGCGGATGTAGGTATTAGAGACACGTACCGTCCCTTTCCCAACGACAACACCGTCACTCCCGCGTCACCATTCATCCATCCACCCACGGGGAATAGCCGGGGCTGGCAGCCACACCTACAGAGCCTCTCTTTCCCTCATTTTTCTTAATTGCCTCCAATCAGCAGAGACAAGAAAGTACTCGCGTGACGCCTCGCCTCCACGCCTCGATCGATCGCCTACGAACAAGGACGAATGGGGATCTGCGACGTGGCCAGCCGGCCCACCAGATAAATGATAGACATTTCGTTTCGTACTCCGTGAGAGAGTAAAGCAAGCAAGCATGTTGGTTGGGTCAACGTGGTACCTAACAACAAACACACACCGTCGTCGCCGAGAATAATATGCAAGTCGTTACGTCCGTTATTCGAAACACATACGAGCGGAGGGGCGTCAAAAATCGAAGAGAGGACCTGTAATCGTCGTTCGATCAGCATCGTAATCGTTTGAGCTAGTCAAAAAAAAAATTTACCCGTAATGTGATTATGCGACGAAAGAAGATCCCGACAAGACATTCGCCCATCGAGGGCGAATCGATGAGACGCCGTATACACGCTAAGTGTTGTAAGATTCTCTGCACTTTGCCGTGGAAAGTTCTGAAAGCAGTGAGAATTTAACGGATGAAGAGAACCAAAAAAAAAAAGAAAACACCAATCACGGTCAAACCCAAAGAATAAGAGGGAAAAAAGCTTTGTCATTGAGAAGGCAGATAGCTATCATCACGTCGGCATGCCGAAAGAACTCCTCTCTCCTCTCACAAAAGAGAAAGCCTTCAGTGCCCTGAACTATCTGTCTCCCAATCTGGATCCTTCTTAGAGTTTTTGTATCTGGTTTTTCTTTCTACCGGGTCTTATCTCCAGGACAAATCTCTCAGACTGCCAAATGTCCGTTCAATTCGTTCGTGTCGGTGGGATCAAGGGATACCGAACAATTCGTAGCGGCCTACAGAGCTGCGTGGAGAAGCCCAGACTGATCCGGTCCGTTTCAATTGCTTGAAAAGGCGATCAACGGTTGATACATGTTTGTATGAGCGGTGGCGGTGGCGCTCATAATGGAGAGAGGTCTTTCCGTTCGTCCGTCGCAAAGAACGTGTTCGCCGCCGCGAGCACATCTGTCCAGATTAATATGTTTGCTACTTTGTGGAAGGTGCAGAGCCGCGAGGGGAGGCCTGCATCAACGTAGAGAAAGTCGAGTAGACGTTAATGGTGGTTGTTGTTCCCTCAACTGTCAGGCGTCGCCGATGCCATACCCCTGAGCCGTCTAATCAAAGAAGGTAATGGAACTTTTTTTGGTTCAAAAGGGACGCCGCCTGTCGTGAAACCCCATGGGAACGGCCCGCAAAGCTGCGGAAAAGCATCGGGATATCGAGCGAAGTGAAGGCCGATTCAAGATCGCGACTGGCGCCATGCTCGACGCAAATCGGAGGGAGAAAGAAAAGTGCAAGGGGAAAAAAAAACCGTGAGAAACCCAAGGCGCATGTTTTACAGATGCGACAACCGGAAGATTCGTGACCCGTTCATGCGCCGGCATGGACCCACTACACCCGATAGGAAAAGAAAACCAGGCGACAAGTCCCATGGCCAGCCGTCCGGATATCGTGGTCGTCGCGAAAACGTGAGTATGTGCAAAGGGAAAAAAAATAAAGAGAAAACGCTCATGCTCCTGGAGCATAAGACCTTGGCGAATAACCGGGAGAGATGCCGACGATGTTTTGCAATTGGAAGTCTGAACTTGTGCCTCAACCTCTAAACTCCGAAACTGATTCAGAGCTTAGAATTTATGCCTGAGGCCGCGGTGCACGTTGTCCGTTATACCCATTGCGCTGGCCGCCACCACGGCGCTGGCCTACGTAGCCACCACGTCCTCTATATCCGCCGCGGCCGCCGTGCGGGGCGTTTCCGCGAGGAGCGTTCGGGTCCAGTTCCTGGGGCTGTCCCTGCTGGGGTTGCTGGGGTTGCTGCGGATGCGGGGATTGCTGAGGAGGTCCCCTGTTTGCTGGAGCATTGGAAATGGGCCGAGGAATGCTCTCCGGGGACTCGTAGACGTAGAGCTTCTTCTCGATGGTCTGGGGAATCGGCTGAATCTCGGTGCCGAGCTCCTGCTCAATCTTGTAGAGGTTGAAGCGGTCGTCCCAGTTGATCAAGTTGATGGCCAAACCCAGATGGCCAAAACGACCAGAACGACCGATACGGTGGAGGTACGTCTCGGCATTCTTGGGGAAATCGAAGTTGATGACGACATTGACGGCCTGAATATCGATACCGCGGGTGAGAAGATCGGAACAAACCAAGTTGCGGCACACGCCGTTCCTGAAGTCGTGGAAGACACGGTTACGGGCGTGCTGAAGCATCTTGGCGTGAGAGTAGAAGCACGAGTAGCCAAGTTCGGTGATTTTCTTGGCAAGAAGCTCGACGCGATTGGTCGAGTTGCAGAAAATGATGGACTGGTTAATCTGGAGCTTGTTGAAGAGCGTGTTCAAGCAGTGGACCTTCTGCTTCTCCTCAACGAAGGCGTAGTACTGTGTGATACCGCGAAGGGTAAGTTCGTCCATCAGGTTGATTTCGTACGGTTGATTCATGTGTTTGTCCTACGCCACCTGTTAAAAACCGAAGGGTCGACTACGTCGACTGGACGAGGAAAGTCTTCGCGTACCTTGAAGCTCTTCACGACAATGGGGAAAGTTGCAGAAAAGAGCATGACCTGGCGATCTTTGGGGTGGAAGGCCAGTAGCTGTTCAATGACGGGAGTGAATTCGGGGGAAAGAAGCTTGTCAGCCTCATCCATAACGAAGGTGGGACAAGACGACAGATCGGCCACGCCCTTGCTGGCCAGATCCAATATCCTACCCGGCGTACCCACAATGATGTGGACCGGCTCACTCAAACGGATGATGTCGTCCTTGAGGCCTGTGCCTCCGGTGGTGACCATGACATTGATGCCCAGGTGCTTGCCCAGGGTCTTGCAGACCTGCGAGGTCTGGAGAGCGAGCTCTCTCGTCGGCACCAAGATCAGGGCCTGAGTCTTGGTGCTCTTGGGGTTAATGCGCTCGAGAGTTGGAATAGCGAAGGCGGCCGTCTTGCCGGTGCCGTTCTTGGCGCGGGCCAGAATGTCACGGCCAGTCAAGGCGACGGGAATAGTCTCTTCTTGGATGGGCGACGGCTTCTCGAAGCCAGCCTCGAAGATGCCCATCATCAGCTCTCTCTTAATGTAGAAATCCTCGAACTCCAAGCCCTTGGTTGCCGTGACATCTTCGGTCTGTACTCTGTTGTCCTTCGGGGGTGCGTGGAGGCCGTTCTTCCAGTCGGCCGACGACTCGTTCAGGCTCGCCGCAGCGAGCTGGTTCGTGATGTCTGCTGCCATTGGGTGAGGCGGGCGGGTTCGGTGGTGGGGCGAGGAGGTAAAGGCGTGGTCGGGTCAGCCCGGCTGGTGGCAGAGGGCAGGTGTCGCGCGGGGTTGGAGCTCAAGGGAGTCGATTTAGGGCACGTGGCTGCTGGCGTGCAAGTCGGCGTCGGCAAGGGCGATGGCGCGGATTGCGGGAGGGATGAGCGCGCGAAGGAGGGCGGATGTCGATGTCGGGGTGAGAGGCGACTCGGCAGCGCGGTGGGAGCGTAGTGGCGGAGCTGTACCTAGGCGAGGCTCGCAGTCACGGAGGAGCTGTCGCGAGGATGTGTGTGGTGAGCACGGAAAGACCTGCAGTAGCGCGGGGCAGGTGCGAGAGCGGACGCAAAGAAGAGGAGGAGGGTGAGATTGGGCGCAAGCGCGTGGGCGTGTAGGAGTGTGTCGGGTGGAGGTGCGGGCAGGGCAGAGGGTGTGATGAAGAGGCAAGGCAGGTTTGGTCTTGCCTCAGAAGCTCAGACGTCCCCCGCCCCCATTGGTGTAATGCAGGCCCGTCGCGCTGTCATTGGTGTTATTTCGCGAACGGCCCATGACTCAGCCGCACGCATTCCAAGCTCTGGCTGCGCCCTCATTCCCATCTCCACCTCCACCAACCTTCTTGCGACCGCGTCAATGTTCCTCCGCCCAGGTCTGTTCCGTGCGGTCAGGATGCCGCCAGCGAAGGCGCAGCTCTATGCTGCCTCTGCCCGCCGCTTCTACAGTTCCTTCCAGTCGGCGGGCCAGGCGTCATCCGAGCGCTTGCTCTATGGCGCCCTTGGGCTTAACACTGCCGTCTTCGTCGCCTGGAAATACGCGGACAGAACCATACCCTTCGAGATCAAAAGTGAACAGATCGACCTCAGCAAGGCCCGTGTTCTCCAAGCCTTGTCGACCAATTTCTTTTTCAAAGACGAAGACCTGCACACCGGCCGATGGTGGACCGCCATCACTCACGCCTTCTCGCATGCCAGCATACCGCATTTCATTTTCAACATGGTAGCGCTCAAAACCTTTGGCGACGCCGTCATCTCATTCCTGCCTGGCATACGCCCTCTCAGCTTCGCAACCCTCTACCTTGGTGCCGCTATTGCTGGCTCTGTGGGATGGTCTGCCCAGCGGAAACAAAGCGAATCCCCGAGACAAGTAGCCGGCGCTGCTGGAGCTAGTGGTGCTATTTCGGGCCTGGCCGCGACTGCTGCCCTGATTGCCCCCAATGCGAGGTGGCAATTGATGTTCATACCTATAGGCATCCCGGCTTGGGCAATCTTCTCCGCCTACATTGCCTACAGCGCCTTCTACATGAACGACCCGAACAGCGGGATTGGCCACAGCAGTCACCTCGGCGGTGCCGCCTTTGGCGCTGTTTACTATCTGCTGGTCCTGCGCCGCCTTCGCTTCCCTTTCCGGCGTTGAGGTGCTACCTCGCTCAGCACACCTGTATCACCAGCAAATATCCTCTCTCGCTTAGATCAAGGGAAAAAAAATTGAAAATGAAAACATAAACGAGCTGCTTGTGTTTCTAGCACGGATCCTTGGAAAAAAACAATAAAATCCAGTGCTACCACGTTTTCAAATCACGTGCAACGTAGGATGAGTCCTTCCTACTTGCTATGTGACGCTAATATTCCTCGAATATATTCACGCTCTAACCATAGCGCTTTAGTAAAATGATGAGTATTCTTCCTTCGTAGAGCTGCAAACGTCATGCCGAGAATCGCGCATCTAGCCCACTTCCTGTATCAAGTCCTTCAGCACGCCTTCCTCCGCGAGCATTCTCAACCACGTCTGGATCACGGGACCATAATCGTGTCTCCGGCTTTCTGCTTTCTGCCTGTCCGCAGCGGCAGTGGTTTCTTCGTCCCTGATCGCAGCTCTCAAGCCAGCCTGGTCGGTGACGGCTCTCTGCCGTAAGTCAATCAATGTAGTGGTGTCGTCGTCCGCATTAATCTTTTTTTCAGTCGCTTCGGGAATCTTGGCCTGAAGGATGTCTGCAATGGTGATCGAGTGCTCGGAGGAAGGACCCGTGATGACGGAATCACCGTCACCATCTTCAGTTACCGCAAAAGCCCTCCACTCTGGGTTGATCTGGGAAAGGCGGTCTTCGTATGCGCAGATCAACTTGATGTTTTGGGCCAGAGATTGACGATGGTCCATAAGAGGATCCCGCACGAGCGCAAGGAGACCGAACTCGATCTGACCTTCTTCATACTGAGCCATGCGCGCCTCAAGGTTGGGTGCGATGACTTCCAGCCAATCAACGCCTTCCACCTTTTCCAGCTTCTGAGGTTGCCGGTCAAGCCCATCAAGCTTCCATACTTCTCCAGCAATCGGCATGAAGGCGATGAAATGGAATGCGGCATCTGCGTTCTTGGATTTCTTGTTGGACGATGCCGACTTCGACTTATTCGTTGCGTCGTGCTGCATCTGGAGGTCAATGTTCATCATGTCGATTTTCCTGGAAAGTTGTCAATATGATCTGTGGAATGTAAACACTCTGGGGATCCGCACCTGGCGAACGAGTTGTGAATGCTCTTCACGAAGTCGTAGTGCACAATCTGGTCTCCACGGGCGGCTGGTGTGAAAGTTTCGGTAAATTCCTTGAAGCTCCGCAGGTTGTCTCCAAGCTCGACACGGGGAATGTTCATGATGATATTGAGCAAAGCAACAGTGGCGCAGGCGTTGCCGGTAGTCTGGTTTGCGAACCACACATGATCCGGGCAAGTGCTTTCCTGCTGGATGAAGTCGTCCTCGACGTAGCGAAAGAGGAATATGAGACCGTGTACGGGCTTTCTGGCGCTGGAATAAGCTGCTGCACTGCTGCACTGCTGCACTGCTGCACTGCTGCACTGCTCGTCACGTGCAGGGGCTACTTACGGGAGCATAGCCAGCAGAGCTTCATCCAGACCAAAGACCTCCTGGACCTTGACACCCTCGACGCCAAATTCCTGAATCATGACATTGAAGAAAGCCTGAGTGCGATCAGCGGAATGCAAGTTGAAGTGACGCAGTATGAGCCCGTACAGGGTCGTTTTCGATCTCACAGAATCCCTGCCATTTGCATTTGTCCTCGGTGGTAGCTGCGACGGAAGCATCGTTGGGGAAGACTCGGTCCTTCTGCTCTGGGAGCCCGTTGGATGTGCCGTTGGTGTCCTTGACCTTCCTCCGCTTTGACGCACGGGTCGTCATGGTCGCGGGGCTGGCGAGGCGCAGGCGATTCAGGTGCGGGTGAGGTGAGGGTTGAAGGGTGCGGAGGATGGCGGATGGTAGGCAGCCGAAGGCAGCATCCTGAGTGGGCACTATTCGCTCGAGCTTGGCGAAGGGTGCAACGATCGGGGCGGGTGGGCGCGCATGGTGAGGGTGACGGAGCTTGGACGGAGCTCAGCCCTACGGCGCGTCGAGAGACAGGCGAGCTCGGGGCAAGACGCGAACAGTTTTCGGACAGCGCAGACGCATCAACACCAAACACTGCACCGCGCCTCCAACCCAGACGACCTCAAGCCCCCATTCCCTGGCTCCGCCCTCCGCGTGTCCGTGGATGCTCGCCCCAGTGGATTGGACTCCCCGCCACGGCATGAGATGAGCGCGACTCCTCGCCTGCGCTACGGCGCATATCCCCAAACGCCCGACACAGCTCAGAGAGCTCCAGCACCCGATGGCACTCCCGACGCCAAGCCCATGCGCGTGCGCGCCCCCCTCACCGACATCAACATCATGAACAAGAACCCGGCCAACGACGGCACCGCCCCGCTTGTGTCGACCGACGTCATCCCCGCCCCGACACAGCGCCTCTATGCCTTCTTTCTCTACGGCGCTCTGCTGGCCTGGCGGGCGTACGATTTTATAAACCTGCACAATGAAGAGGCGGACTCGTTATGGCTGTTCATGAAGTGGGTCATGATAGACGGGCTCTTCCTGTTCGGCCTGCCCGTGTTGAGAATACCGTGGCTGGAGTGGTCCACACCCACCATGGTCTTTCTGTTCCTCGTACACGCCTTGGTCGACGGCATGCTCATGTTTAGGATCGGGGTAAGCCGGGGATCATGCCATCTTTGAACGGCGCGTGCTTACGTGGATTAGATACCAATCACGTCCTTCTTCACTGGCCTTTTTAAGCTGGTCTACGACCGCGAATTGGCTATCGAGGAACACAACGTGGACCCGTGGACCGTCCTACACAACGAGTCGCTTATCTTGGGTAAACAGGTCATTCACATTCTTCCGGAGGGGTACGTCTCACCTTGCGACTTCAAATGCTTTCTCTAACGATTGGTAGTTCCGCCGTGCTCAACCCAAACCAGGATTCCTTTTGCCTGGGCGGCTCAACCAAGGATATCAAAATTCCTATCCAGATCAACCAGACCACCCCCATGCTCATCGAAATCCTGCGCTTCGACCTCGACAACGGCGGTAACGAGACCATTTCCCTATCGCAGAAGCAGGTCAAGAATCTTGTGAAGGAAGCAAAAAAGGCCAAGAAGACGCATTTGCCGGAGGAGCCTTTGCTGCTGCATCACAGCGTCAAGAAATCGGGTTACTACAAGCTCAGCAGGGTCATTGACGAATCTAAGCTCGAAGTTCAAACGCGGGTGTTGTCGGAAGCAATGGTGGTTTCCTGCCCAGAGGCGCGCATCAAGCCCAGCAGCAAAACCCGCTGCAAGGGTGAATCCGCGGACATCGGGATTGTCGTTTCTGGCACCCCGCCACTCCAGCTCAAGTACCGCAGAATGGTGGAAGGAAGGGAACGTGAAGCCAAGAGTGAATTCCTTCAGCCGGACGATTACGTTTCGCCTCTTTCTCGCAACCACATCTACGACGCTTTGGTCCGGAGCGGACCGGTTGACGTATCCTGGGCAAGCGCCCATTCCATTGAGGTTTCGCTCAGTGATGGCCTTTCGCAGTCCGGTCTCTGGTCTTACTATGTGGACGAGGTCTCTGACGCTTTGGGCAACGTTGTCAAATATACACCCGAGCTCGAGGAGGGAGAAGTTCCCAAATTGGATGAAAAGCTGCACCGCAACTTTTATGTCTATGAGCGGCCGACGATCAACCTGCACGGCTGCGACTCCCAGCATCCACTTCGGGTCGCCAAGGGTCAGAAGGTTTCCCTCCCCATCCGCTTCTCTTCGACGGCCGCGAACCGGGAAGCCTTGTCGGACTCGCCTCACACCATCGAGTACATGTTTACTGCAGAAAACGAACTGTCCTCCGATGGGGAACACACCTCTGCAAACCGGACTAAGATCGAGGTCATCAAGTCTGCAAACCAGAAGATCCCGATCCAGAAGAGTGGTCTCTACACAATCAAGTCCGTTTCTACGGACAACTGTGCAGGAGACGTTGAGGAACCTGCCTCTTGTCTTCTCCTGAATCCTCCGGAGCCCGATCTGGACATCGCCAGTGCTCCGATCTTCGACAAGTGCGCCAACAGGCCTCTGGGATTGCGGGTGAACCTCGACCTTATTGGTACTCCGCCTTTCAGGGTCATGTACTCCATGCGCAAGAAGGGCGAAAAGGCTGAGCAAGCAATGTACACGGACGTTACGGGACTCAGGGGCCAGGTGGACATCATGCCTCCAGAGGCCGGTCATTACACGTACTCTTTCACAAGCGTCAGCGACGATGTTTACAAGGGTCATTCACTGAAGCACAAGAACCTCGTGCTGGAGCAGGACGTCAAACCGTCGGCTTCCGCACACTTTATTTACGCGCCTGCCAAGACCGAGGCCTGTATCGACGAGCCTGTCACGTTTGGCGTCAAGATGCAAGGAGAGGGACCATGGACTCTCGAATACGAGCTTGTGCACGCACGCAAGAGGATCAAGAGGGAGATCGCTGGTATTGAGACTGAGACTTTCACCATCACCACGGAGCCTCTCGACCAGGGTGGTGAATACACGCTGGCTCTCGCAAGTGTCACAGATGCTGTTGGCTGTAAGGAATTCCTGAAGGAAGAGGCCAAGATTAGCGTTCGCCACGAGCGCCCCAAGGGTTACTTCGGCCAGATCGAAGGCAGGCGTAGCCTGCGCACTTTGGAGGGCGCGAGAGTGCAGCTTCCTATGCGTCTCACTGGAAAGGCGCCGTGGCATGTCAAGTACAAGAACGCAGAGAACCCCGACGACCACGTCCACGCGACGACGCTCAACAACGCCAACGATTTCCTCGACGTCAACGGCAAGGGCTTGTACGAGCTGCTCGACGTTCGCGATGCAATCTGCCCTGGTTCAGTTGACCCCGCTGCGAAGATCTTTGAGGTCAGCTTGATCCCCAGACCGACTCTCAGGATCCCTGAGAGCACCACGGTCACGTTCGATGGAAGCAAGTACATCAGGCAGGAAATTTGCGAAGGCGACCAAGACAGCCTCGATGTCGCTCTCACCGGCAGCCCACCATACACCATCAGGTACGAGCACCACGCTCCCGGCTCTGGCTACCAAGTCAAGGCTATCAACGCGGCACTTAATATCGCCTCCGTTTCAATGGACACCTCCAAACCGGGCGTTCACCAGTACAAGTTCACTGAGCTGGCGGACAATAACTACGATCACAACCCGAGGATGTTCCAGCAGCTCAAGGTGGACCAGTTGGTCAACCCTCGCCCGACCGCCAAATTCAAGACCCCCGGCAAGACGTACAGCTACTGCAACACCGAAGAGGATGGCGAGGAAGTCATTCCGATCGAGTTCACCGGCCTTCCTCCATTCCATCTGGAAGTCGACCTGAAGCACGCAGGCTCCAGCAAGGCCGAGACGTTGTCATTCCCGAACATTCCCGCCACGACGCACAACATCAGGATCCCCCATCGCCACCTTCACCTAGGCATGTCCAGCCTCACCATTCGCAAGGTCCGCGACGCGCGCGGCTGCCGCAACAAGCCGGCCCTCTCGTCGGCCAGCCGCGACGCGCCGCGGGTGCAAATCGCGGTGCACAACGCGCCGGCGATCGCACCGCTCGACACGCGCACCGACTTCTGCGTCGGCGACCGCCTCTCGTACGCGCTCTCGGGCGCGGTGCCGTTCTCGGTCCTGTACACGTTCAACGGCGCGACGCTCAAGGCCATCTCGCAGGGCACGACGTTCCGCCGGCTGGCGGAGAAGCCGGGCGCATTCGCCATCACGGGCGTCACCGACAGCGCCAGCCAGTGCCGCGCCAACACGCACCTCGCTGCGACCATCCACGAGATGCCATCCGTGCGCGTGTCGCGCGGCAAGGAGACGCGCGTCGACATCCACGAGGGCGGCGAGGCAGAGATCCTCTTCGAGTTCGGCGGCACCCCGCCCTTCGAATTCACGTACACGCGCTCCACGAACGCACGGCCCGGTCAGCGCAGCAGGGTGCTCGAGACAAGGAGTCTGACTAGCAACGAGTACAGCATGCGCATCACGTCGAGCGAGGAGGGTACGTACGAAGTTATCAGTATTAGGGATGCGTGGTGTAGTTTCAGTAAGAATCCGGACGGCGGTGCGGGTAGTGGTGGGTATGTCGAGGACTACTATGTCGTGGGGAGCGGGAGTGGGCAGAGGGCGGTCAAGGGCGGGAAGGGGCAGAAGAAGTTAGGGTATTAGAGTGAGGAAGAAAGAGAGGTTTGGGGTTCGTTCTTGAAATGATTGGGGCCCCACCGTGTATGTCTATGTTATGATAGCGGGGAGTGCGATAACGGCTGGCTGGTTCGAAGAGCGGAGAGGAGTAGCATTGATGGGCGTTTCTCTTTCTTTTTTTTATTCTTGTCTACTTAAGAAGAGATTTTTTCTTCTCTTCTTTTGGAGAGTCAATTTCCGTGGATGAATGGGTAAAATAAGTGGCGATTTGGATCTTCTGCGCAGACGAAGAGATGGCGAGAATGAACATGATCATGCATGAAAGTACGCGTGGTTTTTTTTTTCTTGTGGGGAAACGTGGCATTTAATATACGTTCATTCGCCCTAATGGGATCGTAGCGGTTGACACAGGAGTTGCGACCGTTTAAAGCCATCACAAGTCTTTGGAATAATTAGCACTTTACTTATGTGAGTAGTGGGTAGTGGAATTCTGTGAAGTGTCTATAGATGCTGCGACTTTCGCTTATTATACATGTATACGGGAGGTTGTATCATCTGCGGAATACGAAGAAACGGAATTATCGCCCTAAATGACTTTTGACTGCATTGATTGAGGCTGCTGAGACTTTTTTTTCTGGACACCTAGAGCTTTTCCGTCGTAAATTTCTTCTAGCCGGGCGTTGGGACTTGAGACGCGCTACGGAGAACGGTACCTGGGCGCATGCATCTTAGCGGCACCGTAGAACACTTCATATTAACGCTGAAGAGCTGGCCGAGCGGCTACAAAGACAAAGGGTCCAGGATCGTTACCACTGGTAAGGGAAGGGGTTCAATAGATTTCGGGCTCTCCTATAGTGACGAAAAATGAATAGAGGCCAGAAATCAAGCTATTAGTGCCGCTCGCTTCCCAGTAATCTTATTGAGAGTGACGTTTAAGGCAAGAGATAGCCATAAGGGAAAAGGCATCGAGTTTGGCGAAAATCGCCGCGTGTTGATTGCAACTTTGGTAGAGGATGAGCGAAGGTATAAGGGTCTGGATGGTACCAAATAAAGCGCGCCTGACGAGTACCATTTGTTGGACTATAGGCTGCTGCCGCGCGTTTGCAGACTTTTGCAAAGGGTCCACTTCTACCCAACATATTATATTATAAAAGGTCAAATAAGACCTCAGTCTCAGCCTCTCCGTTTCATTCAACTTCACTGTCGTCCTCTGCTATCTTGCAGTCTTGCACCTGCATTGCAACCCTCGTTCTACCTCACTTCCCCACTCACACTCAAGTCACTTCACGAACATCATGGATGATATTCGGAGATCGCGCTGGATGCCACTAGTCTGGCAACAGCTCTATGAAACGTACGGGGATTTGGGTGTCATGCACACCATGACTGGGCAATACCCCGAGCCTGTCTGGTGGTCACCGTACATACCACCCAATATCGCGGCCCCCAGAGAGGCAAGACAGAATCACCCCATGCTCTATTACCCCCAGCAGCCGGACCAACGAGCCCTCCATCCCGAGCGGTTATACACCGCTCCATTTGAGGCCCATCACCAGCACCTCTTACAACCGCAGCCTCCTCGCCATCTCATCGATCTCCCAGCCCAGTACATAGGCCGCAACAACCACAACAACCACCGCCACAACCACCGCCACAACCACCGCAACGACATGTGCGACATCTGCTTCGACACGCACGCGCGCGACGCCCTCATCTCCCCGCCGGGCTGCCTCCACAAGTGGTGCCACCGCTGCCTCGACCGAGTCATCAAAAACGCCTGCCAGCCGGGCACGTCCGCCTTCCCGCCGCGCTGCTGCGGCGTCGAGGTCTTCGGCGGCGACGCGCGCGTCCGCGGCGCCATCTCGCTGCTCACGCTCGCGGCGTACAACCGCCGCCAGGAGGAGGAAGAAACGCCGCCCAGGGAGCGCACGTACTGCCACCGGCGGGAGTGCAGGCAGCACATCCGGGCGTCCGCGGTGAAGACGGTGGGCGAGGGCGAGGACGAGCAGAGGTGCGGCACGTGCGAGGCGTGTGGGGGGAAGACGTGCATGTGGTGCAGGGACGAGGATCATCCGGGGCGGGCGTGCCCAGGGAGGCGCAGAGACGAGGGAGGGAGGCAAGCCGTGTTGATGGCTGCGGAGAGGAATGGGTGGAAGACGTGTTGGAAGTGTGGGGTCTTGGTGGAGAAGACGGGAGGGTGTACGTTTGTGATGTGAGTTTTTCTTTGCTTTTTTTTTTTTTAATATCTTCTTTCCCTTGACTTTTCCCCTCCTTCCCTCCCTCCCTACCACCTCCCCTCTCTCTCTCTCTCTTTCCGACTGCTTGGGGATACGACAACGCAACTTGTCGCTAACTGTTGTTTAAAATTGTAAACAGATGCCGATGCGGCGCGGACATCTGCTACGGATGCGGTAAGGCCTGGGATAAGTGTGGCAACCCAGCCCATAAAGGTTATCATTGAGGTTATGAGATAGGGTTCGGCAGGTAAGAGATCAACGGTCCTGCTCCCATTCATGAAAATGAAACGTTAACAACAATTCACTTCTGAAGGGCAATGAACCAAGTGTCAATGGAGAATAGGACCAGCAGAGCAGCGGTCCGATTTCCAACATCCTGAGGGCTTCTGGAATAAAGAAAGAAAAGGGTGCAGCGGCATGTACATGCAGAAGCGTTGGTCTTGATGGTAGAGTTGTGAAAAGGTGTCTCTAATTCACACACACGTACACTCAAAGTTCCCCTGGCGGAGCAATAGTCAGTGTTAGCAGTATTTTCCCCGCTGTTACGGCATGCTTTCAACGATGGGCGGCTCATGGTCTTTGGATACGGAAGCGGAACAGGTCATAAATGATTCTATTTAAATCCCCCAAAAAACCTTCCAAGGCGGTGGAAAAAGTTGTTCGTATGAATGGGGCGACGCGGTATCTGTGGCTGTGGGTTGGGCGGTTGTGGATTCTGCTGCCTCTCAAGCCGAAACAGCGCTCCGCTCCACAATGCGCAACTGCAGGTCTTCCAATATATACCACAGATGTAACAGAATTCAGCACCGCAGCGGCAGCTGTTGGTTGCAGGAATCAGCTTCCACAGGCCTCGATTGAGAAATGGTCAACTCACCGTATGTGATTACAGCCACCGCGCAGTTCCACAAGACGATGACATTGGTAGCACCGTTGCCATCTCTGAGCGGTCGCCGTGCGTTGTAGCAGCTGTGTCGCCTCGTCCTTCGGACAGACTCCCTTATGGCTGGATTCTTTGCATATAGTGCAAGTTCCACGAGAACAACCGGGGCAGACGCCAATATTGTTCACAATCTTCGGTGGAGGAATCCAAGCAGAGCAGGTCGGAGCATGGCAGTACGTCCTGTTCGGCGTCTCCAGCTCTAGCCTCTTTCTTTGGAACCGTCGAACTGTCCGTCGTGGAAGGAACCCACGCACGCCATCCAACGGGATGGGCTGTCGACAGCACCGTGGCGGGAACACGCTCTCATCGGTCATGGAAAGGCGGAAAAGTTGGTCCAGGCAGTCGCGGCAGTATTGGTGGTGACAATGCGGCACTGCGGTCACGTCGGAGACTTCCTTGTCCTCCAGACACGCCCCGCAGCGACGTTTGGTAGCGGTGCACAGCTCGTGGCTCTTGCCTTTGGCCGTGGCAGTAGTGTTGATCATTGCTTCGAACTGCAGCTGCAGGGCCAGTTCCTCGGGCTGGTTGTCCGTGGCGCCGATGATGAGAGGGTAGAGTTGCCGTTGCAGCGAGGGTGGCGCCGCGTTGGGTGATGGCGATGCCGCTGCGAAGTTTTCAGATTTGGTGAGCCTGCGTTGGTGCCGCGAGTAGACAATAGGAAGCGTGCTGGGATGTGATTCAACCGTGGGACTTGCAGGGGGGATGTACCAACCCGTCCAACTCTACAGCCGTTAGGCTAGTAAGCTGGTTTTGATGGGAGCGATCTGTCATGTTGGCAAGATAGCAGCCATCCCCTGTTCTCAGCCTAGCCGCAAATTCGCCAACTTGCTGTTGCTTTCTGGCCTGCATACTTCTTTGGACTCGATCACTCTTCTGTAACCTGCCGTGAGTGAGCTCTTGTGTCTATGAATTCGCCTGACAACAATTAACCATCACCCCAGTCTGGCTTCTCTACAAATAATGTAATCATATGTTCAAACATTCCTCGTTCTATTCGTATCGTACCTTCTATGTAACCCAACCAAGCCAAGCCAAGCCACGCAACGCATCATCATCACGCAAACAGACACCACTATGCACTCGCCCACGTGATGACGAGCTTCACATCGTGATCACCCGTGTAGACAGCGCCCTGCGTAGTCCCGGACGGCACCGAGTCAGCATAGAAAGCCGTGTTGCCGTCGTACGCCAAATCGCCGTCGACGGCCGTGAAGACGGTGGCGTCCCCAACGCCCGAGCCGCAGGTAAGCTGACCGCCGTCGACGATTCCGCAGTTACCCTTGCTGCTGGACAGCGTGAAGCCATCGCCACTAGCCGAGGCAGTGAAGGTCGCGCAAGTGCCGGTCGTGTACCACGCGCCGGCCGAGATGATGCAGCCCTTCTGCGCGCCGTCGACGGCGACCTTGAGGTTCCCCTTGCCGGAGAAGGAGCCGGTGCTGGTAGGGGCGGCGGTGGACGTAGTCTTCGTAGCCGTAGCCGTGGTCGTGGTCGACGTGCTGCCGCCGCCGGAGCTCTTGGGGTAGTACTTGACGCCGCTGCTCGGGCAGCTGGACTTGGTGCCGTCGGGCTCGGCGGCGACGAACTCGCCGCTTTGAACCGAGCCGCGAACGTTGTAGTGGTACCAGACCTCGTTGAAGGCACCGCTCTTGCAGCCGATCGTCACCTCTTGGCCGTGCTTCGCCTTGAGCGCGGCCTGGATCTCCGCCGAGGTGTATGTCTTGGAGGACGAGGGCGTGATGCCCGCGGCAGAGAGCCACTACAAACGCCTTTGTTAACTGCTGCCATGTTCTGTCCTTCAAGATACACAACTAACCTCGTAGGTTGGCAGAGTCTTGAACAGGGAGACGGCCCTGTCAAAGAAATCGGGCACTTCCTGGGTCGCATCATAGTCGGTATAGCACGACGGCTCTAGCGTCGAGATACAGGTGCCATGCTTGCTCCACTCGTGCTCCCAGAAAGTCTCGTCGTCTCCGCTGTAATCCTTCCAGTACGTTTGCATGTACGAAAGCGTGTCGGTGTCGTCGAATGCCTTCAGGATATCGGTGATGTTCGTATAAGCTCGCGAGGAGTCGCAGGACGCGTCGTACGTGCCGTCGCAACGGTCAGGCCTGTATCACCCCCCAAACAGTAAGCTTCCCGTTTCGTCTCAAAGCCACAAAAGCTCCGCCAGAAGACGGGCAGACATACCACAGACCGTGCAAGGTCCACGAATCGACGGGGCCCGTCACCGGCTGGGTGTCCCAGAACTGGGTCAACAGGAGCTGGCCGCCGGGGGCGTTGAAGCAGCACAGGTCCGTCTGGGCGGTGGTGTTCTGGCACGACAGGGCGCCGTCGGCCGAGCAGCTCTTGGAGGTGCCCGCATGCGCCGACGAAGCCGAGCCCAGCAGGACCTGGGCGCCGCCGAGGGCAAGCTTGGAAACGGTGCGGAGCGAGGGGAGCGAGGAAGCCATGGTTTCGCCGAGCTGCTGCGGTATCCGCGGAGCTTCCTCAGCGGCGGCGCGGGCCGCATTATATAGGGCTTGGGCAGACATCTGGGCAGCTTCGTGTTCAACGTAGGCGGGACAGGGTTTCGCGCGTTTCCGATGCGATGCTGCTGTGTTTCCCTGGCCGAGGGCGGAGTACGTAACGAGATTGGAAGCGGGCGTTCGGGAAGATAGGGCAGTAGGGAGCGATGCGGCAGGTGGTTAGGAGGCGGTCTATGGGATCTGCCCGCCAGTCATTGGGGCGGACAGGACCCGTGACGCCTGACGTCGCTCCCGCTCATCAGGTACGCGGCCAATCAGCTTGCCGGGACCGGGAACGACGGCCCCGGGGCCCTGGTGCGCAGAGATGACAGGACAGATCGGCAGGGCATGGCGATGTTGCGAAACGGCGAAGAACTCGGGCTTGCCGACGGCTTGCGGGCTTGGGGAGAGAGAGTCGGCGCAGAGTGACGGCGGACCCGTAATCGCTTCTGCGCGTCAGCACCTGCTTGATCGAGCGCCGAGCCCGGCGATCTCCCGCGCCGGCAGAGCTTGATTGGGTCCCAGATGCTGGCCCACCTGTGATCAGGCCCCAGTTGCGATTGCCCGGCAAAATACTGTGTGCTGCTCACAAGTGTGTTTGGCGAGTTGGGATCAGGAAGGTCGTCGGAAAGTCTCTTTGATCGAAGCAGCCTCGCGCAAAATTATTACACATGAACCTGAAAGAGGAAGAAGCAAAAAAAAAAACATTCTATCCAGGCACCGCCGTGCTGCACCAGCTCACACCACCTAGAATCCATCTCCCGCCTGCCATTCCCGGCCCACTTCCACCGCCCGGTTGTACGGATCGGTGCCCCTCAGGAAGGCATTGCGCAGGTCCGCCTTGACCGCCTCCGTCGCCATCTCAATCAAGTGCTTGTAGTCGACCGGCCAGGTGGCGTTGCCGCCCGCCTCGACCTGCTTCCCGCTCATCTGCGTCAGCAAGTCGACGTGCGCCTTCTTCGCGTAGTAGTCCTCGTACGCCGTCTCGCCCCCGAAGCACACGCCGTAGAGGTCGCAGTAGCACGCGTGCTCCTTGGGGCACAGCTGGTGCACTCCGAGCCAGATGTACTGGTACATGTACTCCCACACCCGCCCGGACAGCCGGTCCTCGAGCGTCGTGTACATCAGCCACCGCCGGAAGTGCTCGTACTGCGCTTTGGGGAGCATCTGGATGCGCTCCCGAGACACCGCGAATTGCCCGCAGCATGGCTGCGACACCACTTCCGGCACCTCTTCGAACGGCAGCAGCTCCATCCACGCCTCCGCAAAGACGGCCTCTTCGGGGATCCCCCACTGGCTGCTGTTCTTGGCAATTGGGAAAAGGTGGTCCGGACAGCTTGGATACCTGTGGCACCGGAGGTTGGCGTATCCTTCATCATCCGTTAGCCAAGTCCCATGCTTCGAGCCGCCGTCTTGGTCGACTTACCATCACGAACGATTTTCCGAAAGTTCAGATGTTTGAGGATTTCCGCAGAGCTCATATCAAGGAGCTCGTTGTTGTGCCAGGCCACCAGATGCGCATGCATGAAGATTGAGATATCTGGCAACTCATCGTAGAAGTCGATGATAAAAGTCAGGTACGCCATCACTTCGTGGCCTTTGTTCGCCGGGAGAACGTATGGCTGGACCGGCTTGTCCACTGTGTATATGGCCTTTTGCAGGAGTGAATCATCCCCGAAAACGCCGTCAATCCATGAGATATCTTCTTTGGAAGTGCGTGCAATAACTAAGGCGCGGCTGTGTTTGTAGTCGATAGGCTGTGGTGCGACAGTCTCGAAGGATAGCTGTGATATCACGGCATAAGTTGCCTGAGCAGAGAATAGTCATTAGTCAATGGGAGAATAGTTGGCTCCATATAACGCCGCTATGTACTTACTGACGACGTTTCAAATGTCTCCGATGCAACCAACGTTGACCATGCTTCTGCTATATCGGACGTTGGTGATGGTTCGGATGTACCCGACGTTGACGATTCGGGAGATGACACTGGGGCTGAGTCTCCATTTCCCTCGCCCTGCCAAACAGATGTTGCCAACCGTATTGTTGTAACGTCTGTTAAGGTAGGAGGGCCCGCAGAGGTCGTTGTGGCGAGGTTCAGAAGGTCGAAGATGTAATTGTGAGTACTCGTGTCGGCCGGTGCTATGCCACCATCCACCAAGGTCTCATCTGCCGCGTTGGTGGTCTCAGTCGCTATATCGTCAAACAAACCTGCCTCGATGAGATCCTCCAGTCTGTCCCTGATATAGTCGTAAAAATCCGTAGTCGCGCTATAGGTGGAAGATGTCGTTTCAGTCGGTTCATGTGTTGGATTCGGCGCAAGCAGCTGCTCCAGGGAATCGTCTGAATGGTTGTGGTAGACTGGAGTGTCCATGAGGTGGCGCGTCCGCACATTCTTGTGGATGTTGTACTCGACAGTGAGAAGAAAAATGATGGCGAAAGCTATTATCGCGAACTGCTTTTGGCGATGTGTGACCATTTTGCAGGGGGCTTCGCCAAACGTGAGGCAATAACCATGGGAAGATTCAGGCAAAAAGAGCGCAATCGACAAGCAGAAGAGAGGGTATGGCAATTGTTTGAAGCAGCCTACACAGGGGCCGGTGGTGATGGAATGCAACGCGTCTCCACATGGTTGTAAGCAAGGACAGCCACAACACCTACAAACGGTACTGCCAGAGTTTCCAAGGCATCTTCCGCGACAAACCCTACAGATAGGTTCGCGACTCTCTAAACGGTCAAGCAGCCGGCTATTCGCTCAAAGGACCGCACGTCTTGGCAGCAACGTCTTGTTAGGGCGAATGGAATGCCAAGTCCCGATGGCAAGCCAGGGGTACTCTGCCACTATAATCTCCTGTACAGAATTCCAGAGCTGAAGCTTTCCTAGTAAAAGAAGTGAGTACGTATGCAGAGATAATCACACATGCCAAGACAAGCTTTCCGGGGCATGACGGAGAGCACTCCGTATTGGTGTGAGCAATTGCAGGTATAAGTCGCAGGATGGAAGGAGCAGGCAGCAAGACGGGCGGTGTTGTAGAAGGGTGTGGTTGAAATGCGGAGAGATGGCACCTCCGACGCGCTCAGACATGACTCGCACCGTGCAGAAAGCTCAACTCCAAACAACGCGCCCGACTCCACTCGCGCGCGCCCTGCCACTCTTAGCTCCTGCAACAATGCTCGACATCAATGACTTCGCGGCCGTCTTCGCCTCGGATGCGAGCGGCGGCGACATCTATCCGCACCCTACCGTCAACGCCATCCGTGCAAATCGTCGCACCCTCGGCGGCACTCTCTTCTTCGATAGGCTGCTTGCCCAGCTGCACGTTAAGAGTCATTGAGCACATCCGCGCCGCCTGAAATCCAGCAGTATCACTGACCCAACACGCAGGCGGCTACCTCTACCCTCCCTCCAAGAATGCCGACCTGCGCGAGCTACACGAGCGCATCACAACCTCTCCCATCGCCGATCACTACAAGCAATCGCTACTCTTCTACCTTCTCAAAGACAGTAGCGGCGAGAGCTCCAGCCAGCCGGGCGATTTCGCCAAAAGCGTCTGCCTGCCGCAAAAATACTGGACTGTCATCCAAGGCCTCTGGCACATGGACCGCCTCCAATTCATCGTACGTCCGCCGCCACCACCCCCTCCCCCTCCCTCGTCCCCAAGGAAGGCAGAAAGTCTACACGTTTGACCACCGTCCCTCCTAACGCACAAAACACCGGGTCAGAACGCGCTCGAGTCCCTAACGGACCCCTCCCTCCTCCCCACCTTCCCCGAAGACGTGCTGCGCGTCCTCCTCGAGCACGCCGCCACGGCGACCAACGACCCCGTCGACCACCACTCCCACCACCACAACCGCCACCACCTTCAGAACGGCGGCCACGGCGGCGGCGGCGGCGGCAACAGCACGCAACACCTGCCCCTAGCCTACTACAACGCCGTGCGACCTCCCCTCAGCAGCTCGCCGGAGCTGCAGCGCGCCTACTTCCGCTACCTAGCGGGCCTGTCCGTCCCGCAGGCCTACTTCTTCGCGCGCGCGCAGCCGAGCCAGGACCAGCGCGCGCTGCTCGAGCTGCTGATCCAAGAGGCCATGGCGCCGGCGGCGGCCGAGGCGCGCGCGCGCCGCACCGAGGAGCTGGTGGACCTGCCGCTGACCGAGGAGGAGGAGGGCTGGTTCGAGGAGTTCTTGCTGGAGGGCAAGGGCAGGGCGCTGCATGCGTCGCGCGATACCGTCATGGCGAGGCGGCTGGCCCTGGGGAAGTACCCGGATGCTGTGGATGTGGGCAAAGATTTGAGTGGCAGGCGGTTCAATGACGTTACGTGGGATGGGGTCAAGGACATTCTGAGCGCTGGACTGGGATCCAGGGCCACAGAGGGCGTCTTTAAGATGGCTGAGTTTTGATTGAGCGCGGGCCATGGATAATACCCATGAACGATAGCATAACGTATGGCGCTGCGGCGTTGTCGGGCAGGCATGGTGGTCAATGGCCGATGGAGGTCGATGACCGGGCATTACGTCAAGTCTAAAATTTCAAGTTTCACGATTGAACAAAGCATTGCAGACAGCTCGAAAATGTCTGAAAGGAGCGTGTTGCATTTCAGCAAACAAAACTCCCAATGGTCATTCCCTATGTTGTAGGTTCTCATCCCGGCCGACCCTTGAACACCGTGACATCATGACGTTCCTGCATTTTTTACTCGAGATTCATGTTTCATCCGAGCTTTTCAAAGAACCCACGACGCCCCGTTTAGACTGAAATTGCCGACTTTTTTATGCGCCAATCCGGATATCGAATTTAGTTGGCCTTGGCGGTCTGCTGGGGAGTGATCTTCTTGCCGTCCTTGTTGTACCTGATCCTGGGCGGGGGGGCACGGTTGCGGCGACCCTCACGGGAACGGACACTGTCGCCGCATCAGCAATGCATCAGGCAGAGGTGCAGCGGGGCAGCATGAACATACCGGACAATCTTGCCGTGGATAGCGCACGAGACGCAGTACTGGAGCTTGAGGTACATCTTGGGGACGGTGTACTCAGGGAAGACAGAGGCATCCGAGATATCACCTGTTTAAACGAAGCGATGTCAGCATCGCGGTTCCGCCAAGGTTCGTCTCAATCTCCTGCTCCAAACCCTCCAACGGAGCCGATTGTGTGTAGTATGGGGTGTGCGGTGGACGTACGGATGGCGGCGGACTCGACCATGTTGCGGATGGTGAATCTCTTGATCGCCTTGTCCTTGGGAGTGCAGCGCGAGCAGTTGCTGCAACGGATGGGCTTGACGTGGCCGCGGCCCTTCTTGTTGCGGCCGCTGGGGGCATCGTTAGCAGGTAAGCTCGTGATGGCGAAGGCGGGTGAAATCGTACTTGGAAGCTCTCTTCTTGACCATTTTGACTGATTCTGCGCGCGTTAGGGGACTGGAACTGTGCGTGGTTAGAATGGGTGCACTTACGAGAATCTACTTAGGTTCCGGGGTAGTAGTGTCGCAGTGTGGTCAGAAAGGATGGATGTTTGTGCGCGCACAAACACGCTTGCGCGGAGGAACCATTGGCCGGGCGCCGGCATTATGCCTCAGGCCACAATGCCCCCTGGCCCAAAGCTCATGGTTCTGCGCGCATGTACGGAGTCCCTGGCTTCTGTTTCACCGCCCCACATCCCTGTCTTACGCGTGATCCCGCGGTCATTGATCTTGAGGTGTTGTGATTTGTTGTCTGCGCAGGTGCGGCCTATCAAGCACCCTGCAACGCATCTCGTCACACTGGTCTGCTCCGCTTTCGGCTCCGCACCGAGTATCTGCGCAGAAAATTTGATTGTCTGGTGGTTCTGCGGGGCGTCGAGCACAGGAAGCGCGGTCGAGAGGCGTCGTTGCCGGTCCAAAATCTTGCCCCAGCTGGAGCCCCCAACTCCCTGTCAGGACATCCTCGGACAACCCACCTGCCGGGCCACAACACGGCCCTCTTTCACACCACCGCAGCTCCATTCTTCCCTGCACACGGTGATACGCCCAAATGTCGACCACCGGTACCTATCGCGGTACCCCCAACAAGGGGAGGGGCGGAATCCCCTCCTACAACAGCCCGTCTGGCATCCCGCGTCCCTCTGACCACCAGAGCGAGGTTGGCGGCAGCTCCACGCTGAGTGCCAGCCGCGCGAAGCAGTCCAAACGCGATGAGGTATGCGAATGCCCACGGCAACCCTGTCGCGGGGCATGCAGCAGTAGCCGCTGACGATGCGCCAGGCCATTCGCAAGAAAATCGAGAATGATCTGAACAAGAAGAGGGCTCCGACCAGCCGCCTGCAGCGCTCGCGCAAAGCGCCACCGGGGACTGTTCTGGCGCTGAAGCCCAGCAATGCCCTCCAGATCAAGCCGCACACGACCGTCGCCGAGGCCGCGCAGCTGATGGCCGCGAAGCGTGAGGACTGCGTCCTGGTCACCGATGACGACGAGCGCATCGCCGGTATCTTCACCGCAAAGGATTTGGCTTTCAGGGTTGTGGGCGCGGGCATCAAGGCTAGGGACATCACCATTGCGGACATCATGACCAAGAACCCGCTGTGCGCCAAGACGGACACCAGCGCTACGGATGCTCTGGATCTCATGGTCAGGAAGGGCTTCCGCCATTTGCCCGTCATGGACGAGAACCACGACATTGCTGGTATTCTGGATATTACAAAGTGTTTCTACGAGGCGATGGAGAAGCTTGAACGCGCGTACAGCTCCTCGAGAAAGCTCTACGATGCGCTGGAGGGTGTCCAGGCAGAGCTTGGCTCGAGCCAGCCTCAGCAGGTCATTCAGTATGTTGAGGCCATTAGGACGAAGATGTCGGGCCCTACGCTGGAATCGGTCCTGACTGGCCTTCCGCCTGTTACGGTTTCCGTCCGGACGTCCGTCAAGGAGGCTGCGCTGGCGATGAAGGAGAACCACACGACCGCCGTCCTCGTGCAAGATCAGGGCTCCATTACTGGTATCTTCACCAGCAAGGATGTGGTGCTCCGTGTCATTGCCGCTGGCCTTGACCCAGCTACCTGCAGTGTGGTCCGTGTCATGACGCCCCACCCCGACTTCGCTCCCATAGATATGAGCATTCAGGCCGCCCTGCGTAAGATGCACGGTAAGTACTCGGTCTCTGGTTGTGAAGTTTGCAATTGCTGAGACTTTCCCAGATGGCCATTATCTCAACTTGCCCGTGATGAGCGATGCTGGAGAGATCGTTGGCATGGTTGATGTGCTCAAGTTGACGTATGCCACGTTGGACCAGGTATGTTATGCCCAATCAGCAAGGCTAGAATAGAGTGATTGGGATCGAGGGATCTAACGCTAGCCAGATTAACACCATGTCGACTGGAGACAGTGAGGGTCCCGCATGGAACAAGTTCTGGCTCTCCCTTGACCACGAATCCGAGTCCATGGTCTCCGGGGAAGGCGGTAGCCACCACCCCCGCACAGAACTCTCACGATCACACGTGATGTCTCCCGGCCTGGACCGCCATGGCGGAGGTCTGGATCGCGTAGAGAGCGTCATGCCCAACGACTCTGCTTCGCACGTTGGCATGGAGACTCCGGAGCACTCTGCCGTTGCTACTTCGCCCGCCCTGCCCCTCGAGGACATGCCCTTCGCCTTCAAGTTCAAGGCTCCTAGCGGTCGGACCCACCGTTTCCAGGCCGTTCCCTCCGCCGGTCTAGGCGCCTTTGTTGCGCAGGTGTGTGACAAGCTGGGCGGTGAAGTCGAGGCTGTTGGCGGGGTTCCCACTTTTGAGGATGGTCACCTGAGCAACTCTGGCTTTGCCCTCAGTTATCTGGACAACGAAGGCGATAGCGTCTCTATCACCACCAACCATGATCTTCTCGAGGCTGTCAGCCTTGCCAACATGCACCACACTGAGAAGGTCGACCTTTTCGTGCACCACCCGGAGCACTCTCCCCTCCCCAGCACAGTGGCTCCCCAGGGAGTGCCCACAATATCCACGCCCGAGTCAACGATTCGCGAGCGCAAGAAGCACGTCTCGGATGATGAAGAGAGCGACGAGGAGGTCGAGCGCCGTAGGAAGAGGAAGCATCAGCCCGGACCTCCGGAGCAAGTCATCTCAGGTGTTCCCAACGAGCTGCTCCTGCCCGGCGCCATCGTTACGCTGGCCGTGGTCATCATCGGCGTGTTCGCGCTCGGCCGCGCCTCCAGCCGGTAGAACAGCTATTGATGCTCTTGCATAATTTCACTCCTCTTGGCCATTATCAAGAACATTTGTGCAGTGTGTATTCCCCTTTAGCAGGAACCAACCCCCCTTTTAGGTTTTCATTTCCAGTGGCGATACCACGGTGGGATTTAGCTTCACATGCGTAGACAGTCGGTCGCTCTCTTTTTGTTAAGCTTTGTTTTAACGGTGCGCTGTACGATGAGTATTGTTCGTAGCGCACGCCTATTTATTGGTTGGGGGTTGGCAGGCGGAAGGATTCGGCCGGGGCGGGAAGGGGAACGGCATGGAAGGAAAGTGCTCAAAGGCAATACTATGAAGTAATCTCGATCATCTTGAACGCTGCTTTGAGGTCATGGTTGATGCGGATAGCCATAATGATCTCTCAGATTGTTTTCCAAAAGCTCATCCGGACGTGCACGTAATATTGAATCGCATACACGGCTGGCCATGATTTTCCTATCACTACGAAATGAGCAATATCATATTCCTGTTCGCACCCCTCGAGGGCTTCGACAAGTAGCGATAGTTTCCAAGAATAGAAAAGTAAAACGAGGCAAGCTGTTCGTGGTCATGGTGGGCTTGTCGTGGCTGATTGTCCAGAGGGTGCAGTCACAACACTTTTGATCCGGAAAGCTGAGGCCGATCATGAAGCTGTAGAGCGGCTCTTGATTGGGCGACAGGCGACGAGTTAGTGCAAGGAATCAGGGTCTCTTGGCATTGGAAGAATGTTGGGGCGTCGCAGTGGAGCAAATATCTCGCCGCAAGCTTGCGATCGCGTGTAAGGATGGTTGGCCCTGGGACAGTTGCCGCGGAAGCGTAGAAATCCTGCCCTTGCCTTGCGTTGACATGCTTGTGCTACGTGGTGGGGTTGAGGATTGGGCCATGGACGAGAGACGCGTACGGACCAGCGGCTTTGCGAAAGACGCCATAACTGAACGCCGATAATCATGGACGTGGCAGGACGGGCTTCGGCTCGTCCAAGGTGTGGTCGGCGAATGCTCTGTCTTGAAACAGGTGCGCGAGTACAGGCCCGCTCGTGCAAGCAGGGGGGCGGCCGGTGAGTCACGGGCGTCGCGTTGGGCGCTTTCCGCTCTGCAAAACACGCGCTGGACGTGTCGCAGCGACGCAGCTGTCTCCTACGTAAGCAATTTAGCGTTTTCCGTAAGGTCTGGCACGTGACCGGCCTGTGTTTTGGCCGGCGTCAGCGCTGGCAAGGAAAATATACGGTCCTACACTCGCTCGCTTTCGCCCCGCCAAAGTTTCTTGAGAGGGCCCGGCTTCAACGACCACAACAACCACCCCACGCTCCAGGCCGCAAGCCTACTCTCCGCAATCCCGATAGAGAGCTGACACGGCGACCCACCGACATCCCTGCCGTCGCCTGTAGCTCTCGCCTGCTTTGCGCGCCGCCGCCGCGCACTTCTTTTCAGCAGCCTCCCCTCGATAGGCAGAACCTTCTGCCAGTACTCCACCCCCCAGAGACGCAGCAACCATGTCAATCCTGCCGCCGGACGTACATCAGGCCCTGGCTGCGCTCCTTCAAGGGTTGCAGTCGGCCGATAACCTGGCCCGGTCGAATGCTGAGGAGCAGCTCAATGCGGAATGGGTTGTCGCGAGGCCTGACGTGTTGTTAGTCGGTCTGGTCGAGAACATCCAGCTGTCCGAGGACCCCTCGGTATGTGCCGTTGGCTCCGCTTTCTGACAGCCGCTAACATGCCTGACAGACGCGTTCCTTTGCCAGCGTGCTTTTTCGGCGCATAGCTACTAGGAGTCGCAAGGACCCGGCGACAGACCAGACCAAGGAACTTTTCCTCACCCTTCCCCAGCCTCAGCGCAACGTCATTCGGGAAAAGCTTCTCCAGAGCCTCGAGGGCGAGCAGAATGCCCAGGTCAGGAACAAGGTTGGCGACGCCATTGCGGAGATCGCTCGGCAGTACACCGAGGAGGGTACGGATCCCATCAAGGGCTTTCGTATCGCAGAACCCACAGTTAACGGAGGTTATATCGTAGGCGAGCCTTGGCCTGAGCTCTTGGGTGGCCTCTTCAAGGCCAGCCAGTCGGCAGAGCCCGGGCAGCGCGAGAGTGCTTTCCGCATATTTGCAACCACTCCCGGTATAATCGAGAAACAGCACGAAGATACTGTGCTCGGCGCCTTCACAAATGGGTTCAAGGACGACAACATCATGGTACTGTACAAAACTACATTATCCCCACTCCCTTCCGGTCCATCCCTTGCTCGTGAGAGCTGCGCAAGCTCCTCGCCGGCTTGGATCAGGCCCTTTCGATCCGGCTTGTTACGCACAGATGCTACTGACGGAGCTGTTGCAGACTGACTGAGCCCAGGTCCGTATCGCGGCGATGGAGGCATTTGCCTCGTTCTTCCGCTCCATCAACAAGAAGAGTCAACAGAAGTACTACCCGCTCATCGCCGAAATCCTCAACATTCTCCCGCCGATCAAGGAAGCTGGCGACTCGGACCAGCTCTCCAAGGCCCTCGTTTCCCTTATTGACCTCGCCGAGATCGCCCCCAAGATGTTCAAGCCTGTTTTTAATGCCCTGGTCAACTTCAGTATTACTGTGATTCAGGACAAGGAGCTTGATGATCAGGCACGACAGAATGCCCTTGAACTGATGGCCACCTTTGCGGATTGCAGCCCGCAGATGTGCAGAAAAGATGCTAACTACACCCCGGACATGGTCACTCAGTGTTTGTCTTTGATGACTGACGTTGGCAACGATGACGACGATGCTGCGGAGTGGAATGCATCGGAAGATGTAAGTGAGCCGCAGACTTGTAGTACTTCGTTAGCTGACCCCGGCAGCTCGACATTGACGAGAGCGACCAAAACCACGTCGCTGGTGAACAATGTATGGACCGTCTGGCAAACAAGCTTGGCGGCGGAGCAATCCTTCCTCCCACTTTCAACTGGTTGCCGCGCATGATGACTTCTTCGGCATGGCGTGACAGGCACGCCGCTCTCATGGCCATCTCAGCCATTTCTGAGGGCTGCAGGGATATGATGGTCGGCGAGCTCGACAAGGTCCTGGACCTCGTCGTTCCGGCTCTTCAGGACCAGCACCCCCGTGTTCGTTGGGCCGGTTGCAATGCTCTTGGTCAAATGAGCACCGATTTCGCCGGTACCATGCAGGAGAAGTACCACCAGGTCGTCCTCCAAAACATCATTCCGGTCCTTCAATCCGCCGAGCCCCGCGTCCAGGCCCACGCCGCCGCTGCTTTGGTCAACTTCTGTGAGGAGGCGGAGAAGGATGTGCTCGAGCCCTACCTCGACACACTTCTGACCAACCTGCTCCAGCTCCTCCAGAGCCCCAAGCGCTTCGTCCAGGAACAGGCCCTCTCCACCATCGCTACCGTCGCCGATTCTGCGGAGGTTGCCTTCTCCAAGTATTACGATACCCTGATGCCGCTCTTGTTCAACGTCCTGAGGGAAGAGCAGTCGAAGGAGTACAGGCTGCTGAGGGCGAAGGCCATGGAGTGCGCAACGCTGATCGCGTTGGCTGTGGGCAAGGAAAAAATGGGTCAGGATGCTATCGCTCTCGTCAACCTCCTAGGTACAATTCAGCAGGGAATTACCGACTCGGACGATCCTCAGGCTTCCTACCTCCTGCACTGCTGGGGTCGTATGTGCCGCGTTCTGGGTCAGGACTTCCTGCCGTACCTCCCGGCTGTCATTCCTCCTCTTACCGAGCTTGCCGGTGCTAAGGCCGACATTCAACTCCTTGATGACGAGGAGCAGGTTGCCCAAGTTGAGCAGGAGGAGGGCTGGGAGCTGGTTCCTCTCAAGGGCAAAGTCATTGGCATCAAGACCAGCACTTTGGATGACAAGCACATGGCTATTGAGCTCATCGTCATCTACGCCCAGGTTCTGGAGGGTGCCTTCGAGCCGTATGTCAACGAGATCATGGACAAGATTGCCATCCCCGGCCTTGCGTTCTTCTTCCACGACCCCGTCAGAGTCGCATCTGCCAAGTGTGTTCCGCAGTTGCTCAACTCTTACAAGAAGGCTCACGGCGAACAATCCCCCCAGCTTGGCCAGCTCTGGTCCAGGACAGTCGAGAAGGTCCTCGAGGTGCTCAGCACTGAACCCGCCATCGACACACTTGCCGAGATGTACCAGTGCTTCTACGAGTGCGTTGAGATTCTGGGTAAGAACTGCTTGACGGATCAGCACATGGCTGCTTTTATCGATGCAGCCAAGTCTGTTCTTGAGGAGTACAAGGAGCGCGTCAAGGCCCGTCTGGAGGAACAGGCTGATAACGACGATGGCGAGGAGCTCTCTGAGGAGGTCGCTTTTGCCATTGAGGACGATCAGACTCTCCTTTCCGACATGAACAAGGCTTTCCACGTCATTTTCCAAATGATGGGCCCGGCATTCCTGCCCCACTGGGAGCGCCTCTTGGAGTTCTACACCAACTTCGTGACCAACCCTGACCCGACGCAGAGACAATGGGCCATCTGTATCTTCGACGATGTGCTGGAATTCTGTGGTCCGCAATCCTGGAACTACAACCAGTACATCATTAACCCCATCGTCAATGGCATGCGCGATGACGTTGCTGCTAACAGGCAAGCCGCTGTGTATGGCGTTGGTGTTGCGGCGCAGAAGGGCGGCGAGCCGTGGTCGGAATTCGCCAACAACTGCCTCCCCATCCTTTTCGAGGTCATCAGCCGTCCGAATGCCCGCGAGGATGACGACGTTTTCGCCACTGAGAACGCTTGCGCGAGCATAGCGAAGATTCTGCACTATAACAGCACCAAGGTTGCCAATGTGCAGGAGGTCGTGAATGCTTGGGTGGACACTCTTCCCATTTCCAACGACGAGGAGGCTGCGCCTTACGCGTACGCTTTCCTTGCGCAGCTCATCGATCAGTAAGTAATTTGCTCCGAATCAGCCATCGATCTGTATTCTAATCTCATCCACAGGAGCAACCCCGCCGTTCTGGCCAAGGCTCCTCAATGCTTTAGCCACGTTGCCATGGCCCTCGAGGCCGAGACCCTCCAAGGTAACATCGCCAGCCAGGTCGTCCGCGCAACGAAGCAGCTGGTCCAAACTGCCGGCCTGGACGCCAACCAGCTGCTCCTCAGTTTGTCTCCCGAGGCGCAGCACACCGTCCGAGCGTACTTTGGTTAAAAAAGAGGGGAAACGAAATCATTACGAGAATGTAATATTGTATGGAACGGGAGAAATGAGGCATTTTGCGTTTTTTGATGACGACAGACGGGGGGCCAGAACGTGGTGGGCCGGGGAACGAAAAGCTCTGGCTAGGGACCGAGTGAGTTTTCTATACTGCCAGCATTTTTTCCTTTTTACTTTCCTTTGTTCACTTTTCAGTCATTTAGACCTGCAAAGGAAAGGGCTGGATGGTTATGGAGGAACGTGGGTTGCTTTGGGCGACGGTGATGATGACGGCAACGGTGGAGGAGGAAGTGATGGTGAAGGGGGAATTGGTTGCATATGATATCCAAAGGAATAAGAGAAGAAGTCACTGTAATGACTAGGGATGATGTGTGGAACTGTCGTCCTGCTTTGCCTTAGCCTGCATGCTTGCCTCCCGTCCACTCAACTTTATACGGGTATGATACACAGGTTTAGCGATTTGGATCTACCTATATTTCTTTCTATCCTGCACGTTACTATAATCAGCTTTCCGCTGGCCCTGTGACTTTTAGCTTGGGTAAGTAAGTCTCGTTTTTCTTAAGATTTTTTTCTTCCTCTAAACTCTTTATTAAGAGTCCTTGAATTGAGTATGGAAACAATGATGGAGCATCTAAAGAGATCGATAATTAGTAGAGGCCATTTATGGGACTGAGCTTAAGTAAGCCTTCTGTCCTGGGCAACCTAATGCGCTACTCTAATAAAGGACCAGTGTAATCCCAATTTTTTTTTTTGGCATGGTTAAATCTGGTATAAAATTTCGCGATTGTGGTCTTCTTATAAGTGTTATGTAAATGTGATTCCGAATACTTCTACAAAGCCGCAAGCTGGCGATCAGCTGGAGATCACTACCTAACTTCATTCTAATCGTTATACATACAGCGGAGAATCCGTCTCCGTTGGTCCGAAAGAGGCATGAGGGCGGAGGCCTAAAGAGAATTGGCCAGCTACCTAGCACGAAGCCAATCCAGATCATCTACGACATACAATTGTCATTGTTTTGTACCGTGATTTCCTGTGAAGCCTCATGTTGTTTCATCTCAATACAAGAAATATTTCAGTCATCTCGCTTCTTGTGGCTCTGCTCCGCTGCAGCGTCGGTCTTTCCGGCTTGTGCGGTGTCGGCGCCACCGTTGGGTTCCTCAGGCGCCCACTCGTCCTCGGCGTTCTCGTCCCAATTGTCGAGCTCCTCTTCCACCGTCATGTTTTCACGGACAACGCCGGATTCCTGGCCACCGTCGCCAACGCCATCGTCGCCGCCGCGCATGTTCTCGCCTAGCTCGACGTCGACATCGTCGCCGGGGACGGCTTGGTATTGCTTGTTGCGGCGCTTTCGCTCGAGCATGCGTTTGTGGTACCAGCTGCTGAGCAGCACGGCGGCGACGGACCCGACGATGTTGGCTAGGATGTCGAAAGGGTCGAAGTTGCGGTCATTCTGCGATGACGGACGCGTTAGACTATTTTGTTGGAGGTGACTTTTTTTTGTCCCTCGCGGAGGTGTGAACACGTACGGGAAGCAGGCCTTGGACGATTTCGGAGCCGATGCCGAGGCCCAGCGTGCAGGTGAACAGCGTCATCTGGATGAGGCGACGGCGGTTTGTTTCTACGATCCAGTAGAAACATAGCTAGAGAGGGCCCAGGGTTAGCTGGGAGCGCTGGGGCCGTGAAGGAGCAACGTACGGTCAGTAGGAAAAAAGTGACGCAGTGCAGGACCTTGTCACTCTGCTTGTACTGCGGCAGCTGCGAGCGGCCGAAGCCGGCAGCAGAAGCAAGCAGGCATATTACCACGAAGGCGCCTAGCGGAGGGTCAGTGGCCGGCGTGCCTGGAGTAGCGTGCGGACTCTGGCGTGCGGAGCGGGAGCGGGACAGCTGCGAGCTGCAGGCGGCGGTAGAGGTATCGTGGCCGGTCGAGCTTACCTGCGGGAGCTTTGCGGATGCGCATGGCGGGGCGAGGGCAGTGGTCGTGGGCGGGCGGCAGGGCAACTATCGAGCGGCGACCATGCCGGGGCGTAGGGTGCGTGGAGTCGGGGTGCAGTGCGGAGCGGTGCAGCAAACAGACAAGGTCGCGGTGCTGGAGCATGAGCTCTCTCCGCGCGGGCGGCGATCGGCCGGGGCGGGGCACGTGACACGGTTAGAGCCAGAGGCAGACAGAGGGAGCGCGAAGGCCGCCGCGGCAGACAGAGCGCAACACGCCCGGTCAACCTCAAGCCAGTCCGCCAGGCCCTTTCATCACCCCGTCTCGCCCTGCCATCGCATTTCCATCGCCCGCGCCCGCTCTCCATCTCCCCAGGCCCTGCCGCGCCTCCCATGCGCACTGGTTCGACGCTGCAGCGCGCGTTGACCGTGGAACAGGGGACAGTCGCTCGCTGAGGTGGCCGTCGCTCGGAGCGCGTGCCAAGCTCGCGGATGGTGATCCCGCCATGGCCCTCCACCAACGCTCATCCATGCGACACTCCAGCTATGGCGCCCATCGCCCCGGCTCCAGCACCCCGAGCGCTGCGAAGGTCCACCGCCTCAGCATGAACTCCGAAGACCCCTCCTCCCAGCCCGCGGGCCCCGTGCCCCACGACGATGCCGACATCACCCTGGCCGACGACGACCCCAGACACCAAGAGTTCAGGGAGCGCTTCGCGAAGACGGAGCAGCGCATCGCCGCGCTCCTGTCCGGCTCTTTCGACCTGTCCGCCTTCACCGGACATGACGATGGCGATGCTTCTGTCAACACCGCGTCGGCTGACCGCGCCGAGCCCCAGTCGCAACCCGCGCCCGCGCCCAAGAAGCCCGCCCGGACAATTGATGAAGACGACTATGGCGACGACGACGACGATGACGACGCCGACGAGCCGCTGCAGGCCGAGTCGCCGCTGCAGACCAAAAGCGCTGCTGCTACCAATGCCTCTAGCTCTCTTCTGAAAGTACCCTCTTCCCTCCCCGCGAAGCCCTCCATCGACCGCGCCGCCTCCGCCTCCTCTGCCGATCAATCCAAGAACGCCGAGGATGTGCGCAAGGAGCTTAACGAACAGAAAAAAGCCGCCGAGGATGCCGCGCGCCGTTCCTTCCACACACTTTTCTACACGCTCGAGACGGACCGCGATGCCATGTTGGAGCAGCAGAAGCTCGACGAGCTGGACCGCCAGGTCGAAACGGAGATGTCTGGCCAGTCTGCTCAAGTGGTGAACAATGCCGCCGCCGCCAGCGCCAATCAGCAGGGCTCTCTGAGCAGCGCCAACTTGGGTTCATCGAGCTTGACGTTCAAACACCTCATTTCTCGTATCGATGCGAAGCGCAATTTGGTCAAAGCGTCCGACGCACAATTGCGCAGCTTGATGAGCGATGTGCGTAAGAATCGGAGTAAATGGGCTAGCGAGGACAAAGTCGGCCAGGAAGAACTCTACGAGGCCGCAGAGAAGGTTCTCATGGAGCTCAAGGCCATGACGGAACATGCAGCCCCTTTCCTGCAGCGTGTCAACAAGCGCGATGCGCCCGATTACTACCAAGTCATCAAGCAACCTATGGACATCGGCACCATGATTAAGAAGCTCAAGTCACTCCAATACCGGTCCAAGAAGGAATTCGTCGACGACTTGAATCTCATTTGGTCAAACTGCCTTAAATACAATGCCGACCCCTCACACTTCTTGCGCAAAAAGGCGCTTTACATGAAGAAGGAGACGGATAAGCTGGTCCCACTCATTCCAGATATTGTCGTGCGCGAACGCGCCGAGGTGGAGGCCGAGGAGAGGCGGATGCAGAGCATCGATGCTGACCTCGAAGGCGTTGAAGACAGCGACGATGGTGAGTTTTGCCATATCCCTTCCTTTCGTGGCACCTATTAATCATGTTCAGAACCTATTATGGCTTCGAGAGGACGCAAAGCACCTAGTAAAGGCAACAAAGGATCTTCCGCAGTCAGAAAGGCTCCTTCAGCAGGCACTGAAGGAACCCCAGGAGCGGAGACCAAGCCAATGCCTGGCTCAGCAAGTATTCCTAGAACAGAATTTTTACGTGCGGATTCGGAAATGGATGGCGGCCTGAATGGGTTTTCAACGCCACCTCCCCCTGGTACTCTTACTCCACTTGGCACCAACGGCATGCCAGGAACCGCAAGCCAAGCCGACGCTTCGGATATGGATGCCGGAAGTTCTGTCGTCGGTGCTGCGCCGACCGAGGATGCAGATTTGGATGATGTGGAATATAAGACGTGGAAACAAGTGACGAAGAAAGACAGAGCTATGATTGCTGCAGAACGACACCGTCTTTTCCGGAATGACCATCTCAACGTTGAAGAGCCTGCTCTGATCCGTACAAAAGCTGGTATGCGGCGGTGGTTGCGCCAGCACAAGCAAGCTGTCCACGGAGATGTTCCTGAGGATGAGGGTGAAGTAGTTGACGGCAAGGACGGTGTGCAGGGAGCATCGGGCGAGACTCTTGCCGAAGGCATCGAAGGAGAAGAGGAACGCCAAGTCCCGGACTACTACGACACTCTATCCGTCATGCCAGAAGTGAACGAAAAATTAAAATGGGCTGAAGACTCGGAAGGTCAGGTCATTCAGCAAGGTGAAGAGTTCATGCGCATGGTACCTAAAGGTTTCTTCCAGTCGCCGAAGAGTAATTTGGCGACGAAGATGGAGGCAAATATGAAGCAGATGCAGGACACTCGCAAGATCTGCGCAAAGATCGGCATCGTCAAGCAGATGCAACTGCAATCACAGGTAAGCCTTGCCATGCTGGACCCGTTGAAGGAGACTTGCTCACTCACTTGACCAGACATATCAAAACCAGTTCCAAAAGTATGATCCTCAACCTTTCGAGGAAGTGGATGTGGGTCCTGTAGTTGTATCAGATGACGGTGCCGTCATGTCTCAGTGGACATGTAGAGCCGCCCTCCAACGCAGTGTTGCAAAGGTGTTTTACCATGCCGGATTCGAGGAGTTCCAGCCTGCTGCATTGGATGCGGTTACCGATCTCACGAGCAACTTCTTCACTCAGATTGTCAAGACATTCAACGTATACCGCGAAGCACCCAAAGTCCGGTCTGAAACTGGCCTGCCTATGTGGAAGCCTCGCTTCACCAGCGAGGAAACCATTCTGCATGCCCTACGTCAGAACGGAGTTGACCTGGAAGCACTGGACTCGTACGTCAAGGAGGACGTTGATAGGTTGGGATCCAAGCTAGGTGTCATGCACGAGCGCATGAAGGCTCACCTGAGCGAGCTTCTGGTAAGACCACAGTGTCAAGCTCAGTGTGACCGCAAAGCTAACAGTAGTACAGCGTCCTGCGCTGGATGCCAATGCCGGAGCCGATGGGGCCGGCGCTTTCAACGATGGGAGCGAACAGTTCTCCTCGGGAGATTTCGCCGACGAAATCGGAGAAGATTTCTTCGGGTTCAGGGAATTGGGTTTGGACAAGGAATTGGCATCCTTCACGGTGCCCTTTCACCTGCTCCAGAACAGGATCCACAATGCTTACCAAACGCAGAACGCAAGGTTCGTGATGCGCTACAAGACCAGCGTGAGATGTCCTTTGCTGACCGAGTCGTCACAGTACCACGTCTACGGCTGGGAACTTGTGGGAGAATCCTGCGCCGTGGGAACCTGTCACGATCCATACTATCCGCAACCAGATTGGCCTTGTCCAAGGGTATTTCCTGGAAAAGCTGCATGCGAACAACGACCAGCAGCTCATCGAAGACGAAGATTTACCTGCGAAACAGCGCTTCCCGAAACCGCGTCTTCCGCCCACAGGCAAGATCTCCAGCCCGCGCAAGCGTCCGCTTCGCGAGCAACAGCAGATGGCCAAGAAGAAGCGCAAGCTCGTCGAGGAAAATCTTGGGGCCGGAAACACGCAGGAATCGTCGCAGCAGCAATCATCGCAAAGCGGCGCCAACGGTACTTCGGCGGCGGGGTCTGGTGCTGCAGTCAAGGGTATCTCCAAGCCGGTTGGCAAGCTCAAGCTCGAGGCACCGTCGAGCAAGGAGAACGTAGCGGAGCCGGAGAAGGACGACGCTAACGGAGTTGTTGGGATGATGAGTCCGGAGAGCATTAATGGCGCTGGTTGAAATTAGGGGGAAACGGATGGGCGGCTCCTTCTTGACTCTTTATCCCCTTATTCTTTCTTTCCTCCCCTCTCCCATCTCCTCCCTTCTTTTCTTGCATAAAGAGATTTGAAGATTTTCTTTTCCTTTTTTCTCTTCTCCATATTTGATTCTTCTTGGGGGCTTTCTCTCTCCAGAGGAAAGCATGGCGACCATTGCTTATATCTCTTTCCCCACAACTTTAAGCTTCGTTATTACTGTTTTTTTTTTTGGCCTACTGCTTTTTATTCTCTTTGATATGCCTCTTTGTCTTCTTTTGCTTCTTTTCCCCCTAATTCTCCATCACAGCTATCCTACCGGGTATTCCCCGAAGAGGGTTCGAGAGTTGGTTGGGACCTTGGCTGGGAGGTTCTTGAAGATTTCGAAAGTATTGCCTGCACGATTTCGCATAGGGGTGGGAATAATTCTGGTCATAACGCGGGTGTGGTGTAGGATCTTTCGTTTGATGAGGCGTTGGGCCGGTGGGTTTATTCCTTAGGGGGTGGGTGGGTATCTTTTTTTTTTTTTGGTTGGTTGCTTGCTGTACAGATGAATCTTTCCAAAAGAGAGAGAGAGAGAGCTCTATTTCTTTTTCCGAAGTGGGCATTGTGTGTTGCGTTGTTTGTTTTTCCCCCCTTACCCGAGAGAAATCTGGTTCCTTGCCTTGAATCATTTCGTCATTTCCGCCGGTTCGGCTGGAGGGAAGGAAGGATTCCATGGAGTGATGGGTGTGTGGGTGAGGGGGAAATGAAGATCGGAGAGTGGCTGGAGGGAGCCTGTCTGCCCTGTTCTGCCGGCGTGGGGGGCGAGAAAAACAAAACAAAAGCAAGCATCGGATGGGACAAAGCTTGCCTTTTGCTGAAAATACACACGGGTAGTCGTTTCGTCGTTGTCGTTGTCGTCCTTTGGTACGGCCGTGGTTCTTCTGGTCCTTCTGGTCTTCTTCTTGTCTTTAGCTTCATCCGAGAGATACCCGCGGGCGATTAGTAGTACGAAAGAAAGCAAAAAATGTCGATAAGGAAATTGAAACGAGAGGCATCCGAGGGTTCGTGGTATGTGAATGTGTGTTTGGTGTGTGTGGTGTGTCTTCTCATGGGGTCATCTCGAGAAATGGCGGATTGTGTGTGTAGTATTCGTTCGCGCGGAGAGGTTCGGATTCGCGATTCTGTGTCCTATGAGAGCGAGGGAAGCCCAATCCAAGTGAGAAGAGAGGGGAAAGAGGGGGGCGACGGCGGAAAACGGAGCAAGAAGGAAAGGGCTCGGAGTGGTAATATAAAGCAGCAAAGCCAAAGCACGAGCGGCGGGCGGCGGTCTGCCGGGGGGTGCCACAAGCGCGCGGCGGGTAAGGTATCCACCCACACACACAGACGCGGCGCTCCGAATCTCCGCCGGTCATTACCGTCATGCGTGGCTTTTTCGAAGCAATGGGGAGAAAAAAAGTCTGACCGCGCCGAAAGTCAGGCCGTCGGGCGACGATGATTTTTATGAGGGTGCGGCCTCGTTCGGCAAAATAATAAGATGGCGGGGGTGGACGAACGGACGGTAAGTATCTTTGCAGAGATTTCTTTGCTTCTTTCCTTCTTTTGGGTCGTGTTGTTACCTGGCTTATCATGTGGCAAGGCCCTCTTTTTTGATTTCTTCTCCCTTCCTTGTCGCCTTGTTGGGGAGATGATGATGATGGTTAGCAGACCTGGGGTAAAGGGGCGGCATCCTTTTCTTTGGGTTGCGCCGACGTCCTGGCGTATGGGATCATCACTCGCCTCGGATTCACAGGAAACGAGGGGGGGGGAGAGAAAGCGAAAGAGTCAGGGTATGCTTATTTCTGCTTTATACGTTGCTGGGCTGGTCGTGTGCCGCAAAGAAGAAAGCATGCGACTGGCGGTCGGCAGACGCGGCGTGCGGCGGTTGAGACATGGGAGCCGTTCTCGCTCGGAATATATATGCTGTGTAACAATTGATTTGGGGACGCAAAACGCAGGGGCAAATGGACGCACACCGTGCAGGTGTGAGTTTGTACCCGGTTGGGTTTGACGTCATCTATCGTGCTCGTCGCCCAATGCCCGCCGCTCTCCCTCCGCCTTTTCCGCCCGCCTCACCACGCCAAGTACCCATATCTTCCGACGACTTGGTTACCTGCGCATTTCCCTTCCTTTTTCTCCTCTCTTCTCGGCGTGTGTTGTGTGTGGGGCCGAGTGGATGCCGCCGTTGTCAGGGTCCAGGTGGTGGTTGCCTGATGAGCTTCCGGACGCTGCAGAGATCCGAGGAGGGAGTGACTGCTGAGAAAGGGTCGGTTGTTTCATTGTTGGCTGCCCTTTTGGCTCACGGACTTACCTTATGAGTAGCTGGTTCGCCTTCGTGGGCCCAGGCGTTACTTGTGCCTCAACATTCTCTTTCGATTGACAAGGACAGCCTCGTGGGAGGACGCGCACCGCTTCATTCCATACGTGGTTGCCGGTGGCCCCCTCAAGCACCGCAGCACAGCATCCGTCCCGCGTGATGGGGACCGCTCTCCGTTCATTGGACCCCGATTGCGTCACAGGGCGAGTGGCACAGCAGCGCGAGCAGATCCGAGACGCCTTATTCCTCCTGTCTGGCCTGCTGCATGTCGCTCTCCGTCGGGCTCTGCTCTGCCCGTCACGACAGCTCGTTGCACCAGAAAGAGTCGGGCAACAGCTTCGCATGGCTGTTGGGAAAAAGCGACTGCTCTCTCCTCGCTCGTCCTGTGGGTGTTGTTGTGTGTGTAGATCGCTTGGGAGCCGGCCGGGATCCCCGCATCGAGGCAAGCGCCGTGTCTTGGTTGTCAGAGCCAAGATGGGACAAGGAAAAGCCACTCCCGTGGATCGACCACGGCGCCCAGACGTCATCGTTCTCGCGCGGAGACGGTGATGCTTATGCCGCCGCATTCCTTCCTCGTCTTCCCTTCCTGCGCGGTCGGGAGTTGATGATGTGATGCGCGCGTGATACCGACCGAGTGCTGATAAGGCTGCCGGGGCGCGCGGCGCTCACAGCGAAGTTGTGTTATGGCAATATATTTGTCCTGGACCGCGCCTTGTCATTATCAATATGTTGATCTGTCTCGGTTTTTTCTGCGGGGATCCTGTCCATCTCTGAGCTGCGAGCGCTACAGGCGGCGCGAGTCCGTCGCAAAGACCGGTGCTGCACGAGTGCTGTCGATGTCAAAAAAAAAAAAAAAAAACTCCGGTCCACGATCGGTTACGTCGTTGGACGAGGGCCTCGTGATGATGAAATGCGCGCTGCTTGCGGGATTGGATGCCGTCCATGGAGGGATGCGGCTGCCAGGGTAGTGGTTGGCTTTACTTCTACCGCACCTGCCGCCTCTGACCCCAGAACTGTGTTTGCTGCTTGCTCCCTCCTTCTCGTGTCGCACACTTTACCTCGTTCTGAATCTGTCGACCAACGCATCGCTGTTCCAACCCTATCTGCCATCTTACTCTGTGTTTCAATTTTCTGCGTTGTCGCTTGGTCCCGATACCATACTTTGCCCATCAGAGCTTCCACTTGATTTAGCTGTGTCGCGCGGTTCTCTTCCTCTCAGACGCGCGGGCGCGGATATCGACGTCGTGTTATTGACGAAGACCTTGTGCACTCGAGGAGGAAGAGGGGAACGACGACGGCGAAAACAGCAAAGTTTCCGCTTTTGCCAGTCGCATCGGTGATCCATTTCCAGCCAGCACCATGTCAACAACCAATCGCCCCGACACCGCCACCAGCGGCGAGGCGGAAAAACAGTCACCACCACGCGATCCGTCGTACGAAAGCAGTAGCATGCAGCACACCTCCACCAGAGATGTCGAGAAAGGAGACCCCACGGTCCCTGCTTATGACGGCGAAACGAAGAGGAGGCGCCGCTCGTCAGCGTCGGTGATGGTGGGGAGGAGCGATCCGTTCGGAGACGAGACGAATGCGGAGGTCAAGTACCGAACCATGTCGTGGTGGCACGCTTCGATGAGTAAGTTTTTAAGCTTATGTTTAAGTTTGAAAATAGCGTGTATGCTGACTATTCGTTTTGTGCCCAAGTCATGATCGCGGAGACCATTTCCCTGGGCATTCTCAGTCTGCCCTCTGTACTGGCCGCGATTGGGATTGTCCCAGGTGTGATATTGATCGCGGGACTGGGAATTCTGGCGACGTACACGGGGTACACGATTCATCAGTTCAAGATGGCGTATCCGCACGGTAAGGCATTGCTTTCTCGGGTCCAGCTGTGTGTATTGAACTGGAGCTGATTCGAGACAGTGCACAATATGGCGGATGTTGGCGAGGTTCTGTTCTCCTCCTGCGGCCCAACTGCTGCTGCCATTGGCCGTGAAAGTGAGCATTGACTTCTCCGATTGTGAGCCGCTTGAATGCTGACAGCTTCGCACGTAGCACTGGGAGCAGCGCAGACCATCTTCCTGATATTCAGTATGGGCAGCCACATTCTGACATTTACCATCGCAATGAACGCCATCACCGTCCACGTAACCTGCACCTTGGTTTGGGGCGTAGTCGGCTTGGTCGTGCTATGGTTCTGCACGCTCCCACGGACACTGAAGAAAGTGTCGTACCTCTCCATCGCCTGTAAGAGCAGCGCCACCAGCACCACATTCGTACCTCACATCCAAACTAATTCTCACTTTCGCCAGCCTTCATCTCCATCGGCGCCGCCGTAATCATCACCATGGCCGGCGTAGGCGCCTCCCCACCCGACCCGCACGTCGACCCCACAATCAAGACATCGCTCGCCTCGGCCTTCCTCTCAACCACCAACATCGTCTTTGCGTACGCCGGCCATGTCGCCTTCTTCACCTTCATCTCGGAGCTCAAAGACCCCCGCGAGTTCCCAAAGGCGCTCTTCACCCTCCAGGCCGCCGACACGAGCATGTATATCATCGTCGCCGTCGTCGTCTACCGCTACTCGGGCCCGGACGTCGCGAGTCCCGCGCTCGGGTCCACGGGGAACGTCGTCAAACGCGTCGCGTACGGCATCGCGCTGCCGACCATCGTCATCGCGGGTGTCATCTACGGCCATGTCGCGGCCAAGTATATATATATTCGCGCCTTCAAGGGGTCCAGGCACATGCATAGTCGCACTTGGCTGGGTTTTGGTGGTTGGGCGGCTATCACGTTGGTCATTTGGGTCGTGGCGTGGGTTATTGCGGAGAGCATTCCGAACTTTAACACTCTGCTGGGGCTTATTAGTAGTATTTTTGCCAGTTGGTTCACGTATGGGCTCAGCGGGATCTTCTGGCTGTTTATCAATTGGGACGGCAGTGGGAAGAAGGGGATGGCTGGGTGGTTTGCGGGTGGTAAGAAGAGCGCGCTGGCCGTGTTGAATTTGACAATTGTGGCGATCGGCGCGGCCATCATGGGGTTGGGGTTGTATGCCTCGGGCAAGGCGATTAATGAGGAGAGTGGGAGCGGGAGTTGGTCGTGTGCGGATAATTCGAGTGGGGATTGAACGGAGGTGGAGGAAAGTAGGTACAGAGGAGGCGGGGAACGATATTCGGAGTGTAGCCTATCTTTCCGCCGAAGATGATGATTGCTGCCAATACGGCGAACGACAAGCGTTATCCGGAGCTTCAAGGAATCCGGTGAGCGAGGGAATGGTGATCTGTGAGCAGCTGTTTGACACGCGGCAATGACTTCCAATATTCATGCGTCGTGAAAAGAAAGCGTGGCCGGAGAGACGACCGGTCAAAACGGAGGCATTGTGATTGAACGTGAAGTTCCGACAGTGTCTAGAGCAAGCCTGATAGACTGACACTCGATTCGAGCCATTAGAACTGCCATTGAGCCGATGCGCAGTGAAGCAAAGTGCCGCGAGTGCTTGCAGTTGATGCGGTGAGGGGCGGAGCGACAGGGGCGGTGTTTGCAGTGTTTGGCTGGGGTCGGAGGAAAAAGTGCCGTTGCGCGCGGGCTTGGAGAGCGCGTTTTGGAAAGCCATCGTTGCGTGCCCCTCGGAGCTAGCTACTCCTCCACCCTCCAACCACCGCGCCGCCAGAGCCCTCCTCTCCCGTTACCCGCGTCTCCGGTCCTCCTCACGCCCTAATCCACTCCGCAAAGCTCCCCGGAGCCTCCCCGCAGTCATGTCGTTCGGCGGCCAGACGCCCACCATCGTGGTGCTGAGAGAGGGCACGTAGAACCCAGAAGAATCCCCGCCGGAAAAGCTGCCTTTGCTGACGGATGCGTGCGGCGTACAGGCACCGACCAGTCACAGGGCCGCGGCCAGATAATATCCAACATCAACGCCTGTCTCGCCGTGCAGGAAACCATCAAGAGCACCCTTGGACCCTACGGCGGCGACCTGCTGCTCGTCGACGAGAATGGCAAGCAGACGATCACCAACGACGGCGCCACTGTCATGAAGGTGCGTCCACCGTCCCTACCGGCCCTGCTCACGCGCGTATACTGATGCCGCGCCCCTCGACAAACAGCTGCTCGACATTGTACACCCCGCTGCCCGCATCCTGACCGACATTGCCCGCTCCCAGGACGCCGAGGTGGGTGACGGCACCACCTCCGTCGTCGTCCTGGCTGGTGAGGTGCTCAAGGAGATCAAGGATTTCGTTGAGCAGGGCGTGAGCAGCCAGACCATCATCAAGGGCCTGCGCCGCGCCTCCCAGATGGCCGTCAACAAGATCAAGGAGATCGCCGTCAACACCACCGAGGCCAACCAGCGCGACACTCTGCAGAAGCTGGCTGCTACTGCCATGAGCAGCAAGCTCATCCACCGGAACGCCGATTTCTTCACCAAGTGTAAGTGGGGCAGCATGCTGGCATAAATGTGCAAGGACGCTAACGGGACACAGTGGTCGTCGACGCCGTGCTCACTCTTGACCAAGACGACCTCAACGAGAATCTCATCGGCATGAAGAAGGTCACTGGTGGTGCCCTGCAGGATTCTCTTTTCGTCAACGGTGTCGCCTTCAAAAAGACCTTCTCCTACGCCGGTTTCGAGCAGCAACCCAAGTCTTTCAAGGACCCCAAGATTGTCTGCCTGAACGTCGAGTTGGAGCTGAAGGCCGAGAAGGACAATGCCGAGGTCCGGGTGGAGCAGGTTTCGGAATACCAGGCTATCGTCGACGCTGAGTGGCAGATCATCTTCAACAAGATGGAGGCCCTGCACAAGACCGGCGCTAAGATTGTGCTGAGCAAGCTCCCCATTGGTGACTTGGCAACACAGTACGTCCCCCACAACCACATGTAACCCGCGGAGCTGACAGTTGCCAGATACTTTGCCGATCGCGATATCTTCTGCGCTGGCCGCGTCGCCTCGGGCGATATGGAGCGTGTGTGCAAGGCGACCGGTGCGTCGATCCAGTCGACGTGCTCTGACATTCGGGAGGAGTACCTTGGTACCTGCGAGAAATTCGAGGAGAGGCAGATCGGTAACGAGCGCTTCAACTTCTTCGAGGGCTGCCCTGCTGCGAAGACTTGCACGCTGGTGCTTCGTGGTGGTGCTGAGCAGTTCATTGCCGAGGTTGAGCGTTCGCTGCACGATGCAATCATGATCGTCAAGCGCGCGATCAAGCACCAGAGCATCGTCGCTGGTGGTGGTGCCTGCGAGATGGAAGTCTCGGCATACCTGCACGCCTTCGCGGACAAGAACGTCCCGCACAAACAGCAGGGCATCATCAAGGCCTTTGCCAAGGCCCTCGAGGTCGTCCCGCGCCAGCTCTGCGACAACGCTGGCTTCGACGCTACCGACATTCTCAACCGCCTGCGCGTCGAGCACCGCAAGGGCAGCATCTGGGCCGGTGTCGACTTCATCAACGAGGGCATCGCCGACAACATGGAGCACTTCGTCTGGGAGCCCGCCCTGGTCAAGGTCAACGCCATCCAGGCCGCCATCGAGGCCGCCTGCCTGATTCTCAGCGTCGACGAGACCATCAAGAACCAAGAATCCCAACAGCCTCAGGCTCCCCAGCGGGGTCTGCCGCCGGGTGCCGCCCAGCGGGCGCTCCGTGGCCGTGGCCGGGGCATGCCGAGGCGGTAAATGGAATTGAAATTCACTACTTTAACGAGGGAAAAGTTTTGTGTCGTGCAAGAGGAAAGGGACTTCACGTTTTGGGATAGGGCTAGAGATGACGGTTGTCAATGTATCAAATCACGACTTAGCGAAGTTTAAGTGGGCGGCATGATCACAGGACAGAGGGGCGACAGGAGGGAGAAGAGAAATTCCAAAGAAAAACGACAAGAAGATGTAATATACAAAAGGGTGATGATATCAGCTGATCCTGCAGCCTTTTCTCCTCTGCATATCGACGATGCCGTATCGTGTTTTCTCCACTCCATTGTTCGTGTTGAAGTGAGTTACTTCATGGAATGAGGTCGTGCTGTAGAGGGCTAACCAGTGTGGATGGACAGAAACCGATCGGGATATCGTACCTCAGGACCATTCTGAAGACTGACATCATGATTATCGATCGGCTCAAGCTCCTCGGAAAAGCGCTATGGGTCACTGAAAGCTACCACTATTTTGCCTGGCCAAATCTACGATCTGAGCAGCAAACTTCGAAAGTGGAGATGTTTCATCCCAAGGATGCGATTCGCTGTGAGTGGACGCATGGCCATCGGCTTCTCACTCGACAGCCGTTTTGATCAATCAGATGCGCACAGGTATGCTGCAGATGGACAACGCAGCAAGTTCCCTGCACCATCCGGACTCTTCTACTTCTGGAGGCATCCAGTCTTCTGACAGGCCGTGGGAGACGGGGAGACTGAGAGTTATATCTTTCCCCATTCTCCTCACCTGCCCTGCCCAACCGTCCTCGTGGTGAGGTCACGGAACCGCGCTGTCTCCTGTCTCCATGTTTTTTGATGTGTATAGTAATCGGAAGTGCTCGATCCAGTTCCCGCTATCCCAATCCAGCACAAGTGGCCATTGGCAAAGGCATAGGCTTTCAGCCCCTGCACCTTTCTTCCACAGCTACCTCTGGTACGGCATCTCAACAGACGAAATGGACGGATGTCTTGTACTGAAAATATTTTCATTCTATAAAGGGCCAAAGCATCCCGACGGAGTAGCTTCCGACTGATGGTCAAGGGTTGCGCTTCTGGTCATATTGGGGTTAGCAGCATTCCCAATCACCCTGTACCGCTGGTGAATCGCACCCGTCCCTACAACGGTCGACTTCGTGTGCCGCCTAGCAGGTGTCGGCTTGTGCTTCAGTGAAGCGACAGCTCAACGAATGTCCTTTGGAGCCCGCCGTGCGACATCGAAGTGGCTTGAGAAATCTTTCTGCGTGGCCTCCAGCGATTTTTTCTTTCAGCGGAACGACTTGTTGATTCAGCTCTTGTGTTCACCACACTGGACACTTTTTATCTGGCGGCCATAGCTGGCCTGCCGATCTCGGCGACTCCTGATATCACCAGTTCCAGGGTTTTTGGCAGAAACGGAAGCGTAGGAGTCGCTGACGACTTGCTTCGGCTCGGGACATACACTCCACCCATTGACCTCACCGCGACAGCCTCCAACACTACTTCTGGCCCTTCACTCTTGTGGCATTGTGATACAGAGTCAACAACTATATCCCTCAAGCTCGCTTTGATACTTCCCTGTATACCATCCTGCCCATCGACTCGGCATTGCAAGGCTCAAACAGCCTTCGCGACGACCTTTATACACCCCTCATCCTCCACCCCAAATCTCAAAGCCAAGTTCAAGAGTAACAGCCTGCCTGCGAATCACGACGCAGCGCCGGTCGTGCACAAAAGCGCTTGTTGACTCACTCCGCAACTTTTCAGGCGCTTTTGATGACGATCGAACATGGAAGAAAACGCCATCGACATTCCCAGCCCACCCACTCTGCCAGCCGATACGCATCCAGGGCTACATCCGCACATGCCGCCATGCGCATCGATTACTTCTCGCGGGGAAAGCGGATGCAGTCGCACCAACAGCAGCGGCAGAGGCAGCGGGAACCCATTGCGCAGCAATAGTCCCCCTCCTCCTTCTATTCTTTCTCATCCTCCGAAGAGAACTACATCCCGCAAGATACTTCATTCGTGGAATCCCGGACCAAAGGGCATGACAACTGGGGACGACAGTGTAGACCGCGATTTACTACCGCCAAGTTTCGGCGGTTATCTCGAGTGGACTCCCTTATCCACTATCACGGACATCAGTTCGATACAGAGCCTCGACCAGGCACAAAGCAGGCATTCGACGATGACAATGACGCCTGCGAATGTAAACACCGCGCCGCCCTTGAATTCCTTTGGCGAGACCCAGCATAGCTCCAACAATATACACAATTACGTGGCAGACCACCAACCGCAACAGCAGGAAGAGCGATGGCTGCACGAACAAAAGCAACGACAACAAAAACACACAAACCATCATCGCTATCAAAATCAGCACAGGGAGAAACCACCACCACCACCAGAGGAACCACAAAAACAACAACAACAACAACGCGGACGCAGCAGAGACAAGGACAAGGAGAAGCACCACAAAAAGGCCTCACACGGCCTCATGACCTTCTTTCGCGCCACGCTGCGCGTCCGCAGCCGCAGCCGCGACAAGAGCCGCGAAAGCAAGCGCAGCCGCAGCACCAAATGCAGCCGTAGCACCAAAAGCAGCCGCAGCATCAAACGTAGCGGTGCAATCGACGATGCCGGCAACGATGCCGCCGACGGCGACGAAGACGACGACGACGACGACGACAACAATGCCCCCTACAACGCCAGCAACAAACACAAAAACAAAAAGAACATCAACGAGCCCCCCAACATCACCACCACCAACGACTTCTTCGACCCCTTCGCCAGCTTCGACGGCGAATACCTGAACCACCACCACACCAACCCCACCACCGCGTCCGTCTCCCTCACCTCCATCACCCCCATCTCCGGCGTCCGCAGCTTCCGCGCCATCTCGCCCATGTCGTGGGAGGAGTCGCGCCGCGGCGGCGACGACGACGCCCACGACGCCGCCAACGAAGCCACCGGCACCGGCAACATCTTCTCCTTCAACGTCGCCGACTGGCCCAAGGACCGCTCCCCCTCCTCCTCGCCGCCGCGGGAGGAGTCGGGGCGCGCGTTCGTCGCCACGCCCGTGCCTTATGGCCGCCGCGGCCGCCGCGCCGTCCAGCGAGAAGGAGAGGGGGACAACGAGGAAGAGGATGATGAGGACGGCGACGACGGCGACGACGGCGGGAGGGAGCGCGCCGTGCGGTTCGCTGCCGCCGCCGCCGCCGACGCCGAGCGCGATGGCGGCGCGGGCGACGCGTATGATGAGCACTGCTCCTTACGTTCCTTGTCCTCTTCTTCATCGTCGTCGTCGTCGTCGTCGTCCAGCTCGTCGTCGTCGTCGCCTTCGTCGTTGTCGTTGCTGTCGTCCTCGTCGTCGTTCAACCGCCTCGCCCGCGCCGCCGTCATGCATGCGGAACGCAGCGGCGATGATGGCGAAGGTGCGGGGCGCCGGCTGCGGAGGACGCGGCACGGGCGCACGGTTTGTCGGAGCGGTTTGGGTGGAGGGGGAGCGTCGGCGTCGGCGTCGGCGTCGGCGTCGGCGGATGATGGCGATGGTGGGGATGCGAATGCGCTCATGGCCGCCGCCGGACCTGATGATGGCGATGAAGATGAACTGCCGCTGCTGCAATTGCAGCAGCAACAGCGGAATGAAGGTCAGGGCGCTTCTCGCGGGCGGCGGAGCCGGCGGGGGAAGGGGGAAGATGGTGGAAAGGGAGTAGAAGGAGATGGTTACGATGATGACGATTACGAAGAGATGGATGCGGAGGATGAAGCACTCGTGCTCGCACTGATGCAGTTGCGGGAACTTATTGTGCGGAAGCGGAGGAAGCGCAAGGAGAAAAGAGTGGCGCGGAAGCAGAAGCACGAGCAGCAGCAAGTTGAGGAGGGGGATGGGCGGCAGCAGCAGCAGCAGCAGCAGCATCAGTCTCAACTTCAGCCTCAGCAGGAGCCCTACCGGCAGTCGCACCTGAAGACTTATGAGGAGTGGATTGGAGACCGGCAGAAACCAGAACGAGAGGGAGGTGAAGACGTGCAGGAGGTGCAGGACGACAACGACAATGACAACGGACCCGGTGAGTGGACCGGCACGGGCATCGAGGAAGCCATGATGACTCCATCCCTGGCTGCGAGCGAGCAGATGAGCAGAGAGATCACAGCCAATCGAGGGGAGAAAGCCACGCCATTAGGGAGGGCGCGGCGTGCAACCGCCACTTCGAGGCCATCTTCGGTGGAGGGGTGGTCAAACAGCTTTGCTTCGTTCATCCCGAGAAGCAAGAGGGCTGATAGTGCAAGACTTCCCCTGCTAGTTCCCGCTACGCGTTTTGATGATGGTGGTGCTGTTGCTGCCTCTCCATTCCCAGTCGGTGACGATGATGGAGAGGAGAGGAGATGGTACCGTGAAGGCTATGAAGAGGGGTGCAGCCAAAGACTAATGACGTCCTTGTCCATGCATTTCTGCAGGAATCATCAAAAAAGACTGTATGGTGGCGGCGCTGGCATGGTTTCGCCTCCTTTGATGGAGCAAGGGCCGGCGGCGATGAAGGGCCCCAAGGATGGATATAACATCTGGCTAAATGAACAAGTGGCGAAGCAGAAGAGAGATGATGCAGGAAGAAAGGTCAAGGAAACATGGCGGAGGCATAACAAACACAGGGAACATCGTCATCAGCAGCAACAGCCGGAAACTTCTTCCCAGACAAGCAAGGATGTAGCAGAAATTCCGCCCCTGACGAGAATTCATGCATCTACAGACCTACATAGGCCACTCGACATGCCAGCCCCGCCGCAAATGCCGCCATGTCGTAGGTCGAATTCGGTCAAGGAAGTGTTCATCAAGAGATCGACGAGACGCCCGGGTTCAAGGGCAGATATGGCAGAGCGTGCGTCTGTTCGGATGCCATCTGAACGACGAAGATCTCTTGACTGCTTGAAGAAGGCCTTTGAAACTTCAAAGCATGGGAGCCGCCACCGCCAACAAGGGGAGAGAGCTCCAGAACAGAACATCAGACCCTCGTCCCGTACGCCCACCCGATGCATAATATCGGCTGAAAAGGAACAAAGCACGAAAAACCTATCGCATGAGATGGGACGAGACATGGACAGAAGGTCACGCCTCCCCCTGCCAGTAACACGGCCCCAAAAAACGACCATCAGCGCTAGCAAGCCTCGAGAGGGCAGGATGTCCAACGATTCCAAGGGGCTGGAGTTGCTTTCCAGCCCCCCTGGAACACGTAGGCGAAGGCCTTCTCCGCAGCCACATTCACAAAGAAGTAAAACGCGTGAAACATATTCGACAGACCGTCATGTAAAGGCAACTCGCCAAACCACCGATTCACCGCTTAAGAAACAAGCAACCGTTTACCATCCGGCCCCTTCACCAGCTGTCCCATACACCAACAGGGACGAGGGCAAATATAGTCAGCAGGGACCAATCACAAGCCACGGAGATGGAAGGAAATCCCATCTCGGGTCCATCCATGGGAAGATAAATGATACTAGCAGTGTCAAGAAGACAGTGGACAAGGATACTGGCGTTGAGAGGGCAAGTCCTAAGTCCGAACGCCGCAACAACACCACGGTCTCCCAGGAGGTCACTGAGGTTTCCAACAGCAACACCAATGACGACAAAAGCCACCGATTCATCGCCCGGACCTCCGAAACGAAAGAAGCGACAGTGAAAGAAACGGAAAACAAAAGGGACGGCTGCCCCGATGACCATGGGAAGGACAAACAACCCCGCACATCAAATTGTCATCCGGATGGCGAGGGCTGGCCGCCTCTCAACATTCTGACCATGGCCGACCACCAGCTTCACAAACAGCTCTCGCACGCCTCTTCCACAGCCAGCGGCACGACACCAAGCGACGTCGTACACTCCGGTAGCTCGGTCGTCGACACAAACCAAGGCTCCTCTGGCAACACCATTCCTACGCTTGCTACGGCGTCGTCTGGTGCGAGGAGAGTGAGCTCGGATTCTTCCTCTGCGCATCAGCACCACCACCAGGAGAAACAGCAACAGTAACAACAACACCAGCGACACTAGCAAAAATGAGAGAAACCGCCAGCTGTGCCGAGGTCGCTGCGTCTACACGACGACGTCAACGATGACCATGGAGGCGGACAGGCGGACGTACAAAACATGAATAAATTCAAACGATCAAAACCAGCTTTACTACCGCTCAACAAGACAAGGGAACGTCGACTTTCCTCCCCCCAAAGTCACCAAACATGATACCCCCCCTCCTTCGTTACTGAACTCGATACCATTTCCACCATCATTATTACTTTCCCTTCTTTCCGTCCATACATCGACCGAAATTGTCACACGATATGACTGTACGTAGAATTTTCTGATGAATAAAACTGCTGAGGTTCGGTTACTTTTGAATTTATAAAGACATTCTGGGAGGAAAAAACCGCAGCGATAGAGACGTAAAGTGTATGCCATGTAATATCGCAATTTCTCAGCTGATATTGCGGGCGTACTGTTTTCGCTCACGCTTGAACCGCGCCGTAACGTGCTTGTATTGCACATATCATGCAGAGAGAACTGGTAAAAGAATTGGGTTAGAATTTTATCAAACCAAGAATGAAAACGTCCGCTTCCTCCCCCACCCGGATTACTTATTCTTCACGCGTGGCTCTGTGAAAGCAGATGGCAATCGTATACCCACTTGCGCAAAGATCATGTTCGGAATAGGCAAGTACGCATTTGCGTGAGCAACCTTGACGAACATCTGTTGATCTGACGCACATCATCAACAGAACAGACTTGACTAATGATATTACGTAGGGATATATGTGTTTGGTATGGTGTTTACAATTGGTATCCTTCGTCTTCGCGTGCCTCCTTTTCTTCGTCTTCGTCTTCTTTTCACGCAGCAGTAACTAGCTCTTTCTAACAAGCTCCCCAAAAAAGCCAAAATTAAATCTTCTCAACATCTCGACCGGAGCGATGACAGCTCTCATCCCTCATGTCGCCAAATTGCGCGCGCGTCCAATAATCGAACCGATACGGGTGAGAGCAAGGCTACCGAAAGTAGGAGGGAGTTGGAGAAAGGTAGAAAAGAGAACCGGGAAAAGATGCTGTCAAGGACAAAAGTAGGGATGAGGGAACGCTCAGGGGCTACACTTTTCCCCTTCTTCTTTCTCACGCAGCAGACGGCGGCGACGCATGGCTCGCGTTCTTCTCGCGTAGGAACTCCTCGACCTGCCTCCCATCCATCTGATCCACGCGCTCATCCTTCTTCTTCTCCTCAACAGCCGCCTCCTTCCCCTCCTTCTCCCCACCACTCACCAGCTCCGCCGCCTTACCAGCAACCGCACCCGCCTTCTCCGCCACCGCCGCAACCGCACCCTTGGCCTGCTCGACGTAGCCGGGGGCGTTTTCGCGGCTGATGTTGTCGATGTTTTCCTGCGCGACGGGCAGGGGCTGCGAGACGTCCTTGGGCGCCTGGCCGACGGTGCCGGGCTCCATGGTGACCGTCTTGTCGCCGTGGCCGTGATCGTTGACGGCATCGTGCGGGGTGCCGGTTTTAAGCTGATTGTGCGCGTGAGTGTTGGCCTGGGCCGCGAAGCGTGTCTCGGACGTACCGGTTCTGGTGGCCGCCGCGTCGTCAGCAGCGGCGGTACCGTTAGTCTTTGCTGCCTCTGCACCCTCCTCTTTCTTCTCCGAGGACTCCTCGCTGGGCGGCGTCTCAAGGACCTCGGCGGCCGGGTCGTCGACGGGCTGGGTGTGGGTACCGCTGGTGGTTGTGGTTTTCAGGGCCAGCGGGTCGGCCTTCTCGTCGACGGGGGTGACGCCTGCGACGGCGCTGGCGTGCATGGCCTTCAGGCTGGTATTGGCCTGCAGCTCGGCGACGACCTGGCGGCGGGGCTTGCCGGCTTCGCTGCCCACGGCGATGGCCTGCACGGCGCCGCTGCCGGGCGACTCCTCCCACTTGACGGGGCCGGTGGGGATGGTGCTAGCGCCCTTTTGCACGCTGGCGTTGACGAACTTCAGGTGCTCGACGATCTTGGGCTCCAGCACGGGCATGTCGCCAAACTCGAAGTCCAGCTTGCCGCCGTACTTCTTGGGGATGTTCTCGACGTCGATGTACTGCTCGAGCGTCTCCTTCATGTTCTTGTCGGTGAGGATGAAGATCTTGGACACGGTGATCGGGTCGAACCAGCGCTTGATCCAGCTCCAGACGGTGGGGAAGAAGGAGGGCGCGCCGATGATCTGGAGAGAGCACACGCTTTGGTCAGCTCAGACGTCCAACACGCGCCGCAACAGCCGCCGCCAGACACGTACGAATATCCTGTCCAGGGTCTCTGGGTAGTGGGCAGTGGCCAGGGTGCTGGCGTCCTGCATGTGGCCCTTCAAGTTCCAGAACTGCTTCAGCCCAACGTGCGAAATATCGACGATGTTGTTGCTCTGCGAGATGGGCGTCTCCGGGTGGTTGCGCTCGGGGATTGCGGAGCACAGGGGCATGACGAAGCGGGTCAAGTTCTCGTAGAGGGCGAAAAGGCGCAGCATCTTGGTGGGGACCTTGTTGCCCGAGGCCTTTGAGGCCTGCTCCTTATGGCTGGAGTCGTAGGCGGCCATGTTCTTGGAGTTCAGATGGGCGACCTCGAACAGGTAGACGGGGATGCCGCGCTTGTCCCTGCGGCCGGTCCATTGGGGGTACTGCGAGGCGGAGGGGTGCGGTTAGGGGAGGGCAGAGATTTTGGGCGGGGCAGCGCGGGCGGAAGCTCACCAGTCTGCGCGTTTCCTCGTACTCGGTGACGTCGATGGTGTCGTACAGCTCGGCGAGGCTGTTCTCCTTGCGCCAGTCCTCGGTGTCGCTGAACTGCTTGAGGGCCTCGGGCGGCGAGAACTTGCGAGCCCTCAGGTAGCGGCTGCGCGGGTCGGGGGTCAGCGTCGGCGGCGCAACGCCCCTCTCTGGCACTCACAGCATCGTCTCGTCGTCATGGCTCGCAAACTTCTTGCCGTCGACGCCCGTGGGGCGGTAGTAGCCGGCATCCTTGCACAGGTCCTTGAATTTGTCAAGGGCGGCCTGCTGGTTCGCGGTGAGATGGCCCAAGTGGGCGGCGGGGTACTGGTACGAATCGATGCGCTGCAGCTCCGTGTCGTCCTTTGCCATTTCTGCGGTGTTTGGCCTGCGCGGCTTTCTCGAGGGGTGAATATGACGAGGAGAGGGAGCGCCTTTGGTCACCGGTGCCCGTTCATAAGCAGCTCCTTCGCGGCGGCTGACGGAAGCTGGAATTCCCGCCATTCGTTCCGCCTGCGATCCGTCGGGCCCGTATGTCATCATTCAGCCCGACCGCCCGGCAGCGTCGGATCGGCCGAGCCTTGCCCCCCGCCAACACCCATCCAGCGACGAGCAGCGATAGGGTGGCAGGGCGACAGGGCGACAGGGCCGCGCAGAGCCGCAGCTTGCCAGGCCGCCGGGCTGTGGCTCGCCCGCTGTATCTGGAAGCCGCCGGCCCGAGCGACTGCCTTCTGGGCGCCCGCGACGCCCGCGACGCCCGCGACCGGCACGGCAGCCCTGCTTACTTATCGACCACCGGCCTCGCCGCCGCTGCAACAGGCGCTCGGCGGCCTGGGCCTTGCGCCCGCTGCTCCCTTCCTCGTCCAGAGCGGAGGAGCCCCACGCCCGCCCGCCTTCCTGTCCCAACACCGCGCCCGCTGCAGAGACTGACCGCCGATCGTCATCCGCTCCACGCCCTCCTGCAATTCACACCCGTCACTGGCCAGCCAGGCCGCCCGTCGCATGCTGTTCCTCCATCAATCACAGCAGCCGAGCAGCACCGCCTGCGCTGCTCGGCTAGCTCTGCCCCTCTCCTGTTTTCATGGACCACGGACTGCGAAACGGGCACCCCTCATCCGCTGCGCTGGAGCCGGTGTTTCTCTCATGCTCTGGGACCCCCAGTGTTGCGGGAGATGGTCGTGAAGCGCCAGGGAAGCGCCAGCCTTGAGCGCCAGCCTCGAGCGCCTCTTACGCCAGCTCCCGTCTACGCGAGCCGCCGCATCAGGCCTCCTGAAACACCGCTCCAGGCACACCGGGCGATGTGCCCACGGCGCATGGTGCTGTGGAAAAGCGGCACGCTGGTTGCCTACTGTGCTGAGCCATCCAGCGGCAAGTCATGAGAAATTTAGCAGTGGCGCGTCTTGTTCGATTTCTGTGGCTTCCACCATCTATCTGATGCCCGGTGCTCATGTCTTGCGCAAGGCTTGGTCCGCTCTTCCCGCTGCTTGTCTCCTCTACCTTGCACCGCCTCCCTTGTCCGCTCATCCACGGGGCTCTTGGCATCCCGCGATTTGTTTCGGATCTATAGGCTCACTCTGTCCCCGGCCGTCTCAATATAGGCACTCGGGGCCGTTCGCCGGAAGCCGCACGAATCAACGTCGAGCATTTGCCGAGCGTTTGATACCCGCATGCCGGTGGGACCAGGCATAGCGCTGTTTCGTTTGTGCTCCATCCTTGCCCGCGCCCTCCAAGGCCGGCAAAGATAGGGATACCGAGAGGAGCAGCTACCATATGTGATGTTCCCGACTCAGATGCAGTCCAAGGCCCGTCCAAGGCCCGTCCAAGGCCCATCCAAGGCCCGCTGCTCTAGCGTGAGGCTCGCTTCTGCCATGCAGACACCTCCCATCTTAAAAGGCTTCGTTGCCAGCCAGGCTGCAGTGTTTTGTTCATCAGGATCCTCCTCTTCATCGCTCACTTTCACTCGTTCTCAGTGCCACGGTCACTCTTTTCCACTCCACAGCCCTCGATTGTAGTCCGGAACTGCAATCTCAGCATCACCTTCTTTTTTCTCCCCCACACAAACACAAACACCAACCTCCGCCAAAATGGTTAACATGGGAGCTGTTGCCCGCGCTGCGGCCTTCTTCCTGCCTGCCCTCGTTGCCGCCCAGAGCGGTCCCGTTGGCACTCCTACCGGTTTCGCCACTGGTGTCACTGGCGGCGGTGATGCCGTTGCCGCTGCTCCCTCGGACGTTGCCGAGCTGATCTCGTGGCTCGAGGACGACACTGCGCGCACCATTCTCGTCGACAAGGAGTTCAACTTCATCGGCACCGAGGGCACCAAGACCGGCACTGGCTGCCGCCCCGACAGCAACACCTGCCCCGACAACGGCGGCCAGGACGCCATCAACGAGGCCAACTGGTGCAGCTCCGACTACCCCTCGGTCGACGTCGAGTACGACGAGGCGGCCATGTCGGGCATCGCGGTCAAGAGCAACAAGTCGCTCATTGGTGTCGGTGACAAGGGTGTGCTCAACGGCAAGGGCCTCCGCCTGACTGGCGGCGTTGAGAACGTCATCATCCAGAACATCCACATCACCAACCTGAACCCCAAGTACATCTGGGGTGGCGATGCCATCACTCTCGCTGGCTCCGACAAGGTCTGGAGTAAGTACCCACCTTTCTTGCCGTCCCATTTAGCATCAGGCCCCGAGTCAGGAAACGCGCTATCCGCATTTGGCAATTTGGAACGAACCTCGAGGCCTCCCAATGCCAGCACGAGCGTTTCACCCTAACAGCCTGCCAACACAACTCCCGTCTCCTTGTGTTGGGAAGGCCCCACGGGCTGGCGTGTTTCCATGAGCCGCGCGTTGTGCTACACCAAGGATCAATATGCTGACCGGAAAACAGTCGACCACAACAAGTTCTCCCTGGTCGGTCGCCAGATGATCGTCACCGGCTACGACAAGGCCGGTAAGGTGACCATCTCGAACAACGAGTTCGACGGCCAGACCGACTGGTCCGCCTCGTGCAACGGCGAGCACTACTGGACCGTCCTCGTCTACGGCGCCGACGACCAGATCACCTTCGCCAACAACTACATGCACGACACCTCGGGCCGCTCGCCCAAGATCGGCGGCGCCGACGGCGCGGGCATCACCTTCCACGCGGTCAACAACGTCTTCCAGACCAACAAGGGCCACAACTTCGACATCGGCTCGGGCGCCGAGGTCCTGCTCGAGGGCAACGTCTTCAACGAGTGCAACCAGCCCATCACGGCCAAGTCGGCCAGCGAGGGCGGCGCCATCTTCAACACCCCCAGCGGCTCCGAGAGCAGCTGCTCCAGCTCGCTCAAGCGCGACTGCGTCGCCAACAGCCTCACCTCGTCCGGCGACTTCGGCGAGTACAAGGACACGTCTGTCCTCGAGGGCTTCAACGGCGCCACCTCCATCTGGGAGGCCGTCTCTGCCGACGAGGCCGCCACTGACGTCGTTGCCAACGCTGGTATCGGCAAGATCTCGGGTGGCTCGAGCAACTCGACCGCCAAGTTCAGGCGTTTCTAAGCGACTAGTCAGGCGTGCCCAGTGGATGATTAAAGAGGGGTTGAGTGGTTGAAAAGAAGAAGGGGTTTCCACACCCCTGTAAATACGGCTTTTCTCTTGTATCTTCTCTGCACAGTGTTTGATGTATATATATTTTACATGCTGCCCGATGAGGGTAAATGCAAAAAAATTTCTGAACAAACAAGTCTGTCCGATCGTGTGGAAGTGTGATCTACTGGCATAACTCTTGGCTAATCGTCCTCGTCTGCGCTAGCTGCCCCTTGAGATTCGAACTTCCTGCATGAATTGCAAGTAGTCAGCTGTTGTCGAGGTGTTGTCCACCAAGCCTCATAGTTAATTAAAATACCGTTTTTCGTCCCAGTGTGACCACCTGCCATAGAGTTATCTATCCATAAATACGGGAACAAATTCGAGGTGCAACGACTCTTGAATGATTCATTCTACTTACATTATGCACAAATTGTTCTCATTCTATTTTATATGGCATTGGTTCCTAACATAGAGAGGCTACGACTTACCTCGACTTTCCCCCCCCTCTTCTTTCCAACGCGTATTGACATAATAATAAAGTCTATCTAGCGACGCGTGCTTCTAATGCTCTAGTACCCTACTCCTCCCCAGTACGCAAGAGAGTCTTATCATCACAAAGCTTTTAAACGGATAATGCACTATAAAAGTTTGCCTGGATGTAATTGAGAAAGTCTTGGAGTTTCTGCAGAAGACATTTTGGCTGAACTGCCTGCACAATATTCGAATGTAAGATAGTAGTGGACTTTCGGGGCTCAATTGTTTTAGAGATAGTTTCTCGGTTTAGCAAGTTGTCCGGCAGTTTTAGTCTTTTACGCGCGCGGGGCGAAATTCTCCGTGGGAGTACTAGTACAGAAGCTTTCGACTTGATGGCATCATCTGCTTTGGTTGAGGCATGTATTTTATGTTTACAGTGACTGAAACAAGCTTCTTTATACGAACGCACGAAGAGGCGGCGATGTCAAGTGCCTGCCAGTTCGGGTATGGGCTGACGATCTCTTGGTGTCTTTCTGACTCGCGCCAGATCAGATAACGCACGTTTACTTTCACTGCGCGCCTGAATTATTTAAGCTTCAAACCTTACATCAACAACTGAGACCATACCACCTCGTTCCTGTGACGTGCCGAAACAGTAATGATCCAATCGAAAGGCAAGCCTAGTCAAGCACAACAAGTCTACCATCGAAAGAGCTTGGGAGAACACAACGGCTAGTCCGTACACCACCACCACCCACCACCCCATGGCGGTGATGACCAGGCCACATCGCGACAACAGCACCGCCACCACCAACAACAACGCTCCCACCAGCCCCTCAGCCGACAGCGACAACGTCGAGCTCGGCTGGCTCGACGCCCGCGACGACGAGCCCTTCCTCCGCGGCGCCTCCCCCTCCCCCTCGAGCGATGCAGGCCGCGCCGGCACCGGCAGCGCCGCAGCGCCGCGGCACGCTCCCGGGGCGGAGGCGGAGTCCAAGCTAGTGGCCGGCGGGCGGCCGCGGCCCCGCGTCATCTGGCTCACCGTCTTCTTCCTGATGAACTCGCTCGCGTTCGGCATCGCCGTCGTGCCGCGCGTCAACCTCTTCGTCTCGCTCATCTGCCGCGCCTCCCTGCCGCCGCCGTCGTCGTCGACGTCGTCCCCCCCGGTCGTCGTCGGCGGCTACAACCCCCAGTGCCAGGTCGACGCCGTGTCGTCGCGCACCGCGCTCGTGCAGTCCGCCGGCAACGTCATCGCCGGCGTGCTGTCGGCCGGCATGGCCGCCTTCTTGAACGTCTTGAGCGATCGCGTCGGCCGGGTAAGGGTCATGGCGTACACGGCGACCGTGCTGGCGGGCGTCGAGGTCGTGCTCGTGGTGTTGGCGAGGAGTGCCGAGGGCACGAGTTGGCGGTGGTTGTATGTGGCGTTTGCGCTGGATGGGTTGAGTGGGAGTTTTGCGACCATCATGGCCATGGCGAGTGCGTACATTAGCGATTGCGTCAAGGAGGAGGAGAGGAATGTGCAGGTTGGTGAGTTGCGCCCTGGTGTTCTCGGGGGGCCGAGGCTGTGCGTGCTGACATGCGGGTTTGAAGGCAGGATGCATGGTGCCATGTTCATCGGTATTGCCGTGGGCCCGGCCATTTCGAGCGCGATTGTGGCGGGGAGTGGGCAGAAGTCGCCGCTGCTTGTGTTCTATTTGGGGCTTGTAGGTCGTCGATTTGCCTTCCTTGCCGGCTTGTTTTCTGACAGTATCACAGGCCATGCGGGTTATCTCTCTTGTGTACCTGATGCTTTTTGTAGCTGAAAGTCTGCCACAAGCCCGAAGAAGCTTGAGGGGTGCCTTCCCTGCATTTTCTCAGGCTCGATGGCAGCAGATGACCAAGCCAGCCAGCGGCATAGATGTCGTCTTGGTCAAGCTGAATAAAGTCAACCCAAGAAGATGGCTGGATAGACTCGTACCTCCCGGAAACCCGGTCAGTAGGCGACTGCGGCGCAACGTGGTACTGCTGCTCTCCATTAACCTCGTCTGTTACGTCGGCGCCATGGCAACTGCAGACGTCCTGATCCTCTATCCGCAGGTATGTACAGCACATTTCCACTCCCCTTTGCTACGTTACGAACCTTCAACCACCAACAACCCTTTGTCTTGCTCAGGTCGTCTTCAAATGGGGCAACGTCGAGAACAACATGTTCATGTCCGTCATCAACGGCTTCCGCGCCGCCGTCTCCACCCTCGGCATCCCCATCCTCATCTTCTTCTTCCAACGCCGCCGCTCTCCACCCCATCACCATCCCATCCCCAACCCCACCACCACCACCACTTCCAGCGCCCTCCTCGACCCCTCCGCCTTCCCCGACGACCTCGACGCCCTCACCTCCCCCACCTCTCCCCATTACCACCATCCCGACCACCATCCCGACCACACCAGCCCCACCAGCCCCACCACCACCCTCGACCCCCTCGACCGCACCCTCATCCTCACCGCCCTCCTCTTCGACATCTTCGGCTACCTCGGCTACGCCGCCTCCCCCAACGGCGTCTTCTTCACCCTCTGCGGCGCCGCCGCCGCCTTCGGCGCCGTCGGCCTGTCCACGTCCGAGGCGGCGCTGACCAAGATCGTCGCGCCATCGAGTGGCAGTGGCAGCGGCGATCCCGGCAGGTCGTCGGCGGAGCCCGCAGAGGGGGCGGGAGCGGGGGCGGCGGTTGACGATGTTGGCGAGAGGTCGTTGGCTGGTGGTGGCGGCGGCAGTGGTTCACGGGTGGGCGAATTGATGGCCGGCCTGGGGCTGCTGCAGAGCGTGGTGCGCGTCGTGGCGCCGGCCGTGGTGAATGTCGTGTACGGCGCCACGGTTGCGGTGGGGGCGCCCGGGACGGCGTTTGTCGGCGTGGCGGGCGTGTTGGGCGTGGGTGTGGTGTTGGCGTGGGGGTTGCGTTGTGGGTGATTGATCGGTTGTATATACATGAATCTAGAGGGGGGAGGCGGCGGTCTGGTTGGATTTTACATAGCGAACGGGTTGGCAAACACCTTTCAGAGCCATGTATGGATGTGTTCTAGTTGAGAATCTTTAATAATCATTGCTCCGCGTGCTATAGACTAGCCTGGCCCTCGAAGAAGCTAGACGCTTTGTCTTCTTTCATGCGGACTGGTGTGCCAGGCACTCTCCTTTGTACCGGTATGATCCGTTCTGGATGTTCATCTATACTGTGCTGCTCAATTCCCCTCCAGTTTGCCCTCTGCTTCTGCGCCTCGTTTCGCATATGATAAAGATGGGCATCCGGGTCGGCGGTATCCTGACCCGATGAAGGCACCAGAGAGATGTCCTGATACCGCTCATGAACTCACGCTCTATGAATCAAAGCGCTTGGTATCATTTAGCTTGAAGGCTCACCTCATGCCATGGCGTGCCCAAAATGTCTGTCCTGCAGCTCATGCGGATCCCGGGGTAGAACCTGAGCGAGCAGACGCATCGAATAGCGATAGCTTTCTTCGGCCATTCTACCACCACACTCACTCCCTTTTCTCTTCTTCCCCAGACGACGCCTCCGTTGAGTCGACTCTACTCGCAACCATCGCCTCCTCACACGCCATCTTCACCTCGTCCACACCCTGCACACCATTCCACTTCTCCAGCAACCCCCTGATCTCCTCCCACTCCTTCGCCGCTTCCTCGACTTCCCCCGCATCGACCTTCACCCGCAGCCTCCTTGGCGCATCAAGAACCCATCGCACTGTCTGTCGCTGCTTCTCCTTCTCGTCCACTTTCTTCTTCTTCCCTCCTCCATCCACCACCGACGCCGGCGAGCTGCTGCGCGACTTCGGTAGCGCATGTTGGGCAATGGAGGCGGACAGTGCGGTCGCGGTTTCGGCGATGTGCGATATGGCTGGGGAAAGGGTCGATGTGGCTGGCGTGAGGGGGTCCATGTTCGTGCGCATCTGGGGAGGCAGCAGTCAGTGCGACAGTCCCCCCTTATCCGCAAAATCCGAAGCATACCTTCCGAATCGTATCCGTCGCCGCGATCAACTTGGAGTAATTATCGTAAACCAGCGCCTTCCGCTCACCATCCAGACCCTTGATCTCTGCGCAACACCTCGAACAATCAATTAGCCTCGAACCCACCCGAACAAAAAGAGTAGAGCACACGACGAGAACCAAAAAAAAAAGGGAAACAAGGCAGTACTCACGCCCAACCAACCCGCTCTCCACCCTCAACACCCCCTCCAACCCCTCCCGCTCCAACGTCCTCCTCACAAACTCCTCGGCATTGAACCCCTCCCTGTCCAGCTCGCTCGCCTCCACCGCGTCCTCCTCCTTCACGCTGTCGATGCCCAGACCGTCGGCCCCGGCAGGGTGGCTCGTCGGCCCCCCGAGAGCGGGAGATTTCAGGTTGTAGTAGTCGCGCAGCGCGGAGCGGTCGCGGTTGCGCGCGCCGCGCGATTTGCTCGAGGACCGCGCGAGGGAGGACGAGGTGGGGACTTCGAGCGATGTGCGCGTCGAGCTGGGCGAGCGGATCGAGCTGGAGGGGCGGGGCGAGGCGATCGTCGACATTGTGTGTTTGGTTTGCGCCGCGCGCGCGCGGTCTTTGGCTGGGTTGGCGTGTGTTGTGTTGCGGCGGGGAGGGTTCTCGTAATTTCGTTAGGTCGTACTGAGGTGCGGGCGCGAGGGGGCAGGTGGGTTGGCGAGAGCCGCGCGTTCTGTGTGTGAGAGAAAGAGAGAGAGAGAGATGGGAGAGGTGAGTGGCCAGGTACCATGTCGGAAGTCCGGGGGCGGGCGACAGGGATCAGCTGTAGGGCTGAACGAGCGCCAGCTGCAGCCGCACGAGTCATGCAGCTTCCAGCTTCCAAGCTCCGATGATCAGGCAAAGCTTCTTTCCTTCCCCATCCGTAACCATGAAGGAACCCGACTCCCACCAGCGACCTTCTCCACGCGCTCCAACGGGCTCAATCAAACCCCTCCGCGTCCCAGGCTGAAGCTATCAAGCATCACCGCACCAAACATACAAACGGACAGCAAAACCAAAAAGAAAATCGAAAACACCACACCCCACCCCACCTGAGGATATACACACAACGAACCCGCCTCCACCAATGTCCCAACAGAGGCCTCACCCCGCCATGCCACCACCACCCACCTCCACCCCCGTCCCCTCCTCCACCCCCACCACTCCCACCACCACCGCCAACCTCACCGCCGACCTGACGCACCACCTCACAACCCGCGGCCTGCCCCCCTCCGCAACCTGGCTCACCACCACCCTCCTCCCCACCCTGCGCGCCCGCCCCACCACCCCGCTCCCCGCCCTCCGCCAAACCGCCCTCTTCCGCCTCCTCGCCACCGACGTCACCACCACGAATACCACCTCCCCTTCCCCGCTCGCCCACTCCCCCCACTCCAACCGCCTCCCCGCCGACGTCGCCACCGCTGGCGCAGCCGCCGCCGAGCAGCGCATCCCCGGCCCCGTGGCGCTGCAGGTCCTGGACGTGGAGGACGTGGGGCGCAGCCGGTGGGGGCAGGCGGAGGCGCTGGAGGCGCGGGCGCGGGGGGAGGGGATGAAGGGGCGGCAGGTGGTGCGGCTGGCTGATGGGGAGGGGGATGGGGATGGGGAGGAAAGGAATGGTGGTGGCGCTGGTGGTGGCGCTAGGACCGGGCCGCACAAGTTGCTGCTTGTCGATGCGGCGGGGACGCGCGTGTACGGGTTCGAGCTGGTGCCTGTGCCTGGCGTGGATGTGGAGCGGATGGGGATTGGCGCGAAGTTGGTCTTGAGGAACGCCGTTGTGGCGAGGGGGGTGGTGTTGCTGGAGCCGCGGACGACGACGTGTTTGGGTGGGAAGGTGGAGGCGTTGGATAAGCCGTGGAGGGAAGGGAGGCTGGCGAGATTGAAGGAGGCGGCAAGGATGGAGGAGGGGGAGGGGAGGTGAATTTTGGTGGTGGTGGTGATGGTGGTGGCTACTGTTGGGAGCTGTGGTGAGAAGGGAAGCGGTCTTGTTGGAAGCTCGGAATGAGCAGTCAACAGTGTGATGGAAGTGATTGCTAAGACCTGCATGATTGGGTTTCAGGATCGAAAGCGAGCTATAATTATTTGTTCCTTCAACTGATTGCTCAAAAGAGTAGTGAGACGCTGCCCAAGACCGCTAAAATCTATCAAATACAACAAGAATACATGGATAATACACGCTGGACTCGCTTTTTCCTCCCAGCACAATCCGTCCGAATTTTCGAGATATCCACTCAAAAGGACGACCAGACCATCCTGCGCTTTTCATCGTCTTGTGACTTACAGGATCCTTAGTGAGTGCGGTTGTCACAGGATCGAAAACGCCTCTTCTATGCAAGACTCATCTGTCCTTTCAGGAGAGATGAATCGAAACGCCAGAAACTCCGCATGCCCTGATAGCATGCAATAACCAAATAGGATATTTTTTACTGGCTCAGTGTCTCCGCTCGTTGACCGTCCCAGCCATCTTCTTACCCATCTCATAAGTAGAAATCATAATGGCGCAAGCTGGTGCAACCTTCAAGCACCGAGCCGACCAACCACGGAAGAGGCCTGGCAAACCTTGCTCCTGGAATATGTGCAGAAGGAAGCGTGGAATCGACCGCTCCTCCGGTCTAATTGCGTTCACAACGCCACCAGCCGAGCCCTTGCTGCCACTGTGTCGGACAGTCTGCTGTCTTGTCTTGCCAACGTCGAAAGGTGTAGTGACGAAGGCGGCAACGGCTCCAGACGTGGCTCCAGCCACGAAACTGTCGACGAGGGTCTCGGTGTGATCCTCTTCACTCCTGCTCCGGCTCCGGCTCCGAGCTCGGACGGCACCAGAAGCCCTACCTCTCTCAAGGCCACGACCACGCATTCGCTCGCGTTCATCCGTGATGACATTGCGCGTACTCTCATAGCCCCACCAGTAAATAGCGGAGAATGGGACATCGCGCCATAGCGTCAATCCAAGGCCGCGCCACAAGCTTATCCATCCGTCTTGACGGACCAAGTCGCCCATTCCCTTGAGGGTGTCGCGGAAATGACTGCCAGATGCACTCGAGGGTGAATGAGTAGCTTGCATGCGAGTCCGGAACATCTCAATGGGAGATACGGCAATGGCGGCAAGGACTCTGGCGGTGCTTCCGGCAACCAATGGAGCGGTCGAATCCCCGAAGTTGTTTTTCACTGGCGATGTCGAGGCGGTGCGCAACCAGTCGTAGCCAGCGAAGTAGATGACATTGGCGGGAACGGTCATCACGAGGGTGGGCGAGAGCCCGCGCCAAAGAGTACGAATTCCTTCATTGCGGGCAATCTTGCGAAGACCGTCGAAGGTGGATGTGAAGGCCTTGCGTTGAGTCTCTTCGACGGCGCATGAAGCAGCGCTCGTGGGGGTGATGGTGGGCATTACGGTGGGACCGGCGACACAGTACGAAGCGTTGTTATTGACCCAGAAGACTTCGCGACAGCAGGCGGTGATGCCGAGGTTGGGAGGAATGTTGGTGAAGCGCGCATTGTGGAGCTGGAGAGTCGAGAGGGTAGGGATGGTCCGGCGGGTAGTAGCGGTGGAGGTAGGGGTGGAATGGTGTTGCGATTGGAGACGGACGCGGACTACGTCAAGCGGGGTGACTGTGCCGTGTGTTAGCAGCGTGGAGAGGGGGCAAATGCGGAGACAAGCAGGTACCTAAAAGCGAAGTGAGGATGCTTCCCGTGACGGCGGACAACATCTTCTGGGACACGGAGATGTCGTCCGGAGGATCGGCTTGGCTCGAGGGGGGCTTCGCCATGGTGTGCAGAGTACGGGAGTCGGAGTTTGACGATAGTCTGTCGTGAGGTTGACCTCGGGCGCTGGTGGCCGCTGCGTCTGCGGTATCGGCCATGGTGGCGGCGATGATCTTCCAGGTGTCGCTGGAAGGCGGTGATAGGGAAAGCCAGACGTGCTACCGGGCGTCAAATCGCATGCTGGGGAGAGAAGAGTACTGGGCTTCGCGAGCCAAGGGACAGCGGTAGCGGAGGTGTAGGTGTCAGTGATATGGTAATGACATCTTTTTGCGCGGCTGGGCGCGGCAAAAGATCCAAATGGGAGATCGCGACCAAAGCAGCAGCCGCCACACTGCGCCACGTGCGCGCTGATTGATAGCTGCTGCCTGCGCCGGCGCTATCCACCCTTAAAGCCGATTGCTTCGCCCTCGTCATTCTTTCATCCACCAGTCTCCTTCCCCCCAATCCTCTTGTGTTCATAACTCTTGTTTGCACTTCCACTAATAGTAGAGTCGCGCCACCAGCCTGGAACACGTAGGACCATGTCGAACCCCCCTCAACTCCCCGTGAACCCCGCCACCGCTACCGAAGAGGAGCTCGAATCGTTCAGACGCCAATGGCGAGAGGAGGTCTCGGCGCGCGCTAGACATGCCCAGCCATCTTCTAGCGCTGCGCAACGCCCGGCACACGCGAGTTCGAGTAGACCGCACACGTCTCATCAAAGGGACAAGGCGCCGCTACCCTCGGACCGGCCCAGGGATCTCCACATCGATGACGCGGAACCACACACATATCATGATTTGGGCGAGAAGCAGTTTGGCAGGAAATTAGCCGATCCGGCGCCAGAATCGTCCACGGTTCCTGTGTCGGCATTGGAACACTACGAGGAAGCCGTCAAGAGCGAGACACAAGGCAAGTTGGGCGACAGCGTGAATCTCTACCGGAAGGCATTCAAGGTGCGTTATGAGTCCACCGCCTGGGCCGAGCCCTGCTGACAAGATGCGCAGTTGGACGCAACGGTTCAAGACATCTACAAGAAAAAGCACTTTCCGGCCGCGTCCTTCCCCAAGCAGAAGGCCGCGAATGCGAACCCATCGAATGCTCCTGTTACGGTGCCCAGCAATGCCCACCACTCACTAGCCGGCTTCTCTTCAAACATAAGCGATCTGGTCTCCTCGTTTGCATCCTTGTCCATCCCAGGAGAGGAGCCGCCGACCGACCTCTCGCCACCGCCGCCATGTCCCATTGCCGAACTTCCTGAGGAACTGCTCGCCGATATTCTGATGTACGTCGCCTCCAACGATGTTGCACAGTTTGCCCGTCTCTCCCAGGTCTGCAAGAGAATGGCATATCTGGTTATGACCGAAGATCGGGTGTGGCGCCAGATCGCTCTCGGAGATGAGTTTGGATTTGCTGCAATGCATTACAAGTGGACCTGCAGAGTGGATGGTCAACCACTGGGTGACGATGGCGGAGGGGGGCGGCTCCTCTCCAGTTACACTGGTGTACCGGATCCCGAGGAAGAAGAAGAAAGACAAGAGGCTGTGCGAAGAACCAAGCTGATTGAATCGGCCTTACACACCCTGCCTCTTGTCCCCGACCCGTATCCGGGTTTCCGCAGCCTCTTTCGCTCAAGACCTCGCGTTCGGTTCAACGGTTGCTACATCAGCACTGTGAACTACACACGACCTGGTGCGCAACAGAGCAACACCTTGACTTGGGGAGTCCCGGTACTCATTGTGACGTATTACCGTTACCTCCGCCTCTATCGTGACGGCACTTGCATTTCCCTTCTGAGTGTAGCCGAGCCACATGACGTGGTTCCACACCTCAGCAAGGAATACTTGCACGGCAAGAACGGGGCCAACTCTCATTCCACCCTGCCGCAGGCAGTGATGAAGGACGCATTGCCTGGTCGATGGCGCCTATCCGGCCCAGAACACCCCGTGGATCCAATGCTTTGGCCGTCTTCTTCCTCATCATCATCACCTTCTACCCCCGCCGAGCCTGCTTCTGTGGCCGAAGATTTCCCAACCAGGAACATGCATGAGCCGCCGGCGTCTCTGGATTCGTCACTCTCCCCTGCCGAGACCGAGGGCGTTTTGCACGTAGAGACGGAGGGAGTGACGCCCAAGTACATCTACCGCCTGGCTCTTGCGCTGGGCAACGCAGGCAAGGGTGCTCGTAATAACAAACTTGGTTGGCAGGGCTTTTGGAGCTACAACCGCCTCACGGATGACTGGGGTGAGTTCGGCATGAAGAACTATAAGCCGTACTATTGGAGCCGTGTGAAGAGCTGGGCCTGAATATGGTAAGCGCCTTCTTTCCCTCCTTCTTTTTGGCTGTTGTTCCTGGATTGCAAGGCGTTTGTAGGCGCGTTCGAGATTTTAGCATGCCGATGTATCAACACGTCATGTTGCACGTGACGGCTTTCAGTGGTAGATTCAAGAGATATATATGCTAGACAGCGCAAGCAATTTAATGCCCTTGGTGGCCTTCCAGATACTTGATGTCCCACTAACTGTACGTTTTCTCTGCCTAAACGTCGTTGGATTTGCCGTCTCGGATAGTTTCATGCCGTAGAGCGATAGGGCCGCTGTCATTTCAAAGAGGCAGTACACTGTATGCATAAGAAGAGAGATAGGGACTAGCGCAAGTGTTGGATATTCTGCCTTACATTAACCGCGGATGGAATTTCCGAACGGTATAGGGAAGTGATGCTATCAAAAAGCCAAATGGAAATGACAGACAAACACGGAAAACACAAATATTAAATCAAGATGAGCCCGCTCATGGCTGTCGAAAATCCTTCATCTCGCGGCTTTGAAGCTGTTCAGTGGTCACGTCCCGTAGCTTCTGCTCGTAAGCGGAGTCATCAAAGTTGAACATGTCCTTGCAGATACCCATGGCGTATTGGGTGGTGGCTCCGTCATCAGGCTGGCAGTCAACGATAGGGAGTCGAAGCTTCTGACACGGCCAGGCTCCAAGACGACGAAACAAAAACATTACGAGCAAGTGCTTGCATAGCGATACTGAAGCACCACCTGGGTAGACCATGCAAGGCTGTAACGGCAAACAATGGAGAGGCTACAAGATCTATACCATAGTGCCAACGATCACTGCTTGTGAATATGCAAGCCTGAGTAGCCGGGCAGCCCCCAGACGCTCGTTCTGCGCCTCACTGTCACGACTGTGCAGGCGTAACTACGTGCATATACAGCGGGGCGTTTGTGTGGGGTGGCACACACGGCAACAACAACAACACCCTCAGATCAAATGCCGGTAGGTATTCTCGGCCTCCTCATCTACAATCGTCTGGCTTATATCTCTAACGGCTAAAACCGTAGAATGTTTTTATTATCATACCTTAGTAGTTTAGTTCCAGATGACGCACACAAACAATGCGACACTATTTTCGGCAGAAGATTCTTTTTTTGCAGGCAGCAGATCAGTCGTAAGAAAGCCGCCCTTGTTCTTACAAAAAGCTTTCATCCTACTTGATACCTAATGCTTTTCGGTCGGTCCCACCCTGACTGACCAACCGTCATAACCACCCCAAGAACGCCGTCGCCAATGCAAAAGATGACTTCTACAATCCCATCCCCCTCACACGCGGATTCCCACCATCTATTTATCCACCGCGCCGCCGCCGCCGATTAGTCCTTGAACGTCGCCGTCCTCCCGGCCCTCTCCTTCTGCACCCTTCCCAGGCCCTTCGGCGCGTCCGCGGCCCTGGCATACGGGTTGAACTCCTTCTTCTTGTTCTTCCCCTTCTTCCTGTCCTTCCTGTCCTGTTTCGGCGCGTGCAAGACCGACGGCGCCGCATCGTAATCGAACGGCTCTCCATCGCCATCCTCGTCGCCCTCGCCCTCGCCCTCGCCCTCGCCATCCCCCTCACCCTCACCCTCCCCATCCCGATCACCCTCCGCATCGTTGTTGCTCTTCCTCTCCTTCCTCTCCCTCTTCTTCATCTTCTTTTCCTCCTGCCTCGCCGCCTTCTTCGCCTCCTTCTTCGCCGCCTTCGCCGCCCTCTTCTCCTCCCTTGGACTCAGCGGCAGTGCAACGACATCGTCCTGCATCTGCATGTCGTCGTCCCCATCCCCGTCGCCATCGCCATCGCCGCTACCTCCCGCCTCCGCATCTACCTCCGCCTCCTCTGCCTCCGCCGCCAGATCCGCAAGTTTCCGCTTCCTGCCACCACCACCGAGCTGCTTGATGACGATAACGCCGTCGTCGCCCTCCTTCTTGGCCGGCCTGTCCTCCGCCTTGACGAACGCGTGCTCGGCGCGTGAAGCCGGGTTGCTGTTTTGCGATTGGGCAGCTTTCGCCGCCGTGGCGTCGGCCGGGTCCGCAAAGATCTCCGCCGTGAGCGGGGGCAGCGGGACGGCGAGGCGGATGCTCGCGGGCGCGGGAGCGGGGGCGGGCGAAACGAAATCGCCATTGTTATTATTGTGCTGCTGCGCGTTCTGCCACAGGCTGCTCGCGAACGCCTTGCCCCAGAAGGACGACCGGTCCGCGCGCACGAGCGCCGCGTCGCTGACGACGGGCTTCGTAGCGGGGGCGGCGAAAGAAAGCGGTTGCTGCTGCGTAGAGACCAGGGCGGCGGCGGTGGTGGTGGCGGTGGTTTGCGCCGTCGGCAACGCCGTCTTCTCCTTCGCAAAAACCTCCCACATCTCCGGGCCCTCGGCGCCGGCCTCCTTGGCGCGCGCAATGGTGCCGACCAGCTCGTCGGCGCGCAGGCGCACGACGGGCGACACGGGCTGCGCGACGGTGAAGAGCGCGGCCTTGTCCGCCGGCACCGCGCGGGCGACGCTGAACAGCGCGTGGTTGGCCATGACGTAGTGCGTGCTCTCGTCCTCCTGGCGCGCGACCGCGTCGCGCCATTGGTGGACGGCGCGGAAGACGGCGAACTGCTCTTTGTTGAAGGCGTTGGGGTTGCGCCAGAGCGCTTTGTACCACCCCGCCGGGCCACTGCCGTGCTTTGCGTCGTAGATGGGGTTTTCATACGTTTGGAGGGACGTCTCTTTGGATTTGGACAGGACGCGCAGGATGCGGTCTTGTTCCGGGTTGTCAAATTGGGATTCGTCGACCAGTTCGTTGCGCATATTGTCGTATATGTAGAGAAGGAAGTGGGTGTCGGACCGGGCGTAGTCGAAGAGCTCCTGTGGGAGTGGCCTGCGGTTCCTGAGTAACAAAGTTGGGGAATATATGGTGAGATGCAGCTTACCGCATGCGCCAGTCTGCCATCTGGTACTGCTTCTGCGCGTTGAAGTTGACAAACTTTTGCAGAAGGAATGCAAGGCTACCTCCAGCGTATCCCAACGCCCGCGCTGCATGGTGAGTATCAAACAGGCCCACGAGGTAGAGTCCGAGATCGCGCTGCAGCCAGATAGCATCCATGTACGCTCCGTGCAGAACCTTCACGATGTTGGGGTCGGTGAAGACCTCATTGAGGCACTGCAGATTTCTCCGCCAAGGCTTTAGAGTGTCGACGATCCAGTCCTTGTTGCGGGTGCTGATTTGCATCAAAGAAACTATACCGATGTAGGTGCGGGTATCATGGTGCTCCAGATCAATTGCGATCTCCTTGGCATTCTTGAGCTCTGCAAGCATCTCGTCCAATGCTTCTGGAGTATCAACAAAGGTAGCGGTGGTGGTCTCGAATGGCTGGTAGGGAATCGGGTCGGCCTTGGTGTAAACCGAGGAGGGATACTGGTAATCTTCGATCTCCTTCCGGTAAGGGTGTTGGAAGCTACGTGACTGATCAGCAAGAGCTTCTCCCCGAGCAACCACTCCACTTACTGCTCAGCGCCATATTCGTCGGTATAGGTATTGAATGACCGCTCAAAGGGAACGGTAGCATGGGGCTTTGAAGTGATCAGAGGCTTCCAAGGGCTCGTCGCATCGTTCGTCGGGACATGCTCGAACAAGGCCTGAGGCTTCGGCAGATCCTGATTCCTAAAGTTCTTCCCGCCTCTCGACTTGGGCGCAGGGGCCGGGGACTAGTCGCAACCGTCAGCACGCACTCTCGCACCTCATCTCAACGCCGAGAAGCCAATTTACCTGCTCCTTGCTCGGCGTCAAGCGCTTCACGATGCCGGTAAACTCATCCAAGCTCGTATCAGCGCGCTCGAGCAGACTGTCAACGACATCCACGACCCCCCTCCAACCGGAATCGACCGCGTCCTGGTCGTCGAGCTTGGGGCCCACGACTTCGGAACCCGCGGCCGCGGACCCCAGCAGGCGCTCCGCCAGCGAGAGCAGGCGCGCGTTCTGCTTGTCCAGCGCCGCGCCGAGCTTGGGCTCCAGCGAGCGGTGGAAGCCCAGGTCCTCGGCGCAGAGGGCGGTCGTGCTGCGCGTCGTCTGCACGAGGGCGCTCTGGACGCTCTTTTGGAAGTCTTGGAAGTCGTCCATGGTATACGTGTATGCGCGCGCGCGCACGCGTGAGAGGGCTGGAATGGGGTTTCTTTTTCGGAGGAATTCAGCTGCGAGACGGATTGCGCATTGCAGAGCTGAGGCGGGCAGAGTGCGGGTGTTGCGCGCGGTCGGTCGGTCGGCCGAGTCGCGTCGGAGGAGGGTGATGTTCGCGGCCAATCTTTGTGAGAGAGAAATCTTGGGGCGGAAGGGCGCTTATCGATAAGAACAGATGCGATCAGATTAGATTGTGGCTGGACGCGTCGCCTGTGGACGACGGGACTGGTTTGCTCTTCCGTCGCCACAACAACTCAACATGTCCGCATCACTCGCACCAGAATGCAACGAGGTGAAGGAGTATGTCTTCACTCGCACTTTGGCTGTGAGGTACTGACCCGGGGTAGGCGGTATGACACCTGCTTCCTGAAATGGTACAGCGAAAGTGAGCTACCCTGTACCTGATCTACCCGCCACCGCTGACCCACCGAAGAGTTTCTTCGTGGCAATGCCACTACCGACGAATGCGAGCCTCTTTTCAGGCAATACAAGCAATGTATAAGCGTATGAGGCCCCTGATATTCCTTGTTTTCCTCACCCTCACATTCTGCAGAGAGCTCTCCAGGAGCGCGGCATCGACAAGATGGTCGATGAGGCCCGTGAATCCAACCGAGAAAATGACGCTGAGCATATGAAGGGGAACTGTCAGTATCAAATCCTCATGTGGTTCTCACAAGCACTAATGAACATGGTAGAATGGGAATCCGCACTTGCATACAAAGGCGGCGCACGGGACCTTGTAAAATTATTTGATACATATCAGCAGCTTCTTCAAAATTCCGCTATTCAGCCACTGTTGCCAATAAAAATCACTTTTGGACCGAGATCACGAGAGAAAAATCACACTCTTACGACAAAAAGGACTACCTAGCTCTATTGATTAAAACTACATGCATTTTTGGTATCGCGATCTAAATGAACCGGCTTGCCCTTTTGGAAGCAGCGCCCCGGTGACGAACAAGAAAGTACAACCACGGCGAAGAAAGAAGAGAAACAAACCGAATGACGACAACAGCCGCAGCTCCAGAGCCGCTAGAAGCCTTCCCACTCATAGTACCCGAGCGACTGGGTGTGAGCGTTCCAATCCGCAGCACTGAGATCCGACGAGTCCAGCCCGTCGTCGTCGAAATCATCCTCCAAATCATCATCGTGATCGAGACTGCCATCGCTCGTCAAGCTGTCGTAACTCCCCGCCGACTCAGTCTCATGATCAAAGTCGACAGGGCCCCCCATGCTTAGCGGATTCCCTGGAAACACCATACCGCCATACATCTGATTAAACCCCATCAAGTGATCAACAATGGCATCGTCGTCCTCATCATCCACCGACGACGCGTCGTCGTCCCACAAAGCGTCCCGACACTCGTGATGGTCGCACGCCAGCGGCTCATCGTGGGGCCCGAGGCGCCGCTCCGGCGCGGGGGGGCCTCCGTCCTTGCCCTCGCGCAGCACCTCGTCGCAAAAGCGGCGGTAGTCGTACCGCGAGGCGAAGGTCTGGTACCGCTTCGCCCGCGGGTTCCACCGCGTGGCGCGCCGATTGGTCGGGCGCACGACCCAGTTGTACATCTGCGGGATGGGGAAGTCCATGGTGACGGTGGGTTCCGCGTACGCGATGCCCTTCTCGGCGAACATGGCCGGCAGGCGCGAGTGGTTGGGGACCCCCGTCATGCGCCGTCTCGACGTGTGGATCTTGATGGATGCGAGCGAGGGGTTCTGGGCGCGCGAAGACGTCTCGAAGGCGAGGAGGTTCTCGACGACGACGGGCGGGGCTTGGAAGATGATGAGCTCTTTGAGCGAGGGGGGGAGGAGGTCCGGGAGCGGGGGTTGGGTGTTGGCGGTGTGGATGTCGTTGTCTTCCTCGTCGCGGAAGTCGTCCACCATGAGGGGCACGGGGGCCAGGTGGTGTGTTGGCTTCCAGCGGAGGGTGCCGTAGTCCATGACGACCTTCTCGAGACTGGTGAAGTCGGCCATGGATTTGAAGCTGGTGAAGGTGCGGGGGAAGTTCCAATGCGAAAGGTCTAGGGCCAGGTACTTCAGGGTCGCTTTGTGCTTGAGCAGGTGCGGTTTGGCTTCCTGGGCGCGGAACTGCTCGAAGCCGACGTATCTTCCACCAGTAACGTAGGAGAAGGCCTCGAGGGCTTTGCAGCCTCGTATCAGGTTCTTGATGGTCCTTGGACCTAGTGAACAGCGTTCGAGATAGATGTGGGTAAGCGAGAGGGAGTTGGGCTCGACGTTTAGATATCTGTTGGAGATGTCGTCGTCCCACTCATCACTCATGGCCATGTAGCCATGCAGCTCTCGCAACGAGGGTAATTTGATTACAGTATGGAGTTCGACAAAGTCCCAATTCGAGTCCTCGCATTTACCAGCGACCTTGAGCTTGGTCAGGGAGGTCAGTGAATTGGAGCAGAGCTTATCCCAGGGCAAGGCTTGGGTCATGCGATGGCCACGTAGGGACAGTTCCTGCAGACGGGGCAGCATGGAGAGCAGTAGAAGGACCTGCGGGTCTTCAAGGCCATGCTTCAGGCAGCGCAAGAACTCGACATCATCGTGTACGCGTGAGTGAGAGCGACCATGGGAGCTCTCGATGGAGTCGGCGTCAGGGTCGGAGACAGAATCGGAGTCGTAGGCGAGTTCGTCCAGATCGTCAGAGTCGTAGCCGTCAGAGTCGTAGGCGGGGCCGTAGTCACACCAGAGCTGGTCGTTCCTGACGATGGGCCTGAAGTGCTTGCAGTCTTGGTCTTCCTGGACGAGGCCGGACTGCTTTGCAGCGGCGACAAAGGAGTCGAATTGGTCGTCAGGCAGAGCGGGAATGTGATATGGGAAGGTGGGGTGCAGATAGACCAGCTTGGTGGTCCAGGCGGCGAGCTCGACACGGCGCACGTGGTGGGCGAGGTCGGCATGTTGGGCAATGCGGGAGAGAAAGATGGATATGGGACGGAGGAACTTGAAGTTGGTGTTGGTGTAGTCCGAGTACAAGCGCGGGAGGACGAGCTTGTTGAACGAGGTGCAGACCAGGGAGAGGTTGAGCAGATCGATTTGGTCGGCATAGGACAAGACCCAGTCGAGCAGCTCGGGCGGCAGGTCGTGGAGACCAGTGGCGGGGGTGCCGATAGTGCGACTTGAGCGCAGCTTCATGTTGGAGCTTGGCTGGATCAGCGCGGGAGGACGAAAGGGCGGAGAGGGCGTCAGAGGCGGAGACACAGGAGTCCGTGCCGTGCAGCCAGCTCAGCCGACTTGTCGACAGCAAGTGGCAACGGGAAACAGGAGATGGAGCTGTTGACGTGCCCAGGAAACAAAGCGGGCTGGATAAAGTAATGCACGGGCGTGGCGTGTTGAGGCAGTCGAGCAGTCAGTGCTCAGGCTCGGCGTCCTGAAATTTTCCGCCCAAAGCCGCGCACCGCACGCGTTTTGGTTTGATGACGTAGTCGCGTCGCACCCGCGAATCCACCTGACCTGTCCTCTCACCCTTAGCTCTCTGTTTCCCATGCTCTGAACCAAAAAAAACAAACATCTGGAATGCAGAGGTCTCAGAATTTCCGAACCGAATTTTCTCGTTTATAGTTTCCAACCAAGTGCTCACGGCTTTGGCCAACCTGGTGAGCAGCGCTGGTGCGACTCGATCAATCGCGTCACTTGTCACATATACAACCAACGATCTTTTCCAAAAGAATGCGGAAAAAGAAACTCAGCTCTTACACTTTTCGCCAGGCTTACCCTGAAGGTATTCCTTGCTGCATCTCCTGTGCCGCCGTATGCAACCACGGTGCCAATCTGTCGAATGATAGCCTAAAGGAGTCTGCTTATGTGCATGAACCCCGCAAAGTCACCTCCGACCGCCCAAAACACTTCGCTCTCCGCCCTCTTTCTCTATCTCTCCCGCTCTCATATTCATTTCCCGCTCACAATGGCAATCGCCTCTCTTCTGTCGTCCTTCTCCTCCAGCGTGCGAGAAGCGCCTCTCGCCTTCTCCCTGGGTGCTTCTATCGTGCTGCTCACTTTGGCTTGGTGTTGGGCCAAGGATGAACTGCCGTACTCGGGCTTCCCCGTAGTCGGCAAGGAAAAGGGAGAATGGCTCAACACGAAGGCGAAAATGCGTTATGTCATGAATGCAAACACCATTCTGAAGCAAGGCCTGGAGAAGGTGCGCCCCATGCACCCACTCGACATATTGCCATGGAGCTGACCCAGCCACAGTACAAACGTCCCTTCCAGATCCTGGCAAGCCACGGTCCCGTCATCGTCTTACCACCAACCATGACGGATGAGATCCGCAACGACGACCGCCTGTCCTTCCTCAAATCCGCCCAGACGGTATATATGAGACCATCCAAGGGAGCCGACTCTTCTCCGCATACTGACAACCCCATGACGAAAGCTATTCTTGCCTCAATACCCCGGCCTGGAAATCTTCCACAACGACATTGAAACCCACAAAATCGTCCTCACAGTAATCAAGCAGAGCCTGACCCAATCCCTCAGTCAGTCTCCATTCCCCCAGGCATTCACCCGCCAAAAAAAAAAAAAAAACAGAAAACAGCACCCACCTAACCCACCCCACACCAGACTCCATGACCCCCATCCTCGCCGCCGAAATCCACTCCACGCTGCAGACCCTCCTCCCCCTCCCGGCCACCACCAAAGACTCCACCTCCACCTTCACCCCCATCCGCCTCGCCACCCTCACCCCGACCATGGCCGCCCGCCTCTCGGCCCGCGCCTTCCTCGGCGCCCCCCTCTGCCACGACCCGGCCTGGCTCGACATCTCCGTCACGTATGCGATCAACGCCCTGGGCGCGGTGCAGGCGCTGCGCTCGTGGCCCGCGTTCCTGCGCCCGCTGGTGCACAAGTGGTTCGTGCCGCAGCTGCGCGTGCTGCGCGAGCAGATCGCGACGGCGAGGGGGATCGTCGGGCCGGAGATGAGGAAGAGGAGGGCGGAGAGGGCGGAGAGGGCGAAGAGGCGGGGGGTGGAGGGGGAGAAGGAAGAGGGAGGAGGAGGGGGTGGAGAAGGAGCAGCGGCGCGGCCGATGGATGCGCTCGAGTGGATGGCGGTGCAGGCGGAGCGCGAGGGGCGCGCCGACGTGTTCGACGCGACGCTCGCGCAGGTGCTGCTGAGCTTCGTGTCGATCCACACGACGTCCGGCACGCTGCTGGGGCTGATGTACGACGTCGTCGGTGCCGGGTGGGCCGACGCGTTGCGGAGCGAGGTCGTCGACGTGCTGCGCGAGGAGGGCGGCTGGTCGAAGAACGCGCTGTATAGGATGAAGCTGATGGATAGCTGCCTGAAGGAAAGCCAGAGGCTGCACCCGATGAACTCGCGTGAGAACGAAGTCTCCCTTAATCTTCCTCACTCTCTCCCTCTCCATCCCTCTCTTTCCTTGCCCCGCGGCTTTCGTTGAGTGCTGATGTGATGCTGGACGCAGTCTTCATGAACCGCGAAGTCACCGCCCCCGTCACGCTGTCCGACGGCACCCGCCTCCCCGTGGGCGCCATCATCGGCATCCCGACCTTCCCCATGCACGACCCGGACACCGCACTGTACGACAACCCGGGCGTCTTTGACGGCGCGCGCTTCCTCAAGCTGCGCGAGACCGACAACGACACGAAGTGGCAGTTCGTCACCACGAGCCCCGAGCATTTCGGCTTCGGGCACGGGAAGCAGGCTTGGTGAGTGCATGTTCTTTGCCTGCTTAATCACTCGAAAACCGGGCGCCGTTTGAAGAGTGGTGTGCTGACGAAAAGCCATTCGATTGTTGCTGTAGCCCCGGGCGGTTCTTTGCGAGCAATGAGATCAAGATCATCATGGCTCATTTGTTGTTGATGTTCGATTGGAAGTTTGAGGCGGGGGACGAGCCGAAGAAGTTGAGCCTGGTGGAATGCGAGTTTGTGCCGGATGTGGAGCAGAAGATTTGGGTGAAGCCGAGGGTGCCCGAGGTGGATCTGGGTGCGTTTTGAGGGATGGAATCCACCTGGTAAGCTACCCAGCGGAACCTGTGAGATGGAAGCCACTAGATGTTGTAATTAGGGTTCATTTGAGAGATGATGATGATGAACTTACATTCCGTCAGCTTTGGCACTGAGTTTTCCTCTATCTGCCGCTGAACATTTGTCCGCGATTCCCCATCTTTTCCAGTTTTTGGTGGAGGTAGTGATGGTTTTTATTGCTCCCTGGCTTGCGGTACCTACTGCCTCCCACGGTTAGATGCGAAAGATATCCAATGGAAAATCAGATGAGTGATATTCTCTTTTCATCAAAGCTTTAGCGTCCATGTGCGAAGTGTATTACCGAATTTGCCCCCAGAATCCAGTATCCAGTTCTGGAGACAATACTGATCCTGCTGTAACAGATTTCACCCTACGGTAGCCCGCGCTAGCTCGTCAGACCCATTTCCACCACAAAAGGCCAGATCTTTACACTACGCCCCTGCCAGCACGGATGCTCTTGGCCAGCTCCGACTGAGCAGTATTGTCCGCATAGCGCTTGTACAGTGGCCTGTAGTGCTCCGCATCACTCGTCGTCTCCCTCACACTCCTTCTGTCCGCAACCGCCTCGGCAAACTTCCGCCACCTCTTCCAAACGGCATCATCCCCCTTCTCTCCCTCCTTCGGGATTCCCGAGCCGCCCTTGAACTCGTCAAAAACCCAGTTGCGGATCTGCAGCAAACATCAGTCAGCCCTCAACCTTCCCACTCAAGGGGGAACAAAAAAAAAACAGTAGTCCCCTGAATTGCATCGTACTCACCACCCACGGCGCGATATTCCAATCCACAGCCCCGGGCTCCTTCCCGCCCCACCACGGGCCCTCCGCATCCGCCTCCCCGATCCACTCCCTCAAATACCCCAAATACTCCGCCCGCACCTTCGCCAACCCCTCCTCCCCCTCCGGCCCGTCATACTGCAAAAACCGATGATACGCGGGAATGATGCGGCTGGTCACGAAGTCCATCCAGATGCGCTGGCGGGCCTTGTCGTACGGGTCGGGCGGATAGAGCGGCGCGGTGCCGGCGCCGGGGGCGGCCGGGTACGCCTCGTTGAGGAAGTCGACGACGACGGTGCTCTCGTAGAGGGGCTTGCCGTCGTGCTCGAGCGTGGGGACGAGGCCGCGCGGGTTGAGGGAGAGGAGCGACGCGGGTTTGTGGTAGGGGTTCACTTCGATGTAGGTGTACGGGATCTGCTTCTCTTCGAGCACGAGCCACACGCGCTGCACGAAGGGGCAGAACCAGCCGGCGTAGAGCTTGAGCGGGGCGGGGGCTTGGTGGGCTGGGAAAGCAGGGTTAGTCGTGGATGGGAGGGGGAAGTGGGGGGTTGGAGGCGGGGGAGGAGAAGGGTGGAGCTTGGGGCAGGAGGGGAGAACGGGTGGGGGAGGGTGGGGGAGGGATGCAAAGGTCACCTTTCACAGTGTTGATGGCTAGGCCGGTGGCCTCGGGGTAGATGTGGGCGTCGGGTGGCGACATTGTGGGGCAGGCGGCGATGGAATTCTGCGAGTGGTGTTGGTGTTGGATGCTGGGTCTTACAGAGGGATTGAATGGTTTATATCTAAGTGAGTCTTTCGCCTTGACGCTGAGGTAGATTGATAATCAAAGTGGGTGAGATCGTGAAGTGATGTTGGCCGAACATGACGCAAGCGGGGGCTCGAATCATGACAAATTACCCCGCACTAACGTTGGATTCTCTCGCTCTTCAATGACCATTCCAGCTTGATTCGTCCACAGAGTCTCCAGTGATCTCCGTTTGCCGCCGCTTGCACATTCTAGGCAATTCTTGGCAAGGTGGTGGTTTCATGCAGGCCTCAGACTCAGTGACAGCTTCTTCCATCAGGGACCTCGTCTTTTCCACAGCCGTAATATTTAAAAAGTGATCATGGTAAGCATTCCTCAGCTTGCTGATATTTCGCGAAAAGCTCCGGCCGAGTTGGTCCGAATCCGTCCGAAATGCGGTGCGTCTCAGTCAGCGCACAGCGACCACCACAAATACCCGCACTGACTTGTTGCTTCGCTGTTCCTAATCAAATCCTCTCAAGATGGTCCGTACGGCTTACTGATTGTTAGAGGAGAGGCTAATCATCGTCAAGGATATGGGTGTTGAAATCATACTTGATCATCACGTCACCATTCGCTACAACTCAACAATCACGCGCTCTCCCGCAAGTGATCAATATGCGAGCCTTCGTACTGAAGAACATCAACGACACACTTTCCCCATAGACTATGGGGCGCATAGAGCCTGCAATTTTTGCAGACATTGCTGGCTAGTTCCGCCAGTCGTCTTGGATGATGCAGAATGCATCAACTTAAAGGTACTGAAACTTCCACTCCCGGCTTGTTGTGACGAGGTCTTGAAAACAGGTCTTGAAAGGCCATTCCGGGCAAGAGATTCATTGCTCTTCTTTACGTTGTATCCGATGGTCTTTTTGACTGGGAATATCCCTTAAATACAGCTCAGCGAGGTGAACTTTGTCAAGTCCAATCTCCCACTCATGAACCGTAAGGGTGTCGTCCTGTTCAATTGAAGTTTTCTCTTTTCTCCGCCAAGGATGAGAGCACTCGCATTTTCTGATGGCGATTCCTCATCAATACCGATGTCGAGTATCCGTTCAAGCACTTGTTCAATCTCGGCCGGCATCTCACATCGGTTGAGTTGCAAGTTCTGAGCCAGCGTGTTTGGAAAAACTTTTGATCGTGATATACTTCTCATTCATTGCGTACCTTATCGCCCCCCAACATTCTTCCAGACTGTCATACCCAACGAAGCCTCTATATCTATTCCAGACGCTTCTTCCCGAACCAAAACTCTATCCAACAACATCCGCCAACGCCCCCCACGCCTCCGCCCTCCACGGCGCACACATGACCGCCCTCTGCGCATCCGCGACGGTCCCCACACCCGCAAACGCGGCGGCCAACCCCTCCGCCTGCAGCGGGCCGTTCGGCGGGACGGCCCTCTTCGCCGTGACGAGGGCCATCTGCGCCGGGTACGCGACGTGCTCCTCCGCATCCGCCGCCTGCTCCGCGCCATCCGCAACGAGGCCGGCGAGCTGCGTCCAGCCGTGAGGCAGGTGCGGCGCGAGCATGATGCTGGTTTGGACCTCCGTCCTCACGGCATCCACCACCTCCTGCTCCTCCGACCCGGACGACAGCTCGGCAATGGCGTCCAAGACCTTCTCGATGCGCCTGAGCTGATGGGTGTCGAGGCCGGGTCTCGTGCGCAGGGCCTGCAGGTCGTCCCTGACCGCGTCCATCGTGTCCGCGTCTTCGTCCAGGCTCGCCATGGCGCCGAGCAGGACGACGGCGCCGACGTGGTCGGGGTGCTCGCCGACGCATTCGAAGAGCTGGTCGCGCGCGACGCTCTTCTCGTCGGCGCCGCCCTTGGCCCACAGCACTTCCGCGAGCGAGCACACCACGTCCGGCGCCGAGCCGCTCTCCTGCAGCGCGGTGCGGAAGTGGTCGATGGCCGCGTCCATGGCGTTGAGCTTGTACTGCGCCAGCCCGGCCGTCAGGCGTGCGCCCAGCCGGACCTTGCGCCGCGCGTCGGCGCTCAGCCCTGTGCCTTCCTCCTCGGCCGTCAAATCCAGCGCTGTCTCGGCGTCTTCGGCGGCCGCCGCGAAGTCGGATGCCGCGAGACGGTTGCGGGCGAGGTCAGTCTTGGCTTGTGCGAAGCGGGAGAGGGCCTGTGGCGACTCCGAAACCTCGAAATCCGCTTCGGCGGCGGCGCAGATCTCCTCGAGCGCAGAGATGGCCGTGTCGTAATTGCCGACCCGTTCGAGGTAGAGTGATGCAAGGTGGCGGTGAGGGATGTCTGTTGATTTTTGCGAGTAGAGCTGTTGGAGAGCGAAGAGAGGCTGAATGAGCTTCGTGATGTCGCTCGAGGCTGAGGGCGAAGAAAGGAGATGGTCGAAGGTAGAGACTGCGTACTGCCTCTTGACAACAAGAGAAGAAGCGTCACTGATTTCAAATGCATGAGTGAAATGAGACAATGCTTCCTTGGCATCTCCCCATAGCAGGGCGATGAGGCCTTCACCCAGCCAAGCTTGCGGGTAATCCGGATCTGTGGATTGAGCACGGGCAAAGGTCGTGTGGGCAAGCTCGTAGTCGTTCTCCAAGAGATACAACGTCCCGAGGTTCACCCAAACCTTTGCGTTACGCTCGTTCAGATGGAGGCTGCGGACGAACGAGTGTTGAGCGACCTTGGGATTGAGTTGTGTGGTGACAATTCCGAGGGCGTTCCAGAACTCAGCGTTGCCAGCCTCGAGCTCGATCGCTCTCTTAAAGCATCTCATCGCCGCCTTGAGAAGCTTCAGGCTCTTTTTGCTTTGCGCAGCTGGATCAACGTCCTGCTCACAGCACACATACGCTCTATACTCCGTCCAGCCAAGGTTGTACCATGCAACCGCTTGAGCGTGGATGTCGTGAGCGCAGGCATAGATCGCCCGCTTCTGGGCGAGGATGGCTGCATCGAGGCACTTGCGAGCAGTCGATGTTCCCTTTTCTGACTCCCCGGATAAGGACGCAAGCTGTTCCTGTCCGATCCCATCGTCATCGGAAAACATGTCGAACTCTTTAGCTTCGATGCCCGTCTCCAGCAAGCTCTTCACCGTCTCAAGAGGCAAGTCCTTGATCCTGCTCTGAACCCACGTGAAGATTGAGCAAGCATCACCCACTGCCTTCCACAGATTGAAGGCCTCGGGCTTATACTCCGCCACCGTCTTCGCAACGGTAAGGGCTTCCAAGGCGCTATCCGCCGCCTTGCCGAAGAAACTGGTCTCGATATATCGCCAGCCTCTCTCAACAAGCGTCTGAAGCAGCGCAATTTGAACGCCGAATTCATTTTGTCTCGACTCCAACACTTGCTTGTAGCCATCGATGGCCTCTTCATACTGGCCGAGTTCGCGGTTGACGTTCGCAAGCATGTACTTCGTAAACCAGTTCTCGGCTGGCTTCTTCATCTGTACTCCGTCCGTCGGGTTTTCGGCATAATTGAAGGTTCTGAGCGCCGAGTTGTACCTGCCGGAGTTGTGGTAGCTCTCGCCCAGGCCGACGTAAGAGTTGTAGTCATCCGGACTGATGCGTAAAGCCGAGAGGAAGGAATATACGCTCTTGCTGTACTCCTGTTTGTTCATCTGCACAATTCCCATTGCCGAGAAAGGCCAGCTCACCCCCTTCTTCTTCTTGGATCCGGGGGCAGGACGGCATTTGCCGGACTCGATGGCGCGCTCGGCGACGACCTCGACAATATCCCAGTCACCCTGGTCAGCGAATGAACGGGCAAGGCGCTCGGCAGCCTCCAGCTCCGACGCAGATAATTCAAACGCTTTCTGGAAGCATTGCCTTGCACGTCTCTTGTCTCGGGCATAGTCCTGGTAGTAGATGCCTAAACTAGTGTATGCAGGAGCAAGGCTCGGGTTTGTCTTGATGGCCTGCAAGAAGCTGGCGTATGCTCCTGTCCTGTCTTTTCGAGCCTGTCGTGTGGGATCGATCTCCCAGATGCAGATACCGATGCGGTACAAAGTTTGTGCTCTCAAATCCCGGGATCTAAGATCTGTGGTCTTCATCTTCTCGACATACGTCTCGAGCTCGCCAAGAGCAGTGGTGTGATCGCCATTGAGAGCCTTACACCAAGCCGTCTCAGCCCCTATCCGGGCATTTTCCGCATCGCGCGCCAAGGCCCTGCTCAAGAAGTCGATCGCCTCTGCGAACTCTTCCTCTTCTTCGAGAATGAGACCAACTCCGATAAGAGCTGGGGTGAAAGTGGCCTTGCGCTGAAGGATCTCATGGAAGATAGACTTCGCTTCTGGGTGGTTCTTAGGGGACTGGTACTGGATAAGCGATGTAGCAAGAGTGCTATTGATAGCATCCTTGTTGTTCTGAAATTCCAGTCCACTCTTCTGTGCCTCAGACACGACAAGCTTCAGACCTTTCTTGGCGATCTCGACAGAGCTTTCAAATTCCTCCAAGTGGAGGTAGTATTCGCCCATCAATCGGTGAGCGAGAGGAGATTGCTTCGCATCATCGAGACCTTCGGTCATTAGCAGCAGCCTATCCTCCTGGCTCAATGGCACCTCTTTCTCTTCTTTACTCTCATCCTCCCCATCCTTCGGTTCCTGCGGCAGCTTCAAGGGGAACGGCGCGATCTCGCTGACGAGATATCCCTTCAGCATCTTCGCCAGCCCATCATCCGGGAAGAACTCGATAAACTCCCGCACGACATTCGCATCAAATTCCAGCAGGCTCTCCACATCCGTCCACTCCAGCTCTAGCCGCCACGCCAGCGCAAACGGATGCTTGATGATAACCATGCCATGCGCGAGCTTGAGCACCTGCTCCCTCTTCTCCGCTTTCTTCGCCGCAGGCAGTACCGCCAGCGTATCGAACGCGCGCTGCAGCAGCTTCTCCTCATACGATCTCCTCACCTCATCATCCTGCGTCCAGTCCACAACGGCCTGATACAGCTCCTCAAGCCGACTAGCCTCATACACCTCCCTCTTGACCTCGGTCGTGACCTGGCCGATGCGCGCGCCGAGCCGCGTCCTCCTCTCGCCAATCTCTCTGTTGATCTTCTCCTTCTCCTCCTGCTCGACAATCTCCACGATGCGCGTATACGTCGCGCTCGGATGCGGCACCCTCCCCTCCAAGAACCCGTAATGCTCGCTCGTCGGCAGATACACCTCGAGCGCGCGCCTGTACTGCGCGCGCGACCCCTTGGCCCGCGCCAGATCCACCACCTTGTCCACCGCGACCTGCGCCCTGTGCGCGTCGTCCAGCCCCGCGTAGATGCCCGCCAGCCGCTCCCCCACCCGGATGTACTCGTCCACCCTCTCCCCGCCCCGCGCCTCGTACACCCCCCGCAGCCCCAGCCACGCCTGGTCGTCGTCCGGCTTCGTCGACGCGGCTTCCTCGTACGCCTTCGCCGCGTCGTCCGGCTTGCCTTGCTTGTCGAGCGCGCGCCCGAGGAAGAGGCGGGCGAAGTACGTCTTCTGCGGGTCCGACTCGGTCTCGAGGACGCTGGAGGCGTGCGTGATGGCGGCGTCCCATTGTTGGGCGTCGAGGGCAGCTTTGGCGGCTTTGAGGGCTGCTTTGGTGGATGATTGTGGTGGGACCATGGCGACAGCGGTGGTTGTGGTGGTGGGGGTTTTGTGGGTGCTCTCTCGGGTTCTTTCTAATATGGTGATTGAGGTGGGGAAAGCGCGTGGTTGGGTCGACCCATGGGTGTGGTGGTTGCTCGTGCCGGTGGGGCGGCGTGGGAAGGAGGAGTTCCTCCTTGGCGGGGCGGTGGTGGTTTGGTAAAAGAGGTAGAAGACGCGAGAACGCGTTCGAGAATGTGGAAGGACGTCATGGGCCCTTTTCAGCCCTACGGAGCACGGACCTGGCAAAGTAGAGCTTCCCCCGCCATCACAAGTCATTCATTGTTATTTTGACATTTGGAACGTGCATATCGGTTTCAATTGAGCGCTTGCAGGCACCCAAAGCGGTGCAATGCATGGCTGTATTCATTCTACAAAGCAAAGATTCGCACCCCACACATTATCGACAACCAAGCAATTATCAACTCGCTACCAATAATCCCGGATAAATCGCCATGTCCTCAGGAGTGGCCACCACACCCAGACGCCTCCAACACCATGCGCATGCAGCAGATGTTTAATCGACCCGCCAAATTCAAACCTGTGTCTCCTCAATCCTGCGCATCTCGGACCTTGCTCGGCGTCTGCACGCCCGGCTTCTCCTGATGTGCCGCCACCTCGACGACGCTGAGAGCGCTCTCACCAGCCGTCGGCACGCTCATACCCAGCATCCGCTGCGCCACGGCCTTGTGGCCATCTTGGCTGGGGCTGTCGCGGCCCTCGGCGCCGCTGCCGTCGACTGAGAAGCTGGCGCGGCGCTTGTTTAGCCAGGCAACCTCGGCACAGCGCTTGGCTAGTCGAATCGTGGTCTCGTCGTGCGACTCGAAATGGCGCCACGGGTTATCGTTGGCTGCGCTGAGGTAGTCTAGCATCTTGAGCAGCTCGTCCGGTTTGTAGTGCGGCGGCCGGTTGACCTGGCTGTTGGCCAGCAGTGGGTGCAGCACGCGCAGGTACGTGTGTCGGATCGCCGCCGACGTTGTGTCGTCTGATGGCAGGTCCAGCAGGTTGCGGATGATGATGTCGATGAGCACGTATAGGTCATTGGTGTAGAAGTAGTCGCACGTCTTCTCGTTCAGGAAGAGGAGATAGAGAAGCTTCAGGATTAGCAGAGTGAGTGAAGCCTCCGTCTCGCGGTTTAGTAGGAGGATCATGTTCTCTCCGAAAGTCTTGTAGATGTTGCCGTGAGTCGAGAGAGCTTTGATAACGCGGTTCGTGAGCGGCACAGCCGGGGTCGGGATGTTAGCTACGAAATATTGTTCGTTGAGAACCAGCTGTGATGGACTGTTAGCGTGTCCCGGCTATTTCTATTTCGAGAGCTGTACCAAAACACGAATGACGTGGTAGCAGAAAGGATCGTTTGGATCGCCAAAAAGCTCCTCTACGGTCTGAAAGAGGCCAAGGACGAAGGCATCGTCAACCGCGGCTGGAGTTTGCGTCAGCGATATGTAAACCCTCGCGTGTGATGTAAGAGAGCCCACCTAGCTCTGCGGCCGAAAGACGTTCTATCCTGGACATCTCGTACATGAGCTGCAAGAGTAGACGGTGCAGGTTCTTCTGCTCGTCGACATTGGTGTCCCGGATGAGCTCGACGAGGCGCGAGAAAGCCCCTTCCTTGTTCATCATGTGGAAGACCTGCTGGTCATCGTCGTCGGCGAGACCATCGACGAGCAGCACGGCCGCAACCACCTGCAGCGTTGACGGTTCATCCTCCTACCACGCCGTCAGCAAATCCTCGCCAGCAGTGCGACTAAAGAAGCGGACGCGGTACCTGAAGCAGGCTGTAGACGAACTGCGTGCGCACGTAGTCTTTGTTCTTGGTGTAGATGGAGTGTTCCAGCAGGGTGTTGGCGCACTGCTTGAAGTCGTCTTCGGTGTGGAGGTATTCCTCTGGAAGCGTCAACAGGGGTCCAGTCAGGCAAGCAGCTGGGAGTGGGGCGCACCGTGGAAGTTGTTGGCGAAGGCGAGGTAGTTGCGGAGAGCGCTGTCTATGGCTTCGTGCGAGTCGCACCGGACGCAGACGATATCCTCCAGCTCTGCGACGCGTCAGTGAGAGCAGCGGGCGCGGGCGCGGGCGCGGGCGTGTCGATTCCGTACCTTCCCAGAACTGTTCCGCGTTATCGAGGCTGTAGGAAACCTCGAACTCCATGCTGGCGCCGGCGCGCAAGATGCATCGTCTCTGGTGCTGCTTTGCGTGGGGCGGGAGGGGCTGCTAGCCGGTGCAGTGGCCTTTTGTAACTTGCAAGGGCCTGGATCTTCCCACGCCCCAGATGACCCCAAGCCGGCAACTGCTTCCGCCGCCCACAACCACCGATAAGCCGATTCACGCGCCCGTCTTCTTGCAATGCTTCGCAGTCCATTCCACACAGAAATATTCTCCATTGGGCGCCGTAGAGAAGTGGAGCTGCGCAACCGCGCCGCTCGGCGCTCGACTATCAAAGCATGACCCAAGACTCCTTCCCCTAAACACCCTACAGCGTGCTGTCTAATCAACAAGTACGCAGCTCTACGCCACCGACTCTCGCAAGTGCGATTTTGTCCTACCCCAGGGTAACGCCGGTATCAGAAAAAAGATTGCGTCCTCGCCATGTGCTGCAAACGCGCTAGAAATTGAACCCCCCGAATCCCCCACCGGGGAAGCCTCCGCCAAATCCACCACCACCCGCGTGGAATTTGAACGAACCTCCCGGGCCTCCCGGCCGCATGAAAAACTGCTGACCTCCAGGTCCACCAAAAGGAGAGCCCTGGAACGGGTTTGATTGCCCCTCGTGATCGTTGGGGTCATCGCCGTTGTCGAATCGCGCCTTGAGCTCCGGGTCACTGAGCACTTCGTAAGCCTCATTGATTGAGGCCATCTTCTTCTGTGCTTCCTCTGGCGTGATGCCCTTCTGTGATGCTTTGTCGGGGTGGTGTTCCTTGGTAAGCTTGCGGTATGCCCGCTTGATCTCCCTCTCGTCTGCGTCCCTCGAAACTCCCAGGACCTTGTAATAGTCCTTTTGCTTCGACCGCTTTAGGAGATTGTGGGCCTTTTTCTGGAGCTCTTGGATTTTTCGCTGCAGCTGCTGGTTTCCTTGCTCCTTCGCCTTTTCATTGGCGTCGTTTAGAATGTGAATCGCCGGCTCAAACTCATCTGCATCGATCTTGCGTTCTGCGTCGAGAATCAGACCATGCAGATTGTTGGGGTTCAGCTTGTGTGCTTCCGCGCAGTATGTTTCGGCGCGTTTCTTGTTGTTCATCTGCAATATTGTGAGCATCCGCGTCTGATCCGAAAGCTCTTGTGTTTACTCACCTCGACATAAGCCTCGCAGACCATCTCGACAAGGTCCGTGTAGAGCCCGTCCGGAGTCTTGATGTGAATATAACCCTGTTCCTTGTACTGCTTGACATCCTCCTTCACTTCCTCGAGAAGGCCTGCGCTTTCGCCCGACTTGATCAGAAGCTTAACGGCACTGGCATACTGTCTCTTCTCCACCAGACCCTTTGCCTTCTTGAGTTGCTTGTCCAACGCCTTCTCGCGCTTCATGAGCTTCATGCAGGCCTTGGAATCGGGGTCCGACTGCAGACATTTGCGGATATGAGCTAAGCCCTTGTCGGTCTCGCCAAGGGAATAGAACGTCATGGCTGAACTTTGGAGGTGGGGCTCGATGGACCCTGAGTTGATCTGCAACACATGCTGCAGGTCGTTGACTCCCTCGGCGACCTCGCCCTTCTCGAACCGACACCTGGCCCTCAGTTTGCGCAACTCCAGGTTGCCGCCAGCGACCATGACGGCGACGCCGGCATTGGTTATGCAACCATCCCAGTCGCCCTGTTGCTCTGCCTCGGCGGCCAGAGTCGCGGCGCCCTGGGCCTCCTCCAATTCCGTGATTTCAGGACCTCCCTTCTTGCCCGCGGTCTCGTAGTCCTTGCGCGCAGCGTCCCAATCGCCATGGCGACTCTTCAGCTTCGCGCGCTGGACCAGGGCGCCCTCGAAGTCGGGTTTTATCGCGAGGACCTTGTCGAAGTCCTGCTGGGCCTGGTTGTTCTTGCCGAGGGAAAGATAGGTGGCGCCGCGCTTGAATATGGTGAGGTAGTTCTTAGGGTCTCGGGATACAGCGGCGTCGAAGTAGGTCAAGGCATCCTGGGCGTTGCCGGCGGCGAGTTGTTGGTTCGCGGAGGCGATCAGCTCCGAGACGGGTGTGTCGGCGGGAATGCTGGCGGGCGACAGAGCGAGGGCGAAGGGCAGGGCGGCGCTGACCGCCAAGACGCGCAGCGGGAGCAGCATGGTGGGTGAAGCGTGTGTAAGGCCAGCGAGCGTGGTCGAGTGCTTTGGACTCGGGGGTATTAATAGAAAGAGAGGTGCATAATTGGGAATGAGGAAAGCTGGCCATTCGGCACCTTCGCCCCAACCAGGCATCTTATCGGCCTGCTATCTCCGTGCCCGAGGTTGTGCCGGGCCCAGATTCTCGGAGCACTGTTAGATGAACCATTGTTGCTGCCATAGGCATGTGAGTAGCAACTGCACGATAAATTTATCATTCCAATCTGGCGGATGGGCCAAAGCTGTAACTTCGCTGTCGCGCGTCAGTCGCTATCTCACAGCACCCCAACCGGGGTTCATGCCGCGAGACCCCCGTTCGCACCGGCCGGGTCAATGACGCACGCGGGATTGCCAGGATGCCGCGGCCTGCGCCTCATGCGCCTGAACCTCCTCGTCGCCTCCGCCTCCGCCTCCGCAAGCGGGCCTACATTAGCTGCTCGAGCCGCACCTACCACTGCTCGTACTCGTACTCCGTTCGCTCGTGCTATATCTACCAGATCCTACCCTACCCCACGTCTTCGCCCCTCTTCTCCGTCGATTCCTCCTCAACATTTGCCCTAAATGGCTCCCCTTCGCCTGCGCGTCGATGGCCGTACATTCCGTGACCCAAGCAACCGCGAGGTCACCCTACACGGAATCAACGTTGCCGCCGATGCCAAATTCCCCGCACACCCGGATCAGCCCTCGCATGTCGCCGATGCCTTCTACGATGGCGACACCGTGTCTTTCGTCGACCGCCCTTTCACTGTTGACACCGCCCACACCCACTTCACGAGACTGAGGAAGATAGGCTATAACACCATCAGATACATCTTCACATGGGAGGCAATCGAGCACGCCGGGCCCGGCAAGTACGATGAGGAGTGGATACAGCACACCATCGCCATCCTCCGGGTGGCCAAGGAGTACGGCTTCTACGTGTTTATGGACCCGCACCAGGATGTCGTACGTAGACTTGAAATGCAATACTTCTCCCTCCATGCTGATTGCTCTGATCGTGAACGCAGTGGTCCAGGTTCACCGGCGGCTCGGGCGCCCCTCTCTGGACAGTATACGCATGCGGATTGAATCCGCGAGCTTTTGACATCACCGAAGCTGCCCTCGTCCAAAACACCTACCCCGACCCCGAACAATTCCCCAAGATGATCTGGGCCACAAATTACTCTAGGTTGGCGTGTCAGACCATCTTCACCCTCTTCTTCGCCGGAAAGGCGTTCGCGCCCAAAGCCATCATAAACGGCGTGAACATTCAAGACTACCTTCAAGATCACTTCTTCGCCGCTCTTAAGCACCTCGCGCTACGCATTCAGGAAGCAGGCGACTTGGAAAATGAGCTGATCATCGGGTGGGAGAGCATCAACGAGCCAAACAGGGGATTTGTCGGCTGGGAAGATCTGTCGGCAATCCCCAAGGAGCAGAAATTACAGAAGGGCACGTCGCCGACGGCTTGGCAGGCAATGCTGACGGGCTCCGGAAGAGCGTGCGAAATCGACACTTGGGATTTTGGCGGAATGGGTCCTTACAAGTCCGGTTCGGTGCTCGTGGATCCCGAAGGGCAGTCGGCTTGGCTGCCTGCAGATTACGACGAATCCCACTACGGCTTCCAGCGTGATCCGGGGTGGAAGCTGGGGGAGTGCCTGTGGGCGCAGCATGGTGTTTGGGATCGTGAGACGGACACACTGCTCAAGAAAGACTATTTCTCGAAGAACCCGGATAACGGAGACACGATCAGCTATGAGTATTACACGAACAACTGGTTCATGCAGTATTACAGGAAGCATCGGGACACGGTCAGAAGCGTTTTCCCCGACACTATCATGTTCTGCCAGCCGCCGGTCTTGGAAATCCCACCCACTATCAAAGGCACCGAGGACGACGACCCGAACATGGTCTTCACGCCCCACTTTTACGACGGAGTCACGCTCATGACGAAGAAGTGGAATAGGGTATGGAATGTTGACGTTTTTGGTGTCCTTCGTGGCAAGTATCTGTCACCTGTGTTCGCCATCAAAATCGGCGAGACGGCCATCAGGAACTGCTTCCGGGATCAGTTGGCTGCCATCATGGACGAGGGTATGGAGAAGATGGGCCCACGCCCCTGTCTCTTCAGCGAGATCGGCATTCCGTACGACATGGACGACAAGCACGCGTACAAGACTGGAGACTACAGCAGTCAGACAGCTGCGATGGATGCAAATCACTACGCGCTGGAAGCGAGCCACGCGAATGGATTTACCCTATGGACCTACGTGGCTACGGTGACACCCCCTGCAGCCCTCAGCTTCGAAGAGTGCTAACCAAGAACAGAACAACCACAAGTGGGGAGACCAGTGGAACGGAGAGGACTTGTCGATCTTCTCGCTCGATGACCCTCCGTTACCCACGCTGTCGTCGCCTGCGTCAGATCCTGAGTCACCGTCGTACTCGCGCAGCCAGTCATCCGAGTCAGCGCGCGTATCGCCCTCGAATCTGAAGCAGACGCTTGCCGAAGACGAGATGACTTCGGGCGCGGTGAGTAGCAGCGGCAAATCGGACAAGCCAGGCTACCGGGCGGCTGAAGCCTACGTCCGGCCGACACCGACGCTGACACACGGCACGGTTCTCAACTACGGATTCGACCTGCGCAACTGCGTGTTCACGCTCTCGTTGGACGCGCCAAGCTCGTCCGGCGAGGGAGGCCCCACCGAGGTGTTCCTGCCAGAGTTCCATTTCCCGCAAGGAAACGTGTCGGTGGAAGTCAGCGGCGGAAAGTGGACGATCAGCATGGAAGACACAGCGGCAGGGCCCATCCAGATGCTGAAGTGGTGGCACGCCGAGGGCGAGCAGAAGATGACGGTGTCGGGGGTGAAGACGCGGCAGGCGCTAGGTGGGGACGAGGACGGATACATCGAGCAGTGCCAGCAGACGACAGGGCAGAAATGCGTGGTGATGTGACGGTCACGGGGTTGTCTATATAGCTGCAGGACAGCGCAGGAAGCTGGAATAGAGGACTGAAGTCAGCCTTATTGGCCGCATGCAGGCGACCCGCGTGGGCGGAACAGGCAGCGTGGACAGGCAGCAGGTGACTCCGCGTTTTTGTGCATTTTGGGCGGGGGCTTGGCGCTCCGGCCGCGGCGGGCAAACCATCTCGCTGCAATTGGAAACCACCGCCAGCTCTTCTTCCTGTCGCTCACCATGCTCGCCGCCGCTTGATCCGCGCCCCGACCCCAGTCCGCTCCCGCTGCTATGACGGCCGGCCCTGTTCGCATCGCCCACCGCAATCCCAGGCTTCCAGACGAAATCACCGCCGTTCGCCAGCTCCGCTTCGAGAGCACCTGAGGCCGTCGCTCCGCCGCACCGTAATCCCTGCCCTCACTGACATCGCACCACCATGGACGGCTTCACGCAGGACGGCAGCAATGGCCTTGACGGCCAGCAGAGCCCCGCTGACTTTGCGCGCATGCTCCAAGCCCTGGAAGCCATTTTCGACCCACGCTCCTCCAACACCACGCGCCAGGATGCTTCGGCCTACCTCGAGCAGGTGAAGCAGCACCGCGACGCACCCGCCTACGGCTTCCAACTTGCCCTCGATGCCTCGCACCCCGTGCACCTCCGCTACTACGGCCTCACCGTGCTGGAATACTCGATCAAGTATGGGTGGGAAGATTTCAGCGAGGAGCAGGCCAACGCCATGCGCGGCTGGGTCGTCCAGCTCGCCGAGGGCGCCGTCCAGCAGGGCCCCGTCTACGTGAGGAACAAAATCGGACAACTATGGGCCGAGGTGGCCAAGAGGAGCTGGGGTGCGGAGTGGATGGACATGGACGAGCAGCTGGTGCGGCTGTGGGCATCGTCGCTAGAGCATCAAGGCTTGGTCTTGTACATACTCGAAACCCTCGCCGAGGACGTCTTCAACAGAGAGGATCCTGTCGCCAGCCTGCGTGGCAACGAGCTGGGCAAGGCCTGTGTCAGCATCTTCACCCCCATCGCCGTCATCCAGGAAGAGCTGCCCGGTCGCGACCCCAACCTCGACGTGCGCTTCGGCGACGAGGGCTGGGTCAAGCGCGTCTGCGACCTGCTTGACTGGTGTCTGGTCAACAATGCCGAACATGACGACAATGTCTGCCACATCGCCGTCAAGGCGCTGAATACCCTCCGTTCGACCATGTCGTGGTTGATTCCCAAAGTCATCGTCTCCACTGACAGTATTAACCACATTGGAAGAGCACTCTCCGTCCCCATTATCCCGATGCAAACGGTGAGACAGCCCCGATGCCCTTTTGACAGCAAATCTTGCTAAACCACGCAGGCTGCGGTCGAGGCTCTTTTTGCCATCTACGCTCGCCAAAACTTCGGCGACCAAGACTTCATCGACATCATATGCCCCATGTTCGCACCGCAGATCGTTAATCTCATGGCCCAGCTTTTCCAATGGACCTCGAAGGGTTTGGATGCCAACGACATAGACGAGCCGAAGTACACTTTATCGAAAAAGCTTTCTGAGGTAAAACCTACCTAGCCTGACCGTTTACCCGCCACATCTCTAACAGGCGTGCAGCTGCTGTCCAATTTGGGTAGCTTCGTGGAGGCTAAGCCTAGCCTCATTCCCGAGGAAAGTGACATGCCCGCCTTCCTGAGGCTCTTGTACGAGGTCCTCGGGCACCCTAGTCTCGTCGTTTCCATTCCCGTTCTACATGCGTGGACAAGACTGCTGCGCACTCGTTCCATCAGAGATTCTCCTGCGGTGCTACAATTAGTTCCTGCCCTTCTAGAGACTTGCAGCTCTCGCTTATTGCGCTACGAAGCCTTGCCTGAGGATTCGGACAACCCTACCTTCGTGCTCCTGATCGAGGATCTAGACACGGCGCCCGAAAGACATGCCTTCCTCGGAAACTACCGTAGGTATTGCGTTGATGTCGTAGAGGTGATTGTTCGCAAGATGCCACTGGATGCCATGCAGCATATTCTCGGTCAAGCCACCAGCTTGTTCACTAATCTCTATGACGGTCTCGCTCCTTTCTCGCCGCATACCTTCTCCAAGAACTCGCCTTCTGTGCTCCGAGCGGACGCTCAGGTCACTGTCGTTGATGCGGCTCTGAAAGGCTACTTGAAATGGATTGCCGGTCACGGATCCGAGCCTGAAGAAGATGAGGGCAATAGGAAGACCATGCAGGATGCGTTTGAGGAATGGTGCCAGGGCGTCCTCACCATTCGCTTTGAGGATCCTGAAATCAATAGGAAGATCATTCAGCTCATGGTCACATTCGCCACCAAGGCATTGTCCTCCAGGCCAAGCTTTGCTTTACAGTTGCTCGAGTACATCCTGAACCTGCCCCTGCGCGACGAGCCTTCAGCACCGCCTTACTCCGAAGCGGTCAAGGGTTTGGAACAAACCTGCACCGCTGAGATCCAGAGACTCGCCATTGCTTTCCCCGATCACTTCCTGTCAGTATATGACGAGCTCGAGCACAAGATCAACGATATCGTGAACAACCGCCTCATCGATGAACGGCAGCGGATGGGTTACACATCATTCCTCTTCATCATAGTCCACCGCGCCACTACGCTGGACCGCGATGTTCGGGAAACCCGCTTGAAGCAAATGATGGACATGGTAAAAGAGGGCTGGACGAATCCCGAGCTGAGCGCCTCGCTATCCTCGTTCCAATCGTTCTGCGAAATGCTCGGTCTCGGCGATATCACAGACTTTTTCGTGTCCCGTGGCTTCCACAGAGTCTCAGACTGGGCGCAACAGCAACTGGATGCTGAAGGTCAGGCAAAGCAAGCCGAGATTCTGGCCCGTTTCCAGAGGCTGCCGCTCCGGCTGACGAAGAATCTCCTGGGCGCGTCGACAGAGAAACTGCGCGAAAGCTCTCAGCCATATGAGATTGCATGTGCACTTTGGTCAGACGCCCTTCCCGCAGTGTTGCCCAATCTCCTACAGCTCGTCAGCCACGCCCAGGCCTTCATGAACATGCGCAACTGGTCCCACCTGCCTGGGGAGATGCAAGTGGTCATGAAGCGTGTCCTTACAGATAGGTTCTGGCAGGCTGGCATCTCAACTGAGAGCAGAGACGACTTCTTTGCGCGGGTTAGCGGATCCAAATCATCCTATGAGGGATTTGCGTCGACGGTACGCGGTACGGTCAGGCAGATCCGCGAGGTCTGCTACTACATTCTTTACGGTTTCACCAGGTTCAAAGACCACTTTTATGGCATCAGCGATCTCCCTGTTCCTCTCAGTCAAGCGCTGTTCGAGAATGCCCAGGCGCTCTCCGCACATCACGTTTCCGTGCTCCTCAACATCTCCACACAGCTCATTGAGAACTGTCCCGTCCACCTTCGGCCGCAGTTCCTCCCGCCCATCGTATCAAGTCTTTGCAACGAACTCGACACCAAGATCCGCACCGAGTGGGACACCATCAACAGACAGATCAACCAAGCCGGCGACCAAGACAACCTCGGTGATGAAATGAAGAACGAGAGCATCCTCCGCCAGCTCACGCATGCAGCCGTGATGCTGGTCTCCCTTCTCCTCGAGGATGTGCGGTTCGGTACGAAAACCTCACGGCGAAGGCAGCTAAAACAGCGAGAGCAGCTTGCCATCACCAACGACCTCGAACAAGCGTTGACTTCGCTGACACTCTCCGCAGACAACACGTCCTCCAACCACGACCTCTCGACGGCGGAGGCCGCGGCGGCCGCCAAAGCAGAGCGCATGTCGACCTTCATCCTCGGCACGCCCTCCGTCTTCGAGCCCGTCCTCGTCTTCTGCCGCACCGTGCTCCGCGTCCGCGACACGCGCTGCGTCACGCTCGTCTCGCGGGTGCTGCGCACCGCCGCGCCGCACCTCAAGGAGCACGGCCCCGCCCGCGGCTACCTCTGCTGCGACGTGCTGCAGGCCGCCATCACCTCGCTCCACGAGCCGCCCTTCGTCGACGCCCAGAAGGACCTCGCCGCCCTCATCGCGCACATCATCCTGCTCGACCCCCACCAGGCCCACGCCATCATCCTGTCCCTGCCCGGCCTCAGCACCCGCCCCGACAAGGTCGACCGCGCCTTCGCCCACATCCAGTCCGTCGCCAGCGAGCGCCAGCAGCGCGGCGTGGTGCTCGATCTGCTGAGCAGCGTGAGGGGCGTGAGCATCCACGAGCAGGGGAAGATTGTCGGTCGTGGCGGTGGTGTCGGGGCGGAGAGGGGCGGGCCGAAGAAGCCGCAGGTGCAGGAGCAGTATATGGCGGTAGAGCAGGGGCCGGCGACGATCAAGAGGGGGGGTAGTCCCGAGTTGGGGGGGTTGGCGGATATGTTTGGTTGATTGAGGGGAGGGAGGTCGCGAAGTGGAATGAGGTGGTGATGAAGAGAGGTGCGGAGCGGAGTGCGATGGGTTAATGTACAGATGGGAAGGAAAGGGGGAGGGAGGGACAAGAGCTTTGCATGGTAACTGCGTTGGGAGTGTAAGATGGGAGCTCACGCACCTTTCCTTCTTTTTTTTTTTCTTTTTTTTGTTCTGCATTCTGGGTGCGAGAAAGGATTTGGGGGCCGAGAGAGAAAAAGATGAAAAAAGATATCCCCGATGGAGAATTTGCCCGTTTTCGACTTGGTTTTTTTGTTTTTTGACGCATGGGAGAGTAGTATGAAGGGGTTTCTTTGTAAGTACACTTCGTAGACTAATTGAAGCGAGGCTGAGGCTGAGTTTTGATGATGCTACAAGAAGAGGGATGATTGGTTGCGGGGTGATCCATGATGGTACAGATCAACGACCGCGATTCCTAGCTGAATACAAGGAAGAAATTGTGTTTTCATTTTTAGTACCCCCCACCCATCCACGTCAGTCTCGTAGCCTCGCAGGCTTCTTCCCACCGCTTCTTACTCATCACCGCAAAACCCACCGTTTCAAATGCTTTCGAACTCGGGACGCTTCTTTAGAGAGGTCACAACATCTCCAGTACGCATTCTACTAACTTAAGGATCTAATGGCCAAGTACACGACATACAGGATTCGCGGTATACCCATCGGCTGGGCCGAGGACACGACTGAGGCACGAATCAAAGATGCCCTATCGACGACGGGCTTCGTGCAAGTCAAATTGAGGTCCTTAGCCGTCGATCTGTCCCGGCCAGCCGAGTCTGTTGCAACCGTAGATTTCGCAAACACGCCCGAGGGACTTTCCGTCTCCAATGGCGTCGACGAATGGCGAATTCAAATCGCCGATGGGCCTTTACTGTTCTTGGACACGCACTTTCGTGGCTGTACTCCTCTCTATTGTCCGTCACAAGAGAGTTGGAGATCCGAGTAAGGATTTTCCGGATCCCGTTGCTGGCTTTTCTCACCTCTGTGGCTAGTTTGGTTGCGATATCCGGGTTGAATGGTCACGCGTTTGGCGCCCTCAAGAAGAAGAAAGATTCCTACATGTGGCTCCGGGATGATCTCCCCAGAGACTTGCGTGAGACGAGAATCATCATCTATGGATACGACACGAGGCTTGAGGGCAGTCATTCCTTCCAGAACGTATCGGATATCGGGATCAAGTTTCGGAGCGCTCTGCGGGGTATTCGAAAGCCTGATCCCTCGAAACCACTGCTTCTTCTCGGTCATAGCCTTGGTGGCATCATCATCAAGGAGGTGTGTACTCTCGTGAGGAGCACGATTCAAGACTGAACTATTGGCCGCAGGCAATCCACAAGATGCGTATCAGCCCAACCGAAGCCGACTAGAAGAGTTTCAAGGCAATCTAAAGCCAGTTTAGCAAGACTTCTGATCATCTTTCCTTGCTTGAGCTATATAGGATTATATACCCCTGTACAGATTTTACTCGTTCGTTTCTTCATTACTTTACCCACATATACTTCATTTCATTATACAATGGTCTCATAACTTCTCAAACTAGGGCTCAAACGTATGTGTCTAGGACGTGCCACACTTAGCTGATATCCTTTTAGCCTCAAACCAACTCGATCATCTCAAAATTCGCCCCACAGCCCAAGGCCTCTCCACGCATAATTCCATGCACGTACGCCTCTCCGACCAACTTATACCTCCCCTGGTTCTTACTCTTCTCCGCCTTGATTCTCTTCATCACAAACGGCACCCTCGCACCAGCCACCAAAACGACCTTGTCCCCAGGTTTCGTATGGACCGGCCCCAGGCCGAGATAGCCTTTCCCCGTCCTGAACAGCATACGTTTCCTGTACACGCGCAGGAAGGCAGACCTGAATGTGGTGCCATCATCATAAGTGACGCAGTCCGGACCATGGTAGTCGCACCAACCACCGCCCTCGGCGCAGATCTTAGCGAGCTGCTTGCCGCGGCCCTTGATTTCCTTGACGGACGGCATGAAGAACCTGCCGTCATCAACCGCCGCTCCCTTTCCACCGCCCTTAGCACCGCCCGTCTCGAAAGACGACAGGCAATCCAGCCGCCGCCTGGCCTTCTTGACAAGGTCCCACACGTGGTCGATGGGATGGCACTCATCCCCCAACCCCACGTCCTCAACCTCATTCGCCAATTCCCACCCCAAGAACTCCCTAAACGACTCTCCCACCCTCCGCTGCGCCCCCTCATCCCCCTCATCCCACAGCCTATCCGCCATCAGCGTCCGACACAACGCCTGCATCACACACTCCCCCGTCGGCCCATACACCCCGCCACCACCACCCGCCGCCATCCCCAGCACCACCTCCAACCACACCGGCACATCAACCGTCAAGCTCTCGTCCCTCCCCCACTCCTCCTGCACCCCCACCACCTCGTCCCACCCCGCCGCCGCCCGCACCCTCAACACGCGGCCGGCCCGGCCGGCCCCTTCCTCTCTCTCCGCATCCACATCCACATCCACATCGACGTCGACATCGAGGTCGTACTGCTCCGCGGTGGCGCAATCGAACCCCCGCCGCCACAGCCGCGTCGTCGTCAGCGGCGTGCTGAACTCGGGCACCCACGACGGCAGGCCGGGGATGCGGGTGCGCGGGCCCATGTGCGGCGGCTGCACGAAGGAGAGGCCTTCGAGGGGCTCGAGGGCGCTGCCGGCGCTGGACGAGGACGACGGGCTGGTGGTAGTAGGGCCGGGGAAGGAGAAGTCGTACAGGGCGTCGTCGCCGGAGCCGCGGAGGAAGAGGCGGGCGACGCGGGTGAAGAGGCGGGGGACGGGGGTGGTGTAGTCGATTGCGATGGTGGAGGGTGGGGGCAGCGGCTGGGCGATGGTGAGGAGGGCGAAGATCTTGTCGCGGGGGTCTTTGGAGGCGGAGGTCCAGGCGAGGGAGAGGAGGAGGGGGAGGGAGAGGGGGGAGGAGGTGCGGCGGAGGGTTTTGTCGTTGTTGGAAGAGGAGGAGAAGATGGGGGCGAGGAGGGACCATTCCGAGGGGTCGTTGCGGGTGCGCAGGCGGATGGAGGCGAGCTTCCAGGGTTCGGTGCTGTCGCCGCCGATGGCGTCTTCGGACCGCTTGCCGTTGTCGATGCGCCAGAAGGTCGAGTTGTCGAAGTAGCCGATGCGGGCGAGGAGGGCGAGGAACTTGAGCACGTCGGGCCAGTTGAACTCGTAGGGGCCGGAGAACATGCGCACGCGCTTGGCCAGGCTGAGCTCTTGGATGACCCAGGTGCGGGTGAAGTAGGATCGGGTCAGCCAGTGGGAGAGCTCTTCGACCTCGCCCGGTGCCATGATGCAGTCCTCGGGCAGCTCGTTCTCGCCGGGTCCCATGCCGTGGCGGAGCAGGTGCTCGAGCGAGTTGCGCCACTTGCGGGCCAGTTCGTCCAGGTCGCCGTCAGCGTTGTTGACTCGCTGGATGGCACGTTGGAGTCTCCAGGCGCGGTCGAGGCCGGTGCCCAGCCAGACGAGCACCTCGTCTGCGCGGTCGTAGATCTTTGGCATGATCTTGACTTGTGCCGCGCGCTCCTCGAGGTCGCCCTGGTTGATGCACAGTGCATCTATCCACAGCATTCTCTCTTCAGACCCCAGCCCCGCGTCTTCAGCTGCACTGCTTTCCCTGTCTTCGTCGCCGGAACTGCTGTCGTCATCATCATCGTCATCTTCTTCTCCCTCGTCCTCCTCATCCTCCTCGTCCTCCTCGTCCTCCCCGTCCTCCCCGCCCTCATCTTCTTCCTCGTCATCATCACTATCATCCCCCTCATAATCCTCCAACCCACTCCACTCCCCCTCCCCCTCTTCCTCCTCCTCCACATCCTCCCCCCTCTCCATCCTCGCCAACACCCCCCTCCTCCACCCCTCATCCCCCAAGAACCGCCAGATGCGCCTGAACCCCGGCCCCCTCCGGCCATACTGCATCGCGCACTGCAACGGGGTCCTCCCCTTCAGATCCACCACCCCGGTCTGCGCCCCCGCCGCAACGAGCTCCCTCACACACCCCCAGTGCCCCATCTCCGCCGCATAATGCAGCGCCGTCTCCCCCCACCCGTCGCTGGCCCCGACGCTCGCCTCGCCCCGCCTCAGCAGCCGCCTCACCCGCGCCAGGTCGCCCTCCGTCGCCGCGTCGATCAGCGCCTCATCATCGTCATTCAGCTCGTCATCGTCGTCGTCGTCGTCGTCGTCGTCGTCGTCGTCGCTATCATCGTCGCTATCATCGTCGCTATCGTCGTTACCGTCGTCCGGGCTCGCGTCATTGTCCGGATGGAACTGCTGCAGCGCCTCGAACAGGTTCTTGCGCACCAGGAACAGCCGGCCGTCGACGCTGATGGGCCACGTCGCGGCGCCCGTGCTGTTGTACGCGTCGCGCGTGGCGTCGGTGCCGCGCGTGAACCAGTCCGGCTCCGGGTTGTCCCAGGTGTAGGAGAGGGCGGCGTAGGGGGGGAGGGGCCGGGGCGGGGTGGTGGTGGACGTGGTGGTGGTGTTGCTGCCGGCTTGCAGGTCGTAGGTTTCGAGGGTGCATTGGATCAAGGGGTGGCCGCAAATGGAGGCGGGTAGGGGGGCTTGGGAGGTCGGGGGGTGGAGGTGGGAGGGGCTGCGGCGGGAGATGATTTTGAGGAGCCGGATCGAGGTGGGCGTGGGGAGCGGCGTGTAGGTTGGGGGCGTGAAGTCGAAGAAGTCGCTGGTGCGGGGGGCGGTCGGGGATGGCGGCATCGTTTGGGGAGGTGTCGGAGCCTGGTTTTTTTTTTTTTTTTGATCCCTTCTCTTATGAGTATTTATCTTGTGGTGGGCAGACGCTTCGGGGTTGCAGCTATCGATGGAAGGAACCCGGCCGATACGCGAAAAAGACCACGTCGGGTTGTGAATAAGCCTTAGTGAGTGAGAAAGAAACGAAAAAATGGCGGGATAGTGATCTACTTAAGACTGTCGGTCGTGTCTTTATACATGTCTCGTTTTGGCCCCCATTGTGGCTGAAATCGCGGTGGGCGAGTCGGCCCAGCTTCCTCAACTGAGTGAGCACTAGCCGGCTGTCGGACCGAGAGACTCGTATAGCACTGTCTCTGCCTTTTCGCATGCATGCGCCTGTGTTGGCTTGGAGAACATTAGAGAGTGCTTTGCTATGTGACCGCTACTCGACAGTGAGTCGTGTAACGGTCTTACGTAGGATCGAAATTCTTACGTAGCCACCAATTAGTGAAGAAATATCTTTTAAAGTGGAGTTAGCATATATCTAAGACGTACCTACTGTTTTATTCCATATAATTTGAAGTGAAGGGGAGACATCCCCATCAGTTTGCCAAAGTACGTGCTGGCTGAACTTGCTCTAAATAACACTCCTTTTGTTTCTTCCGCTCTATGAAAGGTATCCGCTACTTTTTCATCTTATAAAAAGCCGCTATTTGTTCATCTTCCTCGGTATAGCTGTTAAGCACATAACATACGCTAAGTGAATAGTCGTGAATTGCCTTTTGCAGATCTCTGGGTAACTACCGAGAGGCCATACCCCACAACAACAGTCATCGGAATGCTCCGTCTCTCGTCGATTACGGGACTTAGACTCTGCTCTTCTGTAATCGTGAGAGGCTTGAAATTTACTCACCTAGTTATAGTGCCAGTAGTGTAGTGAAGAGCCATCTTTCCATAGCCGCTCGGTTCGAGACATTAAGATACTAGATGCACTTGCTACAAATTCTTGAATTAGTCTCATAATATTTGCTTTAAAGTCGACAGCATGGCCCCTCCCTAAAACACATTACATCGTCTTTGTCCCTCTCCTCCTGCTTATTAACGACCTCAATCCCCCACCGCCTGCGCTCCCTCCCACCTTCAAGCCACCCCAGCTTCGTCTTCACCTTTCCAGTATCAGCATGCCAGCGCACCTTGTCCAACCCTCTTTCTCGCACCAAGCTCAGCAGCATTTCACTGCCAGCGATCAATAATAGGACACCGGTGATACACTCGACGTTGCCTTCAGGCTGCGCAGGTATCTGCGCTCGTGGGCGGCGACGGCGATGACGGCGGGGATGAGCCAGATGAGTAAGGAGATGCCGAGCCAGACGGCAACGGGATCCATTTGGAGCACCTCGACGGATGTCGAGACTGTGGCTATGGCTGTGCGGTTCGTATGCGACACAGGGTATGTGCGCTTAGGCGCCCAGTGTTCAGTGTCATTTTCGTCCAAGTAGTACCTGGGCCCCAAGTCAGGGCTTCCGAGCAAATCGCCGGATTGGGTAAACAATATCATTTTTCGCAATTTGAATCGTATTTATATTTTACTTACATGATTTATCATCCTGGATTGCAATTCAATTTTATAATTTAGGTAAACCGAACCGTCCTTGTGTTACCTTACTATCTGACTTTTTGAAAAGCTTGAATGGATTGGATCAACTTACTGGAAGCCCGGTCCCAAGTTAGGCAGCACTGAGGCGTTTATAAGTCGGCAAGCCCAGCCGCCGGTCCTCAGTGACAGGTTGCCGCTGACGTAGTGCTGGAAGAAGGGGGGGAAATATGCTTTCGGCGAGTCGTGATTGCAGGGTAGCGTTAAGCAGTGCTCGTGAATCCTTAGCGCCTCCCTCTTTAACGTACATGTCATGGGATGGCAGGCCGAGACTGAGGCAGCGGCTACTGTTGCGGTGTTTAAAAGTGTCATTGGTCGAAAGCTCCATTGCGACGGCGAGAAGACCTTGAACGAAGAGGGAGCTAGAGCTAGTAAGTGGCGGAACGAGTAATGTTGGATATCTTGGATCCATAGAAATCGGCAGCAAAGTATTGCTCGAGAAAGCCCGGAGAAATGTACCCTCAATGTTTGCCGACGTGAGCAACGACGCCGAGAGAGGCGATATAGCAAGGACTCTAATGGCATTTATCAAGGCCAAGCCAAGGAGAGTCCAACTATGACGTCCGTTATTCTTCTTGCTAAAGCCGTTGGCTAATGCGTTCCACCACGCTCCTGGCGCCTGGAGAATGGTGTAGGCAGCCAAGGCCACCTTTGTCGTTAGTCATGCATACAAACACATAGAGAGATCATGCAAGGAGAAACCATCCTCTCATTCCTACATACGCCCACGTAACAAGTGTAAAAGAAAACTTAGCACATACGTACACACGTACGTACATACATCTCAGAGAGCATTAAACGCCTCACCATTCTCTTCCCAGTCTCCTTCTCCGTCTTCCCATCAATCGAATCAATCAGCACAACCACAAAAAAATTACGAACAGTCTTCTTTTTACCGCTGTGGCGTCTCTCTCTCTCTTGGAAATGTGTGTGCGCGATGTACTTTGTTCCCACCGCTCCAACTTACCACGACGATGCCCGATATCCATCCGTCCATCCGTGTAAATCGATTCCATTCCCCCCTTCACACTCATGTCCATGCAATAATATAAACCCTGTCTCAACACCCGGCCCCATCCGGCCGGCCGTCTGTCCATTCCGCACGCATTCCCCGCCCCGCTCCTTTTCTCTTCACCACAGCAGGGAGCAGGACGGGCCAACCACTCCAACCAACCAATCAGTTCATCCATCCACCCACCCTCTAAAAAAAAAAAAAAAATCTCAAGCTGACCCCTTCTGCTGCTTCGGCCACGGCCCCGCGTCCGGTCGCCTGAACGGGTGCGCCTCGGTGTTCAGCACCCACTCGTCCAGACTGACCAGATCCTCGTCCGCGAACAGCAGGTAGAAATACTTCAGCGTCTCGGCGAGCCAGAAGCTCTCCATCTCGTCCTTCAGCGTGGGCGCGGCCTTGGTGATGTCGTCGATGGCCGAGTAGCCGAACTCGGCCCGGCAGTGCGTCTGGATGGCCTTGAACATGTTCCAGCCCGCCTCGCGCCAGGAGCGGTCGCCCGTGATGCGGTACATGTACCAGACGGATTCGATTGCCTCGGGTCTGTTGTGATGGAGCACATGTCAGTCATTGGATGGCATTTTACAGGTTGGGGGCTGGGAAGATGGTGAGGGGCCGACCGTACCTCAGGATATAATGCCTCGACTCCACCCTCGTGAAGCCCGTTGGCAACCTCTCCTCCTGGATGCGCTTCTGGACGTAGTCTTCGTGGTTGAGCGGCTTCTGCGGCTTCCAGATATGCGAGATGGCTGGGTCGTTCGTGTACGCGGGAGCATCTGCCGACTCCAACACATCGTCGGCTGGCTCGTGCGCATCACTGTACGTCGTCTTGGTAGGCGAGCCGGCATCGTTCTCCACGCCACCGAGCTGCCTGCGATCCCAGCGGTGGACGGGACCGGCGTTCGGGATGGCGTTCGGAAGGACCGCCGCAGCCGTGGCATCGGCGGTCGCGATGGCGATTTCGGGAAGCTCTGAGGAGGTCGCCGTGGCCTTGGAGCGGGCGAGAGCGACCTGCGAGCTGTAGTGCTGGAGCTGGTGCTTGTATGCCTGCTGCCTGCTATCGGCGTAGGGGTCGAGCTCCTCATGCCACTTGGTCTGGTTCCACTTGCAGCCGTCGAGGCTATCGCAAGGTGTCAAGAGGGCAGATTCGGGCATGATGCCAGTGGCTGTGACATTGTATGCCCACACGCAGCCCTCGGTGAGTTCAGCGCCAATCTTGACATCCTCCGTACGACCGAAAATCTTCGCGCCATAGGCGAACATGCCGCCAGCGAAGCAAGTCAGGTGGGTGACTTCATGCTTCAGCTTCTTGACGGCCTTCTTGCTCTTCTTATCGGGGGGAGAAACGGTGAGGGTGCCAGCAAAGAGCATGTCAGGAGAGCCGTCGGGCAGCATAGGCCTGTAAAGGAGGTTCGACTTGACGACGTCTGCGGACTTCTCGTACATGTCCTGATATTCCGGGGCGAGGCCGCCGAGAAGGAGATACTCTTTGGGGAAGTACTCATACATGGAGTCGGACATGCCGCCAAGCGTGAACTGTTGGGACCCGTGAATGCTAGCGGCTGCCAGACCCTGAGGCGAACAGTCCGCCAGCGTCGCCGTTGGCTTGGTCTTCACGGTAGAAGCCGAGTCCTTCTCCACGGAAGAAGTCGCCTTTTCCGTACGAACCTCATCCTCAACCTCAACCTCATCAGAAGCTGCCTTGGACAGGGAGAGGGGGTCATCTAGCTGGCGCTTGACCAAGTCGTCCGAGATATCGTCGTGCTCGTCATCCGGAACAGGGTTCTTGCCACCAAACCTCTCCGGGTTGTTCTTGTTGTCGGTCTTATCCGAAATGATCTTTTCCGCGGCCTTCAGCGGCGGGTGGGCCGACTTGTACGGGTCACCCAGGTTATCCGTCTCAGGTCTTTTGCAACCAGAGGCGTCAACCTGAACAGGCCACATTCCAGGCAAAAGGGTGTCTTGCCACTCATTGAACGCATCGGTGATACGAGCAATGGCGTCATAGTACTTGGGCTCCTTGGTGAGCTGGGCAAGCCTGGTAAATTCAACGGAAAGGGACCCAATCTCCGCGAGGACAACGCGCGTAGCGGCTCGATGAGGCTGCGATGCATAGGTGCTGCTAGACTTAGTATACGATGCTGTCCTATGTTGCTGTTGGATGCAGGGAAGAACACTTACGGCATCCAGTAGTAGAAAGTCATAGGCATACGGTTCGGCGTATCGAACGATCCCATGAGAACCTCAGCCAGCTCCACAGCCTTGTCCAGCAAGATCCTGTGCTTCAGGCCGCTGAGATCGTACGCCGCGACCAGCCCGCCGAGATAGCGAATGACCGTCTCGAACAGCGGAATATCCTTGCGGAACGTCGTGGTGAAGTCAATGTCCGCCACGGCTGCTACCGCCTCTTCGAACTCTTCCTCCATGCCCATGATGTACAGCGAATCCAGCGCGTCCACCAGCGTGGCGCCCCAGCCGGCGAAGGGGTTGCGGCTACCGTTCGACACGGGGCTCAGCTCGTCCTTCATCCACGCGTATTTCCGGTATCCGTCCCACGAAAAGGCCATGGCCTCCTTGACGGCCATAAGCTGGGCCTGGCGCTCCTTCGCCTCGGCCTTGGACTCCTTCGCGAATGTCGCCTGGATCTTGGGCATCGGCTTGGGCGAACCAGCGGGCAGCTGGATCGTCGACGTCACAGGGAAGTGCTCCTCCAGCGGGCGCCAGTGGATCGCCTTCTCCTCGTCATCAACCTCCTTGCGGCCCTCGCCGCCCTCGTGCGGGACTATGACCTGCGGCTCGTGCGGCCCGCTGCCGGAATCGCTCTCGAGGTAGGGGAAGTCATCGTCGGCTGCATCGGCGACGGAGGATTCGAGCGAGGGTGGAGGCTTGCCCTGCACAGGCTTGCTGGGTTTGGGCAGAGCGGGCGGCTCCTCCTGGCCTTGGGGCTTTTCAGCCTGGGGCACGGTGACGTCGGGGACGCGGTCCTTGTCCTCGGTGACGATGGGGTTGCCGTTGTTGTTGCCCTTGGGCGGCGCCAGGGCGTCGGGTATGTCGTTGGCGGCGGCGGGCACGGAGCCTTGCTGCGGCGAGCTTGGGCTACTCCCACTGCCCGACAGGCTGGCGCCCAAGCCGGTGGAGGACCATGTTTCAGAGCCAGCGAAGTGCCAGAGCACCAGCACCGTCAGCACGGCGAAAACGACGAAGGCGCGGTAGCGGCGGTAGCGCAACATGGCTTGGAAAGGGAGAGGGAGTTGCGGTCGCAGGTCGTGGTCAGCACTTGCGGCGGGCGCGGCGGAATCGCTCGCTACGTGCGGCTGGAGGTGGCGGCGCGGGGAAGCAGGGGCTGGGCGCGGTCGGCGGAGGGTGTCGCGTGCTCGCTTGGGGGACAGCAACGCAGGGGCAGCATCGAAGAACCGGGCTGCTGAGGGTGTCGGAGGTGCGAGTGAGTGGCGCTGCCTCTGTTTATGAGGGTGCCGTCATACCGCCGTGTAGTTAAGCTCACGCTCAGAACCCGCGCGCGCCAAGCCAGTGCGCGCCCTCTTGGCCATCCAGCACCCGCAGCCAGGTGGGTGCCGTTTCGAGTCGGCCCACCTGCCCAAGGCAGGCCAATTTACCACCCTGCTTCGTGTTTCGCCCTTGCAACCAACCGACTCTCCTCGCCTTGCTCCTCGCCACACCAACCATGCTAGTCTTTAATTGCCAACGGGGCCGCGACTGTCATGCATGAGCGCCACCGAGCCCACGTTCTTTTTTGATTCTATCAGCTTTTGAGGCCACCTATGTTACATGTGCAAACATCCCGCCGTCAATGCCATTATCCGCAATTCCTCCCTTCCAATTGCTGCATAATCGTGCCTCATGATCCCCTCCATCACTGCTCGCCCGCCGCCGGGTCCGGTGCGCGGCCCATCTGCCGTGCCTTGAGCATCTCGTCGCAGAGCAGCAGATTCGAAGCGATGCCCGTGCTGGATGCGATGCAGTTGCGAATGACCCGGAACGAGTCGTACACGCCCGCCTGTACCGGATCCATCGCCTCGCCAGAGTTCAGATCCAGACCCACAACGTTGCCCTCCGCGTGCTCGTCCTGCAGTTCGGCCACTGTGTCTCCATGTTAGCGTCTCCCCGCGCCGTGTCTAGTGCAACGTCTCTACTTACGGGCATCCTGGATGTCGTGGCCGGAGTTGGCAGCCAGAGTCTTGGGAATGATCAGAAGTGCGTCCGCAAACGCCTCGACGCCGTACCGCGCCTTGCCCTTGATCTCCTTCCTGAACGCGTCGCTCTTGAGGTGTGCCGCACACGCAACCTGGAAAGCACCGGCGCCGGGCACGACGCTCTTGTCCACAATCATGTTGTACACGCTCCTGAGACCGTCACGGACAGCGTCCTTGATCTGCGTGATGGTGTGCGTGTTCGGGCCCTTGATCAACAGGGTGACTGACTTGGGCTCCTTGACGTCCTCCTGTGGAAATGTCAGCGACCGCACGTCTCAACTCCCGGATGATACGCACCACAAACGTGTACTTCTCCTCTCCCAGCTGGTGCTCGTACACCTTACCGGCCCAGCCGAGAACATCAGGGGTGAGGTCGTCCACGCTGTTCATGGCGGTACCGCCGCAAATCAGCTGTAACCGCTCCATGTTCCTCCGCTTGGCCCTACGCAGAGCGAGAATGCCGTTCTTGACCAACACGTCCAGACTCATGGGGTCAATGCCCTTCTGGTTTATTATCACAAAGTTCTTCGTCGGGTCGTCGCCGCAAACTTCCTTCTTCAGCTCGACAATCTTCCTCAGCTTTTCATCCACGAACCGCCTCTCACTCTCCACCAGCTTGTCGCGCTGCTCCGCGCTCGAGTAGAAGAAGCCCGAGTTGATCTCCGACTTCTCGTATTCCAGACTGACATTAAGCGTCAGGATGTGAGCATTCTCAACGAACTTGGGCATGTCAGGGTGACGGGCGCCGTGGTCCAGGGCCAAACCCCTGATCAGCTGGGTATCGGCGGCAGTGCGGTGCTGCATGGTCATGATCTCAACCATGTGCAGGTCGGGTTTCGCGGGCGCGTTGTAGATGGAGAGGACGGCGTCGACGATGTCGGGAGTCAGCTGCTCGGCGAGGGTGTTGTTCAACTTGGTGGAGAGCGAAGTACGAGCCACGGAGAGCAGCAGCTCGCGGTCGACCTCCTTGGAGTGCTTGAACTCGTCCAGGAATTTCAGGGCCTCCGTCTTTGCCATTTCGTAGCCATCCGTAATCACACGGGGATGCAGACCCTCGGAGATGTATCTGTCCGCCTGCTTGAGCAGCTCGCCGACCATCAAAACCACGGAAGTTGTGCCGTCGCCGGTGATGTCGTCCTGGGCGGTGGCCGCGCGGGCAATCATAACGGCGGTGGGGTTCTGAATCTGCATCTCGCGGAGAAGGACGCTACCATCCTTGGTGAGCTTAATCTGACCGGAGCCATCAACCAGCCTGGTATGTGTCAGCCTCATTCCGCAGAGGAAGTGTGGTCGCGCAGCTCACATCTTCAAGGTGCCGCTGGGACCCAGGTTGGACGAAAGGACCTGGCGAACTTTAGCATTCGGCGTGTTATCTAATGGGCTCGGAGAAAGAATACCTGCTGCAGACCCTCTCCGGCAGCAATGTTGACCTTCAAGGCCTCGCCGCGTCTCTATAGCTCCTGTTAGCGCGGTGTGGACCAGAACGGGGGGTTAGACGTACCCGCGACTCGGCCTTGGGATTAAGGAGCTGTGCGGCCGACATTTTGCGTTGAAGCCACGAATCTGGGAGCGGACAGTGGGGAGATGGCAGAGAGGAGCTCTTGCCGGGAGATTCAGGCGACGTGGGGCAGGCACGGGGGAGCTGGGAGTCGGCCTGCACGCGCAGAAAAGCGGCGGACGCGATTTCTGGAAGCTGCGACCAGTTAATCCGCTCCGTGGCTCCTGTCTTGGCGCGCGCCCCGCCAGCCCTAAGTCCGCGCGCACGGGCTGCCGCTGCCCCTCGAAGCCCTGCCGTCATCACCGCCCGTCCGCTCGCTCAACTCTGGTCCCGTCGCTGCTGGCATCAACTCGGTCCCACACCTCTGGAAACGAGCTGATCGCATTTGAATCCGCTCGGCGAGCATATCTTTGAGACCACCTCTTACTTCAAGTAAAACGCGATCAGCCCCTCCTCACACAGCTCATCTAGCTCACAGCTCTCCACACCCCGCCGAGCTCCTGCACCATCTCCTGATCCCCAGGCCCGGAACCGTACCTTCGACTTGCCCAAATTCACGCAGAGCTTCCAATGGCAACAATGAGAATACGCGTGCGCGGCCCGTCGGGCGTCACCACAATCACCCTTGAGGAGCACGCGACGGTCGCCGAACTGCAGTCGACAATCGCCGAGAAGAGCGGGGTCCCGGTCTTCGATCTGAAGTACGGATACCCGCCGCAGCCGCTTGATATATCACAATTCGACCCTGTGACCGCCCTCAGAGACACCGGGCTGAAGCTTAATGGCGAGCAGCTTGTCGTCGCGCCCCGCGACGTGGCAGCGCAATTGTCGCACCCCATGGCGGATTCCACACCAGGCCGCGCCGCCGCTCTGCCTGGCTCGCAGCAGGCGAAAGAGAACCAGGAAAGTGGACTCCAGCAGCCGTTGTCACTCTCGCGCAACGCAAAAGACGTCGAGTCGGACCCTCCAGAAGTTGCGGTTCCTGAGGCCGATGGTACATTGATCTTGCGCGTCATGCCCGACGACAACAGTTGTTTGTTCCGAGCTCTAGGTAGCGCCGTGATGGGAGAATCTCTTGATATCATGCACGAGCTACGAGCGGTTGTAGCCGCAGCGGTTCAAGCAAACTCCATCGACTATAACGAAGCCGTTTTGCAGAAATCCCCCGACGACTATTGCCGATGGATCCAGCGAGACGAGAGCTGGGGCGGAGAAATCGAGCTGAACATTTTGAGCCAACATTTCGACATCGAGATCTGCAGTATCGATGTGCAGAGCTTGCATATCTATCGTTATAACGAGGGGAAGCCAAGGCGTTGTATCCTCGTGTACTCGGGCATTCACTACGACACCATTGCCCTCAATCCCTCGTCACCTCCTCACGCCAAAGCCGACATGCCACCCGAGTTTGATCTCAAACAATTCGATTCCATCGATGACATTGTCTTGAGCAAGGCGGTGGAATTGTGCCAGATCTTGCAATCGCGGCACTATTTCACGGACACGGCGGGTTTCGCAATAAAGTGTAATGTGTGCGGATGGAAAGGCAACGGCGAGGCAGGCGCTCTGGAACACGCAAAGCAAACAAGCCACATGGATTTCGGAGAAGCGCAGTAAAGTCGAACCAGCGGCCTCTGCCATATCGGTATGTGTATGTGAAGCGTGAATGGCGCACTAATAGATATCCATCATTCTGTATTTGCGGTGGCGATTGTACATTATGCTTAAATCATCGTCCGAGCAGCACGGAAGCCTAGTATGGAACGTGCTACCCATCAATGAAAACTTTTAGTGTGTTGGTACAGCTTCCGGGACTCCACCTTGGGGATTCTTCACATTGGAAATTTACTTCAGGCCAGCTTCTGCTCCACTGAAGGAAAGCGAAATCCATATCTCATTCGTCGTCTTTATGTTTTGAGTTTCTAATCCGCTCAAGCAGCTAGGAATACAGCGCCTCCATCCTCATGGTCACATACTGCTCGGCCGTCACCGGCTCATACTTCTTCGGATTCGCCCGCTCATCCCAGCATCCCGGCAGTGCCTCAATGACGGCATCATCATTCGGCGCACTAAAAAACGGGATCGAATACCTCGCCCTGCACATCTCCTCCCCTCCACCTTCAGCCTCCACCACCGCCCCAGCTTCCCGCAGCCGCTGCACGGGCGGCGCGCCAACCCGATGCACGGTACTCCTCCACCTCCCATTGCTCCAGCGCTCCAGCAGATCGCCGACATTGACCAACAACGTCCCCTCAACCGGCGGCGCGGGGCGGAACGAGCCCGGCCGGCTGGGGTCCTCGACCTCGAGCCCGCCGACGGCGTCTTGGAACAGGATCGTCAGCGACCCGAAGTCGGAATGCGCACCGATGCGGGACGTCGTCGCCTTCCCTTCCCCCCTCTCCCGCCCCTCCTCGCCCCCCTCTGATCCCTCGTCCCCGCCTCCGCCTCCACTCCCTTCTCCCCCCGTCAACGCCCTCACCGGCACCGGCGGATAATGCAACAACCGCAGCTGAAACGCACTCGCCGAATGCCTCTCCGACAGCCACTCCTCGCGCGGCAGGCCCAGCCCCAGCGCCAGCGCGCGCAGCAGCGCGTGAACCACGCCGTCGCAGTCGCGGAAAAAGGACTGCAAAAACGCCCGGAACCCCGGCAGCGCGTCGTCGGGCAGCCAGATGTTGGGCTGGCGCGCGTCGGCCTCGTTGCCCGTCTCGTAGCTCTCCTTGTAGTCGGGCACGCGGCGGAGCGCGGCGATGGCGGCCGCGTCGTCGAAGACGTGCTGCGACACCTTTTCCACGCCCGGCGCCGAGTAGCCGCGGTGGTGCGACCCGCCCGGCGGGTGCGGGGCGAGGGACTTGGTGGATGGGGGGAGGGCGAAGAATTGTCGGGACTGGCGTTGTGGTTAGGTGGGGGGCGAGCGGGAGGGAGGTGGTGGACTGTGTGTGGCGTTGTGATGTGGTTTGAAGAGGATGACGGTGGTGGTGGTGGTGGTGGTGGTGATGATGATGATGATGATGGACTCACCCACTCAAACGCCGCGTCGACCCGCTCTTTCGGGACGCCGTGGTTCTTGAGGTAGACGAAGCCGACCGTCGATAGGGCGTTGTCGAGCTGGTTGGCCACCGCCTTCTTCGCGGCCTCATCGCCCGTGTAGAAGGGCCCGAAGTCGACGATTGGGACGGGCGAGTCGGGTTGGATGGTGCTGTCGAGCGAGCCCATTCTGCCTTTCTTCTTTTGTAGTGTGGGAACTTCTCAGTGTCTGGATTAGAGCCAGCGCGTAGAGCTGGAGGAAACCTGTGGCTGGTGGTCGTGCTGGCTTGATGTATTTTAGTGTGGTGCGGGGGCGGGGTAGATACTAGATGGTGGGATATATTAAAGTGGCGTTAGCTGGGACTGGGATCTTCGGGGTCTGTCAGAGCTTGGGGAGTTGTTTTCATGAGAAGCACAAAAGCCTAGGGACAGTGAAGAGGAGTAAAAGCTTGGACTGTCGGCGAGGTTTTACACATAGATCAGCAACTGATGCCGGTGGTTCCAGTGATCGGCGCATGTCAGCAGCTAAGGGCTGTTGGTTTCAACTGGTGCTTACATATTGTGTCAGCCACGGAGATTTCGGGGCAGGACTTTAGCTTTGAAGCTCTTCCAAAATAATGCCAGGCTAACGCAAAACAAAGATCTGAACAGGGCTCGGGAACTTTAAGCTCCGAATTATCCCCTTGAGCACGTCTACATAAAGTCTCATGCAGCTTCATCCAATCCATGTCACTTGGTAATACACGGCGCCAGTTCCACCTGCGAAGTGATTATAGGCCGGCATGCATGATAGCGGATAGTCGTGCATTTCAGAAACCCGCCGGAATTAGCTCTTGATCCGCATGTAATCATTCAGCCGAGTCTGATGTTTTTTCTTTGCATCTTCAAATCCCTCAGAAGCAGCTTTCTTCGAAAAGCGCTCTGAGTATCGCCAAGCAAGTCACCCGAATAGACCCACAGATGATCGTTCTCAAGCTCTATATATCCCACACGCTCGACATAACCATTCCGCTCCTCGACCAGCATAATATACGTTCTGTGACGCCAATCTCTCACCGGAGTCATGATGCCATCCAAGACTATCCCAATATAGACGTTCTCCGAGAGCCGGTTCGTCTGGTCCTGAATGACGCTTTCCTCGGGACGCTCCAAGGCATGATGGTCCACCAGCTCAAGAAACTGTGCTTCAGCCAAGACTTTCTCGCCACTCTTCGTGTGCAGCACGGCAAACAACGGTGTAAGGCGGCCCCATCGATCCTCATACACCTTCGAGCGATAGAATTCCAATTCCACGGTCAAAGTCCAAGCGCCACGGAGTCGGATGAAGGGCGATATTGAAGCGGGCTGGTCCTTCAAGTACGACAGATGCTCGAACTCAGACCAGGTCAGAGGCTCTCCGTCCGTCCGTTCCACTACGACCGAGATGCCAGTGTGCCAGTGGTCTCGGTCGTGATCGTGGAAGTCGAACGTACGGGGCCCGATCCATCCTGTCCACGACCAGCTCGGAAATCCCAGCCTCCGCTTCAACGGGCACGCAATGTCATGGCTCCACATCAGTCCGCATAAGAAGCCGTCGGAAGAGTTCCTGTTGAGCGGTACAGTGTTGAAGTCGCTGTTGCGGCACAGCGCAGGGAGGATAGGCGAGCCGCAGACGTGGTATATTGGCGGTTCGACCTGCTCGAAAGCTTTCAAGATCCCCGCAAATGCGTTCATGGCGTCGGATTGATACGTCAAATGCCGGTCACAGAACTTTTCGATCATGCTCGAGATGTTGGAGGGGTATTGGCGGTTCGTTATGTGCCAAAAATTGGTGCAGTCCTCGGTTATCCAGCTTCCTTGGGCAACCTTGGTTTCGCGACCATGCATTGAGGACATTTGGGGGCACTCAAACCAAGCTTCAGTCTCGGTGAATACGAGCAGTCTCCTAGACAGCACCATCTCTTGCAGTGTCCACCCTCTCTCATTCCAGACGCTGCGCTCCAGCATTTCGTCTATGCCCGGCCCCAGCTCCAGAACGTGAAGGTCTCCGAACCTGAACCGTCTCCGGCTCGGACGAGGCTTGCCGTTGATGCCGGGGATGCCGTAGTCTGCGTTGGCACCCGCAGCCGCAACGATGGTGAGTTCGGCGTTGCGGTAGATATGGTGCATCTGCTGAATCTGGCTCGCCATGTGCGCGCTGCCCTGTTCGATGCACAGCTGATCGACCCACATGTACTTGTATCCAAGCTGGAGCGTGACATGGATCGCATCGCGCACGGTTCGCGGTAGCTCTGTGTCGGGGTTTATGCACCGCTGACCCCAAACGTAGCTCAGAGCCGCGTATTCGGCGTCGGCAGTGGCATCGTCCAGCATTTGCGTCTCGCAGTTGAACAGCCGCAAGCCTTTCACGGGCATCTTTGGTCGCCCTATGCAAGCTTCTCCGTGGGAACTTCTGCAGTGATGGAGCTTCGCGCCGAGGAGGTTGAGATCAACAGCGTTCGGGTCGCGCGGCCACGTCCCCTTGGTGAACACACTCGGCGGCGTGCGTCGCGAGATGCCGATGTACCCCATCACCGACCGCGAGACGCTCCAGCTCTCCCTGTATCCATCAAGCTGCTCACACAGGAAGATATTAGATCCGTAGGTTTTGTTGATCGTCTCCGTCTGGAAAAGTGTGCAAAGCGTACAACCCGGGTCCAGCTTTGTCATGTCGAGGTGCAGTTCGACGACGACCGACTTGCCACTTCTTTTTTTTGGGACTTCAATGCGCTCCAACTTGCTTCCAAAGTCGAGTTCCTGACACCTCTGGCAGAAAGTAGCGTTTTCCAGCGGCGGTCGGCCTTGCCACCACCCTCGAGGTATTCTCGGCCTGAATGAGATGTCGCCGTCGGAAGTATCGCTCCAGGCGTCGGAATCATTGAGGCTTTCTTCTATGATTGGTATTTGGTCATGTTCTGTGGAACCGGTCTCCTCCATTATGCGACGATCGTCCCTGAAATCTGCACTGGTTGTTTTTGGTGGAGTCGTTCTACTAGAGAGAGGTTGTGCAGTTTGAATCGTAAGGATGTAGTGTAGTGACTGGAGTGGAGAGATGGTCTGCCGCGGGTGGGGTCGACGTGGGGCCTCCATGTTACATCGCTTGGCTGCCGCTGCCTGTCTACGTAGTACATGCAGTGGATGAGGTAGTGATAGCACCTCGCTTGGATAAGAGAATTATTCGGTCATCTCGGTTTGGCCGTTATTGGGGGCCAATTTTTGGTCAAAGAAGGCGGGCACCATCGGGTGCACTTGGCTCGGAAGCTCACCCTACGGCACGCGTAAATACGTCTATCTTTACATCTTTCGAACCCTCATAGGGTCGTCAATTCCTGATGTCTCTCTACCACCCAAAAGTCTCCGTGTGCAGTGCAATGCTCTCCATGCGCCCCGACTTCACCACCATCTCCGTCTGCAACTTCGCAACCGCGTTCGACAGCTCGATCTTCAGCCCCTCCGGCCCACATCCCAGCACAAACGCACGCCTGCCCCGCATCATCGCCGGCAACAGCTCCCCAATCTTCGGCCGCTCAAAGTGCACAACGAGCCCGCTCCCGTCTCCCCCTCCTCTCTTTTCCGTCCCCAGCCCGTCGTCATCATCGCCGCCGCCCTCCCCAACCATATACACCGGCGGCGGAGCCTCGAGCATCACCTCCTCACCACCACCACCCGCCGCCATCGCTCCCCCCCTAATCCCAACATCCACCTCGCTCTCCGACCCGCTCACAAGCCCTCCACCTCCCCCTCCCCTTCCTCCCGCCCCCCTCGTCGCAAACACATCCACCCTCACCACCCCCCTCCTCCCCCTCCTCCCCCTCCCTCCGCCACCCGCAACCTTTCCAACCCCCACCGCCTCCTCCACCTCCCCCCTAACCCACTCCACGCACTCCGCCCCCCTCACCACCCACACCAACCGCACGACGCCCACCCGACACGAGGTACTCGACGCACTCGCCGACGCACTCGCCTGCATCTCCCGCGCCACGCTCACCAGCCACGGCAGCGCCGCCGTGACGCCCGTGCCCCCCGCGACGAGCACGACCGTGTCGACGCCGGCGGCGAGGCTGCGGGCGGAGCGGTAGGACGACGGACCGGCGCCGGCGCCGTGGGTGTGGGGCCCGTCGATGAGGGTGCGCAGGGGGAGGGGGGTGTGGAATGGTGGTCGGGGTGGTGTGGGTGGTGCGGCGTGGGGGGAGGAGGGAAAGGAGGGGAACGGCGACTGGGATTCGAGGGAGGTGGTTGAGGGGCCGGATAGGGGGGTGGTGCCGGTGTTGGCGGATGGCGACAACAGCGACAACGACGACGACGACGACGACGACGACGACGACGACGATGCGGGCGAGTGGGACTTGGTTGCGGCGAGGGCGGCGAGGCGCGAGGTGAAGCCGGCGTGGGTGCGGATCAGGAAGGTGAGGGTGTTGGTGTTGTTGCTGGCGGTTTGCGGCGAGCTGGGCACCGAGGCGATGGTGAAGGGGTGGTTGTCGAGCGCCGACAGCGCGGGCATGCGGATGAAGGCGTGCGAGCCCGGCGGCCAGCGGAACGTGGCGGGGACCGAGACGCGGACCTTGGTGACGCGCCCGGGCAGGGGCTCGAGCGTCGTGGGGTAGCCGGTGAGGAAGACGAGGGAGCGGGTGGAGAGGAGGAGGCGGAGGCTGGCTTGGCCGAGGAGGATGCCGACCGTGACGTAGATGTAGATGGGCTGTTGGAGACGTCAGTAGGGGTTGCAAGTCGGTGGAGACGGCTGGGCTGGCTCACGGAGATGTATTCGCCGTTGATGTGCCATGCGAGGATGCCGATGAAGGCGACGCCGAGGAAAATGTGCGTGTAGACGAAGAATTCGTAGAATTTCTGCCGCACCCGTGGGATGGAGAGGGCGATGAGCCAGAGGAAGAGAAAATACAAGATGGTTCCAGAGAGCTATCAAGTCAGCACATCGGAGTGATGACTGCGTGATTCGGCTTACCTCGCGCCTCTTGCTCATGTACAGCTGAGCAAGGTAGTTGCCCCCGCCGTCCTTGATTGGTGCATACAGGTGGGGAACCTGCTCAGAGTCAGCAAGACTTGACTCGTGACGAAGCGTCATTCTCCTTTCTCACCATGTGGGTGGTGGCCAGGGCGAAGATCAATCCACCGACATATCTATGCAAGATGTTGAGCTTGGTGTAGCAGATGCCCGTCAGCACAGTGACAAGGTTGACTTTGCCGCCAAGTGCAATGAGAAGCGGCATCAGAGCTGAGATGCATAGAGCACATCGCACTGACAAAGGCGGAGACCCGAAGCGGAAGTGCGAACGTAGGTAGTCCTGTTCCGGGAACACAAGGCAGGCGAAAAACGCCGTGGACAGAGCGAGTAGAGCGAGGATTCCAACCGAAGGTAATGCGTGTAAGCGGCCAGTGAAGCGTCGGTATATCACTGAACGGTAGCGTCCCACAAGTCTGTTCATCCAACTTGGCCCAGGTGTTGAAGGCTGTCTTCTGACCCATCGCTGGGCATGATAGTCCTTGAAGAGGTAAATCATGTTTGCAAGTGTGAAGAGAAGACCCCAGGATAGATAGTAGCAGAGAGTCCAATAGCCGTAGTCAATCTGACTGATCAAGCTCGTCTCCTTGTATGATTCGTTCCACCCAGCAGCGAAAGCATCGCACGAGTCGTTCATACAATGAGAGTTGGTGATGGGCAGATCCGTGTAGGGTGTACCGCTGGGCATGGGTCCCTCCGGCCATCGGTTCGGAGGCATGGCGGGTGAGTTGGAGGTCGAGACAGCGTGAGACAAGTGCGGTCCAGCATGCAGAACGGCGATCCCGTAGCAGGCTCCGGGGCAGACTTTCAACAAAGAGGAATGTCACAAGGTCCATGTGCTTGCCAGACTGTTTGCATTGGCCAGTATATCAACCATCGGCGCGAACGGAACCGCCGGGCCGCGGAAGCCACATCGGACAAGTCTGGCGTGTTTGTGGAGCCGAGATCATTCTGAGACATCTATCTATAGGTTCTCAGGCGTTCCCAGGTGATGTAAGGGCTATCAAGAAGTGTGAGAACAATGCACTCGCACGAGAGCCCACGCGGTGGCTCTGAGACTAGAGCTGACCCGCGCATGGCACCACTCGAGCATCAAAGGAGCGTCGGGAATCGCAGAGCGAAGCTGGCGGTGGCCGGATCTCCTCCAGCCGTTATCAAGCCGATGCAGATCCATACCAGTCACGGTGTGAAGCAATAGAGGCCGAACCTGTTCCTCCTGAGGCTCAAGCAAGGATGTGCCCGGCTCCGGGACGAATGAGAAACGAGCTCAAAATCCTCCTGCCCCCAGATCTTGCGCTCTCCATCGACTTTGGCCTTGCGCAGCCCTCCTCACCTCAGCCCTAATCGGGCTTTTACGAGAGGCGGCTGTGAGCTGGGCATAAGACTTCCCCTGAGTGCAAAGGCAGCATCGCCTCGGCTCCGGGCAATAGATGGACTCGTACGACGTGCCCTGTACAAGCTTTCCCAACAGGATGGTTCAAGAGCACCAAATCGCATCGCACTGATCAATGCGCATACGGGCTCGCGCCGATTCGGGATGCTGCATACTCCTATTGGGCGATGCGAAGGCGCTAGACAAGCCACTGGATTCCCGTCAATTGTACACGCCATCTATCGGAGAGTCGGCGCCTGCACTCGCCGTTACACTCGCCAATGAGTTTTGTTCCGAGGCGTAGCTGTCATGATGCCTCAGCTGCGCCGCTCTCCGGCTCCCTTGCAGCCTGCAGATCCCCATGCAACATCTGCTCCTGACGCGGCGGGCTGAGAAGCCGCCCTGCTCGAGCACACGGGACCGGGCTGCGAACCTAAACCCTATCTCGACAGCTAGCCATTGATACTTTCATCCTTCACGCTAGAGCGCAGAATATCATCCCGACGTAATGACGAAACACGGTGGATTCACAGCCTCTCTTCCCGGCCGAGTCGCATTATCGTACCCAAAAACAAATCACCAGCCCTTCAGCCGCCTCCCCGATTCTTTCGTCGCATGGTGCCTGTCATCCCGCCTGTGGCGCCGCCTTGCGCGTACCACCTGGATACCATCTCGTCCATATCGGAATGCCCCCGACGTTTGAACCGTATGACTGCCAGCATCTCACTGAAGTACAGAATCGAGAAGATACCGTCAAACACTTCCTTTCGAATTTAACATGGGCGCATTCGCGACAATAGTACATGTCGTCAGCAAAGGACCAAACCATCACACGTGTTGCGAGGAGGTTCCAGGCCACGCAGATGCGCACGAGCGCACTCTTTGGCTGCATGCGCGTTGGGGCTGTGCTCATAGAGACGGCCGAGTAGCAGACTTCCCTAAGTATCTTCCGAACTCATCGGGATACCAAGCTTCTTCGTGCATTCATCCGTCTTTTGAATTGCCCAACCCGATCTCTTGCACAACTGGAGATATGCCGCCGCGAGCTTTCTGGCAGGTTTCGTTCTGTCCTGATCCAGGCTCTGGTCCAACTTGTCGATCAATCTCTTCATGCTGAACTGAGGTCTTCGCTGGCACTCGAGGGTTTCTGGAGCTGAGCAACGACTTGCTCGGGCGTCGGCAGCTACCGAGGCGCCTCAACGCCCACGTTTCACCGTCCTGCTCCTGCACGTCTCTTCTCTACCTCACACTTTTCCCTTATACGCCACACCATTGTTGACTAATTGAAGAGCTGCATGCATTCTATAATGTTCCAGCACACGCGCCGGTATTAATGTTACCCATCCAAGAGCCTCATTACCACCAACGATTCCGCCACACAATATCCATCCTTGTCAAAATGCTCACCGGCGGCATTCCCGCGTTTGTACAAAGCTGGCGACAAAACAAGCTCGACTGGCTGTACCCGCAGCTCTTCGGCACCAAGTCTCTCGTCGTTTCCCCTGACGTCCAACATGGTGTTCGGATCGAACATCAACCCCTCTCCCCGTCTCTTCTCCCTTGGCCAGTCAAACCACCAGTGAGCTCTCTGTTGCTTGAGAATCGTTGAGAGGCGTAGCGCCTGCTTGAACAGGTCAATGAATCGCGCCTCGATGTCTGGTACTGCTTCTTGATCTACCCAAGGCGAGATGGCTTCCATGGCGCCTTCTGCTCCATCGCTGAGTGCAACTTCGATGTTCTCTTCTTCCGATATCGGTAGTTGGATCTGGGCGGCGAGGTGGGCAGTGAGCGATCTCCAGTTGTGGAAATCGCGAAGTGATATTCCAGTGTTGCCTTGAGAAACTCTTAGTTGACGAGACAGTAGAGCCGATCGGAGTGGGAGCATACCATTGACGGCGTCCTTGAAAACATTTTCGAGCTCAAGAAAGTTGGCAGAGACTGCTTCGCCCATCCACAGGTTCATGTCCTGGAGGACACGAGTGCTGATTGCGTACGTAGCCCAGCCGCGGATGAAGAATCTTCTGTTGATATTGTCGGATGCGAGTAGCGCTTCCAAAGATGGCAGGTCTCGGACATTCGGTACGACAAGGCTGAATCTCGAGATGTCTTCACTGCTGAAGCTTCCGTGCTCAGCCACGGATGAGAATCTGTAGGACCAAGTGTTGATGGCGTAACGGAGAGATTCGAATATCTCGTATATCTCGCTGTCGGTACACTGAGCTCCCATGGGTAGTTCCTTGTGATCCATGGTTGCCTGTAGCTGGCGTGCGGCGTGCTGGATGCTTTCGGACCTCGCTTGCTCCTCACGTGCCTTGATCTGCTCCTCATGGATTCTTGCATTGAATTCATCCAGAAGCCTCGGATTGGTGTATTTGTGACGGCCGTACGGCTTGTAGTCCTGGCCGCTTAGCAGATTCGACTCAACTTTATTGAGGGCATGTCCCTAAGATCGGTTTAGCATTCGAAGCTCAAGGAGGGGGGACTCTAGACTACCAGCGCGGAGAAAGCATGTCTGAAGCCTTTCTTCGGACTACCACCTTCGGACCTGGCTTTTTTTGGAGACGCCGACGGACCAGCTTGATACTTTCTGTGCTTTTTCTTCCTATGAGGCTTATGGCCCAGCTGCTCTCGGTCATGGGACGTATACGGGGTGGTGTCGGACAAGGCTTGCCGGCCTCGATGGCTCGGAATGCTCTCGGCCATGCTCCCAAAATCCACCGAACTGATAACACTCTCTGCCTCATTCTGCTCCTCAGACAGGGGTTCCTCACTCGTCGATGCCATGGTTTTCGGAATAGGAGAATGACCAAGATGGTGAGGCTTCAGAAACTCGGTGGTTTTCAGACGCGATGCGGGGTACGACATTTGCTCACCTCTGCTGTATCACAACCCAATTAGCTATCTCGGGTCAAAGCGGCATGTGCTGATTCATGTAAGCCGCCACGCTACAGGCTGCGCTAGGCAGACTCCGCTTGCACCCTTGTCTTGGGCGCATGACAACAACTCGGCCGGTTTTGGCGAGTTGCAGCGCCCGCAAGGCTGTATCTCAGCGCACTGCTATGCGCAATGTGGCACTATCTTACAAGTCTAGAACCAAAGCCTTGTTACGTAGCGTAGACCATGTTAGCTGAAGATACTTTTGTGCAAGACGTGAAGCCGGCACCCGCGTCTGCCATCCATGAGTCGATCAGCTCCATCCCCGGCAATGGAACGCCCACGAAGGCCAGTATCATCTGTATGGCGAACGGCACGAAAGGAAGCACAGACCGAAATATCCTCCTCTTCTTTCCCATCTCATGCTGGACCTCTTTGGCCACAGGCACTGCAAGATTTCCACTGTCTTGTTGCGCTCGCGCCAGCCGGGCCTGCTGCTGATCCCAGTCCCGACGCACTTGGCGGCTCATGGCCCGATTGTTGCCCGGGATGCTCCGTTTCAAGCGTGTCAGCCCCGCCAGCTCATCTTCGCACTGGAGTTTGACGGCCTCGGCGTTCCCCTGCAGATACGCCCCAGCGCACGTCTCGTGGAGTCGCATTCTGCGATCAACAAGCTCTCGCTGGATGTCTAGCACAACGCTATCCTTCTCCAAGAGTTGGCTGATGAGGCTGATGGCCGAGTCGCCGTCTCCGTGGAATCTGCTCATGTTGGAACCCTTGTCCAGCATGTATGCCCAGAACTTGTCCCTTAGCTCCCGTTCCCGCGCTGCGCCGGTCACGGGTGCCACTTCGGACCATCTCGAAGTCACCAGGAGCACGTTCTTCAAGGCTTCCTCGCCGCAGATTTTCTTGAAGATCTCGAATGTCTTCACCGAGGAGCCCGCGTACCGCACGTCGGTGATGCGATGGACGTACACGACACCTCGTAGCTCTACTCCGAGCATGTATTGTGCTGAGATTATGCGTGCAATCTCGTTGAGGATCTCCGAGTCGGTACGGTCCGCGTCGTCGAAGCCGGGCGTGTCGACAACAAGAAGCCTGCTGTTGCCGATCACGACTGGTACGAGTTGGCATTTCTGCGTGCCTAGTAATCATGTCAGAGGCAAACACAGGCTCATCCGCCGGGGAAGCACTTGCATGGTTCCAACGATGCTCCCTCCTCAACAGTTGGACGTCCGGCGAGCCTGTTGATCAGATAGCTTTTCCCCGCGCCTGTGACTCCCATCACCACGATCATCCCAAGCCGCTCGTCGTTCGTGTTTGCCATCGTCTCTCTTTCGCGCAGATAGAGCTGATAATCTTTGTATGACTTTGCGGCACAGACGTCCTTGCGCGTTGGCACTGAGAAGCGATGGCAAAGAGTGTGTGAGGCTGTGAGACACGAGATCAAAGATAGTTCCGGACTTTGCCTCGCTGTATATGTTTGCTTACTCCAACACGATTCACCGGACAGCGGATGGTTTCCAACATTTCTGCAAGGCTGGGCTTAGCTGCTATCGTGGCAGTCCAATCTACTCATTGCACCAGCTGTCCGACCAAATCCAGCTTCTGAGGCGTTTGATGCTGCTATTCTAACCAGAAGTGAGCCTCGTCGCCGAGAAAAATCAGGGTTCGGCAGGCATCCATCGTCCAGGATCAGAATCCCACCGTCTATTGAGCAACGCCCCAAAGGGAGTCCTGCAGTCTCCCCGCACGAGGCTGAATGGACATGCACTGATGAATAACCCTAAGCCCTCACAGCCTCGCTATCTTTGCCCGCTACAAAACAAGAACTGATCTGCTCTTTTCCTTCTCGCTTTCTTCCGAGCAAATTGCCACTGTGCCAAATGCCAGCCCTGGAAATTGTAGTAGGTATAGATTTCGGAACCACGTAAGTTCCTCGTGTATCGCACATGTCGAATCGGAACTGAATATCCATTTAGATATTCGGGGGCCTCATGGGCCATCAACGCTGGCGAGAGACAAGTCCACCTGGTCGACGACTGGCCCAATCCTGTAGCGGCGAACATTACGCAACATAAAGTTCCATCTCTGCTGTCGTACAACAATAGAGGGCAACCCGTCAAGTGGGGCTACAATGTTACAGTTGGGACAGACACTCGAGTGCTGCGATGGTTCAAGCTGCTGGTAGAGTCGTTGGACTACGACAATGATATGATAGAGCCACTCAGAGAGTCCGAAAACCTTCTGCGGTCCATGTCGCGATCCCGAATCGACGCCACCTCGGACTACCTGAGATGGATATGGGAGTCCACCAAGGAAAACATTCGCATCCACCAGGGCGACAACTGGAACGCCATATATGACGTATCTGTCATCCTTACCGTCCCTGCGATATGGAGCGCGAGAGCTAAAGCACGGACAAAAAGAATCGCACACATCGCTGGTCTGCCCGAAAACACCAAGCTCGTCCCTGAGCCCGAAGCCGCAGCTCTTGCTGCTTTCAAGGACTTGCTTTCGGGAACATCTCAGCAGACCTTGAGGAAAGACGATGCGTTTGTCGTGTGTGACGCGGGAGGCGGCACAGTGGTAAGTAATGCCACAATCGACACTTGAATACCGCTCATGTCACCTCATCAGGACCTCATCAGCTACCAGATCAAGTCATTGCATCCGTTCAAGATTGAAGAATGCACGCCCGGCACAGGTTCGTAGCTGAGTCCGCTTTTACCACCGCATCAAAGCTTACAGACACACGCCAAGGGGGGCTCTACGGTTCCACTCTGATTGACAGATGTTTCGAAAACGACATCCGTACCAGAATTGGTCCACGGACTTATGACAAAATGTCACCGCGGCGCAGGGCCAGAATCTTCGAAAACTTTGAAGCAGTCAAGAGATCCTTCAATGGTGACGATAGAGAGGAACACATCGTGGACCTGCCCGGTATCAGGGACAACCCGGCTGCCCGGATTCGGGATCAAGCTATTCAGTTGACGCCGTAAGTCTAGCGGCTTCATGCTTAGCTCATTATTCAAGTGCTGACCTGGTGAAAGGTCGATGCTGCGGACACTATTCGACCACGTGTGCAATCAAGTCATACACCTGGTCGATAACCAGATAGAGGACGCAAGAGCGGAGAATTGCAGAGTCAAGGTTTGTCTTCCCACCAACCCAACTTCCTTCGCTGACGTTGATAGTCCGTGTTCCTTGTCGGTGGCTTCGGCTCTAGCAAGTACTTGCATCGCCGAATCAAGCAAAGCTGCGAAAGCCTCGGCATACAAGTTCTACAGACACGGAATTCGTACATACTCCTCAAGCATGTATTCGAAAAACTGCTGACTCTGGACAGATGGTCCGCTATCAGTAGAGGTGCCACGCATTGGGGACTGGAAAACTCCGATTTCAACACTTCAATGTACATGCAGTATCCGATTACCGCCAGGCGCTCTAGAATCAACATCGGCTATTGCACTGACGTACCTTTCGATCGCAGTATACACAGTCGTGCAGAGCGGATTAGAGACCGGCATGGACGTGCTCGGGCAGGCAATCATATGAAATGGCTGGTTCGACGGGTTTGTATCTCACTCTCTTGAACGCTGCTCAGACGGGCACTCACGCATGAGCAGAACGACAGGCTTCAGCACAATCACGAGATACAGTTTGAGATTAGACGCCCGGTCCAAGTGTCAAGACTTGACAGATTCATTTCCTCGGAGAGGCAACAGTTTTCGCAAAGTCTCCTCTACTGCGACGGTGCTGTGCCACCGGTCCGAATGCACGACGGTAAGCTCTCCTCTGAAACAAGACGGCTTTAATTTGATTACTGAGCGCTTTCATCACTAGTTGTGAAAGAGCTTTGTTGGATTGAGTTTGAAATTGAAAATAAGAAACTGGCGAGGGAGAAGAGCTATAGAGAACCAAAGTCGAGAAAAAAGTATAGAGATGCGACATTCGATTTTAGAGTTCGACTGCATGGCGCGGAGCTGACTTTCAGAGTCTTTTATCGTGGTAAATTAGTGGCGTCTTGCAGAACACGGTACAAAGATTTAGAGTAGTGCCGCTTTTCGTCCTTTTGTACATAGCTCTTAACGATAGACAAACATTGAAAGCGGGAGCATAAACCCTGATCCACGCATGTGACAGGTACTGACAGTCGCAGATTGCTTAAACATATTCAGCAGCGCATCCAGTGAAAGACATATTTTCAATGAAGCGAATCATCAGTGTCAGTTTCCGTATATGCCACGAGTAGCACCTATCCCGCCTCTCAACTTGGATCCTCAATGCTATGCTCTCTGCAAGGAGTCATGGCTTCTGAGTAGTCTTTCTGCTTGGCTCCGTCAGATGCATATCGAACTCTGATACTTCACGAGGAAAACGATGCTGTCGGCACTTGAGGGCTTGTTTGCTCTCAAGCCCCCCGGAATCCCCGTTCTTTGCGGTTAATTGCTTGCGTATCAGGCTGTTGACAGTCTGGAAAACGGGACAGTGTCTGTGACACCAAGGTCCATTAATCTGTTACCCGATCAGCACGAGGAGCAAAATTGGTCACGAAGAGGACAGCACGCAGAGTTTGGTATCGACGAAATTAGTCAAATCCTTTTATGACGCGAAAAGGTCCTTGAATACGGCAACTATGACCTGGTGGAGGGCGATCTCTATGGACGCATCTGTCTGGCGGAAAAGAAGGTCCGCTAGTGTTCCCGGGACAAGTGAGAAGATGCAGTCAAAGAAGTCGCGCATTTACAGGGACACCCCCCATGCGCACATCCTCTGATTGATTGGAACATACATCATCACAAAACTGGAGGCACCTGCACATTCCTCCATATCCAGCCGCGGATCACGACCTCCGAGCTTTTCTGGAACCCATGCCGGACGACGAAACAAACGCTGCAACACGGAACCCGTACCTTTTTTCCCTTTCCCGTGCCTTGTCCAACACGCCGGCTTTTCCTCCACAGCCGATTCGCCAAACCCATAGACGTCAAGCCAGCGGACATTCTCATCCGAAATTTTTAGCAATGCACCGGTAGCGAGCCAATGCGTTACGGAGTGTATCTTTCCGAATTTAGCATCCCGCGCGCTCATCTGTCTCCCGATGCGGCCGAAACTTCCTCCCAGACGCAATGCCCACGGCTTTTACGCTGCTACCCAAGTGGTATTTCAGGAAGTCAGAGGCTTGGGTGCCCGAAGTCTTTCCAATGGGGTGCGTGTTCACGGAGATGATGGCGGCGATTGCGGACATGGGCGACGGGCATGTTTCGACTTGCGCCGATTCATTCCAAGAGAGACTTGAGGAGATGCCTAGTTGTTGGCTCAGATTTGAAAAACGACTTGGACGTCTGGCTTCAAGTGACGCTGGGAATGCTGAATATAAACCCCGAACATCGGCCTTTGGCCCAAGCGATATGGGGCAGAGTGGAAGCGTGTCGAACTCCATGCTGCCATCAGGAGCCAGAACCGCTGGAGGCAGCATCAGGTAACAGCCTCTAAGCGTTGAACACTCATGCTTCTTGATTATGGTTGCAAAAACGAACAGTGTTCATCATCAGAAGCCGCGCGCAAAGCCCATCGCAATCCCCACCATTACCTACGACCGAGCAAAAAAGCACCCCTCCCTCCCCTCCTTCTACAACTGATACCTAAAATCCGGATGTCCCTCCCCCGCATCCTCATACGCCTTCTCATCCAAGACCTCTGGCAAGCCCCTCCTCGTCCTCTCCCTGCGCGCATTCTCCACCCTCAACCCCACATACAACGCGCTCTGGCTGACCACGCTGAGCGTGATGAAGGCCATGTTGGTGGCGAAGCCGGTGCGGTACTGCGGGGCCTCTGCGGTGATGAAGACGTTGCTCGCGACGAAGGCGCCGCAGTTGCCGAGGGCGATGACGCAGGCGAAGGCGACGGTGCGCTTGTACCCCTTGCCGACGTTGATGGCGCACCACACGACGGTGATGGGCATCGTCAGGTACGGGCCGGCCGTGACGAAGAACATGCCCATGTACCGGATGTTGGCGTCGCGCGGCTGCGCGAGCTCGACGGCCAGCCCGGCGAGCGACGTCAGCGACCCGAGGATGCCGAAGAGGTAGCGCTGGCCGAGGCGCTCCGAGAGGTAGGCGCACGTCAGGGAGAAGGCGAAGGAGGCGGCGTAGATGGGGATGCTGTGGATCTGCGCTTGCGTCGACGTGTAGCCCAGCCCTTTGAGGATGGAGGGCTGGAAGGAGACGACCGAGGCGGCGTTTTCTTCGGCGCCGAGGTAGGATAGCACGCTGATGATGGTGGTGGTGGTTAGGGTGGGGACACGGCGTTCATGTATCGGAGGAGTGGTGTTGGTGGTAGTTGGGAGGGGGAAGGGGGAAGGGTGGGGGTTGAGGAGGGAGGGAAGGAAAGACGTACCAGAGCCAGATTTTCCAGTCCAGCATGTACTTTATGAAACGCCTCGGGTTCAGCTTGTCATGACGGACGAGGCCGCCGTCTTCGACGATGCGGGTCAGTAGCACCGCCTTCTCCTCGGGCGTGAACATGGTGGATTTCTCGGGGAAGGGGACGATCCAGAAGATGGAGCAGAAGCTGAAGACGACGGTGATGAGGCCCTCGATGATGAAGATCCTGGAACATCGGTCAGTACGCACTCTCGTTCGGGAGTTTCTCGCAACAGAATTGACTCACCACCGCCATCCTTCATAGTTGCCCACACCGTCCATCTTCGAGATCAGGGTCGCGAGAAGCTGTACGCGTCAGTGGGCGAGCTCTCCGACACATTGGAGAAGGGGCACACATACGCCATTGAAGGCACCGGCCGCAATGGCGGCGCTGAAGAACCAGGTGTAGCGTTTCAGAAACTCGTCCTTTTTGTAGTAGCTGCCGATCAAGTAGGCGCAGCCTGGGACGAAGCCGGCCTCCATGATGCCCTCGAGGAACCTGCACGCAATCAGGCCTCCTGCAGATCTTGTGACGCCCTGGCCGATAACGGTGATACCTGCAGCAGGCGGACCGAGACACGGGTAAGTAAGCCACAGTGCGAAGATCAAACAATGCAGGCGACACAGGGCGAGATGGTAGAAAGCTTACCCCAGAACAACATCATGAGGCTGAGCGTCTTCGGGCCGAACTTCTTGAAGACCAGGTTCGCGGGCACGCCGAAGATGACGTAGGCCAGGGTGAAGATCCAGACGGCGATGTTGTACTGGTTGCCGTGCAGGTTCAGGTCTTCCTCCATGCCCTGGATCTTGGCGTTGGCGACGTTGGAGCTGCAGGGGTTCACGTCAGTTAACCATGCTGCGGTTGCACGGGGAATGAACAGAGCTGAAAAACAAAAAACGTACGCACCGGTCGATGAAGGAGATTAGGAACAGGATGCACAGCAGTGGCACAACCTGGAAGTCCAGCTTACGCAAGATGCGTCGCTCGATGCTGGGATCGAAGGGCTCGGCGGATTGACGCTCAGAGTCGCGCGGCGTGGAGGCGCCCGAGGCCGTGACTTCGGGAGCCTTGACGCTCATTGTGGTTTGTGTCGCTTATGGTGCGTGCTCACAGGGTAGCTGAGGGAGAGCAGGAGGGAAAGCTGTGAGGGGAAAGCACTCGACGGGTGAGCGGCGGGGCATGGGCCAGCAGAAGTAACCTGTAGGCGGGCGGGACATTCCTGGGCATGCTGCAGGGTGACCCGTAAGTTGCAGAGTCGGTGGCTCTGTACCAGGGCTAGGCGTCGATTCGCCGTGTCGCGGGCGGGGCTCGTCAGCGCCAAAACGAGGAGGAGAGGTAAGGGGCGCTACCGGTGCAGGGAAGGGGACAGAGATAGATGAGGCAACGGTCCTATCATCACCGGGCTGCATGACTGTGAGGTGGAGAGAAGGATGTTCCGAGCTGCATACGCCTTCCACCCACGCGGCCAATTGCGCGTGTGCGGAGGTGGCGGTCCGTCGGAGAAAATGGACCTCTCTCTGCGGCCACTGGCCAGCCACGACCATAAGCCTGGCTTCTTTCCTGGCTGATCGACGTCCAGGCTGCGAGGAGGCTGACCATCAACCGGCATGCCGCGTGTCTTGGAGCTTGCGGTCGGCGACGGAAAACACTTCGCTGGCCGACATGTCTGACGCGAGAAGTGTGCGCTGGAGCTGGGCAGGCGTGAGTCCGCGAGTGAAGAGCGAGACCAGGGTGCTGGGGCGATGCTGGCCAAGAAACGGCGGGGAGACGCTTGTGCGGCACGGCAGGCCCAGCAGGCCCTGGACTCGGCAAACAAGCACAGCGACAAGACTGCCAGTCACGGTTAAGCATCCAGTCGCACCTTACAAAGCGGGCCTAGCCACCGTGTGCCGAGGGAGCGTGTGCGAGCACGGTTCCTTCCGCCGCGACGCAGACAGGCTTGATTTTTCCCGAACACCACTTCCATCATTTCCACCACGGCGGGTCCCCGCGGCGTAAGCTGCCGTAATCGCCTACCACACCGGCCACGCGCTTGGGAACATGGCGCCTCTTCCCAGCGACCGATCGGCTCGGCCGCGCTTGTGGAAAAGCAATTTATCATCATCCGTCGGGGCCGGTGTGCGGTGAAACACCAACCTCCCAAAGCGGCAATGCCCAGTTGCACGGCAGAAGCGCTCGCGTGGGCCCTCGGCCGTCTTAATGCTGCAAAGCGAAGCGCAAAGGGCTCTGATCTGGCTCCACCTGGATCTCACCCTTCTCGAACCCCGCCCCTCATGGAATCCTGGGACGGGCAAGGCAGCGCCATCACCGGCGTGTCCATCTCGCTGGGCACGCTGGCGACTTGCATCGTGTGCACGCGCATGGGCGCCGTGTACAAGCGGAGGGGATGGCTGGGCCTGGAGGACGCCATGGTGGCGCTATCCAACGTGCGTGCTTGTCGTGCGACGGCCCGTCCAAAAACACACTTTCTGACGCCGCTCCAGTGTTGCTTGATCGTCATCACCGTGCTCGGCTGCGAAGGTCGGTCCAGCTTCGCGCGGGCGGAGGGAGGAAAAGCAAAACACTGACATGACACCAGCCGTGCGAGCGGGCTTCGGCCTGCACAAAACGGACATCGCAGCAGCAGGAGGCAACTTGCGCCTCGCACTCAAGGTCCGCCGTGCCTCGACTCCTCCTCGCGCGCCCTACTGACGCGCCCTTGCACCCAGTACTTCTTCCTCTTCCAAATCTTCTACAAATGCGTCATCCTCTTCAACAAGCTCGCCTTCCTCCTCCTCTACCTGCGCGTCTTCCAGATCCACTCGTTCCGGCTCATCTGCCTCTGGTCCATCGCCTTCGTCGTCGTCGGCTCCTTCTCCTTCATCACGGCCACGCTGCTCGAATGCCTGCCGCTGGCGTGCAACTGGAACAAGACGCTCCCCGGCGGGTGCCGCTGCATCAACAACTCGGCGTTCCGCTGGTCGTGGGCGGCGTTCAACACGCTGACGGACGTGTGGGTGGCGCTGCTGCCCATCCCCTTCATCCAGCGGCTGCAGATGTCGGCGGCGAAGAAGCTGGGCCTGTGCGTGCTCTTCGCCCTCGGCCTCTTCGTCTGCGTCTGCAGCGCCATCCGCATGAAGGCGCTCGTGGCGAGCACCCGCGCGACCAAGGACACGACGTGGGACTCGGCCCCCGCCTTCCTGTGGTCCGGCATCGAGGCGGCCGTGGGGCTGATCTGCACCTGTCTGCCCAGCCTGCGCTGGCTGCTGTCCCACGTCATCCCGATGCTGGCGTCGACGGCGGGCGTGGCCGGGTCGTCGGACAAGAACCGCTACTATCAGACGGGTAGTGGCAGCGGCGGCGGCGGGCGCAGGGCCTCGGCGGCACACAGGCTGGGCCATCTCTCCTTCTGTCACGGCGGCGGCGGCGCCGGGGGCACGGCCAAGAGCGCGGGGGCCGGCGTGCACGAGCTGCCGGGCCTGGTCCCGATCAGGGGCCGCAGCAAGGTGGACGCGACGGCGACGACGACGACGACGGGGAAGAACCGCTATGGCGAGAGTTCGAGCGAGGAGCGCATCATCGGGCCGGTGGTGGGCAGGGGGGAGATACAGGTGCAGACATGCGTGTCGGTGCAGAGCTCGGCAACCAGCGCGGTGGGGGTGGATTGAGAGGTGGTGGTTGTGGTTGGTTGGCGTATATTTCGGTTCTGTTGCAGGTAGACTCGAGAAGATCAGTAGTTGTTAGTTAGCGGATGATGTGATCAGCCTTACCCGGCAACGGCGCACTGACGGTTAACCGGATGAGGCTACCGTCGGCCATGGCTAAATTGACTTGGTGTGTCCTTCCTGGGGACGGCATGCATCTTCAAAGTACCTTCCGTTAGTTGTTGCAGCTCCGTGCCGCATCGGCAAGCCGTGAGGGCTCCACGCGAGCTTTATGCCGGCATGGCAGGCCAAGATTCCTTGCCGTGCTGTGCCGCACCCCGACCCGGCGAGCCGCCCATCCCCCACCTTGGCTCACCTTGGCTCCCGTCCTGCCCCACCCGGCCCCGAAGCTTGCCTTGGCCGAACGGGAAACTGAGACGCCATAAAAGCCGCTGTCGTCGACAGGGTATATCACGTAACCGCATACGGCCATGCAGCTGCTCGGAGTTCCGCCCCGTCTCTCGCACTTTTCCACCACGGCGCCGCCACTTGACCTCCACCGTCCATCAAGTGACTCGGGTGTTGACACCAGACAAGCATCACAATCAACCATGCAGTCCTACACCGTGGCCGATGTCTTCCTCGAGAGCCTGGCACAGGTAAGAGGGCCAATCTCAAGACGGACAAGATGGTCCCCTCGCTTACACTGCTCCCCGACCTAGTCTGGCGTCGACTACCTTTTTGCCGTGCTCGGCTCCGACCATCCCAGCATCATCGAGGCGTATCGACGACGGCAAGAAGAGGGCAAAGCTTGGCCGCAGCTCCTGATTTTTCTACACGAGGCAAGCTACGAGGATTCCACTTTATCCATCCACCACGGACCTCGCATCTCCGCCCACAATCCCTCCTCTCTCATTTCACTGCGCCCTTTCTCCCCCTCCCTCCGCTTTCCCTTTCCGACCACCTTTCCCGCACCGCCCCAATCTAGCGCAGACAACCATCCCGACACAAGCACGTACGCGGCCCGGCCCCCTCAGCTAACCCACGGACCCGCAGTTCGTCGCCCTCTCCGCCGCCGACGGCTTCGCCCGCCTCACCAAGCGCCCGCAATGCGTCCTCGTCCACGTCGACGTCGGCACCGCCGCCCTCGGCCAAGGCCTGCACAACGCGTCGTCGGGGCGCGCCCCCGTCCTCGTCTTCGCCGGGCAGGCCCCCTTCACGCACCGCGGCGAGCTGCCGGGGTCGCGCACCGAGCACGTGCAGTGGTACCAGGACGTGCCGCACCAGCACGCGCTCGTCGCGCCCTACGCGCGCCTCGCCGCCGAGCTCAAGCACGCCGCCCACGCGGCGCGGCTCGTCCGCCGCGCCCTCGCCCGCGCCGTCGCCGCCAGCCCCGGCCCCGTCTACCTCACCGCCACCCGCGAGGTGCTCGCCATGCCTGCGCCGGCGCCGCGTCCAAAACACTCCTCATCCACCCCCTCTAATTCCTCCACCCCCTCATCCATGACGCCCTCCCCCCCCTCCTCCACCCTCGCCGGCGCCCTCCCCCCCACCCCCCTCCGCGCCCTTTCCCTCGCCCTCCTCACCGCCCGAGCACCCCTCGTCATCACCGGCTACCTCGGCCGCAGCGCCGCCGCCGTCGCCGCCCTCGTGCGCCTGGCCGACTCGATCCCCGGCCTGCGCGTCTGCGACGCAGAGTTTCGCGAGATGTCGTTTCCGGCGACGCATCGGGCGTGCGTGCGCGGCAGGGCGACGGGCAAGGGCGGGGCGAGGGGGGCGATGGCGGAGGCGGATGTGGTGGTTTTGGCGGATGTGGATGTGCCGTTTGTGCCTGGGAAGGGGATGGGATTGCTGGAGGGGAGGAGGAGGAAGAGGGTGTGGCGGGTGGATTGCGATGCGGAGAAGGCGGGGATGGTGGATCCGGGGGGTTTTGGCTTGTTTGGGGAGGGCGACGACGAGGAGGGGACGACGTGGCAGGCGGATGTGGGGGCGGTGCTGGAGCAGGTGTGCGACTGGGTGGAGCGGGAGGAGGAGGCGCGGGCGGTGGTCGAGGCGCGGAAGGAGGAGTTTGCCGCGAGGTGGGAGGAGTTGGGGCGGCGGCACGAGGAGGCCGAGGCGGTGCTGAGGGAGATGGCGGCGCCGAGGGCGGACGGCCGGTTGTCGGCGGCGTTTTTGTTCAGGGCGTTGAGGGAGGGCGTGCCCGAGGATGCCATCTGGGTGAGTGATGTCGTGACGAATCAGGTCACCTTGAGCGAGCAGTTGGGGTTGGAGGTGCCGGGGACGAATTTCACGAAGGGGGGCAGCGGGTTGGGGTGGAGCGGGGGCGCGGCGGTGGGGATCAAGATCGCGACGGAGCTGTACGATACGAAGAGGGAGAGGCCCTGTGTGAATCGGAGGGAGGGCGGTCGCGATGGCAAGGGGAGGTTCATCTGCAGCATTACCGGTGATGGTGCGTTCGTCTTCGGCGCCCCGTCGGCCGTCTACTGGGCTCAGCACCAGCATCAGACGCCGTTTTTGACCGTCATCGTCAACAACGGCGGGTGGAAGGCCACGAGGTCCTGCATCAACGATGTGCATCCGGATGGGTTGGCGGCGAAGACGTCGGATCGCGATCTGGGCATCGATTTGCGGGGCAACGGACCTGATTATTTGGGTATTGCAAAGGCTGCCGCCGGAGGAAATTTGGTCACGGAAAGGGTAGACAAGGTTGATGATCTGAAGGGGGTTATTTCCAAGCTGGTCAAAGTCGTGGAGGAGCAAAGAGTGGGAGCCGTTTTGGAAGCCGTAATTGTTTAATGTTTCCCGAACGGCACGTGGAAACAGTAGCTACCAGTTCATTTGTAATCGCTACAGTCATGATTTTCCAATGCTATAAGAATGCTTTTCATGTTAAATTGCATCATTGCATTCTTCGTCACCTGTCAAGAGAGCGTGAGGATGTAGACGCGTTTTCAACATGCTCAACGCTCCAACTGGTGCAGTTTCCGAATGCTCTATTGTTCGATAGTGCTATTTATCATGATCAACACCATGATATCACGATATCTATCATCATTGCCAGTCTTCGCGGATGTTGCTGTTCTTCATTGGGTAAATAAACGCCATGCAGCAGTAGATCCAATGAAGCATCCATGACCTCCTGCGATCAAACCAACAGCTATCTTATTAATACTGCGCCTAGTACCATACAGTCAAACCCCACTTTGCCAGCCTCTTCCAAACAACCAAGAACCGAAAGGCTGATGAATCAGAATGGCCTCCCCTCAATCGTCCCAATTTCCTGCCGGTCTCGGGCAAGGATCAATCCGAGCACCAACGGGGTCGCAACTTCCGCCATCTCCGTGGAACCAACACCAGTCTGGCTCTTTCAGTCATCTTACAGTTAGCAGAACCGTTGCTGCCACACCCGACTTACCCTGAGAACATTTGCAGTAGTTACCGATGAAGTGGCGTGGATCCGCGCTGTTGGCCAGTGTGTCAGCGCTCCGGGCTTTTGATGAAGCAGAGGGGCTCTCACTTGTTGTAGCATGGCTGGACCTGAGCAGCAGCAATTCTTGAGGAGCCACACAAGGCGGCCATGAAGACGATGAGCCTCATTTTTCGATGATGGTTTATTGGGGAAGGCGGTTTGGCCAGGCTCGGGGCATCTGCTGCAAGGCGGACCCATTAATATTTCCGAGTTTTCCTGCGTATGATGGCTCTGGAGTGCCACGATGTTGCAGAAACAAGCCGTCACATCGAGAGGTTGTGGTGGCGCTTTTGTACCGTCTACATCCTTCGGCTTTCCGGCCGCCGTATCCAAACAGTGACGGTCAAAGACTGAAGTGGCTTGATCGAGCCGGGTTAAGGTGTGGCAGTCGGGTTGACAAAAGCTTGGCTGACGTGTGGAGTCAATGAGATAACCAGGACAATACTATGTGTACGGGAAAGCCGATATAGCCAAGAGATGTGCTACGTCGCAGCACGGACGGCATGGGAAAGTTCCCTTGGTCAGACCAAGGCATAAGTGTAACACTAGCCCGTTTGTCCTCCTCGGCCTGACGAGAGAAGCCCCATATCATGTCACTCTATCATCAGCAAACTCTCCATCCCGGTTAAGCGCTTGCGCTTGACCTTCTTTGAACGTCTCTGTCGCATTCCAAAATCATTCGAGCAGGGATGATTCAGCTATTTTCCCGTTTTATTTGTGGTTGCATCGCACGCTGGTACTACTGTGAACCTTGATTCTGCCAAATTCTCGACTATCCATTCTCTGGTGTTCGGACGATTGCCGTCTTCCGCTTCTTCTCCGCTGTGAATTTATATAGCAGATCGTTCTCATCATCTATACCTTCATAACTTATCCCACGCCCGTCGTTCCGCACGAAGCCCATCGACATGCGTGTTCTGCTCTGCACCATCTTTGTCTGTTTGACTGGCTTGGCGCCAGCGACGGAAGCACAATCCTTTTTCGACGGGGTAGGTATTCACAGGGTGGATTGTTATGGCTTCACTGACCGTGCTTGGCAGACATGCTCGATTCCATTCCCCTCGGGCAAAGGCCAATGCCGATACTACATGTCCGAGCATTCCGAAGGACTCTCTGGTGCTCCCTGCGCTGACACTCGTCGCGTGAGTCTCTCGCAACAAAATCTCCTAGTCATGCTAACATCAACAGTGCAAGAATCCCGGTGGCTTTTGCAGATACTGGGACCTGGGAACTCCCGGGGAGGCGCAATGCTCGTGATGCCAGAAGTGTTTTGAGCTTCCAGGGGAAAGGGTACGTGCAAGCCGTTTGCAAAGGAAGCACCCTATGGGGAGAAGTGTAGGCTGCATGTCATGATAGAAACCAACGAAATGACGGTACTGAAGCAGGTCTTCATACTTCGATGCCGTCACTCTACTGATGCGACGACTTATGGCACGTGACATGGCGGATGGCCCCCACGTTTGATTTGCATCTTCGTTGGCTGCTGACTGCTTGCTTCCACCCGACCTCACTTTTCCATCGCTCGCTGCTGCTTCATCGCCTCACGACAGCACGCGCGCGTGCTACCACGACGTCGAACTGTGGCGAAGTGACATCCGTTTCTCGCCATGGACCATTTACTCGTGCCAAAACACCCTGCGCGTCCCGCACCAAAAGTCCGCTACTACTGCCGCCAAGAGTATGATGGGGGCGATTTTCTCACTTATCCGGAACGCATGGGCTGGATCGACGACGGTGACACATGGCTGGATCTCAGCGATTCGCACGACGTAGACGAAGCGTCGGCCTTCCTTCAACAATGGCTGTTTTTCGGGCTGCTGCACGAGTTCTTCGGGGAACTCGCCGACTTTTCGGCTTTCATCGAGACGGACAGCAGCTCTGGCATCGTGTATGTTCATACAAGAGAACTGTTGCCAATGGCTCGGGCGTGGCTGGAAAGAGAGCGAGCCGAGAAAAGACTGGCCCTCCAGGGAGCCAGGCTCAAACAATGCCTGAAGAAGACGTACAGCATCTACCACGCCGTCACGGACGAGCAGGACGAGTTCCTGGATCCCTATCTCCAACTCTCTCTGGTCGCTACATCGCGGTTCCTGACCCACGTAGCAAGCCTGCTGTATCCCGACGAGTTCCCCCAGGCGCCTTGGACACTGCCATGCGTGAAGTTCGACGAGGGCCGTCTCGCCAACGCCAAAGACGTCAACAACGACATGGACATCCTCGGCGTGGAGATGGTCCAATCCGGGTGGTGCCCACGCCAAGTCGGCATCGCCGAGCGCTGCTCCTTCGAGACGTACTACTTCTGCTCGCGCCTCCGCATGGGGCGGCCGCCCGACGCCCCCCGCCACGACTCCTGCACCCAGCTGCAATGCCTCGCCCTGCAAGTCGAAAGCGGCACCTACGCCACCAAGCACGTCCGCCCCGGCTGCTCGTGCCCCTGGCTCTCGCCCTCCACCGACGCCGTGTGCGCCATCCTCCGCGCCGGCCGCATCCCCCTCGTCGCCTTCGACCCCTCCACCGACACCCTCGCCCTCTCCTCCACCACCACGACGACAAGTCCTCCTCCTCCCCGCTACACCGCCCTCTCCCACATCTGGTCCGACGGCCTCGGCAACCCATCCGCCAACGCCCTCCCGCGCTGCCAACTCCGCCGCATCGCCGCCGTCGTCGCATCGACGACATCCGGCAGCCAACATGAACCCCCGCCGCCACGTCCGCAGCAACAACAGCAACACTGGTTCTGGCTCGACACCCTCCTCTGCCCCGTCGGCGGCCCTGACGCCCGCGACGCCCGCCTCCTCGCCATCCAGCGCATGCGCCAGACCTACGCGCTGTCCGCCCGCGTCCTCGTCCTCGCCGCCGACCTGCAGGCGACCAGCACCAGTACTGCCAGTATCGGTACCAGCACCAGCGCCGCTGCCGGTCCCGCGGGCGACGACGACTCCGCCGAGGCACTGCTGCCCGTCATGGACAAGCTGTACCTGACGGCGCTGTCCAACTGGACGAGTCGGCTGTGGACGCTGCAGGAAGGCGCACTGGGGCGCGGGCCGCTGGACGTGCTGTTCGGGGATGGGGTGGTGTGGGGGTTTGATGATGATGTCGACGGGGAGGCGGGGGATCTAGGCGGCGAGGCGGATGCGTGGGGGCTGGGGCGGGTGGACGCGGTGGATTGGGGGTACATGGTCGGGCTGGTGAGGGGGGACGTCGACATGGGCGAGCTGCAGGCGGGGCAGCCCGTCGTCGTCGACACGACGCCGCGGCGCTTCTCGCTGCGGCACGCCTCGGTCGCGGTGGCGCGGCGGGCGACGAGCGTGAGGGAGGACGAGGCGCTGTGCTTGGGCAGCTTGCTGGAGGCGGACATGCGGGCCATCACGCGGGCGCCGCGGCGCGACCGCATGAAGGCGCTGTGGGCGTCGCTGCCGGTCGTGCCGCGGGAGGTGCTGTTCCTGCGGGAGGCGACCATGGGCGAGGCCGGGTGGCGGTGGGCGCCGCGGTCGTTCTTGGGCGTCCCCAATGCCGGGAACGGCGTGGTTTTGGGGACCGAGGGGACGGCCCGGGTGACGGCGGAGGGGCTGCGGACGGTGGCGCATGGTTTTGACTTGGACGGGCTGGTGTGCCCGCTGAGACGGGGGGTTTTGAGGCTGAGGGAGAAAGGGAGTGGGGCGGTGTATTCGTTGATTAAGCAGGCGCCGCTGCTGAGAGGTGGGGCGGAACAGTTCGAGCAGGCTTGGACTGTTCCGGATGGAGAGTTTATGCGAATTGCGTTGGTGGTTGAGGATCGGGAGATCGGGCGGGGTGGCAAGTATTGTTGCATGGTTTTTGTATGGAAAGAGGAGGACGAGGTGGCGTATGCGCGTCGGGGAGATGCTGGATTCATCACCAGCAGAGACGTTGCTGTGGATTGGGAGAGTGACGGGTCGAGCGATGAGGAAGCAGAAGCCTGCTTTGAGGATCCCTGGAGCAATGACATCTACGCTGAGGTGACGGGGACGTTGCAGAAAGAACCGCAGGCTTGGTGTATTGATTGAGCAATTTTCTTTCCACTTTCAAAATCATGTTCTCAGAAAACCGTCTCGGCGAGCTGTATTGCAGCAACTATATAGTAGGGCGGTTTCAATTATCTCTTTCGACATTATGTGCACTCATTGTAGTTGCCGTCTATAGATACATAACTATAGACTGAGCTCCCTCCAACAATCCAGAGCCATCTTCATTTCATCAGCTCTGCATGGCAATAGGAAGAATGACGGTAAAGAACAGAAAACGTAGGCTATGTTCTTAAGAAGCATCCAATGTAATATTTCGGCAGCAATGGCTTTTCCGCTAAAAGTATTACGGAGGGGCCATGCTCCCAGGCTATCAGAATGTGGGGCATGAGTCAAAGGACTAACCCTTTTGAGGCATAGAGTCTTCACTGTCACTTTAACTTTATCGTCATCACAGGCCTATTCGTTTCCCCTGTTAGAAGATGATGAAGCAGAGAGTAAGACATGTTTTTAAACATGCGGACCAGAAGCGAAATGAAGAAGGTATGCTTGCCGACCAACCAAAATTGAGGCCGCCGACACCCCAGACTTGGCCTTTCCTAAAGCGTCGAAGCTCCCGGTCCAGGGACGGGGCCCCACTTTTGATATACATCCAAAGTCCGATCCGTGGTGAGCGAGCATTTGACAGCTCAAACATGTTTCACCATGGTAATATCACCAATGTGAAGAGGATTGACTTGCTAATTCGAAAACAAAGCGGGGTATCTATGCATAGGCCACCTGTTAGGCACCAGAGCCCCACATGTCTGGACCAGCACATGCGGCTGTGGGGGCGGATCAGACTTTTCCATATCACCGAACAAGCCGTTGCCAACAAGACAGCCAGGCGACTACTGCCACTTTACCTCTGCTTCGAGTTTCGAGCATACCTCGAGATATTCGAAAATGGCTTCCCAAAGCACCGTCACTCGCCAGCCGAGTCTACCGGACCACAACCCCACCCCGGCGGACGTTTACGCCGTGTTGAGCATCCTGCGAAACGAGATCCATCCTAGAATCCCGCACGAATTAAACTTTGCCATTCTCGACCTGGCCAAATACCATCCACGCATCATCCATGGCCGGCATCGCAGCATGACTCAGCCGGTCAATGAAGACGGGCCCAGTGAAGCAAGCCTCCGGGGCGATCCGGGGCTTTATCTTTCAACTCCGCCAATCCAGTGCCCGAATGAAGGTTCGAATGACTTCGCCATTACTCATATCGAGTTTCGGGTGCAAGCCAGCCATCACGTCGTCGATGAAGACGAGACTTACAACAACAGCCCTACGTGGTTCGAAGCGAGCATTTTGCAGCGTATCCCAGACATGCAAGCGTCCACGGAGCCTCTCGAGGAAGTCCCAAGCCTCGAGACACTTGTTTCCCCTATAGATGCCATAGAGGAGTTCCAACGGTTGGGCTGGAAGTTCAAGGGGGATGCTGACAACATTTTCTGGAAGGTCCACAGCAACATAACGACGTCTTCGGATCCAAGAAAGTACACAGTCCGGTAGGGTGTCGGGCAAAAGACTGTGAAACATGATCGGCTTCCGACGGGCAAAGGTGAAGGATTCCTAGACCTCTTGGCACTCGGCGATCGAGTTGTACTGTGGGGAGGAGCTCTCGTAAGTTTTCCATCTTGGTACTTCTCAGCCGTTGCGAGGTTAACGTGTTGTAGACACCTGATTGGAGAGACAATATCAAATCAGCCGAGATTGAGATTGGCTTCAGGATGCTGCCTTGATCTGAAGTCACAACAATTTCGATGGGGGAAGATGGCCATTTGAATTTGGAATTCAAGTAGCTCAGCATATACAGAGCGAGAAACCATGACCTCAGCCGAGTTCCTCGTAAGCACTTGACCCTGCCCAGCCTAGCGCCACATCCTGCCCATATTCATGACAAATAACTTGCAGGTGTGCTTCTGATTATGAATCGCGGAATATAATGCTCTTCTGCAGCCCTATAAGATTATCTCAAGTACTCCCGACGCCACACATATCCGCAAACAGCCCGCAATCAATCACAAATCTCCAAGAAGAAAGAAAAGAAAGAGAGAAAAACAACAACAACAACAACAACAACAACCCACCACTCACCCACCTCAATGCCTACTCCTCCCACCATAACCACCTCCACCATCACCACCACCCCCGACGGCAGCACAACCCTCCACCTCACCACCCGCAACACCGCCCACCCCACCACCCCCTCCCTCATCCTCCTCCACTACTGGGGCGGCTCCCCCACCACCTGGTCGCCCCTCCTCGACACCGCCGCCGGGCCCCTCCCCCCGAGCACCACCCACAGCGTCGCGTACCACGCGCGCGGGTGGGCGCCGTCGACCGGCCCGGCCGACCCGTCCGCCTACGGCACCGCGCACATGTCGGGCGATCTCGCGTGCGTCGTGCGGGCCGCAGGCTTTGATGACGACGAGAACGACGAGAACAACAACAACGCCGGCTTCGTCCTCGTCGGGCACAGCATGGGGGCCAAGGTGGCGATGCACTACGCGGCGACGGCGCGGCCGCGGCCGCGGGGCCTGCGGGGGATGGTGCTGGTGGCGCCGGCGCCGCTGCGGGGCGGGCTGCGGCTGCCGCGGGAGGAGAAGGAGAGGCAGCGGGGGGCGTATGCGAGCGCGGAGGCGGTGCGGGCGGTGCTGGATGACGTGTTGACGGCGGGGGGGTTGCAGGAAGAGGTGCGGGAGCGGTGCGTAAGGGATTCGATGAGGGGGGGCGAGGCGGCGACGAGGGCGTGGGTGGAGTATGCGGCGGAGGAGGACTTTGGGGGGTTGGAGGGGGGGATCGAGGAGGGGTTGCCGGTGTTGGTGGTCCGGGGGGATGGGGATTTCGAGAGGGGGATCGTGGGGGAGTTGGGGGTGGAGAGGGGGTGGAGGAATGAGGTGGTGGAGGGGTGTGGGCATTTGGTGCCGTTGGAGAAGCCGGAGGTGCTCGGGAGGATGATTGCCGAGTTTGTGGAGGGGTTGCCGGGGCGTAAGTGATGGCTGTGTGTGATGGCGCTCGACCATGTCGACGAATACATTGAGCAGCATGAGGCTTTGTGCATGGTCATTTACTAAGAGAGTGATTGTGAGAAGTACCACGAATCCGTGCAATGCCTTTTCACATGTCTGCAGCTCGTTCTCACCAAGATATTCAGAATGTTGTTAACAAATTGAGTCTACAGCCCATCTTCTTAACAAGACAACCACTTTTCCTTTTCGTCATCCACCGGCTGGCCAGGGAGAGGCTCGAGCTCGATCGCACGTCTCGATCTCCAGGAAGACACTGGAAGTCATAAGAAAGACTCCGCTTCATCCTCACTGACAAGTTTTCTGAAGAAAAGGGCTCATTTATGTTTTAAAAATCCAGAAAATTTAGACCGAGTGAGAAGTCATAGGAGGAGTAAGTGCGCAGAGGAAAGGGCGATGGCGTCAGGCGAGGCTGATGCACATGCAACCCGCGTTATTGATGGGAACGTGGCCTGCCACGATTACACCGCCACCCCATCTTTACTCAAACACTATGCACGATGGTTGGCTGCATGAAGGAACTACACCTCGGAGAGTTAGGAGAAACAATATTGACAGGTAAGTATATCATCAGGCATAAGGCGGCATTAGCCAACTCTTTTTTTTTTTTCCTTGCCCCTTCAAGGTCAATTGTTTGTAAAACCCGTCTTCATCGTAGGTAGAAATAAGGTGCATAGCCAACGCCTCACAGCTGCAACCGGTAACAATCTTGGCCAAAGCTTGAATGATTGGTGTGTGGCTCAATCGACTCATTCCCGGCGATAGCGCCCGCGGCTAACCTGCCTCCAGCGTCACCTATACATATAGACATCCACGCCGAGGAACCTGCCCTCGCCAATACCAAAAAAAAAAAAAAGTAGGTAGTTGTCCCAATCCCCCTCAATCCCATAGCTAAGATAACCAAATCTGCAACGATCGAAAACCAGCTCCGCAAGGCGGCAAGGCACGACGACCCTTGCATCAACGCCGATCGCCACCGCAAGCTAGTGTTTCAGACGTTTGTATACAGCACGATAGGGCTGTGCGGGTCATGTAAGTGTTGCTAAAATTAGGCGAGAGGCTTAGATGCCGGGAACAGGGTTAAGTACGAGGATCTGCAATGTTGCAAAACCGTGGAGAGCTACTTGGAACCATGTCCATGTTCTGCCGCAGTTTATAGTACTCGTGTCGCAGTGGGAAGGGAGGCGTCTCCGAGAAGGTAAAGGGATAAAAAAGCAATTGATCGGGTTTCCCCTGGGGGCTGTGGCTTCTTGGGTTGCTGATCTCCCAGCGCTAGAAAGGCTATTTTCCTTGGCGTACGTAGGTATTATTCAGGAGTCGTATCTATCGATGCAAGATTCGGTGGGGGCCGCCAGACATGATATATGTCTGCCTCGCAGCCCCACAATTCGGTGAGATGACCCTCTTCCTGCGCCAGGCAGCCAGCCGGCTGCCTCGTATAAGCCCACTAGTGAAGCTAGGGCTCACAGCTGTGACAAAAAAAGGCACTCGGCGCCAAGAGTCGAAGACGGAGGCGTAATCAAGCTTAAGCTTAAGGCGGGGATCCCGTGCGGGTTATGCTGAGCCTGAGCACGCGGTTCCGCCAATATGTTCCCTCCACTGTCCGTCACTCTGGGAGCAGCGATACTCCTGTCCAGCCACGCGACCCAGGCGCTGCAGCTCGACATCACCCAGGCCCAATCCATACGCGATGCCTCGTCCAACATTGCCTTCGGGATGATGAGCTGGTACACGGGGAACAACACCGGCGACGTTCCAGGAAACCTGCCGGATCCATACTACTGGTGGCACGCCGGGGCCATGTTCATGACCATGGTGGACTACGCCTACCTGACGGGCGACGAGACGTACGTGGACGTGACCAAGCAAGCCATCCTCCACCAAGCGGGCGACACGTGGGACTTCATGCCGCAGAACCAAACCAAGTCCGAAGGCAACGACGACCAGCTCTTCTGGGCGCTCGCCGCCATGTCGGCCGCCGAAACCCGCTTCCCGGACCCGTCCAGCGGGCAGGCGTCGTGGGTGGCGCAGGTGCAAAACGTCTTCGAGCTGCAGACCAGCCGGTGGGACGAGACGTCGTGCGGCGGCGGCCTGCGCTGGCAGATCTTCACCTGGAACAAGGGCTACGACTACAAAAACACAATCTCCAACGGCGGCCTCTTCCAGCTCGCCGCCCGCCTCGCGCGCTACACCGGCGACGCGAAATACACCGCCTGGGCCGCCAAGGTCTGGGACTGGTCCGCCTCCGTCCTCTTCCAGCGCGAGACTTCCACCGCCATCGTCCTCTCCGACGGCGCCACCACCGCCAGCCCGGGCTGCTCCCGCACCGACCCCACGCAGTGGACCTACATCTACGGCGTCTACCTCGCCGGCGCCGCCTACCTCCACAACCACACCGGCGACCCGCTCTGGGCCGCCCGCGCCGACAAGCTCCTCGCCACCATCGAGGCCCAGTTCTTCGTCCCGAGCAGCAACGTCCCAGGCCCCGTCATGGCCGAGACCACGTGCGAGCCCTCGGGCGGATGCGACATCGACCAGCAGTCCTTCAAGGCCTACCTCGCCCGCTGGATGTCCCTCACCGCGCAGCTGGTCCCCGCGACCGCCGACCGCATCTTCGCGCTGCTGCGGCCCACGGCGCTGGGCGCCGCGCGGCAGTGCTCCGGTGGCGGCGAAGGTCCGCGCAATGCGCCGGACGCGTGCGGTAGGCGTTGGGATCAATCCGCGTACGACGGCACCAGCGGCATGTGCGAGCAGATGGCGGCGCTGCAGGCGGTGGCGGGCGTGATGATGGTGCCGGAGGTGGGCGCGGGGCTGGCGGCGCCGGCGTCGCTGGTGGATGGGGGCGCCACGAGCAAGACGAAGGAGGATGGCGGGGCGGGGGTGGTGGGGGGGAAGGGGGGGCTGCCTGCGGTGTATACTGAGGTGGTTACCGCGGGGGATAGGGCGGGGGCGGCGATCTTGACCATTTTGTTGTGTGCGGCGACGTTGGGGGTGGGGTATGCGATAGTGTGAGGGGGCCGGCGGAAGGATGGGAGAGGAGGAGGAGGAGGAGGGCTTGATGATGCTGGAAGGGGCTTCCTTGGTTGATTCGGTGGTACCCTGTTTGGTTTTCGGTTTATAGGGGGGGCGGCGTTCTCTCTCGGCGTTCTCTTTTTTACGCTCCTGATGGCCTCGCTACTGCCTGGCAGGCCTGGGACGCCACTGGTGGGTTTTCGAGACGCATGTGAGCATGTGTAGAAGGCGCATTGGCAAGGAATCTTTGATAGAAAAAAGACAAGACTTCGACATACATAAGCACGAGATCGATGTACAATCTTTCGTAGGGGGATGAGCCACAAGAGAAGACTCGTGGGCGGTGAACTCGAATCAACCATGCCGCCATTGCTATTTTCGGCATCTAACGTCACTGACAAATTTCGGGACGATCATTTCAAACAACACGAGAGCATACAGCCAAGCTTTTGGCTCCTGGCTTGAATAAGCAGGAAGTCATGTTTCATGCTCGGAATGACGTTTGCGCAATCAAGGACAATGGCTAGAATATACGCGGCCAACCCCGATGTGCTCGTGCCAAAAAGGAAGGCGCATGCGGCATGTAGAATTCAAATTATATATATTCCAAGACGACGTGTGAACGGCACAGAAATCCAGGTTTCTAAAGACACCTGGCCATCAGAATGTCCGCCTGACAATTCCTCCGACCATGATTGGCCTGCGGGCAAGGCTGTAGGTGTTTCCGATTCAGCATCTGGCCAGACGCGCGTGAACCGTCCGCTCCTGGATGGCACGGACAGCTCAGCCTCCGGCTGGAGGAATCTACCCTTTTACGGAATAGCCGTCGGGGAAGCGGGAGACAGCCACCCGCAACGTTCCACAATATGGCTCGGGGCGAGCCGTGGATGGAAGCACTTGATCAGATCATTGCACGCTCTTGGTCTAGGTATTCCTTCATTATTCGTGTCCCTCGATCGTGGTATCTGTATTTACATAGAAAATAAGCAAGAAACAAAAACAGTCATGATATTGGTATCGAACTCCTCGGCACAATGCGCCCCGACTCCAACGTGACCAGCTCCACCTCCGCCTCGGGCGACCTCAGCGGCTGCGTCGGCTGGAACGCAATCCCAATGCTGGTGCCATTACCTCCACCACCAAGCCTCCCCGTCGCCGCCGTCGCCGCCGTCGCCGTGCTCCCCGTCCTCAACCGCTCCGACGTAGCATCATCCCCCACATACTTGACGCTTTCAATCACCAAACTATCCCTCGTCACGCCGCGTCCACCACCCCCCTTTGCCCCATCCCCATCCCCGATCCGCGAAAAAACCCCTTCCTCGGCCGACGACCCCCTGCTCCTCCGATTGTTGAACGTAAACGTGTCGAACCGATTCCTCGACGGGGCGGCCAGGCTGGAGCTCCCCCTGCCGCCAAACGACAGGTCCTTGTCCTTGATGACGCCGATGAGGTTGTTCAGGACGGAGAACTCGAGCTTCAGCTTGATGCTGTAGACGGCGCCCTTGTACGTCGTCTGGATCTCGTACTGGTTCGAGTACTGGACGCCGAGCAGGGTGACGTCGAAGGCGAGCACGACGGCGTTGACGACGACGAGGTGGACGAGGATGCGGCGCAGCGCGCGGCCGCTGGCCGAGTCCGGGCCGGCCTCCTGGGGCCGCAGCAGCTGCGCCGTCGCGTGTATGTACAGCACCGAGATGGCAATCTCCTGCGCGGCGAAGACGGCGATCTGCACCTTGTCCCACGCGGTGAAGGCGCGCAGGAAGGGCGCCGGGTGCGGCGAGTTGGCGCCGAAGGCGAGGGCGATCAGCGGCGCGCTCATGACCACGCCGTCGAACACCACCAGCGCCAGCACGCAGCGCAGCTTGCGCTCGTCGTGCATGACCAGGTGCAGCCGCGAGTACAGCACCGCCGACTGGCCCGTCACCATGGCCGGGAAGCCGACGGCGACGAGCGCGACGGGCAGCCACCAGAGCGAGTCGGGCACCACACCGAAGAACTTGAGCACGAAGCCCAGGGCGTGCGGGGCGATGCCGGCGGTGGCGACGATGAAGGACCAGAAGTACAGGCCGTGGCGCTGCTTGAAGGTGGTGAAGATGATGACGAAGAGCTCGACGACGTTGTAGAAGGAGATGGCGAGGAAGCCGGCCATGGTCATGAGGATCGGCATGCTGACATTGGCGGCGCCGGTGACGCCGTCGCTCGCCATGGCGCGCGTCTTGGTGGGTGTTGTGACGGTGCAGGAGGAAAAGCAAAGAATCGATGGCGTCGTCGAGCCGTGGGCGTGGTACGGTGCGGTGCGGCTCGAGGAAAATCGGGTCAAACGAACACGAGGGAACTGCGGACGGATGATGGCGTTACCTCCCGTCGGCTGGTGGCCGTTGGTGGCCGTTGGGGGAAAAGGCGGCTAGTTGAGTCAGGGCGGAGGCGAAATCATACGGCCCCCCGAGCAGAGCGAGAGAACTCAGGGCCAATGCGCGGGAATGATGGTGAGCAGGGATGACGACCACCGGAGTTCAGGAGGGAAAGGATCAGGTCGAACGGGCGGCATCGAGCGGCCACACAGTTGCGAGCCCCAAAATGGACCGCTGGGCTGGGAGGCAGAGAAGAGGCCGACAGCCAGGCAGATCCCGGCCGGTCGTTATATGGTTTTTTCTGGCGTGGTTGCATTATTGCGGGCTAGAGCATCTTCAGCTGTGGCGCGACAACGTCCGGCTGGATGTCGCATCCTTCCGCCTTGGGTTCCCTGTTTGGGCGTTCCCCGTTCCCCGCCGGGTGGTCGAGTCAGGTACACCGCATGGGTCAATCGGCTCGCCGCCATCGTCGAGCCTGTTCGTAGGTGGGATGGCAGTGCCTGCAGGACCATGGTTTTTCGCAGCAACCTTGGCCGAGGACTTGTCCTGATCTGCCGCTTTTTAGCAGACTGTTGGCCAGAATCAGCAGTGGCACACCGCCCGGGCATCGAGGCAGTGCGCTGCATAGACAATACCTAGTGTCTCAATTTCCTGTCTTGGCAGTAGTTACAGTGGAGGTTGGACCGCCGCGTATCGGATGCCGGATCCTTCCAAGCTCGTCCCGAGGCGCGGCGGGCGGCGGCCTGCGCGGCTGATAGGGCGCTCGGGACAATGCTCCACTGTGCTATGAAGAAAATCAGCAGACAGATCAGCGGGATCTGGACGTGGCGGGGATCGCGACAAGCTCGGGCCGGGGGACATATTGGAGGGTACGTCAAGGTGGCCTGCCGCCTCAGCTTGTCGTCAGCCATGGCACCATATGCAACCAACGCCTATCAGCTTTTGCGACGTGCCGTTAGCGCCTGCAGAGGCCTATTTAGAATTGTGGTAGTCCGCTAGCTGCCACCCGTCGGAGTACGGAACTCGTTCCCGCAACGTCAGCCCCTTGCAGGGCGCAAATGTGCGCATGGGACGGTCGGACGCGCGCCTCGCTCGTAAACACACAAAAGCAATCACAAGTGACGGGCTGGTGTTGTGGAGACCTGATCGATTAGCCGCGGCGACTACCGCCATGCGCGTGCCCCTTTCCGGAGCCACCACCGGGCATGTTCCGCCCCAAGCGCCTGCTGCGGGTCGCGGCCAGCCTTGGACCGTAAAACCTGTGACTATGTGCTGCTCGCCAAAACAAAAAGACCGGCGTCAAAGAAGCTGGCCGAGGCGGTCGGTCGGGCATTAAAGCTAATCGTCCACACCTGTTTGGGCTTGATGAAGCTGCTTACGTGCTTTGCAGGAAGCACCTACATTAACCTTCCTCTAATCATGTAAGCATTCACATTCGGCTTCGCTGCCGCCCTTCCGCGCTCTACGACCCCTCAGGCCGCTGCGCATAGACGACGTGGCTGGGTTGTTGTTAGCTTGTGCCTCGGGAGCCAAGGACGGGGGATCTCGGGTTGCGTACTAGTTGTAGTAGGCGTGTATGTTCTTGTTCTTCAGATCGTTCCGCACCTTGGCCAGGAAGATGTTCACCTCGTCGACTTCCCACTTTAGCATGTCGGTGAAGATGCGGTACGAGAAGGCCTCGAGGCCTTCGAGCGACTGGATCAAGTTCATCAGGCCGCACTGCTTCTGCAAACCACCCCCCGTACGTGTCAGCAGCGCCTTCGTTTCCTCTCGCTCGCCCGCCGCCGCCGTGCACCTACCAGACTCTTGTCCTTGGGCCATCCGCCAACCGGTACCTTGAACACCTCATGATGCACGTTCACGAACCCCGCCTCCTTCACATAGCCCTCCAGCCTCGGGCCCGGGTCGCAGGCCCTCTTCGCGTCCAGGCAGGCCAGCCGCAGCGTGTCTAGCCACTTCTTCATGTCGTGCTCGTCGGTCAGGGTGCCGTCGTCTGAGTAGTAGACCGAGTCATAGTCCTGGAACTCGACCCAGCCGCCTGGAGCGAGGTTGGCGTAGGCGCGGCGCACGAGGCGCTGCCAGTCTCCGATGGCGCCGGCGAGGTAGCGCGAGAAGATGAAGTCGAAGCGCTGGCTGTACGACCATTCATTCTCGATGTCGTCGATTTCGAACTTGACGTTGGGCGGGACCTGTGAAGGAGAAGGTAGGGAGTGGGAATGAGCATTGCGTTCTTCATCATTATTTTTTCTCACCACATTGATTGGCCTTCTGGTACTGACGAAAGAGGGAGAAGCGGGTAGCTCATCGGAGGGTGGTGTGCTACGCGTAGGAAAGCAGGAGCACAAGCTTTTGTCGCGGAGAGCAGAGGAGGCCACTACACGGCGATGCGACACCACAGCGGCTGCACACGATGCGGCGCGCTGAATGCTCAATCCGACGACCTCCTCTGCGATCTCGGCCGCTTGCGCTCCTCTTCCACGATCGCAACCGCCGCCGGCCTCCGACTAGGCAGGGAGAGGGAGACAGAGAGAGGGCACATACCCACGATGGTTGCACGGGGCTCAAGTCGTTTCCCAGGATCTCGGCGTCGGGGAACTGGTCGCCCATGCAGATGGACCAGATGCCGGTGCCGCAGCCAATGTCCAGCACGCGGCCGCTAAAGTGGTCGGGCAGCGGGGTGAGGTGCAGGCGGTTGGCGGTCAGCTTGGTCGTCATGGCGTGGGCGAGGTCGAGGCGGTCCTGCTCGGGCTCGTCGTTGGGCAGGATGTACGAGCCATCCTTGTAGGCGTGGTAGCGGCGGCCGTTCTGGAAGGGATAGTTGACGACGGACGAGGTGAGCGAGGCGGAGAAGGTCGACAGCTGGTCGTCGACCGAGGTGGTGTCGCCCAGGGCCGAGTCAGCGTCGTCGTTATTTTCGTACGCAGGGTCGACCGGGACGTCAGGCCCAGTCGCGGGCTGGGCTTCTGCAGTGCACATGGTGGGTGGCGCGGACGGATGCGCGGCGCCTGAGTCGGGCGGAGAGTTTGAAGCGGGAATCATCAGGGATGCGCGACCATCCGGAGCCCACATTATTTACCTGTTGCGCGTGGCAGGCTGGCAGCTGTGCCGCATCGGCGGGGCCCTGGCACGCACAAGGGTGTGGGGATGCGACTCTGCCGATGCCGCCACGCGAGCCCCCATCTGAGCCCCCATCTTCGCGCCGCCCCAGGGGCGAGCCTGTCACACCTGCCTCACCTGCCTCTGCCGACTGCCTGGGCTGGCCTGCATGCGCTTTCCTGCACTTTCCTTTTGCTGCACTGCGACCATTGGGAGCGTGGGAGCTTCCCCGGTCGCGCCGCTTGAATGGAACACAGCAGCTGCAGCAGCATCGCAGTCGTCACTCCCCCTCAGCCCCGCACGCCCATCACAAAGCCGCAATGTTCGCGACATGGGCGCGCGCCGCCACCCGCCGCTCCGGATCACCCTCCACCGCCGCCTTTTTATCCACCTCTCCCGTCGCGCCCCCGCCCTCGGCCATCATCTGCGCCTTCAACTCGGCAAACCTCCTCTCGGCATCCCACACCCACGGCGTGTCCGCGGCGAACAGCAGGTCCATCTCCTCGAGCGTGCGCTGGTTGCTCTCGGGGTACAGCGCCCAGACCATGGGGACGGCGGCGAAGTTGCACGCGCCGAAGATGTACAGCGTCTTCTCGCCAATGGCGTCGAACATGACCGGGCACAGCAGCGTCAGCCACCCGTTGCCGATGCTCCACCCCACCACCCCCCACGCGTTGCCTCTGGCCCGCACTTCGAGCGGGAAAATCTCGGCCGGGAATAGCATGTCGGAGAGGTCAGTCTGGACAGGAAAAGGAACGGGAGGGGGCGTGAGACTTACCACGGCACCGTCAGCCAGGTGGCGCCGAAGACTGCGGTGAAGACAAAGATGAAGGAGGCGGCTGCGGCGCCGTACGACTGTGCGGCTGCGGCGTGCCCTCCCGCCCGCGCATCCAGCCCTAGACGAGCCATGCCGCCGGCCAGGAACATGGCACAGCCCTGCCCGACGGCGCCCCAGTACAGCGTCCACCGACGGCCGATGCGATCGAGCGTGAAGACGCACACGAGCGTCGCGAACATGTAGAAGACGTTGTTGAGCCCGCTGATCCACTGGCTCTTGGTGCCGTCGAAGCCCGCGATGCGGAAGATGGTGGGTGCGTACACCGTCACCCCCGCGATGCCCACCCACTCCTGCATTATCTGCAGCCAGATGACGAGCTGCACCCGCCGCCCCGTGTGCAGCTTGCCCGACCCGATCCCGAACAGCATGTGCAAGTACGAGTGCTGTTTGGACGTGCGCTTCTCCAGCTCCGCCATGGTTTTGATGTCTGCGAATTCGAGGTCCGCCTTCGCAGTCTCGGCCTCGTTGCTGTCGCCACGCAGTCGCCCAAGGATGTACCGCGCTTCGTCCTCGCGCCCGACCCGGACGAGCCAGCGCGGTGACTCTGGGAAGAACCACACGACGGCTAGCAGCAGCAGCAGCGGGATGATTTGGAACGCGATGGGAAACCGCCAGCGGAAAGCCGACGCCCCGCCATCGATGTAGGAAAGGCCGCTGGAGGAAGGTCTTCGTCAACGTGCCACCCGCTCTCTTCTTGTCGCGGGAGATGCTCACAATTCCAGCCAGTAAGCCACGACGACGCCGAAAATGTTGAGCGTGAACTCGATGGCAATGAACTGCCCGCGCGACGTGTGCTCCGCCGTCTCCGTCGCCCACACGGGCACGATGGCGTTCAGTATGCCGGTGCCGACGCCGTTGACCGCCCGCGCTGATTCGACACATGGACTTCGTAAGCATCACCACATACGCTTCTGTCTCCTCCCACCATTCTGCGATTTGAATGTTCACCCACCGCAAATCATCCACTCCTTGCCCCCCGCCGAGCACTGCAACGCCGCGCCCACGACCGCCCATCCCGCCCCCAACGCAACCGTCCTGATCCGTCCGGCCTTGTCGCCCACCCACCCGCCCAGCAGTGCGCCGCACAGCGTGCCCAGGTAGTACACGGCCACGATGCCGCCCTGCAGCAGGCTGTCGGTGACGACCGGGTCGCCGGTCGCCTTGTCGACGTGGCCGAACCCCATCAGGTCGACGTAGTGCTGCGCGTTGTTGACGCCGCCCATCATGCCCTGGTCGTAGCCGAAGAAGAAGATGGAGAGCGCGGCGACGCAGTTGATGGCCGTGAGCAGCGCGCCTTTTTCGAGGTGCGACGCGACGTGCCAGGAGCTGCCGCGGCGTTTGCGTGGTCCCGTCATCGCCATCGTGTGTGGGTTTCGTGAGGGTCGCGCTTCTCGCACTTCTTCCTTTGTTTTTTTTTCTTCTTCTCGTTCTTGGTGGTGACAAATGTTGTTTTCTGCGTGCTTGTTTGCGAGTGTGTGTGTGACTCGTGAGAGAGAGTGTGAGAGAAAACGGACCATGGACAGCGGGGGAAATCCGCAACAATCAGCATATATATGTATTTGTATAATGCGCATCTTGGCGATTGGGGAAAAAAATTCTCGACGCAAAAATCCCCACTACCTTGCATGACGAGCATGCAGCACCGTCATCCCGCTTTTGTGTTCCCCTCCACCCCCACCCCACCCCCCGCCCCGGGCGCTTGCATTGCCTTCTCGAGGCGTCTCGAGAGCCGCGCGCGGACTGCCTTATCCGGGGCATTCCCCGGTGGGGGCGGGGACAGGTGACGATAAATCGAGGAGGCGATCAGGAAGGGCACGTGGAGAGTCATTCCCCGGTCCTCCTCCTCCTCCGGCGGATGGGCGCAGGCCGTTTTGTGGGGTACCAAGGGTCCCACACGGAAAGCAAGGGTTCCACACGTAAAGCAAGGGTGCGGGGTGGCACAAGTCACAGAAGAGGATTTTATAGGCTGTGGAGTCATGGAAACATGAAACTCGAGGGTTGAACGCGACCAATCATTGAGAGGATGCAGATCCGCACGGGATGGGCTTGTTGTAGAACAGGCACAAAAACGAAGGATCGCTTGTAGAAAGCTAACAATAGCGACCACCAAGACGTATCACGCATGCTACATGATTTAAAAGACATCTCGAGACGTTTTAAGATTATCAAGAAACTAAAAATTATACTAACAACAACATCTATCCAGTCTCGCCCATCCATCTATCCCTTCCGTCATCACACCCAAAACAAAACCCATCTACAAATCATCATAATCCCATACCATCAAACCATCAAGCTCATCATTCCCTTCCTCTACATCTCCCATCACCTACATCTACGCCGCACCCACCTCCACCGCCTCCAACGCCAACGGATTACAGCTATACGCCTCGCCCCCCGTAACCGTAAACTTCATATCCGCCGCCTCGAGCGCCGCCGCGCCCGCATCCGGGTCGCTGACGAGGAACACCTTGTTCAGCTGCCCCTTGATGCCGCAGAAGAACGGCCAGAAGTACGCGCCGTCGGCGTCGATCGCCAACAACATACTAACTCCACCCGTCTCCACGCGCGTCAGCGTGATGAGCTTCGCGCCGTTGGGCAGGTCGTCCCAGGTCGCGAGGCGCAGGCGGGAGGCGCCGGTCTTGGCCATGACGGTGGGGTAGTAGTGGAGGAGGCGGGAGGAGGTGTCGCCGAAGATGGAGGGGGTGGTGGGGTCGGAGGAGAGGCCGGTGAAGGCGGTGCCGGGGTCGGTGAAGTTGGAGAGGTCGGTGGCGGTGTCGGCGAGGACGGAGAGGAAGAGGTTGCCGTTTGTGCCCGGGTTGACGAGGAGGGTTTGGGTGGTGTCGCGGAGGGTGAAGGAGGTGGTGGAGACGTCGGTGGAGTTGGTGTCGGTGGTGGAGTTGGAGGTGGTGGTGGAGTTGGTCAGGGTCAGCTGGGGGAAGTCGGAGGTGGTGGAGTTGGAGCTGTCGCTGGTGGAGTTGGTGAGGGAGAGTTGGGAGAAGTCGGTGGTCGAGTTGGAGCTGTCACTGGTCGAGTTGGTGAGGACCAGCTGAGGGAAGTCGGAGGTGGAGTTGGAGCTGTCGCTGGTGGCGTTGACGAGCGTCAGCTGAGGGAAGTCGGACGAAGCGGAGCTGGTGGAGTTGCTGTCGCTGGTGCCGTTTGTCGGCGTGAGCTGAGGGAACTCGGACGAAGCGGAGCTGGTGGAGTTGCTGTCGCTGGTGCCGTTGGTCGGCGTGAGCTGAGGGAACTCGGACGAAGAGGTGCTGGTCGAGTTGCTGTCGCTGGTGCCGCTGGACGGCGTGAGCTGAGGGAACTCGGACGAAGAGGTGTTAGTCGAGTTGCTGTCGCTGGTGCCGCTGGAAGGCGTGAGCTGAGGGAACTCGGACGAAGAGCTACTAGTCGAGTTGCTGTCGCTGGTGGCGTTGGATGGTGTGAGCTGAGAGAACTCGACCGACGAATCCGTCGAGTTGGAGCTGGTGCCGGCGCCGCTGGTCAGGGTCATCTGGGGGAACTCCGAGCCGGTGGTGGTAGCGATGATGCTCATGATCTCGTCCGACAGCATGGCAGAGCTCGAGCCAGAAGGAGTGGACTGGGAAGTAGCGACGCTGCTCATATTCTCATCCGACTGCGAGACAGAGCTCGAGCCGGAAGGAGTGGACGCGGGAGTAGCGGTGCTGCTCATGATCTCATCAGACAACAAGACAGAGCTCGGGCTGGAAGGAGTGGACTCCGAAGCAGCGATGCTGTTCATGATCTCATCCGACAGCAAGATCGAGCCAGAGCTGGAAGGAGTAGACTCCGAAGTAGCGACGCTGCTCGTGATGGTCGAGTTGGAGTCGGTGCTGTTGCTGTAGGGGCCAGCGCCAAGCTCGAGGTCACGCTTGCGGGCCTTGACCTGGGCGAATCCACCCCAGTTGTTCTCGCGAACGGCCATGGAGTAGAAGGAGCCAGTCTCGAGATCCTTGTACCAGATGATACCGGACTTGACGACGCCCGGCCAGGTGTCCCACTGGAAGTTGGAGTTGGTGAACTGCCACTGGCCGGAGTAGCGGGCGGCGTAGTAGATGTTGGACCAGACACTGGTGCTGGTGATGGCGTTGATACCATACGCGACGGCAACGATCTGGAGGTTGTAGACACCCCACGACTGACCGGTGGTGGGAACGATTTCCGACGGCCATTGCACCGAGCCGGGGTTGATGGTGAAGGTGCCTTGGCCATCGTGGCTGACGAAGGTCCTGGTCTCAGCGCCGTACATGTAGAGCAGGAAGATGCTCTTGGTGTTGCCACCCCATGGATCTCCGGCCCACGACGAAATGGTGTTCGTGTTGATGACGAGCTGCTGGCCCTTGACGATGTTGTTGTTGGCGGCGGCGGTGATGTCTCTGTCTGCGTAAATCATGCTCAGGATGGTGAAGGGGTTGTTCATGATGGCCATGTCGATCTCGTATCCAGAGTTGGTGTCCGAGTTGTACTGGGTGCCGATGACGGACTTGGCAAAGCAGTTGTTCGACGTCGAGCGGTTGGGAACCCAGGAGACGCCGATGCATCCGGACATGGCGCCGCAGTAGGCAATGCAGTCGTCGAAGTTGCTCTGAAGAGAGGTTGCAATCTCGCCGCCGGGAGCGTCGATGTGGCACTTGATGGTGTAAGTGTTCAGGTTCGGGTCCGTGTACGTGGTTCCATCCGCGGCAGGGCACTTGAGGCTGAGGTCCTCGACGGTAGGCTCCGGGACCTCGGCCGAGGTCGTGGTGGTGGCCTCGTCGTCAGAGTCATCGCCATCACGGCTGGCGCCGATACATCCGCTGGCAAGAGCAGGCGAAGCCCACTGCTTGAGAGTGAAGCCCGGGCCGTCGCTGACGTCGAGGCGGAGCTCGTTGGTGAGCGAGATGTCCCAGTCGATGCCCTCGCAGTCGTCGCTGCCAAGCTGGTTCTTGTCGGTTCCGAAATCAGCCTCGAAGGTGGCCTCGGCGGTGATGGCAGGGAAGTCTGTCAGGTTGATGCCCTTCTCGAAGACGCCGTTGAGGATGTTGATGCCGAAGTTGACAATGACGGGAAGGCCGAGGGCGGCCGTGGCCGTGACCTCGCCGTGGGCCTCAAACTTCTTGGTGAGCTCGGGCGTCCAGCCAGACTGCGACGACTGCGACTTGTCGACAAAGTCCAGCGTGGCCTGGAAGTTGGGCCAGTTCAGGCTGGCGCCAGTCAGCAGCTGGCCCTCGGCCTCGACACTGATGGTGGCCTGGGCAGCGAGAATGAGACGCGGGCCGAGCGAGACAATGCCGGGAATGGACCATCCGGGCAGGCCCTTGACGAACAGGTCCTTGCGCACAGTCTTCTCCCACTGGGTGAAGGCGTTGACGCCAAGGAAGACACCGGCATACATGTTACCAGAGATGCCGATGGAACCCTTCTTCAGACCGGAGAGGGGGGTGGCGCTGATGGAACCGGTGGCGACGATCTTGCCCCTGACGCCGCAGTCGACACACCAGAGCTCAATGCCGGGCTCGGGGTCAGCCTCGCCGACCAGCTCGGTCTGGATCTTCTCCAGGGCGGCGGCCGAAGCCTCCCACTTGGAACCACCCTCCTCAGGGGTGTACTCGTAGAACTTGAAGCCGTCGGTTCCCCACGGAGACTCGGTGAGGACGGAAGCGGGCGGGCCGAGGCTGACGGGCAGGGTGAGCGAGTTGCTGTAGTTGCCCGTGGCGATGAAGACGGCGAGCTTGGCCACCTGGGTGACGACGGCAATGCTGACGGCGACGACGGCCTGGACCACGACCTTGACCACCTCGACCGCCTTTGTCACGACGGCCACAACGACGTTGGCAACCGCCTGGACCACGACGGCGACGACCTTGACGACGGCGACGGCGACCTTGACGACGGCCTTGATGAGCGAGGTGAACCATCCACGCTTGGCCAGGTTCGACTCGTCATCCGCCGGCACACCGGCAGCGGCGAGAACGATCTGCTGGTCGGCGCCGTTGGCCGAGTAGTAGCCGAGCGCGTCGTCGAGGGCCTGGTCGAAATCGGCACCGCAGTCGACGGCGGGGAGATCGTCGAGGAAGGGCGAGCTGGGGCTGCCGCAGCTGGTGGTGCCGTCGTCGGAAGAGGTGCTGTTGTCGGCGTCGGTGTCGTAGTCGATGTTGCCAAAGTCGATGTCCATGTTGGAGTAGATGTCGGCGAGCTCGACCGACTCGCCGGGCGCGCTGAAGGTCATGGCGCCCAGGTCGAAGGAGACGGAGCTGGCGAGCCAAAAGGCGTTCTGCGCGCCGTTGCCGCAGCTCGACTCGCTGCTGATGAGCAGGATGGGCGCCTGAGCGGGCCACTCGGTCGCCGCGTGCAGGAAGGGCGTCTGCTCAGTGAAGGTGCCGGTGAGGACGCCGCCGGCGCAGGAGATGGAGGTGATGTACATGGAGTGGTCCAGCACGACGGACGGGTACATGTACTCGATGGTCAGCCGCACCGTGACGGCGCCCGAGTCTTCGTCGGCCATGGCGTCGTCGTCGCCGTTGTACCACAGCTCGGTGGTCGGGTCGGGGGTGAGCACCTTGAGACCGCCCATGTTGATGCCCGGGGGGGCGACGGGGCCGAGGGTGGCGAGAGGCGGGCTCTCGAGCGTCATGGGCTCGCCCATCATGGATTCAGTGGCACCCGCCTCGAGGGGCTGGTCGGCGACGGTGGGGAAGGTGTAGATGTCCTTGGCCGACTTCTTGACCACGGCACCCCAGACGTACGAGACGGCGACCGGGGTCATCAGCTCGCTCTTGAGGTAACAAGACGGCGCGACGTAGGAGATGGCAACGCATCCCTCGTTGTCGTCGCAAGCCTCGAGACACTCCTCGAAGGTGGGAGTGTCAACCTCCTTGAAGTCACCGCCGGCATAGTCGATGGCGCAGAGGATCTCGTAGGTGCCGCCAGTCGACATGCCAGTGATGGTGCCGTTGCTGGAGGGGCAGGTGAGGGCGGTTGCCGTGGCAGTGGCGGCCGCGGTGGTGGCGGCGGACGTGATGGTAGCAGTGGACGACGAATCCGTGTCGGATGCAACCAGCTTGGCGGACCAGACGTAGCTGAGCGAGACGGGGTCGTTGAGGACGTTCTTCTTGTAGCAAGATCCGGTCACGTAGCTGACGTCGATGCAGCCGTCGGTCGAGGCACAGTCCTCGATACAGGCGGCGAACGAAGCAGTGTTGGAGGAGCCCATGTCGCCACCAGCATAGTCGACGCCGCACTCGACGAGGAAGGTGCCCTTGGAGGAGGTGTACTTGACGCCGTCGCTGGCACTGTTGTCGCAAGACAGAGCAGTGGAAGCGGAGGTACTGGAGCCGGTGCCGGACGACTTCTTGCGTGCGGTCCAGACAGAATCGACAGCAGAGGCAGTGCCCAGGACGTTCTTCTTGTAACAAGCATTGGGCCACACGAAGGAGACGTCAACGCAGTCGGTGGTGGCGTCGCAGTCCTGGATGCACTCTTCGAAAGAGTTCACCCAAGAGGTGCCCATGTCGCCGCCGCTGGACATGTGTCAGCATGATTTCACTGTTTCGGGCAGCGGATAGACTCACGCATAGTCGGAGCCGCAGACGATGTCCCATTGGGCATTGGTGGCCTGGAAAACCTGGCCGTCACTGGCCTTGTCCCAGCAGGACAGGTCGGTGCGCTTGACGGGGGCATTTGTGGCGGAAGGGAGAGGCGCAGGAACTGCAAAGGATTGTGCGGCCAAAAGACCAAGAATGAGGGTGGGATGGGAGAGAAGGGACGCCATGTTGGAACACAGCATGGTGGGGGAGCGTGCGCCGCAACCCAAAGCGAATGACTGCAGAGTGAGAGGACTACCCGAAAAGCGACCTGGCCATCTCTCGGACTGAGGATGCGCGACCACACTTATACAGACGGCGCGGACGAAAAAACATTCACAGCCTGACTAGCATCTTGGACGGCGTGGCCGGAGCTACTCTCCAGGGCGGCTTCAAGATGCCGGAAGCGTACTCTGGGCCTACAGCCTCGGGCGATGCCAAGCAAGAAAGACCATGTGGGCGTCGATCTAGAGTGGACGGGAGCGGGTGTTGAGCAGCATGGTGAGCGGACGGAACAGCGGCAGTTCCCACAGGGGCAGTCTCGGCAGCTCCTCCAGTCGACTTTGGGCTGGATGGTGGCTGCGTGGCGGTGTTGTGGCGGGCTAAACCACCAGGTAAGTTTGCGCCAACAGGAGTAGGCTGGAAGCCGGCCGGTAGCCATCCGCAACCTCATTGCGCATGAGGCTGATGCAGCCTCCCGCTGCGGCTTGCGCTTCGTGGTGCAGGCTGAAGAACTTCGCGATGACCGAGCAGCCAGTTTCGTCTGTTGTCGTTGACGGCGAGGCACGCAGTTGTTTGTGTGCGGTCGAGTGTGGCTTCGTAGCGCCGGGGTTGCTGCGGAAATTGCACAAGCTAAGGTACCGATAAGGGTCGGGCGCATGGACGTTCGAGGGTCTGCCATCCCCAGCTGAGCACCTGCACATCCCCATGGAGGTGCTGGCGTGATCCGGTTGCCTCTTATTCGCGCAGGCGGAGCCAGATCGGTCGCACAGACAGGGGCACGCGCCGTGGGGTGCATCGTGGCATCGAGCCAACAGCCGGCCATCGCCGGGTAGGGCAAGCGAGCCTCAGCCCTCGGCTTCGCCAGGAACCGAGAGGCAAGCTTCTTGCTATGCTTATTCTACAGCTCCCGGGGTCCAGGCTTCTTCGGCGCCGTCCGCCAGGCTCCACATCCGGCGCCCTGGCATCGGCAGTTAGCACATGGTTTCTATACTGGCTTCTAACCTCTTTGCCATCAACGAGCGGCTACACCTTGCCACTTTGGGCTTGGCTTGGCTTTGCTACCCGACCATATAACCCACCACCCGCCGCCTCTGTCAATCCATCCCTCTTCACATCCATCACCCGAACCCTTGACCGATTCGTTCAAAAAGTCTGGGCTGGAACCACCATAGACGTTAAAGTGGGATTCGTGGAACGGAAATCCCCACAGATTTGCCTTTGGCCATCTCATCATCCCGTGCATTGCATAACAAGTGCAGGACGTTGTTGGGCGAAACGCTGAGCGTGGGTCCGAGGCTGCGTTTTTGGCTTAGGTGGCGGGGCGTCAAGTCGACTCCTGCAGCGTGTTGTCACCACAGAATCCAACCAATCAACATTCCGAAGACGTGTGACGCAGAGTGACAGAATCTCGCCTCGCGTCATCACCTGGACCATTTTTGATAAGCACAACTGCAGCCGTCACTGAGACTCAGGGCCTCAGCCCACCCGCTCGCTCTCCCGCACGTCCGTCCTCTTTCTACACTCAACCAGATTGCAGACTCGAGCACAAAACACCCCCAAGGAGCTGGAACGCTATGCCGGTCCAACTGTTCGTTCTGTTGGACTATCTTGTCCACTGTGCTCCTTGATCTAGACGTGTATGAGGCGCCATTTTGTTTACTATGCTTTCTTCAACGAGACAGCGATGAAGTCAGAGCATACTGGAGTGAGGTTGCCATCATTAACCTGAGCACACAGCACAAATGAGAACTGTCATAGATGCAGCTTTCCCTATTTTTAGATCATTCTTCAAGACATCAGAATCATGATAGGACATCAACGTATCGGTCTGGCCTTCACCCACAACGGGTCCTTTTGCCACAGAGTGTAGCACTTCTGATTGATCCACCCATCGCTCTCGGGACAGAGCTCGAAATCGAAGTTCCACAACAGCTTAGCCAAGATGAGGCGCATTTCATGGTAAGCAAGGCTGACACCCACGTTAGCCTTCAGCGCATCGAGGGTGATGAACAAGGCTCACCTTTTGCCTATGCAATTGCGTGGCCCATACGAGAAGGCTTGCATCACGTCCCTCCTATCCCCCTCGTATCCCGTACCGGGCAGCCAGCGTTCCGGCACAAACTTCTCGGCATCCTTGAAGTAAAGCGGCGACCGGTACGCAGTATACTGCGCAACCGCCACGCGAGTCTAGTACACCCACACACGTCAGCAAACCGCATTAACCGCACCGTCTCCCCACCACCACCACCACTCTTCCAAGGGGCGAGCCAACCAACATACCTTCCCCGGCACCCACCTCCCACACACCACATTCCCGTCCGGATGCACCGCCCTCGGCGGCCCGATCGGCAGCGGCGGATACAGCCTCAACGCCTCCTTGACACACGCCCCCAAGTACGCCAGCTCCCGCACACTCGCCAACGTCATCTCCGCCTCGCCCTCTTTCCCCCCAGGAAACGCGGCGCGCACCTCCCCGCACGCCCGGCCCATCGCCGCCGCGTCCCGGCACAGGAACCACACCAGCCCGCTCAGCGCCGTCGCCGTCGTCTCCGACCCCGCCAGCATGAACACCGACGCGTTCACGTACATGTCTTCGCGATCCAGCCCGGGTCCGGGCTCGTGCCCATCGCCGCCGCCCCCGCCGCTGCTGCCTTCGCGCCCCCGCCCCCGCCCATCCAGCACATAGCTCCACATGTCGACCTGCCCGTGCCCGTGCCCTTCCGCCCGCCCGTCGTCCGCTTCGCCAGCACCCCTCTCCACCCGCCGATCGACCCTGTCCGCCGCGGCTTGAAAGTGCAAGCGCTGCTCGTCGCGCAGCCGGCGCGGGGTGAGGCGCGCGGCGAGGAGGCCGAGCAACGGGTACTCGAGCGTCAGCCGCGACAGGTCGGCCGCCTTGGTGGACGCGAAGATGGCGGCGACCCAGGGCGTGTACTCGGCACTGGCAGTACCGCGGTCGCGGTCATGGTCGGTACCGTCGGATCGCGGGACCGGGACTGGTGGGAGCAGGCCGAGCGGCGAGCCGAAGGAGAGGGTCGACATGATGTCCATTGTTGTGCAGGTGAGGAGTTTGGCGAGGTCGAGGGGGGTCCCGGTGTCGGTGTTGGTGTTGTTGCGGATGTGGGCGACGAGGCGGGAGGCGTAGGTGGCGAGGAGCGGTTCTTGGTCTTTGAGGGCTTTTTCCGAAAAGGCGGGGGAGAAGAGGCGGCGGACGCGGGCGTGCTCGGCGTCCGAGTGAAGGGCGTTGAGGGCGTGGCGCCCGTTGAGGCCCGCGGGGTAGTGCAGCATGTCTTTGGAGTTGGTGCCGCCGCCGCCGCCGCCGGAGCGCTTGTTGCTGCGGGGGTGCCCGTAGATGTCTTTCCATGCGTCGGGGTTGGTGTAGCTGAGCGTGTTGGGGCCGAGCCGCACGACCTCGCCGTATTGGCGGTGGACGGATTGGATCCAGGGGAGGAGGTCGCCCGTGACGTTGGCGGACCAGTAGGTTAGGTTCGTGCAGGCGGCGGAGATGGGGCCGGGGTAGGCGGAGAGGGGGTGGAAGTAGATGTTGTAGACGGCCGTGCTGACGGCGTGGAGGAGGATCTGGGGCTGTGTGAGATGCGTGGGATGCAGACGTCAAGGCGGCGGACGGACAAGAGCGGCTATGGACATCACCAGAGTCAAAGGTAGGCTGCCATGCGGGAGCGACGAGGCCCAATCACGCAGCTCTCGGAGGGAATCCATCGTGGTGAAGGCGAGGGATTGGATGTCGTCCACAAAGCTAACTCGTACGCGAGAGATGACCCAAGCGAGCTTATATATGCAGGCACAGCAGGGTGTCACAAGAAGCTCGAAATAGTGACAGATGCACGTCGGCACAAGGCAAACGTACAAGGGTGCCTGACTTGGGAATGTGCTTGCCCTAAGCCATACTCTGAGCCGGCACTAGCGGGAAATGATGAAATCCTTCGAGCAGGGGTTACCGTTGTTGTTTGGCTCTCACAATAGGAAGATTATCATAGGATGCTGCTGCCTTCGGCAACCGGCAATGCCCCGATTCGCTCGAAGTGAAAGAAACCTCTTTTACTATCAGCCGCAAAAGTGGGCTGTAAGGTGGTCAGTGTTAGAGATGACGTCGGATCAGGTCCGTATCTGTTTCTTTTGCGGGCCGTTCCACCCCGCGACCCCGCAGAATCATTGGGGGCCAGTGCAACTAAGGTTTCCGCTTCTGTGTAGTTCGTGTACGTACTCCTGTTCCCAATGAGACGTTGGCTTTTGAATAACGCGTCTTTTCTGGATCTGCTTTTTCGAGGCCTGAAACATCTAACCTCGTCCGTTTAACCCACACTGAGTGCAGAACGGCGTGAGGATGTACGATACGGGGAAGCCTTTCACTTGTGTGTTGCCAAGCGTATCATAAGGGAATACTGACTTACATAGGCCTGTGAGAAGCGGCCAGACGTGTTTGGCATGACCTGATATGGGATTTGCGCAATGTGGGATGAAGGACCGCGATCGTTTTGAGATAAATGTGAGTAGTTGTGGGTGGATCTGCTCAAGTGTTCGCTGAATGAACGAGAAATTCGAGAATCTGGACTGCATTATTTACAGCCTTAAAGAATATTTTTATGCGTACCTACCTCTGTAAAAAGAGTTCTGAAGATCATGCACTTCCGGGGACAACTTTTCAAGTAACCCATAGTTCTTTCGAGACAATTCAATGTTCTGTTGCAGCAACACAACAAGCTCTTTCTGGTTGCTACGCTCGAGCCGGTCAATGCTCCCATGGAGCATTTTCATGTGATTGTCGTAGCCGCCCTTCCGCTTGAACTGTTTTGGCCTTTGGCATTGCGTGCAGACGTGGGTTTTAGGCTCAAGTCCAGGCGTTGCTTCGTTCGACGCTGGCGCTGCTCTTACAATCAGCTTCGATCGCGAGATTGAGCGTTGTAGTGGACTGCATGGCTTGCCTTTGTCACGCTTGACATACATCCGATATTTTGATACTCTGCTTTGGTTGATCGAAACAGTCGTGAGTAGTTGAAGGTGAAGTGGATAGGGGTAAAGGTTTCGCAAAGTTGGGCATCGTAGAGAAAGGCCAGTGTTTATGTATTCAGTAGTTGTAAGTGGGTATGGACGACCCATAGAAGAGCCGGAGCCCTCAACAAGGGTAGTCCGGAAGCTCGTGTGGAACTGAAGAAAATTGATCAAACTCAAGCGAGGTATTGTTTGGATCAGCACATCATTCCACTGTGTGTCCAGCTTCTCCTCAAACACGCTTGAGGCGCTCAGACGTGGCAGGCATGCAGCTGGCAGGTCTTGAGGCTCCATCTCGCGATGGCCGTGGGTGGACAGACTGGCAGGTGGGCTTGAGAATGAGCATGAATGGGGCCGGAGGAATCTCATTTGCTGGGCTGCTTATAGTCCATCGCTTATGATCCTGGAACCTTTTCGCTGGGACCTGGCGTCCATCAGCATCTGTAGAGGCCGACGAGGTTTCGAAAATGCTGCTTTTCCTGCCAGACCGGGATGGTACGTGATATCTCAAGAGACCGTTCCACAGCTCCCACGGCTTAATAGTGTAGATTCAAATCCGGCCGATAATGAGCTGCCGCGTGTAGCGGGATAGCGACCATATTGGTATCGCAATCATGTAACGAGCAAAGACGCTATGCTGGCCGCCGTAGTGCACATCCGTTGCACCAGGGACAGGCTGCAAGCGCGGCTGACAGAGCACTCCAAGGCCAACGTCGAGGCTAAGCAAGCTGTAGGACTGACCGCGGTACAGCATGCAGTGAGCACATGGCGGGACGGCCCTGTCATGCCATACGCATGGAGCCCTGCTGGATAAGCTTCACTGTGCCTGGCGTCAATCGCTATATCTGCAAGCATAGTGGACGCGCCACCCCTTTGATCGGCCCCCACGCCTCGGTGGGAGTTCAACTCCAATTGCTCATTGCTGGAGCACGAATCTTGCATGGAAGCCATGCCTGGCGTGGCCGACACCATTGCGCTTCAATCGCCCAATCTTTGGAGATTTGCAGCTAGGTAGGTACGTTTAAAGGGATGAGCGGCACGTTCCAGAAGGCGATCGGCAGTACCTGGTGAAACTGCGACCCAGGATGAGTGCGTGCGTATGGCGTGCATGATTCTAGATTACGCCACGGACCTTGTCGGATTGCCCTGCTGAACATTCGCTTCACAGATTGTCAGCTCCACGCAAAGCGATTGTATATACCACCATCAGGCCGCTGGATCTGTCCCGCGGAAACCGGCATGTGAGCCCCACAAGTTGGACAGAGCTACCTCCCATTCGGCCACGCGCCGTTCCATGCATCGCTGATCCAATCCTCCGGAAAGCCGCGGAAAGATATGTTCGTGTATCTCACAACGTCCCAACAAAGTTAGTGGTCCGGTCGCCAATCATAATCAGTATATTATGCAGATCGGGCAATGCGCTGTACACATCTTGCGCTGCGCCCCTTGACAGTCTGTCCGGAGCATCGGCCCGCCCGGGGGAGTGGCGCATCGCATCACCCCGCTTTGATTTTGCGGGGAAATGAGTCGTGTTACCGTTGATCGTACGTTGGTTCCTTCCTCGGCGGGGGTAGTACGCGAGCAATCGTGGAGCTCTTCATGCGAAATAGTCGTCATCATCTCGGCCGTTCTCCACCTCGCGAGCTAGTGGGAGCGGCTGCTGGCGTACCACTATTTTTGGAGCTCCCTTTGAGTCTTTGCATCATTGACGAGCTCTGCTGTGCATGTATAGACTCCTGTGTCCTCTAGTCGGTCTTGTGCGATGCGGATTTGGTGTGCAAGATCCAACACCTCGAGGGCCGGTTCCAGGACCATGGAGACGGGAAATCAACATTGACGAATCAAATCCCACATTGTCCCGGGATAAGGTTGCCGTAGTGACAGGTACGTAAACACCGTTGGTTGATGGACGTAGATTCCACCCGACAACACGTCTTTCGTTTGCCGACACGGTCCATTGTCCAGGCTCTTCCCAATCTCCATCTGCATCCCTCACTCAAGTCCCTTTTATTCTCCCTGTCTTTATAGAGCAAGCCCCATCCCTGCACCTCTTTGCCGCCCAATCCGGCACTTTTTAAGGCCCATGGTCTGGCCCTCTCAGCCCCGAAACACCCTGCGTCATCGCATTTTTTTTTTCTTTGGACAGTGACGACTGTGGCTCCCATCTTCTAGAAGCCCCGTCCGCTCGTCGGCCATGCCCAAAAGCGGGCCCCAACCTTAATCAACAACAAAGCTTTCCCACTTTCCCCAGGCCACATCCCGGGACCACATCAGCCACCGTTGGGACCGAAGGAGAGCCCAAGCTCGGATGGACGGCGGCGGCCGGCCGGGTATTCTCTGCAGACGCAGGGTCCGTCTTTCGACCGGGACGCCGTTGTTTGACGTACAATGGTACGCTATGTTTTCCGGCGGGGCGGAAGGAAGGGTCCTTCGGTCGGGCAAAACGGCACTGGCTGGGCTCTCAGCTGGGCTGGCTGGCTTTGGGGCGGAGGCACCACAACAGAAAATATTAGAAAAAACAATGACGACGGCTCGGCTGCTGCACTGCGTCTCGCAGTCTGTTTCGGACCCACGGGTGTGTTCTGTATTATGCTCCTCTCTCCCTCCCCGCACGACGACAGCAGGTTGGCTGCTTGGCTGGCTGATCGGCTGATCTACCCTAGCGCACGGGCGCCGATGCGCTGGAAGAGCTGCTGCGCGTTGCTCTCCGCTCCGTGACGCTGCGTGCTGCTCGCAAGCTGGCGTCATCATATCACATCATAGTATTCCCGAGGCGCTCGGAATATCTCCACGCGGAGGGGACCAAATGACGTACACACAGAGGATGGCCCAGGGAGCGAAGGCCACCACCTGTACAGCACCACCGCTAGAGCCAACAAACAAACACATCGGGGTTAGTCCGTCACGTTTCCTACCCACGTGCAGAACAGAGAGGCGGCGGTGGAAGCCTCACTCTTACCGCCTTCTCCGTCGCTAGTGAGTGGTGGTGTCTCAGATGGGTTTCCGATTGCCGGGTCAGGCTTTCGGCCTAGCTAGTCAGCCAGACTTGTTCTCAGCCCTGTGGGAGACGCCCAAGGAAAGAAAGAGGAAGAAAAATCTGGCTTTCACCAAGTGACCACCACTAGCCTCGGCTGCTGAGAAGAGGTGGCTGGTGACGGCGCGAGTGGGAGGGCACGGTCTCCCTTCCGCAGCTGTCAGGCTGTCCATAAAAGGCTCCGTGCGGCCGGCCATGGCTGAAGTAGTACGCCGTAGTGAATGGGTGCTAAGCCCTGTCCGCCGTGGTCTCTGCCCGCTGCGACCAAATTCGATATTTCAAACATCACCTTGCGCCCAACCGATTGCCTTTTGCCATGCCACCATGTTTTTTGCGGACGCCATTTCAAATCCTTGTTCTTTTCGTAATCCCGACGCCCTCCACCATCTTTGCAAACGTTGGGGAAAAAAGAACTGAAAGACGGAACTCGGCTCGGCCTCATGCGCCGTCTGTTGCCTAGCCCGTTGCCCACACAACCCAAGCAGGTCAGCGGCATCATCCCAATTCCAGTCACGGACGCATATCTGAGTTGCCCGGGCAAGATTATCGATGCTGGACGAGGTCAGCATGCAAAACGCAGCGGCGCGCAGCCGGCGGCACCGCACAGGGCAGACGGGCCGAGAATGGAACAGACGATAGGTCTACAGACCACACGGCGAAAAGACGAGGCGCATGAGATCGAGGAAAGCGTTCTGCCGCCGAAGTACGCGCTGCTGCCGCGGGGGATCATCGATCGGAATACAATAGGCCTAGTGAGGCTACCTACGCTGCTAACTAGCGGGCAGGATTGACGGCGGCTATCGCGACCAAGACAACAACACGAGCAAACACGACGAGAAATAACGGGTTTGCAGCCTCGTTGAATCGAGGTTCCAGGGAAGCTGTGCACTGCGCAGAGACCGAGCACTTTGGTGGCGTGAACTGCCCATAGCCATGGCGTCATGACGGGGGGCCGCGGGTCGACTCGTGAAGGGAGAGGAACGCTCAGGCCCTGCAGATCTGGAGGGGTCGGTTTTTTACTTTTTTGTTGTTGTTTATCGGCCGTGGCTTGTGTGGATGGGTGGACTGGCTCCGCAAAGCCCACTGTGCCACCCTTCGGCCTCGGCCCATGCCGGTTTCTCCCTCGCTGCACTCGACAAGATCATCGATGGGGTTGGTAAACGACGGGGCTGTTGGGCGCGTTCTCGGAGCTGGCGTGACTGGTTAATTTGGCGTGGCAAAGAGCGGAGTGAGCGGTGTGGGCGCCGCAACACCGCTTCGGCCACAACACGGCCAAGAGCAGCTGCGCTCGCTGCTGGTTGGAGGGTTGTGTCTGGGAATTATTCGAGAAGCGCTGGGGACATGCAGGGCGCGGGACGCGGCGCGCGGGCTGGCTTGCTTGGGCCGGGGGGTGCGCTGGAAACAGAGACTCAGCCGGGTGTCGCGGACGTTATCGCGAGATACTGCTGGGGACGGGAGTGGTGGGCGCAAACCTGATTCGGAAAGCCGGAATGGCGACCCCGGGAGCTTCCATGCGGCTTCGACTGTGCTTGGTGGTGGAGTGGGTGGATCGGGGCTGGCGCGGCTGTCAGAGCTCTGTCAGAGCTCTGTCAGAGCCCCCACCCGCCGCGCCTTCCAATCACTCGCGCCCGCCGCCGCACACGGTTTCATTGCCTCGGCCTCACGCCCAATCGTTTGTCGCCAGGCCGTGACTCGCGCGGCCTGTCTCCGCGACGCGTGACGCTCGCTGGTTTGCTTGCTCGACCTCACCCGCCGCCTCGTCCCCACGAACCCTCCGGCTGTTGTTTCGCGTGAATGACTGACGCGCTCCAGGACGTGACTCGGCCTCGCGTCGCGCGAGAACCCTGGCGATCCACCAGCGCGCGTCTCGCCTGCTGCAGCCGTCATGGCGTCATCCACCTCTTCTCCGCCCGGTGCACGTGATGCAGTGATAGCCGTTGGGTTGTGGGTGCGGCGCGAAACACCAGCCTGCCGACATGCCGTCCTCAACACCACGACCCGACGCGCGCCTCTCGCCCAGCCCAGCGCCTGAGGCAGCCCGCCGCCAGCGCCTCGCGCCCGCGCCAAGCTTCTCTGTCCGGCCTGAGCGGCGCCGCCGGCGCCGGCATGACGATATGGCCGTCGAGGAAGAGGCGCGATCTTCGAGCACAGGTCACTTTCGACAGCGCAGCAATCACGCGCCAGAACGTGCCCATGGGCGCAAAGAAGTCCAAACAGCCAGCGTGCCACCGCGCGCCCCGTCCTTCTACCCATGGTGGCCCCGCCCACCACCACCATGGACAAATGGCGGTGAATGGCGATCGTACTGCTCGAACTGGTGGACCCGCTTGCCCTGGTCACGCCGCATTGGTCCCCATCCTTCGCCGATAAGATGCCAGTGCAGATATACCGCTGCCCACGCAGCGCACCCAAACTTCCACCAAGAAAAGCCTCGATGGGGGCCGCTGAGTCCAAGGCCGTTGCCGCATCGGGCGGAAATACCGCTGACTTCGCTGCAACCTCCCACCACGCCCTCGCCGGCTTCCAAGCCCAAGTCGAGACCAACATCTCTCCGGACCTGACCACCATGGGCAACAACACCTCCGTCCCCGCCCAGGGCCTCGACCAGGACGCCGACCCAGCCTTGCCGGATCTGCAGTCCACCGAGCACACCGAGCACGCCGAACCCGTCCAAACCGACGGCACTAACGACCTGCAGCAATCCACCCCGTCTGCCGAATCGGAACCGGTGCCCGCGGAGCTGTCGTCTCAGGACCGGCCGTCGACGGCCACGGACCGTCCGACTACTGCAACGGACCGCCCGTCTACTGCAACTGACCGGTTCAAGGCCAGGGACAACAGACCCGCCTTCCTGCGCCGCTTGACCATTGCCCCTTCGGCCGTGTCGACCGCTGCCGCTCACCATGAAAACGTGTCCGCCGGACCCGTCTCCTCGAGTCCGGCCGAGCGGCAGGCGATTGGGGCCAAGGAGCACTTGACCAAATCGAATGCCTCCATCGCCCGCGTGTCTCCGCCCATGAAGCCCGCCGAGCTGGCTGTCGTCGACGCCGACCTGGAACAGCAAGATGACCAGGAACACGTCGCTGCCGCATCCATAACCCTTCCCCCGTCTCGCCCTTCGACATCATGTTCTGTGAGCAGTCTCGGCTCCGCTGTCCATGACTTCGTATCCCACGCCCAATGGGAGGCGATGAACCATGCCGGCGGTGACGTGTCTCCCCTTGACAGGTCTCGCGCCAACTCGCCCGTTGGCTCTTTCCGCGAGCAGCAAAGCTTCAATGTCGAAGAAGGCACCCGCACATTCGATGAGCGTTCCCAAGCCGGCTCCGTTGCTCTCTCCGAAGGCGACGCAAGCTGGCGTCGGGAGAGTTGGGCGAACCGGGACGGTGAGCACGGCGAGACCATCGACATGACGCTCGAGACCATGCGCCGCAACAGCATCCCGGCCAGCGTCGCCACGGCCCAGACGTTTGGCTCCTTCGCCCACCCCTTTGAGGACGACGATGATGACGAGAGCTGCTTCGACGATGACCACCAAATCAGGCCTGAGTATCTGCCTCTCCCCGACGATGCCACCGACGGTACTGCCGACGATGAGCTCTCTATGAGCATGGCTACCGTCTCGGACATCTTCGAGAAACGCTACAGCACTGGCGTAACGACCCAGATGACGAACGACGTGGAGAACGTCGATGACAAGGCGGCTCACGCTTCGCAATCGCCCGCCGGCGAGCCTGCGAATGCCGAGGACGAGTTGGACGTCGAGCAAACGGGCTCGGACACCGAGGTGGACAAGGCGACGACGGTGGGCAACGTCGACGACGTCGGCGTGCCTGAGGGAGATGTTGCCGCTTCGGACGATATCTCCGAGACACATGTGACGGCCTCGAACGTCGCGTCTGGAGCTGTGGACGATGGTACCCCACTCGAGTTTGGCGTGGAAGAAAACAGCGGGTCTGCCGCGCAGGTCCCCGATAGCGAGACCCCGACCGCCGAGCAGATCACTGCCTCGAACGACACGTCGCCTGAGTCAGTCGAGCAACTTGATTCGGCAATCGAGGCGGTGGAGGTGCCGACCGCGGAAACTAAAGAGGCGCATCCGCAACCTGAGGAGGAGGACGCTGCTGCTGCTGATCCCGCCGACACCATGGCTCAAGACATCCCCGAGCCTGCCCCCACCGCCGAAAATGCCCAGGACGCTCTCGCCGCCCCCGCAGCCACCGATGCCGGAGACGCTGCTACCACGACCGAAGCAGAGGTTGTCGAAGTGCAACTGAACAGCATCAAGGAGCCCACGCCTACTGCTGTTGAAACACGCAGTAGCATCGCTGACTTGTCCATCGCTGCCGCTGCCGCCGCTCCGGAGAACGAAGAGACCAGCGCACCAGCCGAGGACCTCTCTTTGCAGTCTGTTGTGCACAAGGTAATTGACGACGCACCGCTCGTTGCCGACCCTGAGTCGACCACCATCGATGTCACCGCCTTCCCTGCCGACGAGGCCTTGGCTGTTCACGAGAGGGATGCGACTGAGGAGCAATCCGAGGAGTCTATTGCTGACACTGCCGCTGAGATTCGCTCAAAGATCAACTCCCCGCATACCTCCACCTCGCAAGCTGCCGAATCCGTTGCCGCCGAGTCTGTCAGCCTCAGGGACATGCTCCAAGAGACTACGCTGGTCGAGACTCTGCGAGACAACGTTGGCTCTGGTGATGAGGGAAGCGGAGCGAGCCTGGCGCTCGCCGGCTCTGCGCCCCAGGAGACCAGGAGGGACGGGGGTGAGGCAGGGCCTTGCCAGGCGCTCGATCTGCAGCACGTCAGCAATGCTGGCGATGACGACGGTTGGGCGATCCCCGACCGTGACGAAGAAGAGCCGCAGGCCCAGGCCCCTGTCCGCTCGAGGAGGAAGAGTCTGCCGCTGCTCTTCAGGGACATGAAGGACAGCAGGAAGGAGAAGAAGAGCCATCTTCCCGTCAAGAAGGAGGCTAAGGAGGCCAAGGCCGCCGTGCCTTCGAAGAAGGACGGCAAGCCGGTCCTCTCTTTCGCTGCCGTGAAGGAGTCGCGCATCCCGGCTGCACCTCTCTCCGCTCCCATGGAGCCGTCCAGGATGCCGTTCAGCCCTGGCAAGAAGGGCCGCAACGTCCTCCACCGGAACCCTCCCGTCCTCAGGCATCCTGACCAGCCGATGCCTTCGCCTACGACCGTCAAAGAGAAGAAGAAGCGTAGCTCTCTTCTCGGCGTCGTCTTCGGCCGCTCCATGACCCCCACTCCCGATCTTGAGAAGGAGAGGGAGCGCCAGATTGAGAAACTCAACAAGGAGAGGGCCAAGGAGCAGGAGAAGGCAAAGGAGGCGAAGCCGAAGAAGGACAGCAAGAGTAAGCTTGTGATACCCCAGCGCCGCTACAGCTTGGCAGGACCACTGGGCGGGCACGACCACCATACTTCCTTCCACATGCCTCGTCTCCCCACGCCCAAGCGTGTTCAGGAGATCTCCGGTCTGTCGCGCCAGGAAGCCACCAGCCGGCCTCAGCAGGAGCGGCCTCGTAGCGGCAGCCAGTCTCTGGACTCCCTGTCGCAAGAGGGCGCATCCAGCCCCTCTTCCAGGGTTGCCCGTGTCTCGGCGGCTGTGGATGCGAACCACCGTGAACTGCAGTCCCATATGCGCAGGCCGAGCATCTTGCCCGAGCCTGACTCGGAATGGGACGAGTGGGAGCAGAAGGCACGCGAGCTGGATGATAACCGCACCAAGGTCAACGGCTCGCCTGCCTCGCAGATCAGCATCCCCGCCGTCCTCCACGGCCCTGGCACTCCAACTCAGGCTAAGCTCCACCCCCAGAGCGGCGATGGCTACCCCTTCTACCAGTATGCCCCCCCGCCTCTGCCTCCCCACATGCAGACTCCCCCGAGGTCCTACTACGGCAACGCGCCGCGTTCTGCCGCCTTCAACGAACCTTCCCTTCAGCGCCGGTACTCTGAGCACTTCAGCTCGGCATCCGCCCGCGGTCTGCCACCGTTCCCTCCGCGCCTGTATGGTCTTCGTGATGCGGAGTACGCTGGTGGCTACCCTCCCATGCGCCAGAGCAGCCAGCCGCACCTGCGGCCCCAGAGCGGCAGCGGTAGCGGCCCGTCAAGCCCGAACCCTGCCGACGTCGCGCCCTTCATCAAGGACGAAGACAGGGCTGCACCTCTCTCGGCGAGCCCCGTTGCATCGAACGTTGCCACCGTCGACAGCTTTGAGGGCGCTGACCCGGCCTACGTGCCGCCGCCTGTGCCGCTGCCCGGCGAGACGATGGAAGAGTTCCTGGCCAAGCAGCGCGCGTGGTACGAGCAGCACGCACAGGCAGCGAACCGCCGTGATAGCGGCTACTCGCCGCAGTACAACAACCTTCCGCCGCAGGCCTTCTACCCTTACCCGCCGCCGTGGTACTGGGGAGCGGCGCAAGGATACCCTCCTCACATGGCACCGCACTCGCCGATGCAGGCGGGCTACCCGCCATTCTACCCTCCGGCTCCCACCCCGCCGGTCCACAGCCATGCGCCCGAGGATTATTACCACCAGGCGCTGCGCGAGCAGCACGCGCAGGAGCGCGCCGCCAGCAGCGACGCCGATTCGCCGCGCGACAAGAGCCCGTTGCCTTCCCCGTACGGGGCGTACGCGCCTCACCCGGGCTTCGGACCTCCGCCTCGGTCCTTCACCTCGATCCCCTCTCCGGCTCCGGCGGCACCCTACGGATACCACCCCCGACAGGACATGCGTTGGCGCGACTTGACGTCTGCTACCGATGATGGTGAGTCGCGCCACGGGGCAGCTGGGCAGAAGATGTCGCACAAGAGGATTGACTCGGGGTTGGGACAGGACGCTACTACTATCACTATTACCCCTACCGATGAGGACAGCAGCTTCAATGAGAAGCCGCGCGCCACCAGCTCGGCCGGGAAGCAGAAGAGTCCCGCCGGCACCGAGAGCGGCCACCTTGTCGCCCGCCGCGCGACGGTCAGCACCGGCGGTCTCAGCCGCAGCGCCAGCAAACTCGAGACGGTGATGGAGCCGGTGGAGCTGGCGGACACGGACGTCGGCTTGAAGAACAGGAGTGGCGCGAGCAGTCGAGACTCGAGCGTGCACCCGGTGATGCACGCGTCGAGCTACCCGGGCATGGAGTGGATGCCGGATCCGGCGGCCGTTCAGAAGGCGTTCGACAACGGCAGCGAGTGATTGATTATTTTCTGATGACTGGATATGATGTTGATGATTGATGGACGATATCTCGGTTTTATTGTTGCGAGCACGTTTCATGTGGCATTGCCTCCGCTCTTCTTTTTTTTTACTTTGCTTTCTCCTTTGGCATGGCTTGCGGTGGTGACTGAGCGTTTTCGCATGGGGTTTTGACTCTACTTTATTTTATATATCTATACAAGGATGGGAAAGGGTAAAAAGTTCTCTTTTTGTTTTGGGGGTTTCTTTTCTATCTATTCTGTTTCCTTGTCGATTTCCGTTTGGCATATGGCGGCTCATCAGAATGATGATATCATCTGGTTGTTTTGTTCTTTTTCTCTTCCCCGTCTTTTATACATATATCTCCTTTGTTTCTCCTTGCATTTCTGAGGCGTCATCACTCGCATATCCTGAGTCTCGCCCTTTGTTGTTTCTCGGTTTTTTTTTGGTTTTTTTAGGGTTGTTGCCCTGGTACTCTCTACATGTGTCTATCGATTATACCATGTATGAATGATGTGTACGTACTACTCTACACTCTCCTGTTTGTCTCGCCGCCGCCATCAACGACGACGAAAAAGATGACGATGACAACCATGTATAGCTAAGGATGCTTTGCATATGCTGTTTGAGTCCTCACAGCACTGCCAAGTAGTTAGCCCAATCAGGAATCCGAAAGTGGTTTAGCGTAGCTTGTTCCTCATAAAACTTAGACGTTCGTGTAGGCCCTTAGAAGGAGCAATCCATTGAGTTCAAACATATGCCGTGTGGTTTGTAAATGGGATAGATTCGTCGCACCAATGAGGTTATTCGGTGAATCCATGCTGCTACTGTGTATCAGATACGTACCAGCTTTGGAGGATGCAACAAAAAGCAAGTTGATCAACATGCATTCGTAAGGGAACTTTTCTCTGCCTGTTGGCGCCGAACGCGCCGACCGACCGCATTCTACCGCGCCCTGCACCACCCCCACGTCTGCAAGCGCAAGCATTTGCCCAAAAACCCGGCACCATAAGTCGATGGTGCCGAAACCCGTTTGCGTCAGTTGGGTTTCATCCGGCTTGATGGGTTCGCGCAGTCACTTCCTTGCCACGCTTTGCCACGCTTACCCCCACCCCTTTTTTTTTTCTTCCCGCTGCGGAAGGTGGTGTGCGTCGGGTTGTTTGCTTTTGTGCAGGTGTAGACGGTGCGGTGTTGATACATGATGCCGAGTATGTGACGAGGAATTCCCTGGTGAATATGGTGGTGGCGTATCATCATGTGGTGCATCATAAGTTGTTTGACTGGAATCATGGGCGGTTGATGACGGCGAGAAACCGCTTGGTTAAGAGGGTCGTATAGATGGCCCGATGAGGAGGTGTTTGTTGGCAGGGAGCGGTGGGTTGGGAGGAAGGAGGAATGGAGGGTGGAGGGAAAGAAGGGGTTGTGAGATGGAGTGGTTGGTTTGTGTTGTTTTGTACGATTTGTTCGGAGGAAACGTGATGCTGGAGTTCAGCTGCGGAAACCGGCATATCAAAAATCTTGGGTTGGTTGTATTATTAGTGACTAAAATATCTAATGTTCTCCAATAGAATGCATCTGCTGCCGTCTAGATATTAGTGAGCAGATATGCGCTCGCCATGAAACCCATCATCACGGAGGTCATGAGGGACGCTCTCCCGGTACGGTGTGAAGCACCGCCCTCGCTCGACGCTCCCAGTCCGTCGGTCGAAACCGGTGCGCCCATTCGATCCGATGTCATTATCGGCCCTCCACCACCACCACCGCCCTGGCCGCCCGGCCCCCTCGGAGGGCCACCCAGTTCCAACGTCGCCACCGTACTCGCCGTCCCCGTCACCGTCGTCGTTGTCGTCATAATCGTCTGGTTCCCCGCACTAGCAGCCGTAACGACAACATTAACATCGTTCTCAACCACGACCGTCTTACCCCCCTCATCCGTCGCCAGCCCCACGACCGTCCTCCCTCCACCCACCGTCACGCTGCTGCCCCCCGCCACGACCGTCCACGTCCGACTCCCCTCGGCAACCCAGTACGCCGAGCCCGCAGGCAAAAACGTCAAGTTCCCCACCACAACGGGCGGACCGCCGCCGCCGCCGCCACCACCAGCAGTCCCTCCAGGCCCACACCCCGCTCCCGCTCCTCCCGCTCCTCCCGCCGCCGCCGTGATCGTCGCCGCAGCCTTCAACTCCCCCGCCTCAGACCCAGACGCCGCGCCCGTAACGACCACCGTCCTCGTGCTCGTCGCCGTCGCCACCACACCTGCACCACCACCTGTACCATCCCCTCCACTTCCCCCAGAAGAAACAGAAACAGAAACAACAGAAGAAGTCGAAGCAACAACCCCAACAACCTCCTCCAAACTCAACGCCACCACCACCCCATCCACCGTGACCGCCTCCTGCGCCTCCCCGGCTGCCCCCTGCCCCTTCTCACCCCCAACCCTCGGCGGCGCCACCGTCCCCGCCACCGCCCATCCCCCGCCGTTGGCGTCTTCGAGTTCTTGGAGCACGTTGTACGCGCCCGACCCGCCCGCCGGGCTCAGCTCGAGCGGGCCGACGGTCACGACGGCGGCCGAGGCGGCGGATTGGTGCTGTTGCTGCTGCGAGGGGTTGGGGCCGGGACCGTTGGGGCCGGGGCCGTTGGGGCCGTCGTGGTCGTCGGGGCCGTCGGGGTTGGAGTCGGAGTCGGAGTCGCCGTTGCTGGTGGTGGTGCTCCTGGTGGTTCTACTGGTGCCGGTGGTTTTGGTGCTGCTGGTGCTGCTGGTTATGGCGGTGCTGCTGCTGCTGCTGCTGCTGCTGGTTTTGGTTCCGCTGCTGCTGCTGCTGGAGAATGGCGTCGTCGACGCCGCCGCCGCGCTGCCGGGTGGTACTGGTGGCGGCGGCACGGTGGCCAAGGCGTGCGCGCCGCCCGGTGCTTGGGCGAGGAGGATTGCGTTGGCGGTGGCGTCGTCGAGGGACAGGGCGAGGACGGTGCCGCCGGGGAGGGTGAGGGTGGCGGTGGGGTTTGGGGCGAGGGTCAAGGGGGCGGCGTGGGCGGCGTCGGGCGTGTTGAGGAAGTAGACGAAGGCGCCGCCGGCGGAGGTGTCCGGGTGGAGCGTCACTTCGGGGGAAGGGCCGGTGCTGGTGGCCGCGCCGGTGAGGGTGATTGTTATGGGGGTGGGGAGTGGTGGTGGTGATTGCCGGCGTTTGAGTTCCTCCTGGGGAGATGGGGAGGGTCAGTGGATGGTTGGTGGGTAGAGGGAAGAGGAGAGGAGGGGGAGGAGAGGTTTTGGGGCCTTACAGCTCCAGGCCCGGTTGGGATGGATGAGGGAACGGGATCCGTCCATGGGTTGTGGTCGTGAGGTGTTGTTGGTAATGGGATTAGCCGTGGCGCTGCGTCGTCGGTCGTTAGAGTGGCTCCGGTTGTTGTTGAGTCTGCTGTCGTCGATTGCGGTAACGCCCAAGCTCGGCCAGCACCGCCACATGCTGTTACTATAGTCAGCAAGCGGAGAATCGTTCTCCCCTGGCGGAAGGACGTCATGGTTGCGGCGATGGAAGATGCATGTGTCGACAGGAGGGAAAAGTTTTCAATGAGAACGGGCGACGGGCGACGGGTTAGGGTCGTGGCGAGCGGAGAATAAGGACGTCAATCACGGACAATTAAGGTTACTTATGACACGGGCCAGCCGACTGGGAATCCCGGGGTGATAAATAACCACAAGTGGCACCCGCGGGAGGAAATGAAAGAGAATAAAAAGAAAAAACAAGACTAGCGGGCGGTCAGGCTCCGTTTGACAAAGGTTTTAGCTGCGGGACAACTGCGGCATCGGGGTCGGTTGCAGGATATAAGAAAGGGAAGGAAGGTGTTCCAGCAGCATTAACAGCCTTCCCCTTCCGGCCCCTCTTCCGACACCAGCCGCCGCCGATCGCACCGAATCCGCCCCGCACCAGCGTTTCCGCCGCAGCCCCACAAGGCTAGACCAGTAGTGCGCTTCTGGGCAGACACATGGCTCGGCTAGCCTCGTGATCGAGCACAGCGTCTGATAAGAACAAAGGGAACACCACTCAGGGCAGGTGCAAAGGAGCCTGCCTGACTCCTTCTCTCCTTCTCGCTCTGCTCGTTAGTCATACATACCGTGGGAAGGTGCCATGCTTGTTTTGTCGTGAAACAGGCAAGAACGGGGCGCCTCGCGCCACCCACTCGCCAACTTCACACGTCGTGGTGAACGGGTCGCGTTGTTTCGACCGTGGCTACCTCCGTCAGTTCCGTCTCATCCACGCTCTTCGACGTCGACGATTGTCTAGCCGTCTGCAGCCGCGAATGCCAACCAGCGTCTTCACACACACACAACCGTCAGCCGACGCATGCATCATCGCCCACGCCCACCGCACACGCCCACTCACACGTACCTGCGTTCGTATTCTGCGGCACCGCCAATCCCGGGGTATTGCGACAGCCCCCACGGCCCTTTGCGCCATAGTTCCGGCTCCCGCTCGTGTCGAAGTAGTCCCGGAACGACTGCTGGTAGCTGTTGAAGAACGGGTTCTTCCACCGCCGCGACGTCGACTTGCTGCTGCCGTACGTGAAGGGGTCGATGACGATGTGGAAGCAGCGCAGCACCCCGCTCTTCAGCGCCGGCATCGACGCGCACGTGATGCCCAGGCTCGACTCGATGATGGTGAGCGCCAGCACCGGCCGCACCGCCCACGTCACGTCGTACGTCTCGAAGAAGACGCGGTGGATGACGCGCGTGCGGATGACGCCGCAGATGCAGGTGCTGTGTCGTGGCGGCGGTTGCTGGTGTCAGCGCGGGGGGGAGGAAAACGAGGGTTGGGAAGTGGGTGGGGGGGATAGGCGTACAGGAGCCCAAGACTGAACACGAGGCCCAGCGCGAACTTGGCGCGCCGCGAGATGCGCAGGTCCCAGAACAGCGCCATGGGCAGCACGCACGCAATGAAGTCCTGCAGCACGCTGATGGCGCCCGCCGTAATCATCTTGGCGCCTTCGTTGATGCAGTGGTATTCGTGGCTCGTCCGCCACACTGGGCTGGCCTTCCACCAGTACGCCGCCGTGGGCCTGCATTCGAGCGGCATGGCGACGATGAAGGCGAGCGTGTACGCCGTGATGAAGACGATGTTGACCCAGATGGTCCGTTTGAACCAGGTGCGCACTTCGCCGATGCGTCGGTAGAAGTAGAGTATCGACACTTTGGTGAGCCCCGTGCTGGCGAGGTAGAGGATGGAGATGGCTAGGATGAACTGCCAAGGAAGGTGATGCATCAGCCAGTGCGCATGGGGAAATCGCACATGCGAGCGAGTACCTTTCTGCTGTTGACGGCCATGTCTGCCGTCAGATCCCAAGCGTGACGGTCGAATCCATGTCTTTCGGCTTGGGGAGACGTCAGTCCGATGGGCAGTGGCTTTCTTCCCGCTGGAACCAGACTTACCGAGGCATATTGAAACGCAAAGGGCGACGTTCGGAATCTGCATCATCAAGTCAACACCAGCCTCTCCTCGAGTCTGTTTGCTCGACGTACCAGGGCGGCTACGATCAGGACATCGTCGAGACCTGCATTGTGCCGAGAAAACACACGGTCGTGCAGTCGTGCCAGAACGGTGCAGAAAGCAAGGACAGTAAAGACAATGCTGATGGTGGTCAGACTTTGCCTGGCCCGGATGCCGTGTGGAAAGGCGTCCGTCTGCCAAGCCTCCACCAGCTCCAACGGAGCCACTGGGCCGCCGGGCATGGAGAAAACGACGGGTTTGCGCGTGTGACGGTGAGTTGGGTATCGACACGAGTCGGGCCTTCTTGAGGAGTAGGTGAAATCGGACAAGCAGCACGAACCTTGCTTGTGTAACATGAGGTTGGCCTCTTATTATCTTATCCATCAGGAAATCATGGCACCTACCAGCTTGCCCTTGAGCAGGACTGCCCCTTCTTCATGCGTACCGCAGGCATTGTAGTCCTGCAGCTAAGCCGGAGTTTACGTGGCTTGCAGATGATCTACACTCGATATCGTGTAACGGGATGTGAGATCTATGGTGGACAACGGTATAGTCGCACTATTGACCTCATCCGCGGCCGGCAAGGCCTCGGCAGGTCCAGATGGCTTCGGCTCCTGGGCTGTCAAAAAGTCTAAATGAGCTTATTCTGTCAGCCGTAGTGGCGGGGGCTGAGACTAACGCGTCGGTTATCGGAAAGTGCTGAGTACCATTGGTTGGTGTTGAAATGGGCGAACCGCTTGGGGAAAAGAGCAGACGGGACGGCTATCTCATCCCCTGCCTCTTTCCCGCCGCCCCGCGCGAGCCGCGACGACCGCTGGGTCTAGCAGGTTTCACCGTGAGTGTGGCTGTTCGTATAAGGAAAACAAAAACTTCCAACACAAACCGCCACCAAGATGACACCGCACGAGAGTGATTTCTGCTGGTGGAGCTCGTCCGATTTCTGGCGAGATTTGGCAGAAGCATCCGCTGCTGAAGTTGCCTTACACTCCACCAGTTCTCGCCGTGCTTCATCCCACAGGCACGGATGATATTCCCCATGAACAGCACTCGCCGACAAAGCGAAGACCTTGTCACGCGAATCGGCAGCAGAGCAGTTCCGCCTGTCTCGGAGGAGGTTGTGCAACAGATATGATGGTACCCGTTTGCCGAGTCCAATCTTGAGAGCTCCGAGGAGTGATGGCGTGTTGATGCAACTCAGTCCCGTTCGCAACCTCCTGCGAAATCCAGACTCTTGTGAACCAGAAACACGACACCTTTCACCATAGGTCTAAGCGTGTACGAAGCCGAACAGGCCATCCAGCCGCACGCCAATCAAACAAATAAGGACCTGTGTGGCGCCCGAGTAGATTCCCGGCATCAGGGCCACCTGGCGGTTTCGTTCAGACGTATCGCCCTGGTTGATGCAAGCTGATCCATCCAGATTGTTCGGGGTCGATCTGACAATCTGACCCTCTTCAACACCGCCCACGCATTTACCGTAACCGGACTTCCTCCAAAGTTGGACCCCACGACGGCCGAGTAGTCATTGTCGCCGTTCTGGTCGGCCCGGGTGGAAGACACGGCCTCGTACTGCGGACGCGGATGCGGCCAGCCCGTATGCGTTAATTACCTCGCAATGGACTATCTCGCACGTTATTGGTTCCGGGTACGAGGCTCCTCTCGGTTGGAGGATGGCGGGGCGGATTTATTTCTTGTCGGTGTGCAAGCGGACGTAGCAGTGTTTGAGCAGCGCTACGGGCGGCACTGCGGGTGGCGGTCGGCGCAGAGCACAGCTCGCCATTGAGGTCCACGTCGGCGTCGTCGCCACCGTCGGTGCTGCTGCCAAACGATCTCATCATCCTCGTCCGGCGGCGGCGATGACTGCGGCTGTGCTACGTTATTGTCCCGATGGTCTGGTAGTGCCGTCACTTCCCCGCAACCGAGGCAGAACTGGACGGTCCCGTTGTGGACTACGTCCGGGCGGAAGCAATGGCAACTCATTCCGCGGCTGGGGAATCCATGTCCGTTGCTCGTCTTGAAGCTTTCTTGGGGGTGCGAAAATGGAGTGCTGATCCTCGTGTGATGTGAAAGCGGGATCCCATCACATTACATGCTGTGGCCTCGGGGCCGCTCTGTCTATGGTTTGTCTGTTGATGAAACGAGGCGGTTCCAGAAGGTCAGGTCTCTTTTTTTTTTTTCTGTGCGGAGGGTTGTTGTCTGAGGGGTTGCTATGCGAAGGGAGCTATCCGCATCCGGCAACATGCCCGAAACCTTGCAACACAAGAATACCTTGGGAACAAGATTCCGAGAATTTTCTGAAAATCCTTTTGCGCACAGGGAGCTGGGAACACTGTACTGAAAACAAGCTTCGCCACAATATGGGCCTAGAACACCCAGGGGAACCGCCATCGTGTACTACAGTCTACCAATGGATATCTACCCGACGTCGTGAGGGCTATAGGAAAGGAAGGTACGAGTGTTCTCCCCATGAATCCGAGCATCACCCTGGCAATCTGTGGAAGTAATGACATCTCTGACGTTAATCTTCCCGCAGTCAATTTCGCTGGGTAAGAACACTCAAGGCTTCCACGCAAAATGGAGACGGATGCTCATGTAATAAATGAGTACCTCTTGCCATTGTTGCATTAGCCAGTAACGTTGACACACTGGAGAGATGCCGAAATTCAGACTTGCATGAGAATGCTCATTTGATCCAGTAAAGCGAGGAATGTCTTCTGTTGCAATATAGATCCTTCGGCGGTCTATATAAGCCCTTACCTAGCACACTACCCTCGCTCCTCATGCCACTCCCAGCCAGCCGAAAAGCACTTGCCATAACATCATTTGGTCGAGACCGAATCATGCAGGGTAAAGGCATACTATATAAGTTCCTGATATAGACTATGATGCAGACTTTACATATAATCCATCAGCGCAGTCAGGACATGATGTTTTTCGCCAGTGGCGTTGCTCAAATATTCGGCCGTGGGTTCTCGCTAGTGGTATACGGAAAGGTACGGAGCTGTCATACATCCAGAGCATCCGAATGACAGGAGCACTTCTTGAAGCGAGGTGGAAAGAACCTGCAAGCTTTCAGATTCCCATGTAGCCTCCTCTGCGTCTTCTTTGAGGTAAAACAAATAGAGTCGAATTTTGGATCCAACAATGACATTTTGGTGCGGAAGTTATTCATAAGAGTTTTCCAAAGCATGCAGCCAGTGACTGTCAACTAATCGTCTGGAAAATGGCCCTTATGACTAGAAACTGTACTATGACTTTTCAGTTGTGAGAATGTCTGCTTAAAAGTATACCTAAGGCTCCAGACGACCACACTAGGAACAATGCCGGCACTTAGTCCCAAAAAGCAGTAGCCTGTTGGCCTGGCTAGGGAGCATTGGTTCCAAAGAGGTTCAATCAAGCGAGACAGATGAGTCGGGTGGATGCATTGAATTCTGGAATCTGGAGAGTAGTGGGATTTTCGCACTTGAAGTCTAGGATGTGAGAAGAGGTGGATGGAGTGGGGTAATCAGAGACGCTGTGTTACAATGCAAACTGTAGCCTGGGGGCTATCTTTTGTTAGTCTCGTCTCGGCGTAAATCAGCGTTTCTGGGTGGCTGAATTTGGTTCTAACCCTTGTCGGAGCGGATCCACTACTAACAGAAGATACGCTTCGGATCACAGTATGGACCCCAACCACCAATAGAAACGCCGCCTGAAGCGTCATCGGGTAGAACGGCAGGCAATAAAGCGCTTATGGCTCCGCTGTCTGCCGATAGGTTTAATACTAGTCTCGCTACTATCTATCTATAAATATATCGTAGCTTGCCTACTCTCGAGATCTCCTGTTGTAAAGAAATTGCTTTTAGCTAGCTTCTCACCCTCGTCCCTACTTTTACCAACTTTTCCAGAGTGTATCTATACATACCGTAGTCATCACAGCGGCAGGACCTTTTACAGTTTCGGAGTGTATTATACGATCTCGGCTATAGCGTGTTATTCCTCTCGGTCAAGTAATTCTTTTTCTGCCTACTTTAGCCGCAACTTCGGTCAAAAATGACCATCTCTTACTGACGAACCTCACAGCTATCCACCTAGACAGTTCAACAAGATGAGCCCGAAATCTAGCAGTGCAGACAGTGAAGCCCTCAAGTTGTCTGAGATCTCAAAGATGCTCCATTGTTTCGAATGTACATCGCTGGGTCCATCTGAGGAAGCTGGGCTGTGTCCTATGTGCTCTCGGATTCGGCATTTCTGGACCTGTTTCAGGTTGTTCTGGAACCCGAAGCGTCCTAAATTTATCCCCATTGGAGACGTCCACAGCATTCAGAATCGCCCATTCTGCGACCTGTGTTCCTTGATCGCTTTCAGCATTTCGAAGCACACTGAACCGCTAAATCTAGGCGGTGGGATCGAGATCAATTGGACGACCTTCCAGGTGTCCATCCTATCTGTCGACAAACGGGGTCGCCAAGATATGACTCTGGTGATCTCAAGTCCTCGACTCAGGCTATCGTTCACGATCGAGGTGAACTTACTGGGAATTCGGAGAACAAGCGATCGCATCCTCAAGCAGAGAGAAGCGATGATACATCCCAAAATCGATATATCTGTGAAGAAGAAAAGAGAAGAGCCACTAGTCAAGAACACGGTCGACTGGGAGAGATTGAAAGTGTTGTTGAGCGAATGCACAACAAGGCATGAAGCCTGTTCGAAAACCATGATTAGACATCTCCCGCGGAGTTTCCGGCTGATTGATGTTCATCAAGAGTGTGTCGCTCTTACCGCTGGAGACAAGCAGTATGCTGCTCTAAGTTACGTTTGGGGAACAGGTGGGGATGCGTCAAAGAGCTCGCTGTTGAAAGACACTAAAGCAGCACTTGAAACTCCTGGAGGAATGAGAATAGTCCAAGGACGATACGAGACGCCATGACAGTCTGCAAGAGGTTGGGCTTTCAATATCTCTGGGTGGATCGTTTCTGCATCATGCAGGATGACTTGGATGACAAGAAAAGTCAGATTGATTCCATGGCCTCGATATTCTCCCTGGCCACGGTGACGATCGTTGCGGCCGCCTGCGAAAACATGGATTCGCCAATGCCTGGAGTCAGCTTTCAACGCGAAGAACATCAACGCCAAGTCTAGATGGCCGATGTCCGATTCACTAGCACACTTCCCGATTTTGGATTGGCAATGGAGGGTACGAAATGGTCGGAGAGAGGGTGGACGTATCAGGAAGACGCCCTTTCTCCCAGAAGGCTCTTTTTCCTGAACTCAGAGGTATGGTTCGAGTGCCAGGAAATGATGTATCGCGAGGACCCATATTCTGCTGGCCATAATCCCCAGGTCTTGAGGAACGGGTGTTTGACTAGCAGAGAATCTACTCGGCTGCGGAAAGATAGTTCTATTCCTCCGGGGGACTTCCATAGACACCTCAGTGCATACGCAGAGAGATCCCTTACCTACAAGTCGGATATTTACTACGCCTTCTCGGGAATAATCAATGCTCTCTTTCCGAGATCTCCAGCCAGCTACGGGCTACCACACTTGGCATTCCACGAAGCGATACTCTGGGGAGTTAAAGAAGGAAGATTAGTTCCACGCATTCGCGAGCGAGATCGCGATGATGACTCCACAATTTTGCCATCCTGGTCTTGGGTTAGTGTGTTCGGGAGCGTGGAAGACCATTCCAGCTCATTGGTGGCACCTCTCGTGGACTGGTTTGAAACGGGCACATCCGTCGGCATCAGTCCAATCATCGCAGCCAAGACACCCCGTGGTTGGGAAAGAGGTGTTCTCACTGACTGCTTTCCGCTTTTTCTTGCACTTGCTTGGTCAAACGGGTGCTTCGACGCCCCGTCACGGAATATTCTTCCGGAGAACTTCGACTTCAAGCATGACAAAACGAAGGAAGAACTCTGGGCTCGCTGGCCGAATGTCGAGTCATTCTGGAGAGAGTGTCACCAAGACAGAGGGTCAAAAGACAGTCTGTTGCTCTGGGATTGTGCATCTCCTGGGGTCATCATTTGCCGCGCTCAAACAGCCTTTTTCAAACTAAAGCCTCACCCGGAACACAAATTTTGCATACAGCAGGGGCTCCTTTTGGACATTGTAAACGAAAATGGAATGGAGATTGGGCAAGTTGGAAGTTCCGAATTTCAACTCAAGTCAGGTCGCAAGATGGAAGGGCCGGATCTGGAGCGAAAATTCGAATTCGTGGCGGTTTCAACGTCAACATACGCACAGTGGCTAGCTTGTGACAGACTATGGCATGGACCTACAAGATCATCCTTGGAGTGGTTCGGGAACTGGATTGTAGAGGTTCCGGTAGTAAATGTCTTTCTTATCGGATGGCGAGAAGATGTTCCCACTGCTCGTCGGATGAGCATTGGCTGGATTTACCTTAAGGCCTAGGTTGATTCTGAGCGGAATTGGAAACAAGTGGCTTTAGAATAGCTAGTCGGTACTCAAAGTTGAAAGGACCTGCTCCAATAGAATACTGGGTTGCTTTTAGCAACATGCCTTGCTGGATGGGCTTGACTTCTACTTCTTCAAGTAGTTCGGTGCGGAACCGTCGCTCAAGCATGGTTTGAATATACATACCAGTGAATTCTCGACGCAACGGCCCGCTGCGGCCCGACCCGGCATCATCATCAACCCCGCACCACCATTTTGCGACGCTTTCTTTGCATTTAATTCCCTGCCATTCCGAGTAAGCTTGCTCGTGGAGATTGACCTCGCTGCCGAAGAGGATCGCTGCCTGTTTCGGCCCCCCCATGCTCTAAATACCCGACACCGTGGGGGCGATGCATGCATGCTGACGATGACGACGCATCCGGCTCTCCCGCATACATAAATATATATATCTCACACCACCACCAACAGGAGCCTCCCCTCTATCCCACTCCATCCCCATCCCCCCTTTCCGCCATGGACCACCTCCGCCGCCTCATCCCACCGCGCTTCATCCCCCCCACCACCAGCGCCCCGCCGCGCAGCTACCCCCCCATCCTCCTCACGACATCCGCCGCCGTCCTCGCGGCCCCGCTGATCATCTACCTCTCCATCCTCGACTACCGCGAATTCCTCGCCCTCGGCCCCGGCGGCGTCCCGTACAACCTCCTCGGCTGGGCCGGCATCACGCTGCTGATCCGCCCGTTCGCGCTCAGCAAGGCGCAGGCGACGCGGACGGACGACTATCCGCAAGATGATGGCGCGGTGAATGCGGAAATGCTGGGGCTGCCGCGGAGGCGGGGCGAGCGGGCCAGGGTGGGCGGGATCGCGCCGCACAGGCAGTTGGACCAGTTTGCTGGGGAGGGAATGGGGGAGGTGAGTGCGGCCCCCGTCCGTCCGTAGCGGCGTTGGTGGTGGTGTTGTGTTGACGAGGGCCGGGGTGGTGCCATGTGTAGTTTATTCGGAATCTGTTTGCCAACGCGGCGGTGCAGAACCCGCGCTTGCTCGAGACGAAGACGTCCCTGTACGAAAGGCACAACGACGCGTTGTTCGTACGCGCGGAGCTGCTGCGTGGGGATGCGGCGGGGCGGGAGCTGCTCCCGCGCGCGGCGCTGATGTCCGGCGGCGAGATCGGACACGTGCACGGGGATCTGTCGGTGCATTTGTACCTCGCGCCGGCGGATGCCCGGGTGTTGATCGAGAAGGGCTGGGCGGAGCGGCACCGCATGGCTGTGCCCATGGGGTCGCTAGTGAAGAGGGTTATCCCGATTTTTGGCAGGATTGCCGATACGTTTTTGATGTTTTATGGGCCAAGGGATGAGGAGGAGATGGAGGTGTTGCAGACGGTTCTGACGAATAGCATTCGCTTCATGACAGGGAGGGACGACTTCGCGGTGCCCGAGTGGAGGGTGAGGGTGAGCCAGTGAACTGTGGTTTTGTCGTCCATCTCTCCTCTCTACGGTCATCTCCCGCTCAATCCATATGCTTTAGCCATCATAGATATGTAGAATCTCCCGCTCAATTGATTTGCTTCAACGATACGTGACTTGAACTAAGCGGTGGTGTAGCTTGTGGGAATTGAGTTGGTGATGAGGTAAAAATACATTAGTGATTGGCAGTCACTGACGAGTGAGGATAGCGACGTGTTTCGGACGAGGGTGATGGCTCGAGGATGGTGGCTCGAGGAAGATGGCTCGAGGATGATGACCAAGCTAGGCACCCGTAAGGCCACAAGGCGCGAGTCAACTAAGCGAGGCTTAGCGTGTGTTTAGCGCCGGGTGGGGCTTGGCGCGGTCGGGCTTGGCGCGTCGCGCGACCTCTTAACCCGTGCGACCTTCGACCCGCAGCCTCGACTCAACACCATCTGCGTCATCAACCACCCACACCGCATCGCGCTTCGCCCATCGCTCATCATGCCTGCGCTTCGCTGTTGACGCGTCTCGGCCACAGCCAGCATCCCAGTCCTTCGCAGCGCGACGGAACCAACGCGGTCAGTCGCCTCCACATGCGCCGGTAGGGGCCTGAAAAGGTCGCCGGGCTCGTCAGCGCAGCGCCGCACCAGAACCGACCCGAATTTGCCAGCAGACCATGCTGCGTGCACTCCAACGAGGGTCTGTAGGGGCCTGAAAAGGCTGCCGGTGCGCAAATCGACGCTTCTGACGGCCCTGTTGCATGGCGGCGCCGTGCCTCTGGACCGCCTCTGGACGCTGAGTCAAGGCTGCTCTAAAGCCTGGGCGGGTGGGATTCTCGCCGCTGAAAACGCGCCGAGGGCTATCATTATACTCCTTTGTGGACTATTTATTGCTGACTGTCCTACCGGTGCCATGACTAGACCGCCATCCCCTCCCTCGCCGGAGATGCAGCATCTTGCTGACAATGCGCCTGTGCTCGTACAATGGAAGTCCACCTGCAGCAGCATCGCCTACCTAGGCTGCGAGCTCCCCACATCATCCAGCCAAGTCGCGGCAAACATCAAATATGACGCGTCGGAGCGGACCTGCTCATTCCGCCTCCGCGTGCCAGTCGGCCTTAAAGAGCCGGCGGGGAAGAAGGCACACCTGTACCTATTTCTATGTCCCGACCAGATCCACTCGATAGACAACCCAGCCGACAACGCCCCTCAGCCCGGCACCAATATCCTAGTTGCGAAGACCAAGGCGTGCACCTCGCCCGATGATGTGGTTGCACTTAGAATTCAACTCAAGCAACCCATGACGGCCGTTGGCCCTGTTGGACTTAAGCAGCTCGCACCGAACAAGGCAGCGTCCGGCCGCATTCTAGAAGCCGTGCATTCGCTCCTGTCTGCCACTGATTTGACTATCCACCTGCCCAAGAACAACAACTCGTATCAATTTGAACAACTTTGTCAACAAGCCAGCGATGGCGCCCTACGCCCCCGTGCCCATGACTATGCCCTTGACATGCTCTACGGTGGCTCGGGCGGCGAAGACGTCGGCCATCTCCTGGCTCAATTCGACAAAGAAGTCCCTCCCCCGTACGATGCGCCAGCCTCGGCATCAACAGCAACAGCCTGCCCCACTGCCGACCCGCTGGACCCCAAGCCTCCGCGTTCTTTAAAACGTGAGTCCCCATATGTCTAACTACCGCTTCACCTGCACCGTTCCCGGTCGTCCCAGGTGCCCAAATATCCCGTCCTGTCCATCGGACTAGACCTAGACCCCATACGCTTATACGTATCCCATAGGCCCAGCATCCCCAACCACAACCACCCACACCTCATCCGCATCCGCCCCCGCCCCCAAATCCGCCCGAACCAAGTCCCCAACCCCTCCACCAGCTCCACTTCCTCATCAAGCCCCCGACAACAACGCTTCTCCTTCGACGACGACGACGACGACAACGGCGCTAGACGTCGACGCCCGCATCACCACCGCCCTACAGCCCTGGCACTTGCGCCTCTCCTCCCTCGAGCACGACCTCTGCGCTCTCCGCAGCGAAATCGCCCTCAGCGGCGCCGTCAACGCCGTCGACGACGACGCGCCGCCCACCAGCCCCACCGAAGATGACCGCCTGGACGCCTTCGACGCCGAGATACGCGCGTTGCGGGACGACGTGAGGCGCGTCGAGAGGCTGTTGCTGCGGCAGGAGTCCTTGCGGCGGAGCGGCGAGGCGAGGGTGTTGAGACGGCTGGAAGAGAGGTTCGGCGACCGGATGGACGAGTGGGAGGAGAAGACGAAGGGGGAGGTGGAGGGGGAGGTGGACGAGGCGTTGGACGGGAAGCTGGTGGATTGGAAGGTGGAGATGAGGGATTGGATCGGGGAGGAGCTGAGGGGGGTGGTGGAGGAGGGGCTGCAGGGGGTTGTGGAGGAGGTGTTGGAGAGGAGTAGGATGAGGGTGGAGATCGTTCATGAGTGATGATGTGGGGTGAATTCTGGGACTGAGTGTGGGTGATGTGCAGCGGGGATGCTCGTTGCTTCAACGCACCGCGTCAACGTCGTCATGACACGTCAAATCTTCGTGGTCTTGACAAAAGGCGATCCCTTTAGCATTGCAGATGAAGCCATTGTCTCTACCATCGGCAGTGCCGCCGACCATTTTCCACCGCTTCGGTACCGAGCTTATTGTAGCGAAATTCGCCATTACATCGCTGGTCTCCCAGTTCACTTGTACACTACTTCTCCGGGACATTAAGTTGCAGAGTCTATCTGGTTACTGAACCCAGCGCGAAGTAGGTGCCGGGTTCGCTCTCCCCGAGTACGTCGCACGTTCGCCTCCAGGTGTTCCAAAAGATGACAACTACTGGCAAAGATCTCCTCAAGGCTTCTTCGCCGTGAGTATGTGGGTACGGAGCTGGATTCTAACAATCCAACCATACAGAATTTCTGTCTCGTAGCCTTGAAATTCAAGATCTCAATTTTTGAGAGGAGCACCGTCACTTTTCTTACATTCAAGGCTCCGTTCAATATTAACATGCCGCACCATGCCAGTCTCCAGGCAATCGAGTTGCAGAATATGTCGCGGGGCCGTCTTGGCAGTCAGCAGAATCCCACTTGAATCCTACTTGATTTGTAATACGCATCATGACCTGATAAACCCGACGAAGCAGAGAAGACGTTCAAAGGAAATTTTACGGAAAGCTTCATGTGGTAAAGGTTCCACTACGGTACATTAACGGCGCTCCTCCTCAATCAACCATGGCATCAATCAGAAGCACCGCAATCGCTCCAGGCGCGACGGTCCTTGTCACTGGAGTGAATGGATTTGTTGGCTCCCATGTGGCCAATCAGCTGCTTGAACACGGTTACAGAGTGCGCGGCACGGTAAGGGAGATTCAGAAGAGTAATTGGATGGTAGACTTCTTCGAGAAGAGCTTTGGTCCAGGGCTGTTCGAGCTGGTCGAAGTTCAAGCCATGACCAACGATGGCGCATTCGACGAGGCTTTGAGCGGTAAGTCGCAGCTCCGCACATGATGACCAGAGAATTTGAACCAACCAACAAATCTTGCAAAAAGGAGTCGCAGGCGTAATTCACGTTGCATCGCCCGTCAGTCTGGATCCGGACCCAAGCAAAGTCATCCCGATCGCTGTCGACAGCACCCTCAACATACTCAAGTCCGCAGCACGAGAGAAGACGGTCAAGCGCTTCGTCCTCACGTCTTCCTCCTCCGCCGTGACAGTTGCAAAGCCGAACGAGCGTGCGGCCATCACCAAAGACACATGGAACGAAGAGGCCGTCCAGATGGCAGGAAGCCTACCGCACGACCTATCAGACTTGGAGAAGGGCTTCATCGTCTACGCAGCTAGCAAAGTCAAAGGCGAGCAGGCCATGTGGGAATGGGTGAAGCCGAACGAACCCAGCTTGGTAGTCAACTCAGGTAAGCCGGAGCTATTCCCGGGCGCAGAGTAATCGTGCTCAGATCAGGCGTAGTGGTCCCTGGCGGCAACTTTGGCCGGATCCTCAGCCCCGAGAACCAGGGCTTCCCGTCGACGACTATGTTGGCGGCGGCGCTATACAACAGTGATGAGGATCTCATCAAGACCTTCGTTACATCCTACCCTCCAGGTGCGTAACCCACGGCGCTGTAAGGATATCGCGTGACCTTCTGTACATAGAATGGTTTGTCGACGTTCAAGACAACGGACGTCTCCACGTCGCCGCTCTCACGCATCCCGACGTGTGCGGGGAGCGCGTCTTCGCGTGTGCCTCTCCATACAACTGGAACGACGTCCTTAGCTCTCTGCGAGAGTTGTATCCGGCAGGGACGTTTATGGATTATGTGGCTGGACTGTGGGATGACTTGACCACTTGTGAGCCCGCTAAAAGAGCTGAGGCGCTGCTGGTTGAGATGGGGCGGCCAGGATTCATTCCTTTGAGTCAGAGTTTGAAGGACACTTTCGAAGGCTGCTAACGTTGTTTGGCATTCTCCAGTACCACAAGGATGTTGCCTGAGTAGTCTACGGTATCGGATATCCAGACTTTGAGATCGTTGTGAGTTTTGTGGACAATTTCGGCAGTATCTATGATGCTGAGAAATTCTACACTGGGTGATGAAGAAATTGAACTACGACGATTGGTTAAAGCAATGCGACGTTGATGACGGTCCAAACGAGCTTGTTTTGCTAGTAGCAAAGCAGGTATCCAGGTGCAGGTGGCACTACTAAAACTACATGAATCATTTTGGGAATCAGTCACTGAAGGTGGATTTCAAGAGGCAACAAAATGGTGGTGTTGGCTTGGCTCGATAGCGCAATGCTTCGGCGGCTTTGCGCCATCCCTACTAAGATCAGCGGCCGACGCTCAGATAGCCGTGATTAGCTGTGTTATCGTGCAGCCCCACTGCCACTAAGGTAGATAAGTCGCTCGACCAGCCCTATATTTCCTCTCACACAGGCAGCATGGTACGCGCAAAAACAGTCGCCGTGGTGGGCGCTGGCCCCGCTGGAGCCATCGCGATTGATGCACTCGCCCAAGAAAAAGCATTCGACCTGATCAGGGTGTTTGAGCGTCGCGACAGGCCCGGAGGATGCTGGTGAGTTTTTCACTTCGCGTGTGGACACGGCCTGCATGGATTGAATGAAAATCGCAACAGGGTCGCGGACAAGGCGCCTCCACCAAATCTGCAGAGCCTGGGAGCTCTTGCCAAACGCAGCGCCGATCCTCCACCGGATCTGCCACCTACCCTTCCAGCACGGACGCCAAAATCCCCGCCCCAGCGCTTTTCTGAGTCCTCCATTTACCCTTACCTCGAGACCAATGTTGCGGCATTGGCAATGTCCTTCTCCCAGGAGCCAATCCCCGAGGTTCGCTCCGAGTGGTCCGTTGCTGCACATGGGGCCGACACTCCTTTCAGGCACTGGACAGTGATGCTGAAGTACATTACCGATCTCATCCAGAGGCACGGCTATCAGGACTATATCGAGTACGGTACAGCTGTTGAAAGAATCGAGAAGGTGGGAGACAGGTGGAAAGTCACCCTCAGGAAAGCAGGCGAAGAGAGTGACTATTGGTGGGCCGAGTACTTTGACGCAGTTGTGGTTGCGAGCGGACACTTTCATGTGCCTTACGTTCCTGACATTAAAGGTCTTGAGGACTTTGAGCTGCAGCGACCCGGCAGCGTCCTCCATTCCAAGATGTACCGGGGGCGTGAGGCATTTCGCGGCAAGGTTTGTTGACCCCACTGAAGCGCGGGCAGGTGCTGACAAGTTCCAGCGGGTTGTTGTGGTAGGGGCTTCCGTGTCTGCAGCCGATATCGCGGTTGATCTTGTGGGGACAGCGCAGTCACCAGTGCATGCGGTGGTCAAGGGCCACAACGCCAACATCTACTTTGGGGATGTTGCGTTCAAGCATCCAAAGATCAAGGAGCAGCCGTCCATCTCGCGGATTGTCACGTCGGGCGGCTCTCGGACTGTCTACTTCGAGGATGGCGGACAGATCGAAGACGTTGATCACATCATCTTCGGCACCGGATACTCATGGTCGCTGCCATTCCTACCCGACGTGGAGGTGCGCAACAACCGCATACCTGGGTTGTATCAGCATGTCGTGTACCAGAAAGACCCGACGCTGCTATTTGTTGGCGCTGTAGGTTGGGCTCGCGCACAACCATCGACTCGGATGCGCTAACGTGTCCCAGGTAGGAGCAGGGTTGACGTTCAAGATCTTCGAGTGGCAGGCGGTGCTGGCAGCCAGGATCCTGGCCGGGCGGGCGACATTGCCGCGTCTTGAAGAGCAGCAGAAATGGGAGGCTGATCGCATCGCGGCAAGAGGGGATGGCGGGCGGTTCACGCTCGTATTCCCCGAATTCGAAGACTACTTCGAGACAGTGCGTGCTCTCGCCGGGCCAGGCGTCGAAGGCAGTGGAAGACAGCTGCCAGAGTTCGACCAGGCGTGGGTTGAGGAATTCATGGCGGGGCATGAGCGACGCAAAGCTCTGTGGGAGCGGTGGAATGCAGAGGCCAGGGGCGCCGGCGGATTGCAGCAGGCCACGCTGTAGGTAGATGGTTGGTGGAGAGGGCGAGACAGGTGCAAGCGAAGAGCGGCGGAGAGCGGCGGAGAGCGGCGGAGAGCGGGGGGAATCTGGTTGCCGCTGGCCCGTGCCTCAGGCTGGAATGTCAAGCGCCCCCCCGGCACCAGTTGCAGCCTGCCGGAGCGGAGCAACCGTTCCCGCGGCCCACACCAGGGCTTCGCTGTCTCAGCTCGAGTCAATCCTGCCGTTTCAACACGTCTGCAAACTCGGCCGCCTGAGAGCTTCAGGGTCCGCATCGGCGCTCCTCGGCACTGTTTCCCGCCGATCCCGTAAAGCCCATGGTGGCCTCAACCTCAACCCCGCCCCGCTGCATGCGAGAGCAACAACCCCGCCGCTGTCTTCGCGCCTAGAATCAGCAATCAATTCAATCTACTCTCCTGGCTGACCTGCCATTCCGTCGCGTGTGTTGATGTGCGCAGATCTGGAGGTGATGAGCTGGCCGATCGTCAATCATCGTGAGGATTTACCGCTCGCCATGCAGGTACAAGAGAAGTCGCTGTCCATCCCGGAGTTCCCCGGGCCTTCTGACCGGTCGTGAAACTATCTGTACCCACGCCTTCGTACCGAAGAAAGTGCTGCGCTGGCCTGGTGCTGGAATTCGGCATGGCGCTCCACATATAAAAAGTGGTGCGTGAGCCTCTCACCGCCCTTAGGACCTATCCCTCAAGCAACCTGGCTCTTTGCTCCGATCAACATCGCCATGGCCGTCTCCGATGCTGAAAATGCTCGCCCCGACGACGTTGCCATCGTTGGCCTTGCTTTCCGTGGCCCCGGTGATGCTTCGAGCCCCGAGAGGCTCTGGGACCTGCTAGTCCACGGCCGCTCCGCCTTCTCCGCCGTGCCGGGGACCAAGTGGTCCCACGAGGGCCATTACCACCCCTCCCCAGCAAGAGGGGGGAGCACCTCTGTCAACGGTGGCCATTTCCTCGACACTACCCAAGATGGATCCAGGTTTGATGCAGCTTTCTTCGACATGTCCAGGGCCGAGGTGCTCTCCATGGATCTGCAGCAACGCATCGTCTTGGAAAGCGTTTACGAGGCCATTGAGAACGCCGGTTTCACTCAGGAAAAGGTGCGAGGCTCGAAAACGAGTGTCTTCGCCGCCGCTACCAATGACGATACTCGCGCCCTTCTTGCCATGGATCCCGACCTTGCTTTGGAATACAAGCACACGGGGACTTCGCAATCCATCATCGCCAACAGAGTCAGCTGGTTCTACGATCTCAGAGGGTGCAGTATGACCCTTGACACGGCATGCAGCAGCAGCCTGGTGGCCTTGCACACGGCTTGTGCCGATTTGCGCCAGGGCCAATCTACAATGGTTTGTGTTTCACTGGAACTTCTTTTCGACCGCCATACTGACCGTCTAGTCAATCGTTTGTGGCGTCAATGTCGTTGAAAACCCAGAGTCGATGTACAGCATGGATCATGGGTGAGTTGTCACGTCCACTTGCCTTTACCGGCACATTCTGACTCTTCAGTGGCCTTCTCTCGCCCGACGGAATGTGCTTTCCATTCGATTATCGTGCAAACGGATTCTCTCGTGGTGAAGGTGTCGGTGCAGTCGTTCTGAAGCCTCTCCAAGCAGCCGTCCGCGACGGCGATACTATTCGCGCTGTCATTCGTGGGACAGGTAATGATTACGGAACGCTTTCCTTGCAGTGAACCGGGACTGACCATGTGACAGGTGTAAACCAGGTCGGCCGTGGCGAAGGACGACTGACCTTGCCCAGTCAGAAAGCTCAAGAAGAATTGATTCGACAGGTGTACGAGTCTGCCAAATTGGATCTCAACACAACCGCTTTTGTAGAGGCCCATGGTGTTGGCACCCCTACTGCTGATGTGAAAGAAGCGGGGGCCATCTCTAGCGTTTGGAAAGACCGACCGGAACCGCTCTATGTTGGAGCCGCAAAAGCGAACCACGGCCATCTCGAAGGTGCTTCGGGCATTGCCTCAATCATCAAGGTTGTTTTAGCTTTGGAGAGCGGCATTATTCCCCAGAACGTCAACTTCGAAAAAGCGCACCCTCACATCGACACTGAGACGTGGAACATTAAATTTCCTCTGGCAGCAACACCCTGGCCTTTGCAAGGCGTCAGGAGGGCTTCCGTGAATTCCTTTGGGTTCGGCGGTACTAACGCACATGTGGTGCTTGACGATGCGTACAACTATCTTCGAGAACGTCAGCTACGTGGAATCCACCGGACAGAAATCTCCGAGAGCCGCAGAACGTCGACGAGTGGAGGCTTGGAAGACCGCCCCAAATACAGGATCTTTTCCTGGTCGGCCAAAGATCAAGACGGCATCAGAAGATGTCTTTCGGCCTACTCGCAGCATCTGTCGTCTCTGTCGACTGACAGACCGCATGCATACCTTGGCGACTTGGCTCACACCCTCGCTGAAAGACGTTCTCGCTTCCCATGGGGCTTCGCTGCTGCCGCCGAGTCTGTCGAGGAATTGAATGAGGCCATTTCGAACCCATCTGGAGTACTCCGTCCAAAGGAAACCCCCCGTGTCGGCTTCCTGTTCACGGGGCAAGGGGCACAGTGGTACGCAATGGGAAGGGAACTTCTCTCCTATCCTGTGTTCAAGGAGTCGGTCGAGCTGGCAAGTGACTTCATCGCCTCGTTGCGCTGCCCGTGGAGCGTGTTCGATGAATTGTTGAAGAGTGAGGAGGAGAGCAGGATGCACGAACCCTACATCGCGCAGACATTGTGCACTGTGATCCAAATTGCTCTTGTAGACCTCTTGTCGTCATGGGGAATCACACCTGCCTACGTTCTCGGCCATTCTACAGGAGAACCCGCGGCTGCCTACTGTGCAGGTGCTTTGGACCAACCCAGTGCGTGGAGGATTTCGTACTACCGTGGCATGATTGCTTCGAGACCGGCCTCTACAAAGGGAAGCATGCTTGCAGCACTATGGGCCTCTGCGAGCGATGCGAATAGCAGCAGATACCGTTCCCTGATCGGTGACCTTTCGGCGGGAAACCCGGTCGAGGGCAAGGATGTTGAGATTTTTTCCTCCATCACCGGCCAGAAAATTGGCGTTGCGGAAATGAGCCAACCGGACTACTGGATCGAAGCCTTGCAGGCGACGTCAAAGTTCGACGACGCTTTGCAGTGTCTGTGTTCAACTTTGGTTAACGATGGTTCGGCATCATCGAAGCTCGTAGAGATTGTGGGTAACGATGCTATTGCACCTCGCACGGAAGCTGACCAAGTTAACAGGGACCTACCTCGACGTTCGCAAATTCTCTCGAGGATGCTGTGGCCGATGAGCCCGCTTTCGACAAGATCGGATACCAGACAGTGTTGCTGAAGAACAAAAGTGCCGCAGCTACTCTGCTATCTACAGTTGCCGCGCTCTTTGCAGACGGCCACCCTGTAGATCTTGAGAGGATCAATCATGGCGACGAAGACCCCGAGCTCTTGGTGAATCTCCCTCCTTACGCCTTTGATCACAGCCAAGAGCTGTGGTGCGAGAGCCGAAGGAGTCAAGGTTGGCGCTTCCGGAAATGGCCCCGCCACGACATTCTAGGAGCACCGGTGCCTGACTGGAATCTTAACGAACCCCAGTGGAGGAACTGCATCCGCCTTTCAGAGCTCCCTTGGCTCAAAGACTATAAGATCACTGGCCATGTGGTCTTTCCGGGAGTTGCATTCTTGGCCATGGCCATCGAAGGCGTTACACAACTAAGCTCAGGGAAAGGGGAGATCACCGGCTTTGACTTGCGGAACGTCGTCATCTCCCACGCTCTTCTGCTTGAAGAGGATCGAGAAACGGAAGTGATGCTCTCCATGCGGAAATCTTCCTCGGGAGTCGATGCTGCTTGGGATTTCTCCGTCTTCGGCTACAAGCACAACACTTGGCTTGAGTGTTGTCGAGGCTCGGTTGCGGTTGAACTGGCATTCACAACCGGCCCTGTCGATGCAGGACGTGAAATGACCGAGCACAAGAAGCACTTCAGAGAAATCCTGGACCAGTGTGAAGTCGCGTGTCAAAGCAAGAGAGATATCCGCCGCCAGTATGCCGAGCTCGAGCGAGTTGGGCTTGAGTTTGGACCTCTGTTCCAGAACCTCACAGAGGTCAAGTGCGGAGATTCCGACGGTCCCACCGGCCAGGCTATCGCCAGTCTCCGCATCCCGGATGTTGCCAGTTGCATGCCATGCAGCTACCTTCAACCTCATTTCATTCAGCCCGCGACCCTGGACAGTTTGACCCATATGATTCCGTTCGCTTTGCAGGGCGCAGCTGGCGCAGTTACCATGAGAGAACCGTCTGTTCCGATATCCCTTAAAAGCGTCTGGATTTCTGCCCATACCGAAACCGAGCCCGGCCATGTCTTCACCTGCCAGTCTTCAGCAAGGGCCGCTTCGCACAACAAGTTCAGTGCGGAGATAACGATGTGGGATGAGAAGAGCCGGGATGCCAGGGTAATCATCAGAGGCCTCGAAGTAGGCCCTCTGCAAGAATTTGCGCTGAGAGAAGCCGGGCAACGGCAACTCTGCTTTAACGTGAACTGGAAGCCAGACATCGACTTGTTGGGAGAAGAGGTGCAGAACTGCTTCAGAGAATCCTTGAAGGCTTTGGAGGAAAACGACCCTACAAATTTGAAGCGGATTCAGGACCTCCAGCTGGCTGCTGCTATCTACATTCTGGAAGCGGTCGAGCATTTCGACGACGAGAACAACCAGCCGAAGGAGCTGGCTCCTCACAAACAAAAATACTTGGACTGGCTCCGCATGCAGGCGCGCAACTATGAGAAAGAGCGTATTGGCCACCAGCTGGAGGAGTGGGATGAAATCCGGAAGGACACGACGAGGAGAGATGCCTTTCTCAAAAATATCGAGGAATCTGGACCTGAAGGCAAACTGACTGTGCGAATGGGCAGCCATATCATCCCGACGCTAAATGCCGAGCAAGACGCGCTTCATCTTGTGTTCATGGACTCTCTTCTGGAGGAGTACTACAGCCGCATGGTCGGGACAGACAAGGTCCATGCGTTGCTCAGCGGTTATTTGGACTTGTACAGTCATAAGAACCGGGACTTGCGGGTCTGTGAAGTAGGAGCAGGCACAGGTGGAGCGACTGCATCCATCCTCGAGACGCTTTGTCCAAACGGGTTGCGAGGCAAGCGGTCGCCCCGTCTCCGCAAGTATACCTTCACCGACATCTCATCCGGGTCCTTTGAGAAAGCCCAGGTGAAGTTCACCAAATGGCGAGAGGTGCTGGATTTCAAGGCCTTGGACATTGAAAAAGACCTCACTGGTCAGGGCTTCGAGGAAGTTGAAGGAACGTATGACGTCGTCGTTGCCGCCAATGTTCTCCACGCGACGGCGGACTTGTCGCTGGCCATGGAGAACATCTACCGCCTTTTGAAGCCGGGAGGCAAGCTCATCATCCAAGAGTTCACCCAGCCAGAGTTTCTTCCGGGACCCCTCTCCTTCGGCCTTCTCCCCAACTGGTGGCGGAGTACGGAGCCGAGCCGTCAATGGGGGCCGCTGCTGACCGAGAAAGGATGGGTCGCAGCCCTGCGAGAACAAGGGTTCGAGAAATCCGTTCTTCGTCTGCCAGATACCCTGAACCCCGACCTTCATGTCCAGAGCATCATCGTGGCCACGACCCAGGAGGAGGAGAAGCCGCAGGCAGACATCGAGATCAAGAGGACGTTCGTTGTGACGTCTAGCAGACCCGTGCTTCGAGAGCAGCTGGTTGCGGACAACCTGGCTGCGCAACTCATGACCATGTACGCCGGTAAACTGGACCTCAAGGTTCGATCTTTGACGTCGCTCGAAGAGTACAGCCTCAAGGACTCCTGCTGTGTCGTGACTGCCGAGCTGGGCAATGCTCTTCTTGCAGGAGACATCGAGTCCGAGGAGTGGACGGCCGTGCAGAAGCTCTTGACATCAGCAAACGGAGTGATTTGGGCCACCATGGATCCGTCCGAGAACCCAAAGGTCGGCTTGTCCACCGGTCTGTTGCGTACACTCCGCTGGGAGAGGGAGCGGGATGGATGCGACCTCACCACTGTTGCATTTGAAGACTCGGAGAAGAACGAGAGCGAGATGGCTCGCCACATCAGGAGAATCTACAGGCGGCACTTCGTCGAGGGCCGTGACAAGAATGGCGAGTACTTGGTCCGCGGGAATCTGGTGCGCACCAATCGCTTGGTTGAGGCGTCGTATGCGAACGACTTCATCAGCGCCAGCTGCGCGAAGCCTGTTCCCCAGCCCCAGGCCTTCGGTGCGGACAAGTCCAGAGCCCTCAAGCTCAGTACGTTTCTCAACAGAACCCATTCCTTCTCGCTGTGCAGACTGCTAACTGAAAGACTAGGCATTGCCACGCCGGGCCACTTCGACTCTCTGCGCTTTGTCGATGATCCGGAGCCTGCAAACCCTCTCCCTGAGAACTACATCGAGGTCGAGATCAAGGCTGCTGGTCTCAACTACAGGGATGTCCTTGCAGCCAAGGACGAAATACCGGCGGACGTGTTGGGCACCGAAGGTGCGGGATTCGTAACGCGCGTCGGCTCTCACGTAACCGACCTTGAGCTCGGTGATCGAGTAATCGTCCTCTCAGCCGAATGCGGCACCTTCCAGACATACGCGAGGACGCCGAGAGATGCCGCCATCAAGATCCCCGAGAGCATGGACTTCGACGTCGCAGCCGCGCTGCCTGTCGCCTTCTCGCTGGCATACTATTCCCTTGTGGAAGTGGGACGCTTGAAAAAGGGAGAAACGTGCCTCATCCACGCTGCAGCTGGCGGTGTTGGCCAAGCCGCAATTCAGATCGCAAAGTCCCAAGGAGCCGAGATATTCGCGACCGTTTCTTCGGAAGAAAAGCGAGACTTGCTTGTCAACGTCTACGGTATCCCTAAGGATCAGATCCTTTCTTCCCGGGACCTGTCCTTCGCAAAGGGCATTAAGCGGCTGACTCAAGACCGTGGGGTCGACGTTGTCCTCAACTGCCTCTCAGGAGAAGCGCTTCGGAGGTCCTGGGATTGCATTGCACCATTCGGCCGCTTCGTTGAGATCGGCAACCGCGACGTCTTTGCCAATGCCAACCTGAACATGGAGCCGTTCCGCCGATCAGCCACCTTCACGGCAGTCGATCTGCACACACTTCTCAAGCTGGATCTCAAAGCGACCGCTCGTGTGCTGAACCATGTCATTGAGCTCTGGCACCAAGGAGAGATCAAAGCCGCAACGCCAACTACTGTGTACAACTACTCGCAGATTGAAGAGGCCTTCAGTCTTCTTCAGCAAGGAGGCCACGTTGGAAAGGTCGTTCTTACAGCAAATGAGGACGATGTGGTCAACGTGGTCCCCAAACCGCGGGCGTCAGCCAAGCTCAGGGAGGACGCTTCGTACGTCCTGAGTGGCGGCTTCGGCGGTTTGTGCAGAAGCGTTGCCAAGTCTATGGCACTTCAAGGTGCACAGAACCTCATTTTCTTGTCGAGGTCCGGGGCCTCGAACGATGCTGCACAGGAGCTGATCGAGGATCTCAAGCGAATGGGAGTCAGATGTGAAGTTTTCGAGTGTGACGTGAGTGACGACGGCGTACTGCTGGCTGCGTTACGGTCCTGCGAAGAGGATGGAATGCCCAAGATTGCTGGCGTCATTCAGGGAGCCACCCAGCTCAAGGTAAGTTTCTCTGCCAATACCTGCAAGACTCAAGACATGCTAACCCACTGCTGTAGGACTCCGCGTTCGAATCGATGTCTCTCAAAGACTACCAGGCTGCGCTGGCGCCAAAGGTCCGCGGATCATGGAATTTGCACGAATACCTCCCGAAGGATCTTGACTTCTTCATCATGCTTTCCAGCAGCAACGCCGTCGTGGGCGCCAAGCATCAGGCCAACCATGCCTCTGCCAACGCCTACCAGGATGCGCTAGCTCATTACCGCCGTGCTCGTGGCCTCCCAGCCACAACACTTGACCTAGGCAACGTGTTCTCTGTCGGATCGACCGCCACCAATCGTGAAACTCTGAATCCCAGCCCGTTGTTCTTCTTCGACGACGACGACAGCGGCATTCAGGAGCAGCAGTTCCTCGCCCTCATCGAGTACCACGTCGACAAGCAGCGCGCCACCGCGCCGACCGTGCAGCCGCAGATAGCCGTGGGCTTGCCTTGCGCGGCCGACTTCCGGAGCCGAGGCGTGCCGGAGCCGGCTTTCTTGAAGACGCCGCTGTTCATGCAGTTGCGCTCGGGAGCCGCGATAGGCATCGCCACGGCCAGTGCGGACAATGGCAGCGATCGGTTGTCGGTGAGGACGAACTCGACACGAGCGACGATGAGGAGACGGAGGACCACGGTATCGAGGAGAAACGCACCTGTTGAGGGCGATGACGATGACAAGATGTCGATCCGAAGCGCGTCTACTTGGAAGAGTTCGTCAACATGGAGGAGCTCATGGGGAAGGCGAAGGCCCGGATCGAAGAGGACTGTGTCAGGGGGGCTGATAACGAGGGAGTGATGAGATTTGTGGATGTTGGAACCCCATTCCCGTTGACCACCCAGGCTTTTCGGCCCCTGGGCATAATTTGATCTGATAGATTCGTTATTTCTTTCCAACTTACTATTTTTTTTTTGGAAGCGACATCTACCGTCCATTGTAGTCCTTTGCCTATTCGCGAAGTCGTGATGTCCTGAATGCTAGTCCAGCAGGCAATTCAGCAGCCAAGAGGTGTGACTCGCCCGATGATCTCATTCTTCATGCCTGGATGGTGGGGGAAGGGATGGAGGCAGAAGACTCCAGTACATGCCGGGCACTCAAAACGGGAAATGCACAGTCCACCTGGCCGATCTCGGAGTTTGGACCTTAGTCTATAACCTTACTGTGAGTGAGTTGAGGGGCCAGTTTCGAGATCCTGGCTAGAGAATTTTGGAACTGTGTGTACTTCCTGCCGTTGAGGGAACGGCTAGGCTGCATAGACGGACTTTGCTCGTGAACGAGATAGTGTAGGCATGTCCAGTTTCTAACCACAAGAGTCTGCGGCGACATCTTTCAAAGATTGCTCCTATCGGACAGTCCACGTTCGTCCAACTGATCGACTGATGAGTGGACCGTCTTTCGGACTGCTTTTCAGAAGCCATCAGTGAAGACCTGAAACATACATCTTCACCGGCAAGTATGACAGGATCTGTTGGAGCATTCTAGCCCTGGTACTCTAGGTATGCTTGTCTCACGGGCTACAACACGGTGCAAAAGGGGGAAGTCTATTGGTGCTTAGACTCTCAACCCATACGGGTTGAGCGGTTCCAAGACGTTGAACAGGCTTCGAGCGCGTTGACCGGCAGGCGTGGGGACGGCTCGTCCATGGATGGGCACAGTTATGACGAGAATGTCGTGTTCTGACACCATGTTAGCTGCAAGCTTCGCAAGAAGCGGTCTTCCCTGGCGACTTCCCACCGGGCACATTGCGAACTGAGGGTCAGCCCACCGCGACGCCCCGAAAATAACTCAGAAGCGGGTTCCATGGCGCAGGCGAAGTGTTCAAGGCAAGAAAACCATGCGGGATAAAATGGCTCCACGCATTATTGCATCCACACCGACCCCCCATTCCGCTTCTCCGCTCAACCCCCCCGCGCGTGCAGAGCCAAAACCAACGACTTCCGTTGCCCGCCGAGAAGACGGTCGCCATTGCCACACGTGAGAGCGAGACAGTCAACACTCAACCAGTCGCGTCGGCCACGTGTGGTGCAGAACGGCGTTCTCATTACATAATGAGTACGCAAGCTCGGCAGCGGATTGGGCGGTGACCCCTGTGCAACGGCGGTTCTTACGGGAGAGAAAAAAAGTCCCTTACGTGCACCTTGCTAGAAGCAGCGCAAACATGCGCCTGTTGTCAAGCAAAGGGCGGCGGCGCGGTGCGGTGCGGAAGATCGCGATCGTCAGGTACCGGTGTCACGCTGGCTCTGGACCGTCTTTTCCACACAAGCCGGTGCAGGTGGATGCCGCTGCGACCTGCGCAGCGGCGAAGATGGGTCTTGCGGCAGCGCTAGACGGGCGGACTGTGTGGATGCGGTGGAGGGGACCATGGGCTAGACTGCTCGTGAAGGCCGACGGCAGCCGCACTGGGGTTGAGGCGTTTGCAAGAGGGTCAGGAGGGGCGCGGCGAGCGGGCACCTGGTGGCAGCACATCGTGAAACTGGGACACGCGGTGACCTCGACGCCGTGCCCGGGCATCCCCCCGTTGACGTGTCGCGGCATTTGTTGACAGTCCCGTTGATGATCTCATCACGAACGACAATGCCTCGGGGCCTTGAAGGGGGCCACTGCGGGAGGGGTACGAAATGAAGGCGTGAGAGAGGGGTGCCGCAATGAAAGGGCGATGCTGCGGTTGATCCGGGTGTTGCTATTCTCAGCCTTAGGGCATTGACGCGACATTGCTCACGGGTTGCGTGGGAATTGCAATTGGGCAATGGCGTGCGCCAGGAGGGCTGCCAGGAGGGCTGTCATGCTGCGTGGGTTCGCTGCCGGCGGCCCCTCACGCCCCTCACCGGTGGTTGCGGCCGTGACTGCGCATGCAGGCCGGCAGCGGCTCCAATTGGAGCGGCTGCAGGGCGGACGGGCCGTCATGAGGGAATCATGAAGGTGTCAGCTCACACTGCGTCGCAGGTCGTGTCGGGTGAGCGCCTGGAGCGCAGGCTGGGTGCTCCACAGATCACAAGGCCAGATCCAACTTGAGCCGCAGTCAACCGCATCCAGCAACCGCTTCGGTCGATCGCTCCCGCGGGCGGCGGGCGGTGCCAGGCAGTGCCAGGCGGAGCGACATCGGGCGCTGTGAGCCAGGCAGCACCGGTGAGTGGCAGGCAGGCCGCTGGCCGCAGGATGAGCGGCGATCGAGGCACCAAAGGCGCGATCAATCGGCTTTCGCGCCCTGGGCTGGTGGGGACGGATCTGATGCGAAGTGTGCGCGACCTTGGCTGCGGCGCACCGCCGCGAGGATTTTTTTCTAGAAGCGCCGGCTTTCTAGCCCAGTCAGTGCGTTCGTTAGTCAGAGAAACGCACGGAGCTGGGCCCCCCCAACCCTCGCTGCCCGTCGCGAGGGAAAAATTGACACCGGCGCGCCATTTATCGCGCGGCGCTCACGGGCTGCTCGCTCACGGGTAGCGGGCGGTGGTTGCTCGACGCAGGGCGCGTCCGCGGAGAAGTGGCACAGCGGCAGAGTGGCACAGTGGCTGCAGACTGCGGGGAAGGCGAGCGCTGCGCGGGGCGGGCACAACACCACGAATGGCGGCAGGGCTGCGGCGGATGGTGCGATGTGCCGACGGCAGCGGGAGTCATCGCTGGCGGGCAGCGTGGCCGGGGGCGTCGGCGGGAAGCAGCGCGGGAAGGCCGCAGGGCTGCGACAATAGGAGCAAATTAGCGCCGGCATTCGGCCCTGGCGCAGGGGCAGCACGTTTGCTCGGCCCATCGTCATCATGGCGCTGGTCATGAGAATTCTGCTGCCAGTGCTCGTCCGCTTAGCATTTTTTCGTGCCACGCGGTGCTGCAGTACATAAGCCCGCGGAGCCGCACCCCACCGCAGGGCGACACATACCGCATTCGTTCCTGAGGACTATGTTTTTTCCCGCTCGCCGCCTGCGCCTGCTGATCCAACACAAGACGCTATCCTGAGCGCTTACCCCAGATCGTCCGCGTCCGCCTTCCGCTTTCGGCTCGCCCAGTCGAACCAGTCGAACCACCGATAGCTTCCCGCCACGCCCGCAACCACCACCATGCCCGGCCTCCTGCACTTCCCGCGCCGGACCGACTCCTCGTCTCCGCCGCCCTACGAGCTCGACCACCACGACTCCAAGATCCTGGCCAAGGTCATCAAGCGCGCAACCTCGCCCAGCCGCACCAACATGGACGCCTTCAAGCGCCACAGCCTCGGCGTCCGCCACAAGTCGTACGAGCGCAAGAGCGCCGCCAAGCTGGAGACCGCAAAGCCCGCCAAGATGGCCCTCCTCGTCGAGTCCCCCCCGATTGTGCTCTACAACACTCCCCAGAACTCCACCGGCGCCATCTTCTCCGGCCAGCTCCAGCTTGACGTGACCGAGCCCGAGATCACTGTCGAGAAGTTCGAGATGAAGCTGCTGGCCACCAGCACCACCAAGGAGCCTGTCGTGAAGCAATGCCCCGACTGCACCACGCAAACCACCGAGTTGAAGCAGTGGACCTTCAACCAAGGCCAATTGCTCCTCACCAAGGGCGAGCACCAGTTCCCCTTCAGCTACCTGGTCCCCGGTCACCTCCCCGCCTCGACCAACAACCCTCTTGTCGTTCTCGACTACCGCCTGGCTGCCGAGGTCACCACCACCACTGGCGAGGTCATCACTTTCGGCCGCAGCATCGACATCAAGCGTGCCATTCTGCCCGCAAACGACAAGCACTCCGTCCGCATCTTCCCCCCCACCAACCTGACTGCCTCGGTTACTTTGCCCAACGTTGTCCACCCCATTGGAGACTTCAATGTCGAGATGCGCATGTCTGGCTTGGTGGAAGAGAAGAGGGACAAGTCTACCACCCGTTGGAAGCTCCGCAAGCTCAACTGGCGCATCGAGGAACACACCAAGTTCGTCTCTCCTGCTTGCCCCAAGCACGTCTCCAAGGTCGGAGGCGACGGCAAGGGTATCATCCACGAAGACACCCGCGTCATTGGTTCGGACGATGTCAAGCATGGCTGGAAGACCGACATCCAGAACGACAGCATTGAAGTCGAGTTCCAGGCCATGGTCAACCCGGTCATGAAGCCCGCTTGCGATGTCCAAGCCGAGAATGGTCTCGAGGTCAAGCACAACCTCGTTGTCGAAATGGTCGTTGCCGAAGAGTGGGCCCCGGACAACAAGCCCACTCAGGTTACCCCTACCGGTGCCGCCCGTGTCCTGAGAACCCAATTCAACCTGGTCCTCACCGAGAGAGCTGGATTGGGCATCTCTTGGGATGAAGAGCAGCCACCTCTCTATGATGAAATCCCAGCTAGCCCACCCTTGTATGACGGGGAACTGGCTGCTCGGGACCTGGAGGAGATTGAGCGTCTTTCGCTGAATCACTCTTAAGAACCTCTATCGCCTATCGTTCAACACTTCCGAGACGCGGTCACGAATTTTCTTTGTCATTCGTTTTTTACAAAAGTAGAACTCAGGGTGGATGCGGAGGATATACCCATGCATGCCACGGATTGGCAGCAAAACCTTGATTGGCTGGATTCAAAGGAGTTATATGGAAAAAAAAAGCATTGTTTGGGTGGCTCGGACCGAGCCCCTGGGATTTCAACAAGAGGACATGGATTGGCGTCTCAAATCATGGACAGCATCATACCAATACCCAGCTAGCGGCTTCAAGAGAAGCATGTGGATGTTTTGAAATATAATTTAATCTACACTTTTTACACTCTCCAAAATTTTCCATTTGCATGGGTAGACGTAAATATTAAACTACAATAACGAAAGAAATTGGCCCACCTACATTGATTTCATAGGTAGTAGAATCCTAGATCCGGATGCATTGGTGAAGTAAGGATCGCCGTAGGTCGGCATCTTCTGTCGCCCATTGTAGCACGGTAGCTGGCTAGGATCTTGACACTGCTAGGATTTGACGCCTGAGGTATTGCACTCTGATTACATTGGTAGTTGAAGCCCATGTCCGGATGCATTTGCATGATATCACGCCTATATTTGTATCCGGATATTTTCTTCGCCTAAACATGCAAAAAAGAGGGTGAGATACATCGTACGACATGGAAGATCAATTTTCTCATGGGACCAACTCATGAAGTTTCACGCCGATTGTTAGTGGCATCGGTTTGCCAAGGCCATGACGCAAAACTCAAGGATACTGCTCGGCTGTGGCTCGGAGAGTGTATACGATGTAGCATTATTGAGAATGGCCGAGTGTTCCGCCACGTGAGCCAGGGTTGATTCTTGAATTTTTGGAGAATTTTTAAGGTGTGGCGAATGGTTGACGAGGTGAGGTTGAGGCCGGAGGAGATCCCGCCGTCAACCGGCCGATCCCACGGTCATGACGTTAGCGTGTTTGACGGGCAGTGTGTTCAGCCTTGGCGTGTTTGCATCCAAGAAGTTCCTGTCGTTCGCGCTCCGCTTCAGCAGCTCCACGCAGTTGCCCTCCATTCCAAGCCACCCCCGCCAAAATGCTGTGCGCAAGTAAGATGCACCTGCACTGCGCTCCAATCGCTTCTGCTAACCGTCTTCCAGTCTCCGGCGAAGCCCCGCAGGTCCCTGTTGCGTCCAAGAAGAGCGGTCCGTACATTTCGAAGCTCCGTTGACGCGCGCCGAAGCTCACACTGCCGCAGGAAACGTCTTCGAGAAGCGTCTGATCGAGACATACCTCGCCGAGCACGGTACCGACCCCGTCAACGGCGAGGAGCTCACTGCAGACGACCTTGTCGAGCTCAAGACCCAGCGCGTCGTCCGCCCGCGCCCGCCGACTCTCACGTCCATTCCCTCCCTCCTTGCTACCTTCCAGAACGAATGGGATGCCGTCGCCCTCGAGACCTATCAGCTCAAGCAACACCTTGCGCAAACTCGGCAGGAGCTCAGCACTGCCCTCTACCAACACGATGCTGCCGTTAGGGTCATTGCGCGGCTAACGCGCGAGAGGGACGAGGCTCGCAACGCTCTCTCCCGCATCAGCGTGAGTGCGGGTGGCGCGCCCGGCGGAGATGCCATGCAGGTGGATAGCGCCGGCCTCCCTGATACGGTCGTGGCGAAGATTGATGAGACACACCAACAGTAGGCTGCTTGCGGAATGACGTTGCACTGGTTTAGCAAGCTAACTCTTCCCAGACTGTCCGCCACGCGGAGAAAGCGCCCCGTTCCTGACGGCTGGGCTACGTCGGAGACCATTCAATCGTTCGACACCACGCACGAGACGGAGCCCCTATATCCCGGCGGCAAGACGCTTGCTCTCGACAAGAGCGGCGACCTCGCTCTTACTGGAGGGAAGGATGGCGTCGCTAGCGTGTTCTCCCTGTCACAGAACCAGGTGGTTCATGCGCTGAAAGCTGGCGGCAGCATCACAGCTGGCGCCTGGTACAACGACAAGCCAATTGTTGCCACATCTACGGGGGCAGTCAAGGTGTTTGAGGGGGACGCGGAGGTTGCTCAGATTGGGTCCCATGCGGGAGCAGCAACATCTCTTTCGATCCACCCTTGTGGCGACATCCTCGCTTCGACCGGCGTGGACAAGAGCTACATCCTCTATGACTTGGGCAGCAACAAGCAACTCACGCAGGTCTTCACGGATGCCGGTATGTGCCATGCGTCCTGGCAATGTTTTGGTTCAATTTTCACTGACGGTTACCGCAGAGCTTCTTTGCGGAGCATTTCACCCCGACGGTCACTTGTTTGCTGGAGGTGGTCGGGATGGCCAGATTAAGGTATTCGATGTCAAGACTGGGGAGAGTATGGCGACATTCGATGTAGGCGGCGCTCTTCAGACAATTGCCTTCTCTGAGAATGGCACGTGGCTGGCGGCCGCGGCGCAGGGCCAGACGACGGTTCAGATCTGGGATCTGCGGAAGGCGGCAAGCATCCAGGCGCTGGACATCGGCAGCACGGTGCAGAGCGTGCAGTGGGATTACACGGGCCAGTTCCTTGTTGCAGCAGGATCGGGCAGCGTTGCGGTGCAGCACTACGCAAAGTCGACCAAGAGCTGGTCGGAGCCGTTCAGGAAAGCAATCTCGGGGGCGGCGGTGCAGTGGGGAGCGTCGGCGCAGTCAGTCGTGACGCTGACGGCCGAGGGAGGACTGTTGGTGCTGGGCTCAGCTTGAAAGAGAGCGGCCTAGCCGGTGCGGGGGAACTAGGGTAGGCGACATGCGTAAAACCACTTGGAAATCGCCGTGGGCGCAAGGGGATTTAAGCCAGCAGATACAGGAATGACATCAAGGTGGTTTTGGGCGATTCATGATTCATGTACCAGTAGCAGCGCTTGCTCGAAGTCCCATTGACGCTACAGCCGCGAGTGACCGGCTTCTTCACCCATGGCGCGTACAGGCGGGGGCGAAGCCAGCGGATTCCATGGTGGCCCCCTTGCTGCTGGAGTAGTCCATCTGTGCTTTGCGCATTGCAGCAGGAAGGGCGCCGCCTCCTGCCAGCCCGGTGACAGGTGAGACTTCCGCGGCTCGCAGCGCCCACAGAAAATTGCAACCCGGCCCTGGCTGCTGCAAGAACCAAGAGCTCCATTGCAAGGCGTTGTGCACCGAGTTGCCGGCGCGAGTCGAGCTGCGGAGTCCGTTGGCTGGGCCTCTTCAAATCACAACACCTCATTAATCCGCCACCAAGCACCGCCGGCCGCATTGGCGCTGCTGGAGCCGCCTGCTCACCTCCTCCTCCACCCCCGACCCGCCCATCCTCCTCACCACCTCTTCGCCGCGAGCGCCCCGTCCGCAACCCCGAGCATGGACAGCACGAACCCGCCCAACGGCTGGCCGCATCACCGCATCCCCAAGGTACGAATCGATGCCCACGCACCGCCAGCCGCCCAGACTGCGAGCGAGCCGCCGCCGCTAACCGGCCCACAAAGACTGACCGTCCTGCCCACACAGAGATCTCACGACGATATGCAGCGCGGCCACCGCGAGAGCTCCGGCCAAGCAGCCCTTCGCCGCCCAGCGTCCTTCCAGCACCGCGCCAACTCTCCACCCTCCGTCAGCTCCACTCCGCCGCTGCACGCCCCACAACACCCGCAGACTTCCGGCCTACGCCTTCCTCCCCTGCTCCACCGCTTTGCCGGCGACGGCTTTGACTTCAGACGGCCTGCCATGTCCACACCTGCCGCTTCGAGCCACCACGCGCCAGCGGACGTCATAGACCTCACCTCCGAAGATGATCCCACGCTGGCCAACCCGTCGACAGTGCCAATCGCCCCGCCGATTCAATCAGCCCGAGCCTCACGTCCACCGCGGTTTGCTCGAGAGATCATCGACCTGTCGGACGATACGCCTGCTCAGCCGCCGCCGAACCCGCCAGCTCGAAATGCGGCCCCCTCGAGCCCCGAGGTCGAGTTCGTCTCGTCGCGCGCCATTCCGGGGCGAAGACGAACACCCGCCACGGCCGTAGATCTCACCGACGCCGAAGACGACTTCGAGTTCGAGGTGCTGTTTACCGACTTGGGGACGAGACACGGCGTGAACAGGGCACCTCCTGGCGACGGAGGGTTTAGGACGCGCAGTCGACGGAACAGCCCGGTGCACCGGCGACTCATGCACATACTCGGTGAGCGCACGTCTGTCCAGCAGCACCAGCAGCACCAGTGGAGGGAGCGGCGAGATCAGCATGACACGCGTCCGCGGACGTCGCAGCGGGCGCCCTACATTCAGCGGCTAATTGGACGTGATCCAGATGGCCTCCTCGAGCTCAACGCCGGCGCTGCGGGCTTCCTCGCGCCAGGCGTCATGAACTACGGCGCAGCCGCCTTCGACCTCGGGCTTGAGCGCGAGAGCACGCCGACGTATGAAGCTCCGCCCAAGGCTCCGCCCGGATTCACGCGGTCGCCGGCGGAGGGAGATGTCATAACCTGTCCCAACTGCGATGCGGACCTGTGTGCGGGCCCGGAAGGAGGCGAAAAGAGCCAAGTGTGGGTTATCAAAGCATGCGGCCATGTGAGTGCACCTTTAGCCACATCATTGGCGATTCGGCCGATATGCTTTCATAGAGCTGATTTTGATGAGCACGACGGAAAGGTATATTGCGGCGAGTGCGCAAGGAACCGACACGCGTCAAAACGCAAAGGCAAAGAGCCAGCCGGCTCGGGTAGCCGCCTACCGAATCCTTTCCAGAAGTGTGTGGTGAGAGACTGCGGCAAGAAGTGCGCAGCACGAACAGCCATGGTCCAGTTGTTCTTATGAGGCGCGCTCGGTTCTCGGGCCATCCTCTTTATCTTCTGCTGCATTTCGTCCTTTTCTTTCCCCTTTCAGCGGCAAAAAGCGAGCACAGGGCGAGCATTAGGAGCTTTTCATTTCCTTGGCGTTAGTACGTGTCAACAGTAGATGAAGCGGCATGGCGGGCGTGGGTGTTCATGGGGGCCATCATCGGAACGGGGAATGATTGTGACAGGTCTTTTTTTTTTTTTTTGAACGACGGGCAGATGATCTGGTTCTCGACTCAGCATCTGTCCGGCTTGCCCTGGCTTACTGCATGTCTTCCTGCATGGGGCAACGGACAGCTGCTTTTTCTCGGAGAGGCGCGAGTCGCCTAATGGCTCGGATTGGTGCCAGCAATGCAAGACGACTTTTTGAAACATAGTGAGTTGTTGAGCGCTTCGTGACTCACATGCTCTCTCAAGAAGACATCGATCACGCAGCAAGCATACGGGACTATTGAAGCACGGCACCAGGTTCATTAGATAGGAGCAGGATGGAATGAGCCTCGCGCCACTGGTTGGCACACGCACCTGGATGCGTGCTTTGTCGCCCAATGCTCCAGGGTTCGTGGGGCAGCCTAGATTCAAGCTGATGCATCTATTTGTCGAAGCGAGGAGCGTCGTCGGTGGTGAAGAGGATTGGGGGGTGGGTGGTGTCGGCGACTCGCAGCTCCAAATGCCGACCTGCCTCGGTTGGAAGCTGCGCTCTCTCCCCAACCATCGCCACCAAAATCCATTTTCTGTTGACAAGCGGAGCCATCAGCTAACGGCGGCTTGCAGCGACATCGCTCAAGCTCGGTCACGCCGCCAGACCATTGTCTTTTGCAATTGGCCCCCGGCTCTATCGAGCTCCGCATCATCGACAGCTGTTCTTCCCGAGCCACGCTTCATCGCAACGAGCAATCGCCTAGTACAGTGCAGCTGCCTCGCTTGCCCTCCACCACCGGGTACCTCCCATTTGTACCTAGGGGCCTTCGCGCCGGAAAAAAGCCATCCCACCACCCACATCGCTCGTCCCCACCCGAACCGAACGTAAACCATGTCCTCCACCGCCCCGACAACGAAGCCCAAGGCGGGCACCGGCACCGTCGCCCAGACCTACCTCCTCTCGTACAATGCGGCTTCGGCGCTGCTGTGGACGGCCGTGCTGGGCCGCGTCGTGCTGCTGGTGCCCATGGTCGGCCTGACCAACGTCTTCGGCGGCGTTGACGACTTCGTGCGCTGGGTACAAACGCTGGCGCTGGCCGAGGTGGGGCACGCGGCTTTTGGTGAGTCTTTCTTCTTCTTCTTTTTTTTTCTTCTTTTTTTGGTCGTCTGGATGGACGGCGGCTACAAGATATGCATATGAGATGAGATTAGGGTGTGCAAGGCGGGCTGGGTTTTTTTTCTGGCGCTGCTATCTGCCGTGTGCGCCTGGGGGGAGGAGAAGAAGAAGAAAGTTGCCAAGAACACGTACAAATCGCAGTTGGAAAGAACCAGATGTGAACATGAAGGGCGATGTGCTGACCGCGGCCGGGTCTTTCTCTCTCTCCAGGTATCGTCCGCGCGCCTCTCCTCACCACCCTCATGCAGGTGGCCTCGCGCCTCCTCCTGGTGTGGGGCATCGCCTATCCCTTCCCCGAGTCGACCGCGCACTCGCCCGCCTTCGCCGGCATGCTGATCGCCTGGTCCGTCACCGAGGTCATCCGCTACGGCTACTTTGTCTTCCTGCTGGGCAGCGGCAAGGTCCCGGCCGTCCTGAGTTGGCTGCGGTACAACACCTTCTACGTGCTCTACCCGCTCGGCATCTCTTGCGAATGCTGGCTGGTCTTCAAAGCCACCGGCCCCGCCGCCGAACTGAACCCGCTCATCGCCTACGGCTTGTGGGCTGTGCTGGCTATCTACGTGCCTGGTATGTCGTTTCCTTTCTTTCTCCCCCGGCGTGTCATCTCTCCCTACCTGGGTTAACCTGTGTCAGGCTCGTACATCCTCTACTCGCATATGATGGCCCAAAGGCGCAGAGTCATGCGCGGAAAGAAGAGGGCCGATTAGGTGGGCGCTTGTAGAGATGCGGAAGAGAAAAAAAGTCAGGACGTCGTGTCTGTCACCAGGCGCTAGGGGCGCCCCAGATGCAGACTATTGGGCTTCTAGTACACAATTTTTGCGAGATTTGATTGGCTAACCCTCAAACGCGTATCATACACTGCGCTGGGAGATATCGAGCGCGAGCGCAATGGATCATCATGTAACTTCGATGTAGGGGTGAACGCTTTCATAGCACAAAAAGGGGGAAGAGACTGAACAGGCCACATCCTGCCAGCCAGCCAGCTATTCAAACAAGGCCGGGAGTTCGCGTGAGGATGAAGTCGCCGTTGCGCCTTGCATGTGCCCCGAACCCATAAACATGTCCGGCCCCCCTCTTCCCC